CAGGCAATGAGATGGAAAACGCTCGAAAGGAGGGCTTCCTGTTGTTACATCTGAGATCGCGCTGATTCATAATTTGACCGACTAAAGGGGCAATCGAGCTCGCCGAAGAACATTCTCTGAAAGCGCATCCATGTCAAAGCACGCTAGCACCCCCGGACACTGCCTGCGAGCTCAAGACACGGAGGCACGAGGGTCAAGTGAAAGCAGTCTCGGATGCGATTCGGCATGCCGATAGCTGGATGAACTCGTAACTTCTACGGTGCAGATGGGTGATGCGACCCTGAAACATTCGACGGGTTTCCTTGGAGTCTTACCTTCACGCGGACCGCAGAGGTGTAGGCACAGCTATGAGGGGGCACCGAAGGGTTCCCTTCAACCTGCGTGCAGCTGTGCTAATCTTGAGCGCAGCAACTTCCCATAGTCAGGCGCGCTCCGACCTAGTGCCAAGCGCTTGATCCGTCGACGGGTGAGGCAGGCAGCTTTCGACTGAAAAACACTAAAGCCTTTGTTCAAGCATAGACGTATCGAAAGGGTCCGATTAAGCTCCAGCTCTGTCGCAGTCTCCCTGCATTGGTTTATACGCATTATCTCTCGATGCTAATGCGACTACGCTGAATTTTATTACGAGCGAATGGATAGGAGGCGAACTGCTGCCTCATCTGAATAAGGCGATGCGAGAAATGGAGGCATCAATCTGAAGCATCTTGACTCGAAGACCCCAGAGTAGAGGAACAGCAAACATGCGGGAATACCAAACAAAATGAATGCCCTGCTTGAATAAGAGGTATGGCTGATTCTGCAGCACTTTGCGCAAGTGGACGGCATTCCCTCGAAATTGCAGGTGTTGTTTGTGAAATTCACGCGAATTTGTGTCTGTTGGCCGGGCGTCTGTTGCAAAGACTTCTGTGGTGCGCTCAAAATAACATGCTCCATCGGTTGTGTTAAAGTACACTCCCTTGAACAAGTTCTCCTTCGTACCAACCTCACCACAGCTCAATCCACCAAGGACACCCTCAGTGTTTTATCTTTGTATTACTCAATCAAGTGGTGAGTGCTCTACTCCACACTGGCATACGCTTCACTGATGGCCTGAAGCCACTGCCCTGTGTGCTCGCGTCACCTGCTATTATTTCTTCGGAAAGGGTCGCTTGTGGATGGTGCGTCCAGAAAGGCGTCATGTCGAACACGTCCAGCCTCGCGCAAGCCGCGCACCATGGTGCCGCTCAGAGCGAACACTACCAGCTTCCTTTGCCACCCCCGCCTCCGCATGGTGCAGGTGGTGTACAGGGCCAGCCGGGCATTCCAATGAGTGGGCTAGCACCACCGGCTCCGTACGACCCATCACTGAATCTGCATCAACAACAACAGCCCCATCGCCTCCAGCAGCAGCAACATCAACACCAGCATCCACAAGTGCAGCAACAGCAACAGCAACAGCAGCAGTACCCACCTTTCCAGCCGCATGCACCTGCGCACCTCAACATAAATGCTGGGAACACCTTTGCTGGCCAGCCCACTCCGTCTCAACCGGATTCCGCCTTGCTGCAGCTCTATAATGCCAGCCATCAAATGCCAGCCCAACCGGTTGGACAGCACCATCCCCAACATCAGCAAGAGCACCGTCAATACCAAATTCAGAACCAACAGCATCAGTTTCAGGAACAGGATTCCCAACAGTACATGCCGCAACATCAGCCGATTCAGCATGCCTATCAGCTCCTCCCGATCGACCCACAGCAGCATCAAGGAAGTTCGGAAGCAGCGCCTGCCTCCCCGCTAAAAGATGTAGAAAAGGGGGTCGGCATCGTGCGAACATTTGTCTGCGAATTCTGTCAAAAAGCATACACTGGCCTTCACTCGCGCTCAATCTTTCGTCGGCATCTCTCCGTCAAGCACGGCATCCCGCTCAACTCACAGCCGAAATCGACGCGTTGGGATGCGGATCCGTTACGACCAAAGGATGACCAAGAGAGACGCGAGCGCATGCTAGAGAGCAAGCGCAATTGGGCAAAAAAACATCGTGCACAGCTTCGGGAGACAAAACAACAAGAAGTCACCGACGGCCCGTTCAAACCGGGAAGGAGGAAAAGGAAAGCGGCAACGCAAAGCGAAAGTGGGGCAGGCAATAGCAGCTCCCGAATGGGAGACAACAACAAGAAGCGACGCAGTGGCAATCAAGATGATGACCAGTCTTCCGACATCTCCGAGGCCGAGCTTGGCGGGCCCGACGGTGCGCCGGATAGCCTAACCGCTCAGGATGCCGCAGAAAGAAGGCAGGCGGCTGCGGCGGCTGCTGCCGTCGCTGCCGTTGCCGCCGCAGCCCGCGTGCCGTCGCCTGTACCTCCTACTCCGGCGCCTATATCATCTACGGACCCAGCGTTAGAGGCAGCAGAGGCGCTCGCTTCGGCAGCTGCGTCGGCCAGGGGACCGTCGCCGCTGACTCCACACAGTATGCACGCTCCCGCAGTTACAGACTGGGTTCCAACTCGCACCGGAGCTGAATCTGAAGGAGCTTCTGTGCCAGCGCCCAAGCGGAGAGGCCGGCCGAGCAGGGCGAGCGCCGCCGGCCATACCACGGCCGCACCAATCGAGTCGACCGCCGGCGACAGCATGGACACTTGCATCATGTATGCAACAGCGCCCGAAAACGCTGGTGCTAGTGCTGCTGCAGACGCTCTGGCAGCTGCTGCCGCGGCGGCAGCGGCAGCGGTGTCTCCATCTGCGCTGCCGGCATCATCGACGCCGACGAACATCCACTGCAGCCTTTGCGACAAGGTGTACAAGGGCAAGCAAGCGCGCGTGAACTGGCGCAAGCACCTGAACGACATGCATGGCGTGCCGCTGTCTTGGCAGCCCAAGCGTGGCGGCGGCGGCGGTGCTGGTACATGGCGGACGAGTCGAGGGGGAAACCCGGCGAACGGTGGACAGGAAGGAGCGGCTGGACTCGAGGACGCGAATGCTGCGGGCCCGGCAGGGGAAGACGAAGAAGGTGCAGTGGAGCGGGAGATCGGTCAGTAGTCTTACGACGATTTTTTGTTTTTTTTTTGTTTTTCGAAGCAAGCGCCTGCTTGGTGATTGCGTGCCTGGATTACAATTCATCGCGCTTGCATAGAGTCGGCACACCTTGCTGGCAGCTGTGTGCCCGCAGCGCAGCCAGGGCATATTCTCCTGCATACGCGTATGCCTGGTGAACCTAGCCGGGTCAGATATTTGCATAGGTCAAAGGGTAATAAGTATAGTGGGGGAGGCAGACTGTATGCGCTGGCCAACAAGGGCCCAGGGTGACAAGGTCGGGTGGGCAGGAGGTGCGAGACGGCAAGAGCTGCCCATATCGTGCGTTAAACGTGTGCAACATTGCCAGGCAGAGCAGGTGTGCGAGTCTGCCAAACATGGACGACTTGGGATGGCAATGTGCAGCTCGTCTCTCTCTTCTCTGTTTCGTCCACCGCCTGAAGGCAAGTCGGCGTAAGTACTAAGGAGAGGAGAGAAAGGCACGGTCAACGGTGGAGGACGATTGGTTGCTTGCACGATGATCCGATCCAGAGTCTCTGAGCTGTGCTGTGCGCTTGCCGCTTGCTTGCGGCTCAAGGCCCACGGCTGCGGATTGGAAGGGGGGGCGTCATATGCTCTGAACTGCTTGCATATGGTATAACTAGACTACACATAGCCATCCCCAGCAGCTCAAACGCACGTGTGGACGCTCTGTTATCAACCAGTACGGATGTGGCGCGTGGATGATGGGCGCCTGGGCTCTGGCAGTGGGGGGTGGGGGGAAGGCAGTGAGAACAGGAGTGGGCGTCGCTTGGTTCAGTGCAGTGGCGTCGCTGCGGCCTGGGTGTGGGCGTGAGTGTGTGCGTTCAGGCACCGAGGGCCATACAGGGGCGGCATCGTACCCTGCGACTGGCTAGCTGCCACAGTGCCTCTGCTGGCCCTGGCTCTGGTGCTGTCGCTGCTGCTGCGGCAGAACCAGAGCAGAGGGGGGGGCGTGCTGCATGCGAGCCCCTCCGTCGCCATCTGTCTCCGTCTCTCGAGCATGAGCACGACAGCCATTCACTCTGTTTCAACCCGGAGGGTGATGAATGCATAGGCTGGCTGGCAGGGCTGGCTGCAAAGAGTGCACACGCACACACCACGCGCATGACGGGGGATGTGCTGGAGGATACGACACTTACATTGCAGAGCGCAGCGAAGCCCAAAGGCATCTTCTTGCGGTGTATGGCACCAGCCAGCCGCGAGCAGGCGGTCCAGGCTGCTCCGAAAAAAAAGAAAAAAAGAAAAAAAGAAAAAAGACCTAAGGCTCCCCCAAGCATCGTGAGCGAGCGGGGCGGTCATCCAGACGATGCGCCTGCCATGCATAACCTAGCAGCTGGCCGTATCCCACAGCAGTAGCATGACAGCAACACCACCACCAGCACACGCAGCGTCGATCGGCACTTCACTCAAGCCGCAGCAGCAGCAACAGGCAAGCGCCTCGCCCTCGTCCTGTACGCCAATCATCATCCAAGCGCATGTGCAGGTGCAGGTGCAGGCGGCGACGACGACGACGATGCTCGCGCCCGCCACACCCGTGCGCTCCGCCAGCCTCGCATCGATCGGCATGAACACGAGCCCAAGCGGGGCAAGTGGCGGCGGCGGCAGCGCCGAGGTGTGGGCCTTGCCGCGACCAGAACACGACGCAGCTCGCGAGCGGGGGACTGCGCAACCAGCAGCAGCAATCGTCGCACAGACACCGACGCACACCTTTTACTCAGCGGATGCCAGCCCTGCTGCCTCGCATGGCCAAGGCACTGAACTCGGCTCGCCATCACCATCGCTTAGCAACGACCGGGTGCAGGTACCAGGACAAGCACCACCAGCGACACCAGCAGCAGCGAATTCCACGCATCTCGCGCTCGCAGTCCGGCGCGGGTCCGAGTCGAGCGTCAGCAAGGAGAAAGAAGACCAAGCCACTGCCCATCAAGCAAGCAGCGACAAAGACAAGAAATGGAAGAGCATGCTCAACCGATTCGGCAGCATGGGCCGCAAAAGCTCCACCTCCTCCCCATCCCCCGCAACGCCGATAGGCAGCCCCCCCTTGCAGCCCCTTAGCCTGCCAGCTTCTTCCTCCACTTGTCTTCCTCGTGCTTTTTCGTCTTCTCCCTCTTCCTCCGCAGCAGTACCCACAGGTGCGGGCTCCGGCCTCCTTGCAAGTCCTATCAGCGGCGTATCCAGCAATAAGGCCAAGCTCACCCCTTCATCCCCCGGTGCCCCCCACCCTCAGCGATCTGTCACACCACAGCTGGACGCCCTCGACTTTGGCACACCCACCTCACTCAGCAGCCTCGCGCATTCCACAACATCACATTCCGACTCACCATCTCCCCTCTGCGGTACCGGCGGTGGCCTCGCAGCAAGTCCCGGGCAGAACACGACAGTCACGACGCCGACGCTCATGGAAGAGATCATGGGCCTTGGACTCGCCAGCGCTTCACCTGCCGCAGGGCAGGATAAGGACACCATGGCTTTTCCCACTACCATCACCGCTTGCACGACGAGCGCGAGCGCAAACGGAGGCATCACAGGCGATGGATGGGGCGACAGCGTCACCCTCGCCTCGGCGAAGACCAATGGCAATGTGCCTCCTGCGACGGCTCCTCCTGCGCTAGTTCCGCCCGGCACCGGACCACGTGTGCCGAGCACCGCCCCCCCCTTGCAGCCCGCGCTCACGCCCACATCGGATCTCCAGCCAGCAACAGCAGCAACATCTTCCCCCTCGCAAGGCGCCTCCGTATCCATGGATCGCAGGCAGCAGTTGACCGGCGGCACGAGCACCAGCACCGGCAGCATCTCGGGCGCTTCACTCCGCTCCACTATCGCCAAGGGCGGTGGCGGTGCATATACGCACGCTCAACCCCAGTCGACCGTGGTATCCAACGTCCCCCCTCTCCTGCCGCAGAATTGCAAGGGCGCCAGTACAAGTGCAGGCAAAGACCCCGGGAACAGCAGCAGCAGTGGTGGTGGAGGATTGGGGTTTGCCGCCAGGCTTCTCCGTCGCGTCAGCAGCGCGCCGGACGCAAACAAGATGTTCGTCGGCGGTGCCCATGGCACCTTGGCAGCAGCAGCAGCAGCAACAGCAGATGGCTCCTCGTCGCACGCAAGCGGTGAGCAGGTCCCGCCGCTGCCATTACATGGCGTGCACAAGCAGTACGCCACCACCACCGCCACCGGAGACACGCTCAAGATCGTCCACACGCCCTCATTCTTGGACGGAAGGCCGCTCGAAGAGGTCGGCACCCCGATCCAGGGCATCATCGACGCCGTCTATGGGGGCGTCACCCTGCCGCCCAGCAAGACTGGCAGCAACAGCAGCAGCAGTGGTACTACTACTGGTTCTGTTGCTGCTGATGCCAAGAGCCGATCTTCATCATCAACTTCTGGCAAAGACGGAAAGGAAAAGGGAAAGGGAAAGGGAAAGGGAAAGGCCGTTAAGGGGCGCTCTGCGTCGCATCACTCCATCTCTGAGTCGACAGCTGCCATGACGGCTGCATCGGCCGTTGCGGCCACAAAAGTTGAGCCACAGTGGCCCACGTTCCCCGGCAGCCCTGTTCGCATGGACGGCAACGCGACGAGTTTCAGCAGCAAAGACTTTGAGCGTGGCTACGCCGCATGTGGGCACATCAATGGCGGCAGCAGCACCAACAGCAACAGCGGTGGTGGTGGTGTTGGCGCAGGTGGGAGTGGTAACAAGATCAACGGCCTGACGAAGGGACGCAGCATGATCAGTTTCCCCGGTAGTCGCAAAAAGGACGCGGAGAAGCAGCGGGTCGCCAGCGCCAGCGCTCACCTCGGCAGCTCTGGCTCGTCGAGCAACGGGCATGGGTACGCGAGTGGCGCGAGCAGTCACGGCGGCGCCACTGGCATCGGCACGCCGCCACTCAACGGCGGCTCGTCGTCGCTTGCTGTGCCCCCTTCGCCGAATGGCACACTGGGGACAGCGAATGCTGTCAGCAACAACGCCAGCGGCAGCGCTGTTGGTGCGGGCGCTGGAGCTGGGAGGAGTGTGTTCCGCAGGACGTACTCCAGCAACAGCATAAAAGTCAAGGCCGTCGAGGTCGGGCCGAACAGCTTTAGCAAAGTCAAGATGCTCGGCAAAGGCGATGTCGGCAAGGTATACCTCGTGCGCGAAAAGAAGACCGAGAGGCTGTACGCCATGAAAGGTGAGCTGTCGCTGAGTGGGAGAGAGGGAGAGTGGGAGAGAGGGAGAGAGGGAGAGAAGGTCTCTACTTACAAAGGCTAACGCTCAGCCTCGCGCTCTCCCCTGCAGTCCTAAGCAAAAAGGAGATGATCAAGCGCAACAAGATCAAGCGCGTCATGGCCGAGCAGGCGATCCTCGCCGCATCGAACCACCCGTTCATCGTAACGCTGTACCACTCTTTCCAGTCTGAGGACTACCTTTATCTCTGCATGGAGTACTGCATGGGTGGCGAGTTCTTCCGCGCCTTACAGACGCGACCCGGCAAGTGCCTCGCAGAGGAGGATGCGCGCTTCTACGCTGCCGAAGTAATCGCTGCGCTCGAGTATCTGCATCTCATGGGATTCATATATCGCGATCTCAAACCAGAGAGTGTGTCCCTCCCTCGCTCCCTCGCTCCCTTCTCCGACTACATGTTGACGCTTTCTTGTCTCCTGCTTGCGCTCTCGCTCTCCTTCTCCCTCTCGTTCTTCAGATATTTTGCTGCACCAATCAGGGCATGTAATGCTTTCCGACTTTGACCTTTCGGCGCGAGCTGAACGGCACGGCGGTGCGCCTGCTGGGATCCGGCAGGCGACACCGAACAGTGCCCCGCTCGTTGACACGCGGTCGTGCATCGCCGACCTGCGTACAAACTCGTTCGTTGGCACGGAAGAGTACATCGCACCCGAAGTCATCAAGGGCAATGGACACACGAGCGCCGTCGATTGGTGGACGCTAGGCATCCTTATTTACGAGATGGTCGTAAGTGTGGTTCTCACGGCGGTAGCCGGCAGACAGCAACCGTAGTCTCGAAAAGGGATGACTGACAGTACGATTGATTTTGCAGTTTGCAACCACGCCATTCAAAGGCTCGTCTCGCAACGCTACGTTTTCAAACGTCCTTCGCAACGAGGTGACCTTCCCCGAATCCACCCCGATCTCTTCTTTTGGCAAGTCGCTCATCCGTAAGCTGCTCATCAAAGACGAAAACAAGCGTCTAGGCTCGCAGAGCGGCGCCAGCGAGGTCAAGCAGCACAAGTGGTTCGCGCCGATTTCTTGGGGTCTGCTGCGCAACCTGACGCCGCCCATCGTGCCGGCAGACTCGAGCGGAACAGATGCCATCAACTTCCGCAACGTCAAGGAGAGCCGCTCGCTCAACCTGGACCATCAAGGCGACGGCAAGGAGGCAGCTCTGTCGTCCTCATCCAAGCGCAAGCAAGGTGGCGGCGGCGGCAGCAGCAGCAGCAACCGGGGAGCGAAGCCGACGCAAGTGCATGCCACAGCCGGCAAGAACGGTGTACAAGACGAGGAGGGTGATGCTGTGGAAAGCAATCCCTTCAGCGGCTTCTCCAGCATAACTCTCAAGCACGACGATGACTAGACCCGTCGAGTCTAAAGAAAAAGCAAACGCATCGCCACGACTCTCGCTTGCCATTCCTGAGGTTCGGGACATCGCAACGGAGAACAGTGCGCCCCAAGGTCGTCGCATATCACTCATAAATCGGATGGTTGCGCATTATTGCTCCCCTGTAACGACCTTAGCTTGTCCTTAGCAAATGAGTCAAGCACGATCTTCCATGTGGCAGAATGCACATGCCTTGCGCCATGGATCCTCATGCTGCACACAGAAGCCCGATCCTGATCATGCTGCCGAGCATGCCGCTCAAGCTCTCGACGAATTGCTTCTCCTTGTCAGGCCGAAGAGCCTCGTAGACGGTAAAAGTAGCATCCGTAAAGATCGCGCGCTGCTCCCACTTGAGCGTACGAACTTGACGTTGCGCTTTAAGCAGCTTTGCCTCCGCTCGCGCAAGGTCTAACCGCGATGAGCTGGCGTTCGCAGCTGGCATCTTTGGAAAAGAGATGCCAGCACCCGTGAAGAACTGGGCTCCGGCTACCCGAGCATCGTTAGCCGCGGGATCGTCTGCTTGATCAATCGCTTGCAGAACCTGAGCATGCGCATCTCTGACATCCTGCCGCGCACGCGCCAGGAGCAGGCGGTGCAAGGCGAATGCCGGTGGCAGTGCCAAAAGCCCGAGCCTGAAATCGCAAAGTTAGTGTCTGGGTCAACTACCCAATCCTCTCTGCAGACGTTGTGCGCAGCGAGTATGCCCACCAGATGCTCAGTCGCTCGAGACCATACCGCCGCCGACTCCTGGTGCGCCAGGCCGAGCTTGTACCACCGAGAAAGGCAATCAGATCGCAGAATTCACTCGCTGTCCCCAGTATGCGCGTCATAATATCGAAGGCCTGACGATAGACCCCAAACATGCTCTTTTGTCTTGCAGCTCTTGGGCGGCCTGGCGCATGACCACTTCGAGCAGGCGCATCGTGATCTATCGGCTCTTCTGATGAAGCTGACGAGGGCTCTGCTATGTCCTCCTTCAGCGATTGCAACGTTTGACTCTTCTCCTTGATATTCTGGTCCGAACGTGTTTTGTCCAGTTCGGCAGTCACGGCGAAAGCGTTGCAAACACCCTCAAACCCCCACCGCCCCAGGACGAAGAGGCGTCGCGTGTTGGCGATCACTTCAGAAAGGAGATAGATTGGCCGCAGGAGCTTGGCTCGTTTTCCTCGAGGTGAAGGCCCGAGAAGACTCAAGATGGGTGGTACGAGGATCCTACGACTTAGTGAGGCGTGTAGAAAGAGGAGGAAAGATTGCAACAGTTGCTATACGATCGATGAGGTAATTTAAACTTGTCAGACCGGCTAAAGAACGAGCTTCAGACCATCGCTCAGCGCACTAGTGCATTCTCTCGTCCTGCCTCGCTGCTGAGGGTTTTGATGATTGTCCGGGCCAAGGGGCCTTCACTGGCTTTCTTGCTTGGAGAATACCGTGGAACGCGCAGACGAATGTTAGAGGAATCGCCCTCCGCACCGTGTCCTGTATCTGTGACCTGGGCAGGCATGAAGACGGCTCCGTCGGTGCGCACATAAGTAGTCACCTCGGATATCGGCGGAGGCTGTATGTTGGCACGCAATGGTGCTATCGCCGGCCCAGAGGAGCCAAACATGCCTAAAGTCGCTGGCTGCCTCGACGGCGACTCCGCACGTTTGATGTCCATTTGCGATGGGTCAGAAGTCATTTCGATCTCCTTAGAGCGGATACTAGATAAAAGTCTCTGAGACAACTCGCAAGAAAGATTATGTGCAATGCGTCATGATGCACGATAAGTATACAGCGTACATCTCAAAGTTGACCTTTGGGCGGTGAGCGGTGGATTACAATACTGAATGAACGATATTAAAGGCAGCCAGCTTTTTTATTATCGGACTATGGTGGTGCTGTTGATTGCCGACGTCTATGCGATGAATTAATGTGATGATGCTCTGCTTGGTCTAGCCATGAGATCAGTACGGTTGCGCGACGCACACGCACAATGGATTACAAGTGGGCCACTATGTAAGAAATATAGGTCAGGGCTGTCATGCGGCCTCATTCATCTTTTTGCAGTACAACGAACGCTTTGATACCTGCGATAATGTCGGCGGTCCACTCTTTGGCTTGATCCAGCACATCATCGCCCCCCGCTGAGAGAGCAGCATCAACGGGAATGGTCGTGCGCAACAGCACAAAGACAGTTCCTGGTGCAACCTCTTCGTTGTCGTTTGAGTTCCTATCTTCGATTAGAGCTGCTGGTTTTGCACCTTCCCCATCTTTCATGACCACGTCCGAGTCGACCGCGGTGGATGAGCTGCCCAAAGTCGCAGCTTGTGCCTTTAGAGGTCGTGTTCTGGGTGCGCGGGTTGTGAACAACCGAAAGACAGTCACTTCAGAGAACCAAGGCCGTTTGTGTTGAGTAGAAGTATTGCCGAGCACAGAAGCTGGTGAGGCAAGGATGAATCGTATACCTTGTCGCATATGGTGTACCTTAAACCTCCAGCCGAGAGCCTCACAGGCGTCTGCCCAATCATCTGGCGCTGCTGAGCCCTTTGGATCAGCAGAGGAATATTTTCCCTTGTGCAGTGTCTCCAGGAGCGCCTTTTCGTCCGCTCTTTTGAGTGGCCCATCACGCTGCATTCGCCTTTTCCGCTGCTGGGCAATGCCAGTGCGAACATACGGGCGAACGGAGATGCTAGGATGTGATGCACGCGATTGCAGTGGCTCCTTGTAAAGAGTGAAAAAGCTGCAAAGGCGTGCAGCTATCAGCGACATGCTTTCAAGTGGTCAAGCTTGATATTACGAAGAACTTTAACTCACCATCGCCCTCCTGCTTCCCGTTCGACACTCATCCCACTGCCGAGTCGCGCCTTGGTGACAGGCGCCCATCTGGCCGTCTGCCCGGCTGAAGATGATGTGCCCTTGCCAATGCTCGCAAAGTGCTGCTCATCATCCACCCTCCCTGCAAGGCTCTCAAAGCAGGAGAAGCAGGAGGGTGTTACGACCGCGAGGCTTGATAGATGGCGGATGAGATTGAGCAGACGGGTCAAGGCTTCGGTATCCGTCGATCCATCTGCTGCGCGAGCACGAGAGCCAGCCTTGGGCTGTTCAGATGGCTTATAGCGCTCTTGCAAAAATGACGGTGGGAGGGCGAGAGTCCCTATCGATGACAGCAGCAGAGGCGTGGGAGATGATGCGGATGGATAGATGCCTGAGCCTGGTGCTTGATTAGATGATGACGTCCCGCGCTGCGCTGCAGCCGAGGGGGCGCCTTGGACACGTCCGGCTACACGGCTCATTCTTCTTCACGCCGAGCTCTGACTAGTTCCCAACAAGATGTCAGGTATCCGAGACACCCTCACTGCACATTGGAGAGATATTTTCTGCCATGTCGCAAACGAACGTCGCGTTGGAGGTGTGAGGCAAAATCGATGGGACTTGGCGTCGGCTCATGACTTTTCCCCTCTCTTCTCTCACTTGCGTCTCCCGTCAACTCCGGCGCGGCGAATATCATCATCATATTCATTCTTGAAGCCGCATGAAGACTGAACAGCATTTCAATTTAGATTCGGCCTTCCACATCTCATCCTTTGATTCGACTTTGCTACGTCTCCTACTCTATCTCATTGGCAATCCCAACTCGTGACTTCCTCGGTCGCATTCTTTGTTCTCGCGCTCCGTCGCGCTGCGAAAACAGTTGAAGGGTTGAAGATCCAAATCTGTGCAGCGACGGCTCAATCTACTCCCCAAGCCGCAGGATGCTTTCAAGGCCAAGCGCACCAGAGCTGCGCAGAGGACATGCCGCAACCATATCTTTATTCTGGCTGTCTCTATTGGCTGCTGCTATCACTGCCCAGGTGAGAACAGCATGAGAATATGAAACGGTGGACCCAACAACTATTGCCGAAATGGAGGGCACAAATTGCAGCCGATGTCGGACGAGTGCTTGTCTGGGCAAGCAGCTAACGATTCACATTTGTGTTCATCAGCAATTTTCTATACCTGAAGGGTCAGGTGACGATCCGATGGTCCCCCCATCCAGCACAACCATCAATGGACCCTGCATCAATGGTATCTGTGGGAGCGTTCAATCTGCTGGTTCTGGAGCAGCGTACGAGTCTTGTGCACTCTCCGCTTTGCAAGCGAGCGAGACGGGTGGCCCGCAGGTGAGCGTAGCGCTCAGCAGCTGCTACTGGTCCGTCGCAGCGACAGCTTTAGGAGGCGGTGGTCAGACCTTCACGATCCAGACGCAGACGGAGCCAGCTAGCTTTAGCAGCATCACCACGAGCCCGACGTTGCTGCAATCATCAATATCACCGTCATCCACGAGCATTGCGCCAGCCGCAGCCTCATCTGCCAACTCTGCGCGCTCACGCGCTAAACCAATCTCGCATCTGCAGCACTTCGGTCCTAATCAGCAGTCGAGGTGGACGCAGATGGTGCATCGCATCGGCGTGATCCAGCTGCTCGTCGCTACGTTGTTGCTCGCGGCTGGCACTGTTTGGTTCATGGATGAGCTGCTCGAGATGCTCATTTGATTTGACGGAGCGTTGCTACGCTGGCATCAGGGTTAAAGGGTCAAGGGCAGGAGACAAGGGACAGAGGCAGGGATCAAGAGGAAGTAGGAGAGAAGCAGCGTTCCTTTGTATAACGTAAGGTCTCTGCGCTCATTTGCGATCGCACGTGGGGACTGATAAAGTTGTAATCGTATTCGACATTCACGACTAGTATGTGTATGCGCTTTGTTCAACTCACATTCCATACATTGTCTAGTGCAAAGCCCAAAAGCTTCGGCGTGCTGGGCTATGCTTTGTGAAGAGCTCGCCAAGCATTCAGCCAGCTGCCCTGGGAAGGCTAGGCTCGACAGCAGTCAGTACCCGGGAACGACGGACAACTGCCTGTCTGCGTAGCAGGACGAAGTGCTTGCACTCGGTACAGATGCAGCCAAGCAAGCCAGCAGCTCACCAGTGTGCCCTGAAAGCGACGCTTGCTGCCCACTTCTCCTAATCTGATGCATTGCTCGTCTAGGCATAGCAAACCATTTTTGTCAGTAAAGGAACATATGCCAGTCTCAGACGTCATTGATTGTCCCTCAAACTGCAGTTGTAGACGCGGATCTTTTGGAGAGCCTTTGCAGCGTTGTAAGAGCAACACGATGCACGGAAAGATCCATGATGCTCCCAGTGCACAAGGGGTCTGGACCAAAGAGTCAAAGGGCATGATTGATCAAGCGATCAAGCAATTTTACAATGTGTCGTGTTAGCGTCATTTGGGGACGGAGCGATTGGCCTCCTGCATCATCCTACATAAGGGTATGACGGACGTATTCCCTCCTGAGGCGGACGTACTGAAGACCGCCAACGAGCAGATGGCGATGAAATGCACGAAATGCTCACTGAATGGATGCCGATTGTCGAATATCGACCTGTCATCCACGACCAAAGGGTGGTGGCCGAAACTTTACAATGTTCAATATTGGAGTTCCTTGGAGGGTTTCGACTTTACGAGGCACGCCTTCGCCTGCCGTGGCACAAGTAGATGTCACAAAGCGTAGTCTCATCCAATTATGCGAATGCTTCCTATACAGCCTATGGTAATTTATAGGACGTCAATCGATGGCTACACATGTACGCCATCGTGGAAAACGCAGTCAATCCAGCGCACGAGAAAACTTGGCAACGCATGAGCCGGCGCGAGCTACGGTGAAATATTGTGAAAGCCGATGTGTTTGCAGAGCGTTGCCAATTGATGCAAACACGGGCAGAGGATTGACGAAATGATAGATTGTGATGGTATATCAATTCGACAGTCAAGGCTTTCGAATACAATTGTCCCAATGCGCGCGGGCAAAGCGATCGCGCTGCGACTGCAAGAAACTCTCTAGCAGGCACATGCCATCGGCGCGCGGGGCGCATTCCTTCAAATGCGTCAGAGGAAGCACAGCGTCATTGAGCACAAAGCGCACGTAGCGCTTGCCATCGGCGCAAGCGAGGCGCTCAACTACGAAGCGCGCGGCAAAGGGTACCAGCTGCGTCGTCTTGAATCGTCGCGAAGATGTCTGCTTGAGCTCCTCGTTCAGCTGTGGAAGTTCGAACGCAGAAAGCGCGGCTATAATCATCGAATCGTGCGTAAAGTCCGCGTAAATACGCCGGCCGAGAGGGAATTTCTCTTTGCTACTGTCCAGCGTGGAGTTCTCACTCGTCTGCGTCGATGGATCCCACGGTCGGTCGGTGAGACGAGCGATAAATTCATTCACCCAGCCAAGTCCTTGTGCTCGACCGACTGGGGATCCTGCACCGTCGAAGCCAAAAAACTGCAGATCCCACGCATATTCGTAGTCCTCCCATTCTTGCTGAGTAAAAAGGCTGCAGAAGTCACTTTGCCCAAACGCAACGGTGTCGTAGGAGCAAAGCTGCTGCATGGCATTTAGGAGCCGCTCGTTAAAGGGTACCTTGCTGCCCTGTACATGCCGCGATAACCTTTGTTTGGCAGAAGCGAGGTATTTGTCGATGAAGTTGAGCGTCATGTTCCGCCCTGGCATTGTCCACGGTTGACCATAAGTCGGGCAAGCAAAGTTGCTCGCCAGTGTGCTGTTAAAGGAAGGGGCCTCGATCTGAACCTGCAGCTCCGTGTGATTACGCCATTCATAGGTACCAAAGAATCCCTGCATCCAGCTGAGGGCTGAGTCAACGATACGGCGTTGGGAACCCGCTCGAACGAACAGCCTGCTGCCATTGTCAGACAAATCTGCCTCCGCTAGTGAACCGTACTCAATGGCAGCATGCACACCCGAATCGTATAGCTGCTGTCGTCCTACTGGTGTGAGCAACTCGGAACCCAGACGGTACTTATACGAGTTGATGAAGCTTAAAGGCCCGGTGAATGTAGGCCGAGGTGATTGGTCTAGGAATTTGCGAACGAGTTCGGCAGGCGAGCCAGTAGTGGGATACCGGGAGCCGTGCTTTAGGCGAGCGCAACGGTAGATCAAGTCAGCTCAAGATCAGGGAAACAGCTGAGCAAATGGGAACTCACTCTGTGAAGAATGTGCACCTGCTCGAGCTTGCAAGTGCCCCCCTCTAATGAGCTGATGTCCCGATGCACAGTGTCGTCGACGCCATGGCCGTACGATGACCGATATGGTGTAAGCGGGCCCATGTGCTCGAACGGCTTGAATATCTTGCTTTCAAAGCCAGCAACGGCAGTCTGTATGGGGCTGCTGCCTCGCGTAGGGGTAGCTGCAGTGACTCCAGCCGGGAGTGATGCCCCTGTTGCCCATCCTGGCGCTTGGCCCGTCTGCGTCGGGCCTGGATAGCCCAAGTACCAATTCTCGCCTTGCACGCTTGCATTGCCGTTGAATTGCAACCCTTTGACGTAACCCTTGATGCGCTCTCGCGTTGTACGCAGACCTGGGGCGAACACAATTGAAAAGACAGCGACTGCAAAGAAGACTGCCAGGCATGCAAGACAGATGCGTGCACGAGGTGACCTTCTGGCAACTCGCGACGTGCGCCGCAGCCACGTCGGTCGCCCAAGCTTGTCATCTTCTTCTTCAACAGCTTGCTTTCGAGACAAGCCAGCAGATGCGTATTCCAGCCTGTCAGCCAGCTGGGAGGCTGTTACTTTGCCACTTTCCCCTCCTCCTGCACTTGAGGGGCGCTTCCGAGGCGCAAATCCGCGCTCAAGATCGCCGACCTCGTCATCATCATCGTCAGTGCCATACCCGTCCGTACCTGCCGGAACTGCGTCCTCCGCTTTTCTACTGTATGCTGAGCCGCCCTCTGCGCCATCCGTCGGTATGCTGGCAATGTAAGGCCGGCCAAGACGGTCGGAGGAGAGACGGTGCAGGATCAATGCTTCGCCTTCGGCATCGTCGCTGCCACTGCGCTCGTCTGAATCGCGTCGCTTGGCCGGCATCGTTTCCCCTTGTTGACCACAGGAGCTACTGCATACAATTCCAGCATATAACAGCCGATGTTACTTGCACAGTGTGTGTGTATGAAGGTGTAGAATTGCAGAATTTGAATTGAAGGCTCGAAACGTCAAATCCTTCACCAATAGGCGAATCAATGTGATGTTTCCAATTGCGAAGCATGCGATGCGCGCGGAATGCAGAAAGACATCTCGTCGTAACTCGTGTCCCATAGGGTCCGTAGAACACGGCAAACAATGACTCATGATCAAGCTGAATATGCACGAGTGCGCCCCTCAAGCTTTTCGTTTGCTACGCTGAGACGTCGAAGCTCGAAGCAAACAACCCCGCTGCAATCAGATGGAGAAAGCGCAGGATGGGAATTTTGCATTGGTCATGAAAGACCCATCTCGAGATAAAACATTGCTGACTCTCCCCAGTCAAAGCCACCCCATCAGGACAGAACGACTGTGTGCAATACGAGAGTGTGATTCCTTTTATGAAAAAAAAAACCTCGATGAGCCCCTGGCACCCTACGCTTTCGGGCTCGCAGTGCTGTCGATTGCTGCTGGTGATGCTAACGCCGATGCCGATGCCGGTGCTGTTGCTGCTGCCGGATTTGGGGATATCGTCGGAGTTTGCTGCTGGGCACCTACCCCACCAGTGCCAGCACTGACACTCTTGCCCGTCGGGGTGAAGCCTGTGGCAGTCGCAGCCGCCTGAGCAGCTGCCGCGGTAGCCTGTGCGGCCGCACGCCTTGCGTTGTTAACGCCCATCACGGCACTTGCATGGCTGTGCACACCGCTGCCACCTCGAGTGCCTGCGCCTCCGTGTGCAGCCGCCGCGGCTGCGAGCGCTTCGCGCTCGACGCGCTCGAGGTTTTCAATCTGCCGATCCCGCTGCTTCTCCTGCCACTTTTGCAGGACGCTCGCCTCGTGGACAGGGAAGCCAAAAATCCGCGGCCGGTAGCGCTCAACTTTGGATGCCGCTGAGACGGTCGACCCACCACCGCTGCTGCTTGTCGCACTTGCGCTGCCGGCCCCTGCTGTATTTCCTTGCGGGCCTGTGGCCGAAAGCGCACCAACGCTATTGCCTGGCTCACGCTCGTTGCCGCCAGCCATAGAGGCATCGCCTGTTCCCCATGTATCCATCGAGTCCCCACCGCGTGCAGCAGCAGCTGCTGCTTGTGCAGAGGATGAGCCGAGGACAAAAGGAGAGGGTGCGCCGGGTTGCTTGGAGGGTAGCAGATGGGGGTATACCATGAACTGCAATTGTGTTGTCCAGGATCAGCCAAATGTTCTCCGCGCGGAATGGCCCTCCAATTGCGACGCTCACCAGCATGTGCGGGAATGTGCTACCGAAGAAAGCCCCATCGATTGTCCCGTGCCGGCTGCTCTTGGGACTGTAAATGTCTTCGCAACGCGGACAGAACAGCTTGACAGCTTTTTGAAATGGAAGGTCAGATAAACCGACTGGCAACAGCTGTTGTCCATAGCAGAGAACGCGTGGGCAACGCCCGAAATCCGCTCGCTTGTACTTTTCCACCTGCGGTGGCAGATAGTGATGTATATGCAAAGGGTCAGAGACGGAAAGAGATGAAAGCGATGGCGCTATATGCTCACCATCTTGGCCAGGCCGCGGGTGGTTAGAATGTACCGCGCATGCACGAGCCCATAGAGAAGCCGCCCCTGTGCTTCAATATGCTCTCTTGCGTCCTCGTATGCTTCATCTACAAGCGTGTAGATCAAAAGGGAGTCAAAGCCGGTAAGAAGGGGAGGAGTGAGTCACACGCCCCCAACAGTCATTGAGTAAATACTTGTTCATGCAAACAGACCTGGTGCATCGGTTATGAGATCCAACGCTTGCGGGTAGTTTTGGACCTCGGCGTTGAGGCCGGTCAGGTTGAAGCGATCCAAGATGTAGTCTTCGTCGACTTCGCAAAAGTACTCGTTGCCTTTGAGGGCGAGGTACCATGTGATCCAGTTGTTGGCAACATAGTCAGAGGATCCAGTCGACAGGTCGTCCACTGCAGAGGGGGAGGGGGAGGGGAGCACTGAGACATACGCACATTGTTGATCGCATGCTATAGAGGCGCATGCAAACACTTACTCTTTTCTAAAGATAATTTGCTCCTGGCGTTTCCGTCAGGTCCTACTGGCCAGCAGATCCGGCTTTTGCGAATAGCTCGTTCGCTCGTCAGACAGTAAACAGGTGATAGCTACGCTCAGCGCTCACTCTCAGCGGCGGTGGCAGTGCTATTTCCTCGGAATCGATCGCTCGACAGGGAAAAGGACTTGACAGCGCTGACACCCTCTGCGCTGGGGCGAGACAGCTGCCTGGGCGATGCGATGACGGCGGGAGGACGAGGTAAGGTGGGAGGAGATGGAAGAGAAGAGAGAGCCTCTCTTTGAGAGGCACATCGTTGTCGACACGTGCGAGTTTCTCTTCGCGAGGCATTGCAGCAGTCTTCATCGTTCCAACTGCCGAGAAGCAACCAACACCCTCAATTCCAACATCCTCCTCCCATCGTTTTTGCTTCCATCACCCAATCATCGGACGGGGCCGACGCAGACCAGCTATCGTCTTGTACACCCTGCTGGCCACGTGCAGAATCTGTCTAGCAAACGACAGGGGAGAGGGGGAAAGGAGAGAACGAAAGAGCATGGCGATGAGCAATTCGCCCTTTCGGCCCGCCGCCTCCCTCTCGGTACATTCGACCCCCACTACACCGGCCGCTGGCGCCGCTGCTGCCCAACAAGGCGTCATTCGCAGAACCGGCTTCAAAGGGCGCAGCAGCCTCGGCTCTTCTTCATTCACGCACGGCAATTCGCCCCTGGCAACGAGCGGCACGACAATCGGCGCGAGCAACGGTGCAGCCGCCAGCGTTTTCACCGCGTCGTCCAAGAGGGAGGGCACGGCTTCCACTACTGGGTCTGCTGTCCGACATACAGCCTCTTTCACAGCAAATGTGGTGGCAGCTACAGGCACCGTTGCCACGGCAAGTTCAGGATCAGGCTTTCTCAATGCAAGCCCAAGGAATGTAGGAGATGGAAATCGAACCCACAGTGCGCTGGTCAAAGTGCGTTGGCGTCCTTCAGGATTGGCTAATTGGCTGTGTGCTCAGATGAGGCTGACTGGCTGTACTACCTCACTCTTGCAGATCCTCATGGCCAATCGGCTAAAACGGATCTACGCCCTCTCGCTGCTCTCGACACATGTGCTGCTGACATACCTCCTCGCAAGCCTGTCCTCCTCACCCTTCGCACCTCTCTTATCGCCACTGCGCTTCTTTTTCTTTGGTTATCACAGCGATGGAAGCGAAGGCGCTGGGCTGCTCGCTCCAAGTAATCTTTTCACCACAGCTGCCATCTGGTCACTCGGCGTACTGCCTCTTCTCGTCGCAGCCAAGTGGAGTGTCAACCGCGGCGAGCAAACGGAGACGGCCGCTTCAACCAAAGACTCACTGGGGCTAGCCAAAGCTTCTCCGGCGTCATATGCGGTCAACGTCCTTATTTCCGGCAGGACGTTGGCCTCTGTGCTCTTGGCGTCGCTCTGCGCTTCAGTCTTTGCTCTCAGCATTTGGCTCTGCCTTTTACTGTACATGCCTGTTTCTGCCAATTTTTCACCCTGGGATGCCAGGCTTGAGGTCCCCAAACGACCTGGCCAGTTCCGCCCAAATGAGCATGTCTTCTACCTGCTCGTATCTACTTTCTTCTTCGGAGGACTGTATAGTCTGCTGGATAGCCTCCTGGAGCCTCTTGCAGCTGCAAGGCGTCAAGGCGGAAGCGCCAAAAAAGGCGGATGGTGGACGCTTTCCATGCCAAGTTTTGACGCAGACTCGGTCGACACCTCCATCTCGGCCAGGCTTTGCGAAACGCTCGTCGGCTCTCGTCGCCTTGTGCAGACCGCGGTGGTCAAGTCGCTCTTGACGAGCGCGGCGCAGCTGCTGCTGTACGGCCTGTTCCGTCGGTCGCTGTACAACGCCGTGCTTCACGCCATCGGCTTACGCTCGCCACTGCGCGTTCTGCTCATTCCCTCCTTCCGACACGTCTTTTTCACACCAACTTTCATCATATCAGTGCTAGCGCTGCATCTCGCTATAGCGCTGACATGGGCCGTCGCGCAGGGCTTGTGGCAGGTCTATGCGACGCATCCGGCAGCGCTCTCACAATTTTCCAAAGACCCCACCAAATGTCTGGTGCAGAGCTTACTCGGAACCTCATCATCACCGTCGCAAGGGTGCGGATACTATGCACACTTCGCGTTTGCGGAGCTGAGCATGCTCGCACGCTCCGACGCAGTGCGGCGCAAAGCCATCTTCCGCGATCTTAGTGCAATGGGTACGCGGCCGCTCGCGGCAAGACCATTGTTTTCCGCTGCGACACCGACCAGTACACTGAGCAACATGGGCGTCGCTACTAGTGGCAGCACCAGCGCGTTAGCCTCACCCATTGGTACACCTCGCAGAGCGGCGTACTTGGCCGGCTCCAACAGCGGCAACGCGTGGAATGTGGTTGTTGGGCAATGTCTCCAGGTATTGGAGAGGCAAAAGGCGTGGGCAGCGAGCAGGGGCACCCCTTCAACACCGCCATCTGCGCCACAGAGCGGAGCAAAGGCCGACACCTCGTCTCAGGGCAGGGCGGTGACCACTTCGAGTCCACAGATGAAGAGCATGCTCAAGAGCTCTGACACCAATATCATTCAGCAACCGCATCTCACAGTGTGGGATCGTCTGGCAGCAGATGCGCAACAAGGTGCTTCTTCAGGGCCGAGCACACCCAAAGCCACCCTCTCTACATCATATTCCAGCAGAAGTATTACTGCTGCTGATGATGATGATGTGTCGCACAAGCTTGCACCCGCTGGAGGGTCCCTCACAGGCCAGGCTGCCTCGGCTGTCGCTCAAGGCTCTGCGAAAGTTAGTGCCAAAGCGCAAATTGTGTCGCCTGTCCAGCGGATCGACGCTAGCACCGTCGCGCGTGGTTTGCACAAGGTGTCGGTCAGCTTCTGGTCTGCGTTGCCGCCCGCACAGCGCAAGCGGCTCGCATCCACGCCTGTCCTGCGCTCGCTATCTGCCTTTGCGAGCTGGGCATTTGAGCCATCGCCTGCGCTCCTGGTGCGCAATGAAGTATTCACAGGAGCCGGCGGTGGAGGTGGAGACGATGCGCTGTTCATCTGGGCCACCGTGGCGCTGACGAGCCTGGCGACGGCGAGCTTACACGAGGATGAGTACGGGACTGTGCAGAAAGACTTACCTGCCATCGTTGTCAGCTGCGCCGAGACGCTCAAGGCGATAGAGGATTGGTGGCATGTGATCCTGCAAGACGCTCGAAAGAAAGATCAGGCTCGCGATGCTGATGGCTCTAACCCATCGAATACGCCAAGCGAAGAGACTGAAGAAGGGCGGTTGGTGGCGCAGTGGCAAGCGAGCGTCGAACCGAGTCTTCTAGCGCTGAGAGATGCAGTGAATGGCATCTTGACGACGTTCGAGTGCTATCAGCTTGATCTCAAGCAGCACGAGTGGGAGCTGGTTCGCAGCATCACGAGCGTGAAGGCAGTCGACTCAACACAGCAGCAGTCGAAAATGCGGGAGATCGCTACATAAGAAAACGATGTACTTTTGCACTAAAAACCCGTCTTGCGTACTTGTTTGCTATTAATATCAGCGACGGACACCATACATGAAGCACGCCTCATCAATATGCGCCAGAGCCGTTTTGCATCACGCTCTCATCTCTTTCAGCTTCTCCGCGATGCCATCGCGGAGGAACTGTTTTGCGTCAATTGCGAGAGAATCATTGAGGTCGATCGCTATCACTGCAGTTGTGACTGCCTGCCTCTGGCGTCCTGAGGCACCCTCCAAAGAAGTGGAATCGCAGGGCTTCACAACGTAGCGCGAGTAGTCTCCACCGACATTCTCGGCGATGGCGCGCTTGCGTTCCGACCTGATGCGCTTCACAAGCTTGTTGTTGTTGTCGTGCCCTGCGCCCTTGGCGGCGGTCAAAGCAGGTGCAGTCGACGTCGCATCTGCAGCAGTCGCGCCGGCAGACGGCGACGCGAGCTGGCTTTCCCATCCGATGCGGCCGACATGCGACTGCGTTTCCCCGGATGACGTGGAAGAGGTGAGTACAACCTTGAGGAGATGCATAGCTTGCTTGTGCCTCAGATGCCCAGGCACAACGATAGGCTGTAGGAGCGACTTAGTGGACCCGGTCCCAGAAAAGTTACGGTCGCCTTGGAGGGTGGAGCCCATGCCCGGGAAGCGCGGCAAGACCGGAGGCCGACCGAAAATGTGGCCATGGCCGTTGAGGGGTGAAAATGTGGAGGCGGGTGCCTGTGTGAGCGGGTCATGCCAATCTGTTCTGAGCTGCGGAAGAATCGCGTTGGAGCTCGCAATATGAGGGTTATAGACGTAGGCGCGGTCCCTAATGAGGCGTCTGCCAGTGGATGAGGGAACAGAGCGTCGCGCGGATGCAGCGGGAGGCAACGGCAGTGTTTCGCCTTCCTCCACATCCTCGCGCACACCTTCCGCTGCCTCTAAAGCATCGTCAGAGTCCTCTGCGCGCAAAGACAGTCCCTCTTTTCCCTGTTCCTTTTTCTTGCGCTTTGCTGATTTTACTTCCTCGTCTTGAAGCAGCATCTGTGTCTTTTCCGGAATGGGTGGCGCGCGCTTGCCTTGCTTTGCTCCCATTGCATAAGTTCGCTGTGCGCCTTTTCCCTCCTGCCGCGCGCGCCTGTACGGCTTGGTCCCTTCAACCACGACGGCGTCGGTCTCGTCGGCGCCAAGGAACGCTCGATCGAGCGGTGGGATCAACGCATCCGCAAACCCCGTGTCTGCACCTGCGCAAATACTCGCAACGGAATCATCGTTTGTACCCGAAACTGGTCGGCTACGATTTGCGCTTGAAAGGCTGGGCCTGCTACGCTGGCTGTGTGATGTAGCGCCGAGTACGTTTGCCCCTCTGCCCGAGGATGCGCCTCTGCCATTCGAAGGAGCACCCTTATTCGATCCTGAGATTATGCTGCGAAGCCGAGACGAGATGGAGCTACCTGCTTGCCTGTAAGGTTTCGAGCTGGATGAGCTGCTCCTGTTACCTCCTCTTGCGCCTTGCGTGGCTCCGAGCCGTAGTGCCTTGTCATCAGCGGAGAAAGGCTGCGAAGTGAATTGGTCAAGCTCGTCCGCTGCCTGTCGGCCTACATGCTCGGCTGCCTGCTGCGACAGCAGCGCTGGATCTGCTTGACCCTTTCCTAAATTCGCCTGCTGGGTCGAGGACGACGAGTTGAGCCTGCGAGCGGTGCTGGAAGCAGGCGATGGAGTAGCAGATGTGAGCTTGGGGAAGGCTATTGCTGAAGGGATCCTTCTCGACGCCTTGCTGCTTGAGCCCCACGAGCGCAGCACCGCCGCGGCGGCCGCAGAGTTGCTTCTTCCAATCATGATGCACCAGCCTGACGCTTCTAAAGCTGGCTTCCTTGGCCCTTGATCCTCCGCGGACTGCGAGGATGATTGGATAAGAAGAGGTCTTTGAACACGGAGTGGAATGTCCCCAAGGAAAAATAATGTTTCGTCATGCCACCCAAGCGGAACCAGTCCAACTCTAACAGCACACAATCACTACCGTCCCAATCACACCTCTCGTGTATGGGACCAGGTGCACCTCCCACGGATCAGTGCCATGCAGAGGGCTGTGGAATAGATGACCGTTTCGCGGAGCCGGCGATGGTATTCTGCGGTGCTTCAAACGCGACGACGATGGAGGCGAGTCCGGGACGGCAGCAGCATTATCCAGCTGGAGCGGCGTCATTTGTACAAGCAGCGAGCATCGGAGAGCCGCCTAGCAGCAGCGATGGCCCAGCCGTTCGGTCATCCGAGGATGATAACGGCGATGTCTCCGGGTCCTACTCTCACCTCACGTATGTCGCGGCGGCAATGGCCATGCGCAACATCGATGCAGTTCTGAAACCTTTCGCCCCGCCGACGCCGTCCACGTCAGTGACAAAGCCATTGGTAGCGTCATCCAACGCATCTACAACCGCCGGTGCTGCTGCCGCAAATTTTGGCATCATGAAGGTATCAGAAGTGCAAGATCCAATAAGAGTCGCTGCGGAACGGCAGGTGCTCTTCGAAAAGTATGGGCGCCAGCATCCTCGCTTGCAGCGTATCCATCCAGGAGTGTTCCAACGCCATATGGCTGGCAGCAGTGTCGGTGGCAGTGCTTCAAATACTTGCATGTCGCAAAGCTCTACGAAGCGGCGGAAGGTAGCTCCGAAACATGCAGCAGCGTCGGCCAAGAAGCCGGATGAACAAGTCTATTCGCCCCTTTCGCTCCCTCATCTCCTCGCGCGACTCGCGACCTTCACGCTCAGCAATTATTCGCTTTACAAGAAAGCTCGGATCCCAATCATTAATTCAGACTATGACTATTTACTAGGCGCAAGTAACGGCCAAAATTTCCGGGAAGCAAGATGGAAAGCTTGGATCGAGAGGCAGCTTGGACCCGTCAACGCTGCTAGATTGGGGTGGCATGTGCTTACCGCAAACCACAGCCGCGACGATCCGGCGGGCGGTAGAGAGAGGCTAAATTGCGGGACATGTCGCCGTATATGGAGCGTGGAAGACTGGCTGAAGAACGATATGAAGCAGACATACCGTGATGTATCAGCGTCTAAGGACTCGTCAGAGGAAGAAGCGATGGCCGCAGACGACCAGGCGACGGTATTGTGGAAGAACCACCATGAATGGTGTCCCTGGAGGGTCAAGTGGAGTGCTCGTGGGTAGTTTCAACTGCAAGCTCACAGTGGGAGACATTGCATGTGGCTGATACGATGGATTTCTATCCGCTTTAGCCTCGCTGTACTCGCTCCCGCCCCATGTTCGTCCGACGCTCCTCGATGACGTCTACGACACCGCGGCATCGCTTATTGGCGTCCTGCAAGAGTCATCTTCCGCAACAACACCTTCAACTTTCGGCGGGACTATCCAATGCACCACACCATTAACGGAATACCAGTGCGCTACGTTGTTCGCTGCACTGCGGGAGGTGGGCACGAAGCGAGCAACACGCACAACCGACGAAGCCGCGGCAAGTGCCACTGGTGCGAACGACAGCTTTTTACATGCAAGTGAAGCATGTCAACTGCAAGCTTCGCTGCTTGCCCTCTTCGGCTGGCAGCTCTGCAACAGCAACGTGGCTTACCCCTCGTTGCGGGGTTTCTCGATCGGTGCAGAAGGTGCAGTCCTGCAGTGCACCATGTGTCAACGCAAAATCGGACTATGGTCGTTCCTTCCGTCTTGCGCTTTGGGCGATATATCAGATGCTTCACGTGTGTGTCAGACACCCAAACGACTGGACGTTGTCAAGGAGCATCGTGATTTTTGCGCTTACGTTGTCCCCACACATCGGAGGGATGCTTCTTCAAAGAGTCGTCGAGAAGCCACCTTCAATGACGGGTTGGAAGCGGATATAGAGGATAAGTATGAAGTAGAGGAAGAGCAGCGGCAGGGGCAGCTCACAATTTGGCAAGTCCGCTTGCAAACTGTGCTGGGCCATCCTTTATATCAGCGCGGTAGCACCACTCCCACCACCAAACACGCCGATCTGCTACTCTCTTCACACCGAAGTGGTGGAGACGTTGAAGGGGCTGACCATGGAGCAGAAGAAGTGAGCAGAGACGCAGGCTTGCGCAACCTCAACGCGTATGAACTGCTCAAGCGCCTAAGGGATGTGCTTTGATGAGCCACGTGAGGCGACATGCAAGATGTTCAAAACATTTACAAATTTCTTCCTGGAGATCCGGGCTTGCAAGTTGCACTACTGTTTATACACCCACATGATGTAGTCAATAGAAGAAGTGTGCATTGTCCGTGCTGCCACCCATGATATCGCCGCCGCCATCGCCAGTAACAACAGCCCCGGGGCGATGAGAGTCCACGGATGCGGCGGAATGGAGAAGATACTATCGATCTCATCGACAAGTTGCACTTCCGTAGTCTCCACCTTATCTCCACATCCATCCTCAATCTTCGCTCCGTCGATGCTTGTTCACACGAACATGTTCTGATTGCTGCCAGCTGAGAGAAAGAGAGGCAAGGGAAGCGGACGTGCGAAAATACAGACGCCATGTTGGATCATTTCACCATCTTCACTCGCAGTAAGTGTCGAGCCATGCATATCCTGCTGCAACTTGGGCTGCAGCTAATGTCGTCGGCGATACAATCACTAACGATTCTGCCTGCTTACTTTTTCAACGTGCAACTGTGCGCATATCATAGCCGGCGTGGTCCTCTGGTCCAAGTCTTTCACACCGACAGTGGCAGACGACCTGGACAAACCATCCAATCCGATCGACTCGCTGATCCGCGAAACATTTGTCGAGGAGCGCACGGCGGATCGCAAATACGAAAAAGATGGCTACACGATTCGGTGGAGCTTTGCGAATGACCTTGAGCTGATCTATGTTGTCAGTGCACCTCTTCCGGCCTAACTAGCCACATCCAGGCTGTTGCTCACAATGAGATCGCACTCACTCGCAGGTCGTGTATCAGCGTATCTTGCAATTGTCGTACATCGACGATCTACTCGACCAAGTCAAGTCTGCTTTCGTCCAGCTTTTCGAGTCCTTCCTTCGCGCCCTGCTGCAGGTTGCGCGCGGCGATGCATCCGGCCTGTCATCCACACTCGCCAAAGATCCTTCCTCCGGAAACGGCATCGCACCCGCCCTTGCGCCGCAGCTGCGCTTGAACTTTGCCAACAAGCTCAAGGCAGAATGGGAAGCGACATTCCTTCTGATTCTTCGCTCGCTCGAACGTACCGCCTCAGCAGCGGATAAAGCCAATCGACGCGCACTCGGCGTCGACACACCTCTTGGCGAGAAAAAGGGCATGCAGGGCGCCAATCTGTTTTCTTGCGAGCACAGCAATGCAAACAGTACTGCAGGACGTGAAACCACTGGCGGGACATCTACACCGGCTGGAAAAGAAGCAGATGGAACTGAGGCAAGCGAGATAGCCAAGAATGTAGCTGCACTCAAAGCACGGCTCAAAGCGGCCGAGTCGAGCGGCGGCGCCGGGCGTAGGACGGCCAGCGGTGGTGGAGGGCCTGGCAACAAGAAAGGCAAGAAGGGTGGTGGCAAAGATAGTCCTGCAGGTGCTGGAAGTGGTGTCGAGAGCCCAGCCGCGGGTAGCAGCAAAAAGCGGGCAAAGGAGATGCGCAAGTGGGATGCACAGGGAAGAGCCATTCTCATGACCGAGGGGGACGAGGATGCACTCGATTTCAGCAGTAAATCAGGCGCTGCAGCAAATCCAGGGATTAATGGCAGCGGCGTTGGTCCAGAAGAGGAGGGTGACCTTACGGGTTGGATCGACATGAAGAGCTTGGGCAAGAAAGGCCAGGATGGGACGTACGAGCTAGCTGATGTCGACGATGGAGGAGATGACAACGATGAGGAAGCTGAGGAGGAGGATGTCACGCGGTCGAGGAAGCCAGGCGGCGGCTTCCTCTCGCGCTTCTCAGCTGTCTCTGCTGGCGCATCGTCGGGTACTTCTGCAAGCTCTGGCTCGTCGCTCTTCTCGCGTTTAACCGGTTCGCGCGCGTTGACGAAGGAGGACTTGCGACCTGCGTTATCTGCGATGCAGAGCCACCTGCAAGCAAAGAACGTCGCAGCGAATGTCGCGTCGCGGCTATGCGACAGCGTCGAGAAAGGGCTCGTGGGCCGGCAACTGGGCAGCTTTGCGAGCGTCAAGGACGAGGTGCGAAAAGCACTGGAAGATTCCATCACGCGCATTCTCACGCCTAAGAGCAGTACAGACATTCTCTTGGAAATTGCAACGAAGCGCGAGCGACAGCAAGCGGCGATCGCGAATGCTGCTGCTGCTGGTGCTGCCATTTCCAAAGGAAAGGGCGGCGCAAATAGCAACATGGCCCTCCAAGCCGACCCCTACAGCATCTGCTTTGTCGGCGTCAATGGCGTAGGCAAGTCGACAAACCTGGCAAAAGTGTGCTTCTGGCTGCTGCAGAACCGGCTGAAAGTTCTCATCGCGGCGTGCGATACGTTCCGATCGGGTGCGGTGGAGCAGCTGCGCGTGCACGTGCGCAATCTGGGCCAGCTTGAAGTGGACGGACGCAAAGTCAGCGAGAGCGCGAGCATCGAGCTCTACGAGCGAGGCTATGGCAAGGACGCGGCTGGTATCGCCAAGGATGCGCTGGCGTACGCCAAGAGCGCAGGCTACGACGTCGTACTCATCGACACGGCTGGGCGGATGCAGGACAATGAGCCACTTATGCGCGCGCTGGCCAAGCTCGTCGCGGTCAACTCACCTGACAAGATCATCTTTGTCGGCGAAGCGCTCGTCGGCAACGAGGCGGTGGATCAGCTGGTGAAGTTTGACAAGAGCCTCAAGGATTTTAGCGGGCTCAGCAACCCGCGAGGACTGGACGGCATGCTGCTGACCAAGTTTGACACGAGTGAGTCGCAGAAAAATGCTTCATTGGCTCGACGCTAACGTTTGTTTTCAATCCGTGGCACATGCAATACAGTCGATGACAAAGTCGGTACGGTCCTGACAGCCGCTTCGGTGACGGGCCTGCCCATATTTTTTGTCGGCGTCGGTCAGACGTACTCGGATCTGCGAGCACTACGTGTTCGGCACATCCTCAATGCTCTCATGCGAGGGTGATGCGAGCATGTGTGTGCTGTCTTTGAAGCTGGATGCTATCAGTTCGAATGACCTGCTCGCTGCTGTACCTGGGCTACAAATTTTTGCACGGGTGCGAACCCTGAACTATGGATGAGGATGTTTTGACCACTCATGCAGCGAACTAGAATGCATGGGAAACTGAAGGCTCTTCTACTTATCATGTTAAAGTATTACTTTGCACTTGATCTCGCAAGCTACTTCATCCTGGTAGATGCCTGGCACTCCGCGTGGTATGCCATCCCCGGACAAAAGATGTGCTGTGCATTCACTTCGAAGAAAGCAATGCCTTTGGGGCGATGGCCGCGTACTCCATCGATTTGTCGAAAGTCAAAGCGCCCGCCAAGGATCCGAAAATCTGACTTTCTGCTCTTGATCAAGTCGTAAGTGCAGTCATTGCGGACCCCGGATGACAACTGAACAGACTGGCGTTTCAGTTTCACACACGTTGCTCTTCGCCGTGGCAACCTTGCCCTCCATAATTCGGTCCATTGGACATTACAACACGGTGCAAGTTCAGCCGCGTTTCATTCGACCGTCCATGTAGGCCGTCCTGTCTCATGTTGTTGCTGCGGCATTGACAGATCGCTACGGCTGGCGTCACGCGACCATGATCAGCACTGCCATTATCGATGCTGCTGGATACGCTATCCTGTTCGCAATAAGCAGTCGCAGCACAAGGTACTCTATTTGCTTTTGGCTGATTTGTACTATCCTTTCGTCGGTAGCAATATCAGCACGCTCACAAGCAATCCTACCGGTGCAATCAAGTTAGGGTTCCCGTCTGGCATGCAACCTTCCATGTGAGATGCGCTCATTACCGTCTGACGACCCGTCGAAGCTGACGAATTACACCTGGCGGTCATTGTCAGTGAAATGCAGGCGGCGTTCCTGTGGGTCAGGTCTATCCTGGCACTGACTTCACCGCCGGCGATGCTATCTCTCATGCATGCTTCCTCCTCTCCGCAATCCTGTATGCGATCAGCTGGACATACATGGCGGGTATGAATAGAGCAAAACGCCAACGTTGACAAGCCCTCACACCAAAGGGATTGAGGCTGACAGTAGGTTTGCAATCCGCACCAAGACAGCTTCCAACGCGGACGACATGTCCTTGGGTTTCTGACATCGTCTTTGAGCTACCTTCGCGCCTTCGGCCTGTCATACCTTGGGTTGTACTGATGAAAGTTATAATAGACTACTCGAAGGAGACGCGCATTGGACCGAAGGTTATGCGAGTATTTGATGTATGATACGTAAGTGAGCCTTGAGTTCGTGTAATGGTGGTCACGCCGTTCCATGCGAATTGCACCGATTACGAGGTGCGGAGATATAGTATTACGCGACAGTGTCCAGCGGGATGAGCACATCGAGCACCAAGCAGTGGACAACTGACTTCCCTATTGTATTAGCCCTCGAACAATGACGATATGACGCATGCGTCCCCTATATAATTAACGCAATTCACCGCAGTCGTTGCCAGCCAGAACAAATGGAAACTACGAGATCTGAGGTCAAAACACATCCATGCTGCACATTTTTACTGCTTCCAAGTTTGCATTCCTTCGTCCCGCCCGTTTGATAGTTACGCGCATCGCCTCTGACCGGCTCACAGGTACTCATTACCATCGCCCATCATTTCGCAACCTCGGCCACTAAGCATTCCAGGTCATCTGCGCAAAAGTCGCTCACGCTCACACTCCTTTGCAGCTATGGCGAAACAACTTTCGATTGAAAGAAGGCTCAAGCTCAACGATGGGAGAGAGATCCCACAGCTGGGTTTGGGTGTCTATCTCTCCAAAGGCAAAGAGGGCGAAAGAGCCGTCAAGGCGGCTTTGGATCTAGGTTATAGACACATTGACTCGGCCCAGGTGCGTCGTCGTGGATCACTATTTCTGAAGTTGCATTTCCCTGACTGCAAATTGCGAATATATTCCATCAACAGATGTACGCCAATGAGGCCGAAGTCGGGGCTGCCGTGCTGGCAAGTGGCATTCCCAGAGAACAAATCTTCGTCACGTCCAAAGTGTGGGATAGCGCTCAAAGCAAATGCTTGGTATCTGTCCAGGACTCTGTTAAGAAGAGTGGTCTCGGCTACTTAGACCTCATGCTCTTGCACTCGCCGAACCCAGGCAAGGCGACCCGGACGAAGGCGTACGGCGATCTGATCAAGGCACAAAAGCTCGGCCTCGTCAAATCTATCGGTGTCAGCAATTACGGGAGCCACCACATCGAGGAGGTCATCGCTGCGTTCCCAGATTCGCCACCTGCAGTCAATCAGATCGAGGTTTCTCCTTTCTTCCAGCGCCGCGAGATCGTCAACGCATGCTTGAAACACAATATCCTCGTGGAAGCGTACAGTCCTTTGGGTAAAGGCGCACACGTCGACCTCCCCGAGCTGCATGAGATCGCGAAGACATACGAGAAGACTCCCTCGCAGCTGTTGATCCGGTGGTCGCTGCAGTCTGGTCATATCTGCTTGCCCAAGTCTGCCAACCCGACGAGGATCAAGGTGAGGCTTGCTTTGATGACCGATGTATTTCACTGCTCGAAGGGCTTACCCGCCGCTGAATCATGCAGGAGAATTCGGACATCTTTGACTTCGTCATAACCGAAAATGACATGAAGAAGCTGGATGCCCTGGAGACTGGCAGTGGCGTCACTTGGGACCGTGAGTACGCATTTTCAGCCGAGAGGATAGGCAAGTCTCCTCAGCTGACATGTTCGTTCTGTGCTGAAGCGACGACCGCTCTCTGACACGCTCCCTGTCAGCAAAGCACTCTCCTTCGTCGCGGATGTCGCTCTCCATGTATCTTAAAGCGATTTCAGCGCCATATGAAGCCACGGAGTCATAGAAAATGCGCCATCAACTGAGAGGGTGAAAGTTCTGCAATTGCGCTGGACTCAACGGCCTTGAAGGTTGAAGGGTGTGTTGCAGCAAGGATTTAGTAGTACAGTGGAGGACCAAGGTACAAGGGACCTCTTACGCTAGCGGGCTGATCAATCTGCAAAAGAAAATGCAATAGAAATTTTCGCAAGCGTTGTCAACATCCGTAAGTGCTACCAGCACAAACCATCGAAAAAAGACAGGTCGAAAAGGCGCAATGAAGCTCACTTGATCAGACTTGGTTGAGGCGTCGACCGAGTGTAGCCAATGTAGAGCACAAACGGCACCCAGCCATAGTGCAGAACGCCTTTCCCGGCCTCGACACAGCGGCCGATCCACTCCTGAGAGCCGAGGATCATCAGATGGTGCAGCGACAGTCAGCACTAGGTTGATGGCATGAAGAAGAGGATTGTCGAGCAGAGCACTTGGCTGGCGTGGCTATGCAGCCATAGTTTGGGCTATAAAACACACATACCTTCTGGTCTTCTGACAGCAGTGCCATTTTTTGAATGGAGCTCACGCCTGTAGAGCGATGAACTTCCGATAATGCTTGCCTCAAAGCCTGCTCGAGATGATGCTGAACTGCCCGGATGAAGGTAAATAAAAAGATCGGATCAAATCTGCTTTCATGTCGAGGTCCAGCTTTTTGGATGCACGGCGTCTTCCCCCATCGGCGTCTTTCTCTTTCTCTGGTGTGCGTTCCCTCGAATGTAGTGAGTGGCCAAGTGTAGGCGGTGGGCCGTTCGTGATGTGGGGCCGCCCTGCGGCTCTGCAGCAGAGTGCAGACTGCACACGAGCGAAAGTCCATCTCACCAGTCGGTCGCAGCTCAATCCCTCTCAAGTAATGCTGGAGGCGTCCTTCTTCAAGACCTTTCCGAAACTCACGCCCAAAGGTACCGAAGAGGGTCACACATCCACCATGGTGAGTTCATACACAGTGGGTCAGCAAGCCTGTGCTTCAAGGAAAAAGCTACCGAGAAAAATGCGACATCCTGACCCGCATCCGCCCATCGCTTCCTGTTTGTTCCTGCCAGTCTGACACCGCCAAAGCAAGTGGCTCGCAGCCTGACCTCGCAGCTCTTGCTGCTCGCAACTCAGGTGCAGTGAGGTGAGCACAACAGTCGGATCCAGAGGAGTGGTCCGACGGAGGGGACTGCTTGCAAAGCTTATTAAGGAAGAATCGTTAATCTGGATTTGGTTCGCACTTTCTCAGGCGGCGAGCGGCGCAGCAGGCAGCAAACAAGCCAAACAGCACACGAGCAGCAGGCGCAGGTGGAAGCTCAAACACGATGATGAGGCTATATACCGACGACAATGCAGGCTTGAGCGTGTAAGTACTCATCTGAGGCGCCAAGGATACCCCACAGTCTTGAGGAGGCCTCGCAGCCGAGCTGACGTTTCCTGCCCTTGCCACGCTGCAGTGACCCGGTCGTCGTCCTGGTTCTGGCCGTCTCTTTCGTTTTCTCGGTCGTCTTGCTGCACATCTTCGGAAAGTTCGCCCGATTCCTCACCAAGTGAAAAAGTCTACGTATGGAGACTGTTCGCCCTGCATGCATTCCGGATGGCCTGCGCAAAGAGAGATTCAGGGACTGACGCCTGTACTCATATCGACCAAAATCTCTGACGTTCGCGATTGGACCAGGATCAAAGATAAGATGGAAAGCATGAAGGAGAGTAGCATATACGTTGAGACAGGAAATGCTACTATACAGGTGTGAACTCTGAAAGCATGCTGAGGGTACCAGATTGTCCCAATTGGGAGTGGAGCAATGCAGTACAGTACAGCGCTGAACAAGGCGCATAGCATTCGGCTGTGCATTCACATCTTTGACGAAATGTCCGAGCCGCTCATCTTGACCCACTCCCCCTCATCCGTCAGGACCTCTGCATCGCCATCGGTATCGTCTGTAGCACCGCCGCGCTTCCGAAGTTCCTGGTGCAGAGGTAGTGCTGGTGACGAAGCGGCCGAGGGTGCAGAACTGGCCGTTGCGGAGCCCGAATGAGACACCGGTACCACGTAGCGTCTGAGGAACGTGGCTATCTCTTCAAAGTAATCAGGCTAGGGATGATTGGAATGTTATGTGTCAGTCCATCGGATTGACTGGATAGTCCGTCAGTGGGCCTCACCTTCGAACAAGTATCATCTGCAAGAGAAAATTTGCAAGCTGTCAGCTACTACTGATCGCATTTCTGTCCGTGCCAAACATATACTGACTGTGCATGCCTTCTGGGATTGCTTTGAAGTGTTTCTTCTCGGAGCTGCAACGCTCGAACAGTGCATCCATGTGCGATGGCGGCACGAGCTCGTCCTGCCGGCCGCTCAAAAAGAGCACGGGGAACGACCGCGGGAGCTTCTTGATGAGCTCACCCGTTAGCCAGTATTCCCCTGCGAAGTGCAAGACTGGAGCATTAGCTGAACGCTCGCTTCACGTTGTGAAGCGGTCAAAAGAACGCACGGCACAGGAAGAGAAAAGGCTTTACGGGTGGCAGAACGTGGGGAACCATCTCAGGAATGGACAAGAAGCTGTACAGAGCCATTTGCGTCGGTCAGGGCTGCAGTCGGCGAGGGGCAATGGCGCACTCACGTGTTCTCGACGATGAGCGCATGCACATGCTTTGGGTTCCGTTGAGCGACATCGACGGCGACAGCGCCGCCTAAGCTTTGCCCGTAGCCGACCAGGGTTGTTTGGCTCAGTAAAGGGTGCTCCTTGATGTAGTCGAGAGTCGTCTGTGAATCTATCCGTATCCCCACTTCTGATGGGCTGCCGGTCGAAAGACCGTAGCCGCGATAGGAAAGCATGACAATGTTGCAACCAAATCGTCGGTAGAAGACTTTCGCAAGAGGCAAGCGGTGGCCCTGTGAAAAAGAGTGTTTGTTAGGTGAAAACGGTAGGGCTTGCCTTCAGATGTGATGAATGCGTACTAACCATGTTACCAGCATTTGCGTGGAGAAAGAGAACGGTAGGTCTGCCCTTGGCTGCCTCTGCGCCTGTGGCTTTGGGCGTCTTCCCAGCTGCGCGCTCAGCGTTACCATCTTGCAAAATGACATACAGGCGGATTGTCTCGCCATCAGGTGTCTGTAGCTTCTCTTCGGTGTATGGCATGCCAAACTGATCGGGTGTCATCACTTCGGTTCGCGAACGGGCGGGGATCGTTGAGGGATAAATGAGTAAGCGTTGGTAGCGATACAACAGCCCGGCGGTGGAAGCGATGCCGACCACCACTACGCCCAGCGTCACGCGAACCAGCGTTCCAAGCGACGGTAGGTACCCCATGGTGCTAGGTTGCAGATAATTGCTGGTACTGGAGGCTATTGCAGATCGGCAGTAGAGATGGCGATAAGCCAACCCACGCGGCAACAGTCGGTCCCCACCGAGCAAGCTGTCTCGAACAAAGGCCAAGCGCTGAACCTACGACCCAAGAAGAGGTTCGAGAGCGCAACTTTGTTCGGCGTCCTTGCTTGAATAGTTGCACCTGCGCTGACCCAATTTGGTCAAGATGGTTGCGGAGAGTGACCCTTTGTGAGTGCCATTCTGATTTTGATTGGCTGGGAGCCGAGGTGGCGGGCGGTGGCTGGTCTAATGCCAGTCTTAGCGCGTCGCGACTGGCCTCGTCACCTCTCAAAGAGTCTGGATATAGATCTCGCTGACATGGATGACTAAATATCGCATATACTCAATGCTGAATCAATAGACCCCAGGGCGTGAAAGCGTTTACTCTCAAAGACTCCAAGAAGGGACGCTCAAGGGACAGCGATATGTGTGCATCGCAAGACTATCTACGAGAATCTTCGGGGTTGCCCAGCACCTCCTTCAGGCTAACCTGTCCGCTGCCACGCTTCAATGGTTGTGGCTGAGACTCGGCTGGCTTCCAACCAATCTTCAGGCCAGTCACGGGGATAAAAGCCATCAGCCCTGCGCGCTCGAGTCACAGAGATATTGCCGACTCACCATGAAAATGACACTGAATGTTGCCGGTATGGTGCCGTCTTCGTTGCCGTGAAGCGCTTGGTAGGTAGCAGCTGCACTGAGAAGCGTGTCTCGTTGCAGATTCGGCCGGCGGTTGATGATCGCGTTGCTTTCACCCATATCTCGCAAGTCGTGGATCAGCTCAAACATGGAAGGGTAGGAGACGGTCACGTCGTCGACATCGATTGTGGGTATATTGAAGCCAGCACGCGACAGCAGCGAGGCCATGTCACTTGATTCTGCATGTTTTTGGCTGGATCAGTAAGGATCAATTAGGTGCGAGTGCATCTTCGGCAGCTCACCTGCCATGGGCGAAACTCTTGCAGATATCCCTCCTTCTCTCTCCTGTTCAGCGAGCTGCAAGCTTGTCCGAAGCTCGAAAAGCGTGTCGCCTCCGCAAATGGCACCTACAAAGACCCCGTCGGGCTTTAAAGCTCGACGGATCTGAATGAGCGCTCCTGGAAGATCGTTCGTCCATTGCAGAGACCCGATGGAAACGACGCAGTCAAGCGAGTTTTCTTCGAATTCTAGAAATTCCTCATCCATTACTCGGCGTTCAATTTCAACTGCAGAGAGATTCTAAAGTCAGCGAGGCGTCGGCAAGAAACCCGAGAGCGAACACATACAGGGGGCTTGTGAATCTAGATGTTGATCCCGGTAGAGCATCTTCTCTGCGTGCATATCCAAAGTTGAGGCATGTCACTTCAGCCGGAAAACGCCACGAAGCGAAAGCTTACCGCTTGAGTCACACATGATAAGCCTCTGCGTTTTCGTTTGACTGACGTCTAGAAACTGACGTAAGCTTCCTGGGCCCGACCCGATCTCGACGATGGTGGAATGCGGCCGCTTGATGTCAAGCAGACGCTCTGCCACATTTTCGGCGAGTGCGCTGCGAACATAGTCTGTCAATCTTGAAGAGTCCCCTGGGTTCCCCTCGAATGATCGCCGGTCAGCCGATACTGGTCGGCGCGAAGCTGCTCGGTCCTTCTGCGCTACCTTGACTGCACGATCGAAGATGGTAAATGGTGAATTGGGCTTGGGTGGACCCGGCTTCGGATTGGTAGTCTGAGGACTTGTTCCAGGCGGCATCGACGTTGCTGAAGCATATCCGCATCGATGTATCCAAGGAGCTGATGTCAGCACGGTGGCCCGACGGCGCAAAGGCCGGCATCGAAGGGCCACTCGGCATGCCTCTGCGCAAGCCGGGGAGGTTCTGCACGTCATGCTGGATGGCCGTGCCGAGATTTTATGCTTATCAGTGTGCGAGCAAGACTGTCCTTGCAAAAAAGCAAGCAGACACAAGCCTGGAGGCTGGAGAATCCAATCGAAGCTCTGCCGATTGGAGAGCTCCCATTTCCATCAATACCTACACGTGAAGAGAAGTTGCCAAACTGGCCAAGTCATTGATAATTAGGTCACACAGTAGTAATTAAACAACGAAAGGCCAATCGCGTGTAGCATTTCGGCCGAGATATACGTGTGCACTACAACGGTCAAAAAAGTCACGCGTCGCGACGGCATTGTGAGTTCGAGCTGGCCCCACTATTCATCCGGCAATCGGCTTTGTAAGTTGCTTGTGCCTTAATGGCTGTCGGTTAAGGATACCGTGCTAAGATGTTTAGGAGTACAGTTCCCTTACAGATGCGTGCTCGGGCACCATCAACGTCACAACATTGAACTAGCACTAGGGAATGTCAGCCGATGAAGAAACGGCCCCCGGGCGCGGCGTACGCCCCTCGCGGTTCCCCCGGCAGCCTACTGGCGACGACATGCTCCCAAACGGCGTGTCAGACGTTAGCCCCGAGCACTGGTCAGGGAACCTCGAAGCTGGGGGCGTCAGCATCTCTCAAGGAAAGGTGGATCCGAACGGACACGCTGATTTCGCAGAGAACGTTTCCAAGTCTCTTCGACAGCGCCACAAACCTCGAAATGACTTTCACGTTCACCTCGATTTGGGCGCCGACAAAGCTGGAGCGGGACAAACATCAACGACCGATTCTAGTGGCAAGTGCAAACTGCGAGAGTCATGGAAGGGCAGCGCGATCTACAAATTTCTAGAGCGTCAATGGAGCTGGATCCCTCCAATATTGACATGGCCGAAGCTCAAGCCTGTCTTTCGGAGCTCTCTCGTAGCTTGGATATGTCTGGTGCTTCTGATCATAAATCCGGTGCAGCTAATGCTTGGTCAAGCATCATTCCTCATTCTGATCGGTGCCTTCATCCAGCCGGCTGAGGCGCCTCTCGCGACAGTGATCGAGCGCGAGTTTTTTTTGCTGTTCTTCCTTTGCGTCACCTGGGCGTACAGCTGCATTGCAGTGGCGATTGCGCACGCCGTTCGAGATGTCAAGCTCGCGGCAAGCGAGGTACCAAATCCGGTCGCCATTTTTCAAGCCGAATATCTCGAGACCAAACCGGCCATTGTCTGTGCCTTTTTCCTTGCTTTCGGCTCAGCCATCCTACTGTGGATCAAGATCCACTTCGGCCCTTCGCCATTTCTCTTCGCAACTGTCCTGTCATGCATCTTGCTCAACATCATGTTGACGTACGCGCCGCTTTTTCCATACGCGTACTACTCGCTCGGAAAGCAGGTCGTGGTACCTCTGACAGTCAAGGTGGGTGTGACGATCCTCATATCCTTTGTCTTCTTTCCTAAGAGCAACAACGCTCTGTTCGTCGAGCGCATTGTCGCAGTCCTTAAACCTATGGCCTCAGTCATGACTCAACAACAAGAACTGCTGAAGAAAAGCCCGCTCGAGGAAGACTTTGACTTCTACCTCGTCCCCAATCTACTTAATACGGCAGAGGCGGGACTAATGCCTCTGCAGATGGCCTCTCGCCTTTTGACGCGCGAGCTAAGCTTCGGTCATGCCAATGGATCGGACCTAAAGCAGCTCGAGATCCTCACACGCAAGATGATCCCTTCTTGCGACGGAATGGCATACTATTACGCCATGGTCAGGCAAGACTTGGAGCACTCGCACTTCCCACGTACCCCAGCGGCGAGCGTCGTTGGTACACCCCGTTCCTCGAGGCCAAGCACACCGGCCCCGTCACGTCCACCGTCTCCCACTCGTGATGCGCTGAACGAGACGACCTCGTCGAATGCAGTCGCAGATGGACGATTCGCAAACATGTCGCGTGGGCATATGGCTTTAGGCTCCCGAATGTCAAATGGCTCCATGAAAGGAGATGGGCGACCGACAGCAGGTCTTCATCATCATTCACTGCTGCACAACGTTTTTCACCATCACTCGAAGGTTCCTTCAACATCAGGATCGGGCCGTCGGAGTACCATCTTTCACCACCCTCAACGCGAAGAGCAAGCCCCTGTGGGCACTTGGGAAAGTTTGCGATATGCAGAGGTGGAGACGCACTTACATCCAGCAGGAAACGATGTCTTCACTGAAAATCTGAGTATGTACGCATCACGAGAATAAATCCGGTTCAGAGCTCGTTGACATCTTCGCCTGTTAACAGTGCGGCTACTCGGAGAATGTTCGCAAGATTTGTTAGCGGCCAACAATGACGCTTTACAGCTGCTGATCAAGTGGCTCGAAGATTTGAATCACAGCCGTCTTAGCGACCTAGTGGATCGCTTCTTCAGACCGAGACGATGTCTTCACAAGAGTCAAACATCGGCTCAAGGCTTCGCCGATGCCGTTTCTGACCTTGAACGCCATTTGGAAAAGTTCCGCGTTGCGACGCGCTTTGGTATTCTTGAGCCATTCAAGACCCCTGGGGACGATTTGCTGTCCAGCGCCGTGCCTTATCGCTACCTCTACCAGGCCTTTGTCCACCAATTCCACCACATGGAAACGACGGAGCACATACTTCAGATCCTTCGCGAGGTCAACCGTATCTGTGATGCAAGAGCGATGCCCAGGTTCTGGGCTCCGAATCTCCCCAAATTGTGGTCCTTCGAGGCCTGGCTGGACTTTGGCGAGGGGGACCAACACGCAGATCCGACAGAAGGGGCTAGTGAAATTCTTGGAGCTCCTTCATCCATCATCGAGCTGGGTGTTTCCAAGCCACGTGATCCGGACGCCTTGGCACCAAGCACTGCAGCGCAAGCGGTCTATCGCAGTCTTTTTGACTTTCTCAGTACGCTTTTCCAAGGCAATATGCTCTTTGCTCTAAAGGCCGCTGTCATGACAGGCATCATCGCCCTACCTACCTATCTCAAGAGCAGTGCCGAGTGAGTTTGAGTGGCGCCGACTCGTGCTCAGCGGATCTGAACTGATAGATCCGATGTCCTCAGATTCTGCTATGTGAAGTGAGGAGGGAATTCGCTGCTCGGCTTATGTTTCCGGGAACGTTGACGCCTCCTTTTCTGCAGCCGTGCGATCTGGAGCATATTCATGGCGCAGTTGGTCCGTCACAGCTCCGAGCTCACTTCGCGGAGCAAGCCTTGCTGACATCTCCATTTCTCTTGCAGACGCTCTCGCGATTCAAGGGGGACACGGTCTTTGGCCTGGTATCACGAATCATCGCCACTGTTTTGGGGTGCATCTGCGGGGTGCTCATCTGGTACATTGGAGATGGCCATGGGAAGGGAAACCCTTATGCATTGTGCGCCGTCTCGGCTGTTGGGTTCATCTTAATCTTCAGCTTCCGCCTCTACTATCCGGCCCCTCCTATAACGTTGATTATCACTGGAGGTGAGAATGCAAGTGCCAACCAACCCTATTGCAATGGTTTGCTGAATATGGGACTCTATCTCTGGCTCCTTGGTTGCAGTCACTGCCGCGTTAGTGATAGGGTACAGCTGGCAAGGCGCGCATGACCCAACATATGGCAATATTGGGTATGGAATCGCCGTAATGTGGCGTCGGTTGGTTGGCGTAATCATTGGCGTGACGATAGCAGCCATAGTGTCACTCCTGCCGCCGACCTCGACACTTCGGCAGCATCAGCGCATGAGCCATGCACGGACCATTGCAGAGATCGCCAACCTGCACTGCCAGGCGATCTCATACGCAGCGTGGCAAGAGGAGGGTAAGCCGACGGGAATGACCAAGGCTCTGATCGCACTGAGGGGGAAGTTACGGCGACTGAACGTCGCGAGCGCCAACATCACTTATGAGTGGAGTCTTCGAGGAACATGGCCCAAACAGAGGTATCAAGCTCTGTTCGAAGTGCAGATGGAGATTTCGAAGCTGTTGAGTCATCTGGTCTCAGTTCTCAAGAAGCTCCCTGAGCCCTGGGCCAAGGCACTCCTACGGAGGACCCGCCTTTCAGACCCGCTTTTCATCGGCGACGTCGTCGCAGTCCTCATCATGTGCTCGACCGCACTGCAATCCGGGATGCCTTTGCCGCAGATCACGCCTTGTCCGCTGCTGGACCGCTTTTTGCTGCTCAAGCCAGGATTCGCCATCACACAAGACGACGACGAAGACAACCTCGGCTTGCCGACTCACGTGACATTCGCGACTGTTTGCGATCCTGCGTATCTCAACTTTGCTGTCGGCGCCTCTACAGCCGCAGGGCTCATCATTCGACTGGACAAGCTGATGCTCGTCGTCAAGGAACTGGTAGGCGAGGCCTACCCCGTGCCAGCGGACTTACACGCACGTAATGCGGTGTTTGATCGATACAGGCACGTCAACAACCATTGATACATCGTGTTCATTATCAGTTAGCTTCTACGATGGCGACGGTGCATATCGTTTATAATGTACAAGGGTGTCCGAGGACACCGGGCTGACTCTGCAGTAATATCAGTTTTGCTCATCATCGCTCGTTCTCCTGACAGAGACGTGGGCAGAAGGTGGACACATTGTCAGGACCACGCGCCTTTGCCACCTGCAGCTGAGTCTAGGAAGAGCCGGATCCGTTCCTCCTTTTCGAACGCAGCTGAGCCTTCAAAGCGCATGAACTCGGAAGGCCGGCGCAGCTCAAAGGTGCTGAAGTCGGCTGGGATGCGCCCGCCGCCGCCGCCCTGATAATCTCCCATTACGCTCGCGAAACCATTAACAGCGCTGCCATCAGCTACAGAGAACTCTCCCATGATGCGGTCGATGAGTGGTCCGAGATTTGCGGCGTGCGCTCTGATCGTTGGCGAGTCGCCCTGGCGCAGGCTGGAGAGGAACGAGCTCTCCCACTGCGGTGGCTTGGCCCAGCCAAACGCCTGTCGCACAGCCTCGACAAGCTCGTGCCCGAACGAGAGAGGCAGATCCCGGTCGGTGCGTTCGGTCCACACATCTTTCACCTCCCTTGGCCAGCCGCCAGCGGCACTGTGGGCGCCAGATATGCCATTAGACGGTATGGTCGATGAGGAGGAGAAGGCGAAGGGGACAAAAGAGGAGAAGCGCGAGCGATGAGCGGCGCTCGTCGCGTTTGGCATGGCAGAGCCTTGCGCCGTTTGCCAGGCCAGTTGAAGCTTGACGAATGTGCCAGCGCCCCATGCTCGCACTGCGTCCTGCGCGCTGCACTCGCCCCTTGTGACGGTGCCGCTCTGTCCTGCGACATTCATGATGTTGGCGCTATCGCAGAGCTCTTGGATAAAGTAGCGCAACTTCGACCCAATTACCTCGACGGGTCGCAGGCTGAATTTGGGCGTGTCGTAGCGCAAGTACCGCACGCCCTTGCTGATGTCCTCTGGAGACAGACACTGCAGATGTCGGGCGCGCGAGAGGGAGCGCGGCGCGACGCGTCGCCACGTCGCGAGTAGGTCGCTGCTGTGCACATCCTCATCGACACCACGACAAAGCACTGCTGGGAACCCGAGCTTCTTGAGCTCGTCTTCACTCATGCATGCCAGTCGCTCCGGCTCGATAGCGCAGCCACTCTTCTGGAGGTGATCGAAAAGCATGGCCATACACGCCTTTTGAGATTTTGCGAACGTCTCTTCAGCTTCTATGCACGCTTCGATGTACGAGCCGGGCATGATGGCGCCGGCTCGAAGCGCGTAGAACTGCGGAAAGGGGACCGAGACACCCGTCAAGGGCGAGCGCGGGTCGATGCCGATCACGTGCAGCTTCTCAAGGCGTTGGCGTATACCTGGGAGGATGTATGCGGGTCCTGTCTGCCGTTGCTTTGCAGGGAAACTCTCTCCAGAGCGAGTGCGCATCGAATGCGAGGATGCCTTCTCTTCCAACACGCTCACCTCCTCAGCTGCGCCGCCAAAGCTCTTGACGAGCATATCCAGACTCTCGTCGTCACCATTGTGGACCAGCGTGAGCTCTCGGGGGCACAGCTCGCGTGCGCTGAAGCAACCACTGAACGCCTGTAGCTCCATCCCACCGAGAGAGAGGCGCTGCACGTTGGGCACATGCTCAAGCATGTGACAAAGCCGGTGTCCGTGGCGCACGGGTAGCTGACGCACTTTCTGCACCAGATGCCACGGCGCGTTGTACACGAGCTGCAGGATCAGCGAGAGGTGCGAGGCGATGCGCTCGCGCAGCGTGTCCAGCTCGTCGGTGAGCATGAGGATGTTGCCTCGTTGCTGCTGGCCCCCTTGGGTGCGGGGCGCAGGGAAGAGGTCTGGCGCCTCGTCCGCGTCGTCTTGGTCCTGCAGCCGAGCATCCGACGGGAGCGGCGTCGGTTCCGGAATGGTACATGGGTCCAGGTCGATGAGAAGATTTTCGATATATTGAGACAGTGGCTTCTCTGTTGGATAAGAGAGATACTTGTACCGTCGCTGGGTACTATCTGCCGCATCAAGCTGTTGGGTCTCGCTTGGCCGTTCGGGGTAAAGCGGCTCGATACCTTGATACCGCGAGGCGTCATTACGACGAGGACCACAGTCAATGCTGCTCCAGCGTTCCTTTGGGTTGATGGTACATCCAAATTGCTGCATCAGCACCGCCCGGGTTGCAGCATCGTTGCCCAGCTGCAGTTGCGCCTCGACCTCGGTGGCTCGGACTGTAAGGGCGTCGGCGAACGCGGTTGGGAGGGCCCATTCGTCGCACACGAGGCGCGTGACATTATGCAGCTGAAGCAACAGCCAGAAGGACGCTAATGACGCCTCGGACGTCAAGACGACCGTCTTGAAGCGCGCCGGTGCGGTGAGGGCGCAGACGGCGTGTGAGACGTAGGCAAGCGTGTGAGGGATGCGTGGATCGAGGTCGCAGGCGAGAAGAAGGATGTCATGCAGAATCTCCGGCGGGAGGATGGGAGGTCGAATGCGCCGCGTTACAGAATCATTCGGGATCCCAGAATCCAAGTCGGGCTCGACGCCGACTACATCATGATGGTCTCGCTTGCCTGTCGGTAGCAGGTCGCATGAGGCATCACGGCTTGCTGGCCGGTGGTCATCGCTCTGCATGGTTCAGCCGACCGCTGTCGCACTTTCCCGCAAGCTGCATCGCTGGTCGCTGCGTGGCCCCTGCAGTCGTGCAGCGCAGATGCAACAGAGCAACCATCTCCTGTCCGATGCAGCTCGCAGGTCGCCACTCGCGCGGGCAGGAGGGGTGGTGCCAGATACGCTCGAAGTTCAAACTCGTTGTCCCCATGGCATCTCCACTTACAGGCCAGCTTATACAGATTTTAGGATGAGTCTCACAACCCTAATTTGGGGGGAGAGAATTGTGCTTTTTTTTCTTTCTCATATAGCTCTGCTTGCACGGGCCACTGCACTTCACTGGGTTTCAGATCACGCGGCCCGGGGTGGCACATGCATGATGGATCATGTTTCATCAGCACAGCCACGGAAATGACACGGAATTTGAGCACAGCCCGCACGCTGCCCTAAAGGAACAAAGCCTTGCCCGCTGGCAGCGCTGAGTCAGTGATGCCACAGCGCGCACAAGCCACACGGACCATCATCTCTCTCCCCACAATGCTGCGCTTCGCTACGCTACAAGCACAGACGGCCAACGGCACAGCCTACAACCCACACACACACACACACACCTCGCAACCTCTAACTGGGGAAGACGCTCATAAAGCACAAGCACGGGGTGGGCGGTGAATCAGCACATCCCTCCTCCCCGATCGCACGTCCCCCCTCCTCTTTCCCTTCAAGCACAACGTGCAAGATGACGATGCTCCTCTCGCGTCCACGCCTCGCAGTCCTGTTGGCCATCCTCGCAGTCGTGGCCCTTAGCTCGCTGCAACAGGCAGCTGCGTTTGGTGCCGGAAACATCCCCTCGTGGGCGTACTTGGAAGGCAAGGCCTTTCGCCATGGTGACCTCGAGGATGTCCTCGCAGAGATTGCCAAAAAGTCTGGCGGACTGCTGGGACGTGGCAGCAAGTTCACCGGCCTTGACATCAAGCGGGTCTACTTTGGCAACTGGCTCAGAGACTAGTAAGCGCGCGAGCGTCCGTTCTACATCTCTTCGTCGTTGCATAGCGCGCTGACGTTCACCTCGCCGATTTCGCTCTAGCTCGCAAGCGATGGATGTCGGTGCGCTCGAGAAGCTTTCCAAGCAGACCATCCTCAACATCGTCATGGTTCTAGGTAAGGTCACCTTGCTCTCAATCTGCGCCTCGGAAGCCCTTTCCTAATAGGATTTGCTCTCTGCTTTCAGGCTTCCTCGCTTTTGGTTACGTCACCGAAGAATTCGAAGTCACCGATGAGCGGCTGTCCGTCTACTCGACGCAAGAGCACATCGATAATCCCAAAGGCTATGCAGAAGGCAAAGACGCCCGACAATTCGACTCGCGCCTTCGCGGGCCTTGCGATCCTCGTGAGCTGGAGATCGATCCGCGCAGTGGCATGAAGAACTACATTGCCAACGAGACCGGAACCTGGGATACCACCAGTGCTGTCGTTAAAAAGACGCTTATCCGCACCATCGAGATGGGTCGCCGGGCCAGGAGAAGCGGGAGCAACGAAGAGCTCTTCGAGGCTTACCGCCTCCTGGGGCAAGCATTGCACACCTTGGAAGATTTTGCCGCACATTCAAGTAAGTTTATCCCTTTCTCGCATGCACCCGCGCCCGAGCTCAACTTTTGTTTGGCTCCCTCGGCAGACTTCTGCGAGCTGGCGCTCTATAAGCTCGGACACAGGGATGTGTTCTTGCACGTTGGGGACAATGTCCGTGTCCAGAGTCCTATGGGGCCGATTGCACCGCTCGTGACTGGCACGTTCGGCTCGAGCGATTTCATGCATTCTCTGCTCGGCGAGGCATCCGACAAGCTCTCAAGCGCATCTATCTCCGACCTTTCTGACAAGGTGTCGAATGCGAAAGCCCAACGCTCGCGCAGCGAAGGCGGAGATGCGGTTGGGAATCTGATATCCGTGCTTGGCAAGGTGCCTGGTGGTCTGGGCGGCGACAATGGCGCCAGCGTCAGCCGCGACATCGAGAGCGTCTCTCGTGGCCCATCGCAAGACCCTTCGCAGCTGAGTCCGCAGGAGATGTACAAGAACCTGTGGCGCATTCTCTCCCTGCGCGATCGCATAATGAAGAGCATCGAGGCAACCATCGACCGCATTCCCGTTCTCAACTCGCTCGTCGAGACGATAAGCAACGCGGTCAACGTATTTATCTACAGCATGCTCGAGCCGTTCGTCACGCCGCTTGTCCAGCAAGCGTTGGGCGGCCTGCACGCCGGCAGCTCGGCTATCATTGACAACGAGGATCAGTACGAAGTGTTCGACAACCCCAACGCGTCGGATCCGACGCACAGCATGCTCTCGAAGGACCACTTTGGGCTTATCCTCAACGAGGTTGCCGGTAACGTCGCGCAGATCACCACGCGGGCCGCCGCCAAGCTCGTGGTTAAGGCGTGGGACGACGACAGCATGGATGCGACGCACTCGGCGGACACGTGCCTTGCGTCCATGTTCCACCCGTTCTACCTCAACCCGCAGAACATGGCACCCGTGCAGAGGGAGATCATGGACTACATGGAGTGCTGGGCGCGCGAGCATCCAAACGAAATCAGGCGCCTTGACAAGCACAATGTGCGCAACCACACCAATACGCGTTCGGGCAAGGCAGAGGCGCACTCACACGGCGGCGGCAGCGGTGGTGGTCATCACAACAACAATAATAATCAGAGTAGCATCCCCGGCGGTGCAGGCGGTGGCTTTGGACACATGATGGCCGGGCAGGCGCAAAACTACCTTGGTGGCAAGCTGCAGCAGGCGACATCGGGCTTCATCCCGCCGCAGGCTGCCAGCTTCCTCGGACGCAGGGATCTGGATGAACGCGCGATGGGGCGCAGCGAAGGTTTCGGCGGCAACAGCAGCGAAGGAGGCGGGGCGCATGGCTATGGCGGCTACGGTGGCACCGAGGGTAGCGGCAGCGGTGCGCCTGGCTTCCCGCAAGAGCAGCCGCACTATGCCCCGCCGCCTCAAGGCCCGCCGCCGAGGGAGATGCCGTCGTACTCTTCGCCGGGCTACCCACCGCTGCCACAGCCACAGTACGGCGGCATGCCTGACCAGGCATACCCCGGATACCCGCAACCAGGCAACTTCCACCAGCAGCCTCCCCCACCTGGTCCGCCGCACGCCGGTGGCGGCCCAGAATATGGGGGTCAGCAGCAGCATGGGTATGGAAGCGGCGGCGGATATGGAGGCGGGTATGGCGGAGGGTATTGATAGGCGTCTATGCGTCCAACTGTGGGCGTTTTGGAATGTCATACAAGCAAGGCGTTGGAGCCTATAGCAGTGCTGCAACTATGTATGTATGTATGTATGTATGTATGTATGTAGATGGATGACATGGGTCTCCGCAGGCCCTCGGCAATTAGAACTTTCAACATTTCTGCCATGAAGTTTTTGTTTGTTCGGAGGTTTCTTTCGCTACGAGCAAGAATGCTCACTTGACCGACAGCCTCCCGTTCACATATGCATACATACAATATACACATAAGTGCATGTAAACCAGTACCTGCCAATCCGGTATTCTAGTACCTCATCAGCTTTCCAAGCCTTTGTTCACCATTGCGCGACTCGCTGGCGGCTGTTGGCCGTTCGAATGGGGGAGCTGCCAAAGACTACCAACGAGCAATCATCAAAGGCAGGAAGTCCCATCTCAACGCCTATCTCTCAGGGCCCAAAACGCCCAAGGTAGAAAGGATCATTGCTCACGCTCATCAACCAAACGATCAAGCATGGCCGCTTGATCCCAGAGGCAGACCTCTCAGGCCCTCTCCAGGTTCCTGCAGACATTAGTGCAGGGGCTAGCGACCAGCGCTGACACCGTGACCCGTACAACAAGTGATTGATATCGAAATGCAAGCATATGCTTGTACCATGTACGAATACTGCGATGGATTCCAGAGGGTTGTGATTTGCCCTCATTCGTGCTCTGCTTTGTGCTGCCAGAGGAGAAGTGCAGAGAGAAGCCACAGCTAAATTCAACGCTCACTCAGGCACCAAAAGCTCCTGTTCCGCGCTTTGTGCCACTGCTGCAGCTGCAAAAGCTCACAACTGATCTCTGAGCCGATCGGCCCTCGGGCGAAGTTGCGCTTCGGTCACCGGATGATGGATGAATTTTTTCGGTGTGTTGGGGAAACGGCTTTTGCGGTTCCCGCTTTGCCTAGATTCATTGGAATCCTTTTGTTCTCGGGGCCCATGCAAAGTCGCAGGTCGCAAAGTCTACAGCTGCGTTTAGCGCTGCGGCCTCATCCGCTTTGGAGCACGCTGGACACTGATGGCCGTCGGACAGCATTGCTGGGTTTGTCATTGAAATGTACTGCAGACGTCGGACATCCATATATATATATATCTAGGAGCATATAGGTGGCATACAGGTCGCATCTCAAAGCTTGTTCGTATCCTACCACACCTAATCAGGCCTGATTCCCAAGGTGCAGCTCGAAGAACCGGCGAAAGTCGCGCCCGTTTGTGCCTTCACGCCGCCACCATGCCTTCGTATCCACTCGATTTTCCTAGCGTATCGACAATCTCGCGTCTAGCGACGCAGCCATACCCGGCATACCCACATGGCATCTTCGTATCGCGACAAGTCTTCGAGCTTTCCATGTCAGCATGGACGCCCGTTGCCATCGGTGCCCTGTACCTGCTCATGTCCAAAACGGCCAACAGTCGCCTCAAGCGTCGCATCGCACAGAATAAACGCGGTGAAGCCCCTCCACCCAAGGACTACATCAAGGGTAGCAAGATCCTGAGCAACCTGGTGCTCGCGCACAATGCTGCCCTTGCCGTCTTCTCGGCATGGGCGTTCTGGGGTACATTCACTCGTGTCGTCCCTTACTTTTGGCATGGCGCCACCCAGGGAGGACTCCAAGGCCTTGGCAACGCGTATTGCACTGTGCCAACGCATGATCCTACCGGACTCGGCGGTATTCTCTGGTGGTTCTACATCAGTGAGTTTCCTGTATACCCATGATGTCGGTTCTCCTGTCTTCTGACAGCATACTTTGCGATATCCTCTTGCTATAGGCAAATACTACGAGATCTTCGATAGCATCATTCTCATCCTGAAGGGTAAGAAGGTCTCAAATCTCCAGAGCTACCACCACGCTGGCGCTATCGCTGCCATGTGGTCAGGCGTTCGTTATTCAGCAAGGTGTGTCATCGAACAATAACGAGCCTATCTATGGCCCTTTAAAACTGATCGACTCCACCCTACGCAGCGCAATTTTCATCTTCTCGATGTTCAACGGCGCCATCCACAGTGAGCCTGGTTTTCAGCTGTCAAAATGGTACTCGCACCGGTGCTGACCACCGCATCATGCGCTATCTTTGTAGCGCTTATGTACAGCTACTACACGCTGTCCACACTCCGCCTTCCCTTTGCAAGTGCCCTGAAGAAGAGCATGACAACAGCGCAGATCACGCAGCTGGTCGTCGGCTGCTTCATCGCCTCGCTGTCCCTCTTCGTGAGCTACTCTCCCACCGCCTACCCATCTGGGGCACTCCCATCGATCGGTGATCTGGAGGGCATACTGTCCAGCCGATCCTACCAAAATTTGCGCGAAGTGTTGAAGAGCGAGACTGTTACAGCGGCGCTGGGAGATACCAATTCCTTCACCGCACAGATGCGCAACTACCTCCTCACCCTCGGCACTGTGAGCGCAAGCGGAAGCAGCAATACGTCGACCCATGCCTCGCACTCTTCCTCCACTGCGGTCCCTGCGACGACGCCTTCAATTCTTCTTCGCGACGGCTTGCTGTATGCTGCGACCCACAATGAGGCAGGAACTGTCAGCTGTTGCGCTTCGACAGGCCAGGCTTTCGCCGTGCTGCTCAACGTCGTATACCTGCTTCCGCTCATCCTGCTATTCGTGCGCTTCTACCTCAGGAGCTACAGAGTCAAGCAGGTTGGTGAGCATGAGGGCGGTCCTGCCATCAAGGCCAACTTGAAGACCAAAAAGTCGCAGTGAAGCGAGCCATTGTGACGGGGCGATCTGCGGCGCACACTCTCTCAACGACCGTCCATGCCAACTCATCCAGCCGCACCAATACATTTACCATATTCGGATTTAGCCATGCTTTTTTTGTTTAACCACACAGCGTGTACTTGTAACATACTTTGTATCAAGACCTTCCAGCTCGCAATCAGGCCATTGCACACACCTATATATACGCCAATTGGGCCCAGCCCGCATGACGGAGATTCGCGTCGGGAGCAAGGCGACAAAGAGCTCTAGTTGAATAGCCAAGGACAAACCGGCAATGGCATCTGGCGACACTGCCATGTGCGAAGCAGCGAACCCGATGGGTGGATTTGAATGCGAGCCTCTTTGATTGCCAGCCACCAGCGTGCAGATCAGTGAGTTGGGGACACGTCGATAGATGGCCAACGACTCATAGACCATGTTGCACCGATTAACACTGGTGGATTGCGTGGAACCCCAAACCTTTGGGGGCCTGCGGCCTAAGCGGTGGCAATCAAATGAAGGTGCTTCCAGCCAGGCAAAGGAGAGATGATGAGAACCTGGGTCATGGAGGCATTCATCCATCGGTCTGTTCAGCTTTCTTCCATTTGTGCCAGTTGCCATTTCGCTCCAGTAGCTTATGGACCATTATCAAGCATCGGCAATGACGTTCAAAGTGACTGTAGTCAAGCGCACGAGCAAAAAGCCTACTGGTCGGCAGAGCACCTCATCTGTCTTCCCGTTGACGCTCGAGCTGCCAACCGATTCGCCCACGGTTGCCGATCTCAAAGCTGCGATCAATGACAAGGTCGGCTACCTATCTCCCTCTCGCCAGCGTTTGACAAATTCGGACAACAAACCGCTTCTGGACGATGACAAGCAGCTTAACTCTGGGGGAGTTGTGCCCGGCGATACTATCCAACTGAAAGACCTCGGTCCTCAGATCGCATGGAAGACAGTATTCTTAACCGAATACTTTGGGCCGCTCTTCATCCATCCTCTCATATATCTCTATGGACCAGCCATTTACGGGAAGAACTTCCAACACTCCAAGATGCAACAATACGTGCTCGTCATGGTGCTTGCTCACTATGCCAAGCGAGAGTTGGAAACTCTCTTCGTCCACCGCTTTTCGAATGCGACGATGCCGATGTTCAACATTTTCAAGAACTCCTTCCACTACTGGGTCCTCTCTGGGCTCCTCCTTGCTGGTGGTGTGTACGGTCCCTGGTCATCGGCAAGTGCAGTGAAGGGCACGATTCAGGCACAAGACGGATTCTTGAATGCCTGCGTAGGCGTATGGGCCATCGCAGAATTGTGCAACCTCCGCTGCCACATGATGCTCAGCAACCTTCGACCCAAGGGCACAAAGCAGCGCAAGATCCCAAGGGGTTTTGCTTTCGAGCTCGTTAGCTGCCCGAACTACTTGTTCGAGGTGCGTCCCGTTTTTCATGCTCCGGTCATAGATACAACTGGCTTACACCTGATGAACCAATCTGTTTCTTTTCAACAGAGCATTGCTTGGGCAGCGGTCACAGTCATGACGCTGAACCCGGCAGCACTGATTTTCTCCGCCGTGTCAGTGGGCCAAATGCTCATTTGGGCGCTCAAGAAGCACCGCAACTACCGCAAGGAGTTCAAGGACTACCCACGGGGGAGGAAGTCTATGTTCCCTTTCATCCTCTAAAACGCGAGGGCGTGATTCATCGCAAAAATGAGTTCTCACGTCATCAATGTATGCTACAGGAAACAACCTTCTATACACCGGCATGCAAACCCACCGGAAACATCAATCCCTATCCAGAAGCTGCGCGAGGTCATGTGCACGCGGCCGCATACTTGCGCTGAGCGCCGTACATCGCTCCACTCCCTCTACGGTAAGCTGAACGCTGTGCCTTGTGGCTGTGCCCGCCGCGGACGAGTCGATGAGCTCAGCTGCGATGGGAAGTCGCGTCCAAATGGCTTCTGCAGCCGAGCGACGGAAAGGCATGCGCGATAACGGCGGTTGGAAACTTTGCGCTTCCTGAAGAAATGGTGAAGCAAGTCGCCAGCATTTAGTCAGCTGACTGCGCCTCTACTGACGAGAAGGGGCATACTGGAGTACTGACTGGCCAATCCGCTATCTGTTCAGGCAATCCTTTAAGCTGAAATATACTCGCTGCGAGTGGAATCTCGCCCATGAAATCTAAATGAAACAGATTCTTACGCTTGAAACTGACGCGTGGCTTGTCGACCTCTGAGCTGAAGCTTGGCGACTGGCCGATTTTGTCGAGTTCCAACGTGTCCTCTGAACCTTTCGGCGAGTCCGGAACACGACCAAACGGGGATTTGAAGTCGGGCGAATCCCTTGAGCTTCGCCAGCTGGGGTCTGCTTCATCATCGGAAATGGACGCTGAGTCGCCTCCTGCGTCTTCCCCACTGGCGTGGGCCACGACACCAACGAAGGCGGTGAAGAACATGGATACGATGCAGCCAGCGCCCCAAATGTCTACCTTGGTCGCATCATAGCCATCCTTTGGTGCAAAGAGCAGCTCGGGCGCCCGAAATACGGTTGTGCCTAGCTGCGCGGTCATGCTCCGGCGTGAGGACGCTGATGTTGAGTCGTCAGGGGACGCATTTGCATGGAGGTATTGCGTTGATGGCCGAGAAGTAGACGAAGTAGCGCACCCGGATAGATTTTCGGCTGTGCCAAAGTCGATCAGCTTGAGATTGTACTCGTTGCAAAATGAAGGAGACGAGGAAGAAGACTTGCGTGCGAGGACAATGTTTGATGGCTTGATATCACGATGAGCTACGCGCGCCTCGTCGTGGAGGTATGCAAGTGCAGAGAAGAGCTGGTGCGATAAGCTTTGCGCCTGATTGACGTACTGGGCGAGGGTACGAGGCTGATCGTTGCCTGCGCCTGACTGCGGCGAAGCAGACAGCGGAGGAAGGCGAGCTGCGGCTCGCAGCGATGAAGGCAATGTGGAAGAGTCATTCAAAACGTCATCCAGCGTCCACTCAAACCATGGCATTAGCAGGGACACGGTAGTGGTCATGAAATCCACCTCTTCCTCCACGGCCGCCAGCAAGGTCGGTATCTGTAATTCCAAACAGCCGTCATCTTTCGTCAATTCTCACGTGCATTCCCATGCCTAAGCATCGATCACCGGAGCCATCAACGCACCCATGCCGACTTCATACGTCTCAAAAAAGCAACCTCCTTCTTGACATCATGCGGTCGTGGCTGGTCCTCAAGTGTAACTCTCTTGATACAGGCACATTCGTTGCCGCTTTCGCTTGCTGCCAGCAGCACGGTGTGGTTGGGCCAATATCGGTAAACGCAAGAGGACCTACCGTCGGCTTTGTGGACGATTCGGCGACCGCCTGGCGCTTGAAATGTCGAAGCGGGCTCGGCTGCGGAAGGGATGAGCGGCTGCCGCGGCCCTGGTGTGTATTCAGGATGCTGATACAAGATGATCATCGTGAGATGCTGCTGCCTGCGGGACCTTTCTCAGGGCCTCAAGAAAGTCACACTCCAGGCCACGCGTTGGGCAGTCTGGTTTCCCGAGGCTAGACAGGGTTGCCTGTTGAGGGCCTGTATGCGAGCGTAACTTGGAAATCATGGTTAGGACTTGGCTGCTGATTTCGTGACATGTCGCGTCGCGACCTCTTTATGCTTTGACTCGGGCTCCAGGCCCACCTTCACACTTTGATTATATAATTACCTCGTTTTTGGCGTCGTTCTCGCTGCTCGTGCCACTCTGTCGTCATCGCTCGACTTTCCGCTCATCCTCGTATTCCATCCAATAGTTTTCCTCTTCTCGGGCCTCTCCCAGCCTTTCATGTAGACGCCTATCCTCCCAATCTCAGGCTCCAGGTGTCCCAGTAACAGGTTCCTACGTAAAGTAAGATACATCTCTTCAGCATATGAATGTGGGGTAAACTTCCCATATTCTGCTCGTTCCCATGGAACTTTGCCGCAGGTCTAGGTGATCTGCCGAGAGTGCCAACTGGGCCAGCCCTTCAGCCGCCATTCCGTGCTGTGATTCTTCATCCAAACTTCCGCTTTGACTTGCGTGCACTTTGCAGATTACTCATCAACTTGAACTCCCCGCAACTCAAACCCTTTTTGGCCACCTCCAGTCTAGTGCAAAGGCCTGCCGACGCGTCGCGCGACGTGGATCGCGCAGTGCTGGAGCCCGTACTGCAATAAGGAAACGATGCTCCAAGACACTCCTCGATCCTTCTCTCCCTTTGTCAGGTGTTCGGAGTGCGGAGACGCAGCGCTTGCAAACAGACCGCGCGTCGTGCACGACCTTCTGCTCCCAGACGCCGCTCGCACTCTCTTTTTACAATGCTCCCTGTATGCCAATACGAGCAAACGACTGAACCTCTTTGCAATTCCCATTCTCCAGCTTGGTTCGTTCTTCCCTACTTCCACATTGATATTGCCACTCGAGCTGTGCCTCGGAGAACTTTAGCACGCCCTGCCTCTATGACATCGCGCCCCCCTATTAGTAACCATGTTCTACAACGTCGATATACTCACGCGCCGCAAGTCAGGCTTGGGTATTGTATGGTGAGCCCTCGATTTGAAGTCGTCCATGCTGCAACGAAACCGTTCTCCCCTGAATCTGGCTCTGCGCGTACAGGCTCGCTGCTACCCTAGGCAACCGCAGTGTATTCAGAAAGCTCAACAAAAAGGAAGTGGCAAATGTCGACATTGAGAGAGCATGGTAGGGCCAAAATACACATGTACGAGGGGTGGCACCGTTGAAACTTCCTTGCGCCTTGCAGCCAGACTGTCATCTCCCCCGCAGAGCCGATGGCGCTCCGCCTCTCCAGCCAGTTGATGCACGGAATCGTGCGCGTCTACGTACAGCAGGTGCGCGCATACATATCTCAGCGTTCGCACCATGGCTGACACAAGCGCACTTTCACGCTTGGGAGAATGAGCTGTGGATGGCAGACGTGACGAATGCACATGCTGCTGTTCGCAAAGTTCTGGTCACAGGGCACAGTGACGGGACAGCAGGATCGACGGCGGCCATTGATTTGCCCGCTGGACAACGACGTGCGCGTAAGGATCAGATCACCTTGCCAGAGGACCATAGCCGCTTGCAGCCGCAGTACTATGGCCGTTTCGACTTTGACATGATGGCTTGGGAATTCGCGACGGCGGAAGAGGAAAGCATTTACGGTGACTTTGAGCCGGACCGAGCTTCTCGTGGTGAGTTTCTCCCAACCGCAAGCTGCAGACACGAGCTGAATGCACCATATCTGCATACAGCCACGTCTGTGGTTTCTCATCGCCACACTGTCGACCTTTCAAAGATCACGCTCCCCTCAGCCGAGTTACTCCTTGAAGATGCCACGGATCGGGAGCTTGATTACCACGGTCCAGCAGGCGTCGGTCTTGGCATCGACTTCGGCGGCAATGATGGCGAGCAACATCTCGATTTGGGCTTGCATGACCAACATGACGACCGCGACCGTAGCATGAATGATGGGCTCCCGCCTCTGGACGACTATGTTCCGCCCTTGGTCGAGACCCGTCCGCCATCTTATCGCGACCGTCTTAGCGATCTAGGCGGTTCTTTTCGTGGCGCCGGCCTCATGATTAATGAGGGCCTAGGCATCAGCTCCAGTGATGTCGGGCTCGGGTGGAATGTACCACGACAGAGCAGCCTACCGCCGTTTGGGGACGACATGCCGCATGATGTCAGCCTTCCCGACGCTCACGTGTAGGTTCGAGCCACTGGGGCGTCCTGCACTACGCTGCTGACGGTTTAATGTCGCACCACTTTGCCCGACTCCTTGCAGCGCCACATTCTCTCAAGCTCAAGAAATGGAGGACCGGGCTGCGATAGAAGCTAGCATGAATTCCCTAGAGCGTGAAGTCCTAATGGATGCCAAAGCACAGGTGGAGCAGGGAAAGAATAAGGATAGAAGCGGTGCAGGGCAAAAGAAGAAGCGTGTCAGCTTTGTCAATGAAGACCCGCGGATCGAGCTCACGGATGCTGAAATGCGCAACGCGAGAGAGCATTACAAGAGACGTATGATACAAGAACAAGCTGCTCTTGACATCAAGAAGATCGAAAAGGCTGCACAGAAGGAGGCGAACGCTTTGCTCAACTTCCTTCCCCCCACGTGTAAGCGACCTTTTTAGGTGTCGAGACGCAGCGTATATGCTAACTATCCTGTAATGGCACAGTCATGCCTAACTCTGCCGTGGCCGACCTCTGGGAATCGACAGTGGGCACTGCCGCTACAAAGATTGGTGAGTCAATGATCACCTTGGTGACCCTTTATCATGTGTATCACGCTCAAGCTTCGCTGTGATCTCGCAGATGAGGAGAACAAGGAGTGGAGGCTCACCCTCGCCACCTTGCCAGAGGAGGACCGAGTTAGGGAGCGCCAAAAGGGTGAAGCACATGGCATGCCTGGGACATACGGTGAGGGTCAAACTAGTTTCTACAACGATAACGACGAGCTGCCCCCCTTGGAAGACATGCCTGATTTTCTACCAAACGGTGAGTATAGTCTTGCGTCACATCGCTTTGAATTATGGTTAGCAGCTCAGAGAAAATGCATCTTCTCTCGGACCGTTCACAGACGGACCTGGGCCATACCTCGGTCCCTCCGATAGCGTGAGTGACGATCGTATGGGGTTCAGATTATCTGTAGATCGGCTGATCCATTATGGTCTCCAAAAAGTTCTCGGGCAGCGGCGAGATAGGACGTGGTATTACAAGCGGCAGTGATCGCGTGCAGATGCCTTGGAACATTCAAGACGACGAACTGCCATTCAATGGAACGCAAGAGGATCCGACCGCAACCTTTCAGTCCTTCTCTATGGCAGGAACGCCGACTGGCATGCCGTAAGTGCATAAAATGCTAAGAACGACGCGGCACGATTCATTGACCGCGCATCTCGTTTGACTTTGACAGAAACAGGGCATTCCCGCGAGAGAGCTCTCTGTCTCAGCTATCAGCCGGACCAGACAGCACCTTGCTGCGTACAGGACGCGGCTCCATTCTCGGCACTCGCCCAGGTCAGCAAGAAGGTCTCGTGATCGACGAGGAAGAAGCTGCCTTGCTGGGCGGCACTCCCGGCGTCGGCGCGGGACAGACGTCGCAGCTGCCGCTGGTGGAGCTGCGCCGCGAAACGGAGAACTTCTTCACGTACACGAAGCGCATCGCCGCTAGCTTGCCGCACAATCAAGCTCTATTTTTCTCCGATGTTGTGCCCGTCGCGGACAACATGCCAACGGTGGCGGCTCAGGCTTTCTATCAGATGCTCACACTTGTCACCAATAGACGCCTGCTCGTCAAGCAGGAGGAGGCGTATGGCGAGATCGCAATCGACTTTGTTCAAACCCCCTTCATTATGCAAGAGCCGGGTGCCAGCCTCACTGCTTGATTTCAAGCGATGCACCGCCTTCTGTCAGCCTGAATATTCATGCACTCGCAAATCTTTGTTCGCAATCAGCCCGTTTCGCTCGCTCGCACGCATTGTATTGTCCCTATAATATGAAAGGAACGGTTGTCCCTGCTGCGCGATGCAGCGCTCTAAGAAAGATCCGGTTCTTCCTGCATACCTTTTCGTACACCTCTCAAAAGACTCGCTTGCCAGCCCTGGACCCTCTTGGTGCGGTCGAAGTCTTGGATGACCTGGTCCAGGCCGGGCAGGTCACCGGCTTCACACGCCTCCAGCAGGCTATTAAGGAAGCGACCCTCCATGGTCGGCGGGAAGCTAGAATCCTGCTGCGCGTAGTAGCCCATCGCTTTGCCGCATGCAACGTAATCCTGGTGGTGAACAAAGTGTGAACAGTCACTATCGGACTTTCGCTTACACTCAACGAGGCTTCGGTATTTGGCTCATCTGACTCACTGGGATGGCAAGGTAACACATGCCTGCATTTAGATAGTAGTCTTTGACGCTGTACCTTGTCAAGTTGGATTCAAGGCTCATAGCTGCGACCTTTTCCCAGAATTCGATGGCATCTGGATATCGCTTGAGCTCGCACGCGAGCTGCGCAGCTTCCCGATAGCATCCCGATCCCGTGCTATCCGAATCCACAAGGGCTGGCCATCAGCACCGAACAACACAGACAAAAGAAGTACCGATATCCTAAGGTTAGTACTCACGCCGCTGCACCTTCTTGAACGTACCACTCTGCTGCTTTTATGTATGCTGTAAGCGCCTTTTCCGGGTCTTGCGCATCTGACTTGAGCAGCTCGGCGATGGACTTTTGACGATCTGCTGCCTGTCTGAAGCGTCCCTTTTCAACCAGTAGCTGTACTGTCCGTTCCAATGCTACGACCGCGACTGTGGTCAGTTACCACAGAGATATTTGATTCAGCTAGCTGTTCATAACGATAGCAATCGGCATGCGCTCACGCTCAGGCCGGACCATCTTGAAGCACTTGCTCGCTTCAAAGTACGTGTTCGCGGCATAGTCGGTCTCGTTGTTCTTGATCTCTGTTTCCGCAGCTTTCATAAAAGCATGGCCTGCATCCTCGAATCGATTGTCAAGCCGGAACTTGTTTCCTGCTCCCTTGTACAGCTCGGCGGCTTCTTCGAGCTTCGACTGCGCGTTGCTGAACCAACCGCCTGAGGAGCTGGCCTTCTTGTCGGCCGCTCTGAGCATATCGTCGGCGCTGGACATGTTGGGCAATGTCGATCGCGAAAGGCTCGATGAGTCTTTCAAATCTTGCTCGCTGTCGACTGTATGCCTAACGTAGGAGGTTGAGGAAAGTTAGGAATGCTCTATGCTTGTATCAAACCCCATGTGAGAGACCCAAAAGGCTCGTACAGTTGGCAGCTCGACGAGGTCGAAAGGTGATGACGCTGTCGAGGGAAACGGGGGGCGGAATCAAATCAACACACAGCTGCAGCGCCGCTTCTCTGGCATGCACTTATGGCGGGCGGATTGTGTGCACCTACCCAGTTCTAGTCTCACTTTGCAAGCTTGCAACTGGGGTTGCATGATGCAGCCCCATTGACCGCACCGCCTTGGAGAGAATTCGTCTGTGGGCAGATTTGGTCGCTAATCAAGGTCGGGCAGGTGGAAATTTTGGCCTACTCGACGCGAAGCACCTGCAATCGGCGGCGAGAATCAGCAGTCAAGATGCGGTCCTCGGGCCCGTCGCAAAGCAGCTTCCTGATGAGGGCCCAAGTCTTCGTGCGTGCGACTGACGACATGACAGAATCTCACGGTGCTGATGAAAGCTGACATTTGAGCTTGGTGAAATTGCAACCGCAGCCGGTCGCCTTCGCTAGCATATACCTACTGTTTTTGCTTTCCATGCTAAGCCCATCTCTGCAAGCTCACTTTCTCTTCTTGCACAAGATGCAAGTTCCCTTCAGGCCCGATTTTGACAACCCTGTTCGCTACGGAATCGCACCGTACAAGACTCGCAATCTGCGCCTGACAACCTCGGACAGGGTCCAAATCGGGGCTTGGCACGTTCTTCCCGACCAGTACATGAAGGAACACCGGGGCCCTTTCGATGAAGCACACTACGACAAGGCTCTGCAAAAATACCCGACGGTTGTCTACTTACACGGCAACGCTGCGAACCGCGCTGCCCCCTTCCGAACGGCTACTTACTCACTCATCACCAGCCGCTTGGGCGCGAACGTGGTTGCTATTGATTACCGTGGCTTTGGAGACAGCGAAGGCTCCCCATCAGAGGAAGGTCTCGTCCGTGACGCCAGAGCCGCATGGGACTGGGTCCTCGAGAAACGAGCCGGTAAGAGCTTCAGGAAAAGCAGCGAGAAAGGTGCTGGCATGATCGTCATGGGCCAGAGCCTCGGTACAGGCGTAGCTGCCAAATTGTCCCTGGATCTCACCCAAGGAGGGACACCGCCTCAAGGTGTCGTCCTCATCGCGCCGTACTCTTCCATTCGCGGCCTCATCACCAGCTACCGTATAGGTGGTATCTTTCCAGTCTTTGCGCCACTATCGACGATTCCCTTTGCGAATAGTGACTAGGTCTGATCCGATATCTGGAAACCAAGATAAGTATCGCTGATTGGGATCTGTTCCATTTCCCAGAATTCCTTGACCGCGTGCTCTACACCCATTTCAACACCTCAGCCGTGCTGCCTATATTATTATCCGCCACGCGGAAAGACCCGCCTACGACGTTCCCGCGAGTCGTCGTCGACCATGCCACAAATGATGAGGTGATCCCATACTCACACTCGGAACAGCTCTTCGACGAACTCATCGCGCTCGAGCTTGGCTCAGACTTACCTCTACACCCGTACGGTTCGAACAGAAAGATTCCAAAGACGGGTGACTTGCAATCCGTCTCGGACAAGCTGAAAGCGTATCACACGCGGGTACAAGCTGCGAGGGCAAGCAAGGTGAAGAAGAGGACCATCGAAGGCTTTGGCACGGTCGAAACCATGGTTATGTCGCACGGAGGCGCTACAGCTGGCGCGAGCGACTCAGCGGAGGACGCACCGACCGTCACGCTAATTCGCACACATCACGGTGGGCACAACAGAGTCGGCGAGGGTGTCATAGACTTGGCAGGAGAGCTCATTGGCATCATCGACTCCTCCGCATCCACCGCCTCCGCTGCACGATGAGAGCTGCCGCGCACGAATGACGTCCGTTAGCCGCACTACTCAACTCGCGCATTGCCGGGAATAGTGGATAAATCTGTGTATTCCTAGGCGAATGAGCGGGATATGTATACGATACACCGGGATCCGAGAACCGTCGTTCCATGCTTGAGAGGCCGGCATTGAGGCCCGCTCATACCAAGCCCGATGGCCGAAAACAAGTCTAAGCTTGTTATCATTTGGATACGAAAAAGAAAAGAGAAGGAAGGCGGAATGAAAGGTCTTATCACCTTTCCAGCTTACAAGGATAGTGAGAGAAGGAAACGAAGAAGTGAATGTATCTCGGGCAGGTTGCCCGTGTAAAAGGGGTTTGAGAAGGTACTGTTGGAGTAACTGGTGGCGCATTGAAGTCGGTATGTTAACATATCGATGCTCCGGCCCAAGGCTTCGGAGAGCTGGGCCCGAGCACGACGAAATTCTTTAGCGAAAGATCGGCGCGCCGCACTGGGGAACTGAAGGCGAACCTGACGAGGGCGACAATGCTGACGATGTCGGTGACGCTGTGATGGTGACGCGGTTAACCATGAGGTACGTTGCTGCTCAGACTACTGTGCCGCGCTTGACGAGCTTGATCATGCCTTCGGCCTCGTCACGCTTGATTCCTTGGCTCAGTCCAACACCCACGAAGCCAAAGTCCTCCGTTGGCACCTGTTCCTCAGCGTCGTCCGCCTCTCGCTTCTTCCACGAAGGACTAGGCCCGCCTCCCCAAAAGCCATAGTCTGAAGCCGGAGCAGCGGGCTGCGTAGTTTTTCTCTCTCCCGCCTTGTGCTCGACCTTCTTCTTGTCACTGCCCTTTGACTTATGCGCCCCCTTGTGATGATGGTGCGCCTTGGTCTTCTTCTTGGCCGACTTTGGCTCAGGGCTAGGATCGCGCTTCCAAGCTGGTGACGGACCGCTGCCTACGAAAGTTTGGCCGGCTGGTGGGGCGCCGTGGTCAGGACCAATCTCTGTGGCGGACTTGCTAGGAGCAGCGATGACAGACGCAGCGCCGAGCATCAACACAAGACAGGCGGCGAGTACGAGCGTCAGGTGAGGGGCGGCCTTCATCTTGAGCGAGGACTCTGGGATGTTTGTGAGAAAGCTAATCCGATTCAGGCTTGGAGTGATGATGATGAACGAGCGGACTGAGTGATGCGAGAAAGAAAGCTGTTTCGAAGACATAGAGGAGTCGTCAATAAGAAAAGCACAACTAATAGAGACACTCCATCACAAACGGTATACGCCTTACTCACCCTGTCAAGCTCGCAAACACTGTGAAGGGTCCCCGATGTGCAAGCAGAATGATGCTTACCCTTGAAAGGAACACAGTTTGAAAGCCGCTGAGTAGTGATGAAGTGTATATGTAGCCGCGCGATGGGTAGACGATGCCGAGGACGAAGTCGTGTGTATCACCGGTCATGCAAAAGTGAAGGTGATCGATGGTGGATGGTTCGATGGTGAGATCAACTTGAACGGACGGACGATCCAGGAGAGCACCTGGTGCTGAAGGCGGGAACGGGGGAGGGGGAGGGGGCGATGAAGGGGCTATCCAGCAAGGCGACGCTCTTTAGATGTTACGCCGAGTGTTTGTCCCTGAAGGCTGAAACCACACAGTGGCCATAAGCCACAGTTGTCGCTGTAGTGTCACTGTCTCCGCTTCGTCAGCTACGGGATTGTCTGTGGTATAAGCGGCAGTTGCTGTTGTCTATCACTGTTTGCCATCAATACTTGCTGCTTGGCAACTGGTGCAGACAGACTGGGGTCAGGTGTTTTCAACGAACAATCGAAAGTCGATCAGGCTGCCGCAAGAATTTCTGCGCATCAGTGTATGTATTTGCGGGGACACTGTGGCCGGTGGCGGCGAACATGGAAAACGACGAGCAACTTGAAAAGAAGAACGAACGGCGCTGTGTGGGACTGTCGACATTCGACGACGTACAGGAAGTCAGCGTCGAAGCGGCCGTCTTGCTTTCGAATGTTCCGGCACTGGGCAGCCCGATAGGCGTGGCGATGTCAGTGAAAAGGACAGTCGTCGCTGCGGAGAGTCTTCATTGACTCTCATCAAGATGGATTCATCCCCGCCATAGACTTGCAGGCTACATTGGCACAGAGAGCCGCAATCTGGTAAACAGGACGTCCAAAAGTGTCCAGCTCGAGGGCATATCGCCTCGGATTTGCTTCTCTTGGCTGCTGTTTCAGAACAAGGACCAGGTCTGCAAGGACACAGGCGAGATACTTTGTATCGTATGTATCATGCGGTCAAAGGGGGAGGGGGACGAGGGAGGGAGGAGAGGATGTGGCTTGCAACCCTTGACCCTGCACGCAAGTTTTCGCTGTGTGGCGAGAGTTGGCAGACTACGAGCCGCGAGCTGACCGTCTACATTTCGAGAGAAGCATAACGGAGCTACCCCAGGGGGAAGCAGCAACAGTGAAGCAGTCCACCATGCACAGTTCTGGCGAGAGTCAGAGTGATCAAGGGGGCACTCCTTTATTAGCGAGCAAGAGGCTGCAAGGAGGCGCGCACCACGGGGACAATTGCGATGCTCGTGTTGTTTCCAAGACCGCGCCCAGGAACGCGCCCCGCGTCCAGCTGTTGCACCGAATCCTAGAACAACTCGACGCGTCCTCTCCTCAACAGCTGGATTTACAAGTGGCACAATGGGTACAAGCGTAACACCGCTCAGACGCGTCAAGCCTATCGGCTGTATCGGACGGACACAACGTCACCACTTCGCTATTTGCAGCCTGCTGATGGTGTTCATGCCCACCACGGTTACGACGTAGCCAGCTTAGGAAGCTTATCGGACCCCTCGTACAAATTGGCCTCTCTCAACGGGTCGACATCGCGGCACGGAATCTGTACGCAAGGGCAAGCACATTGCTCTGCTCGGTTGCTGGGCAATCTTCTTGTATCAAGCCAAGATGAGTAAAATGGCGGGCGTCGGCCCAGGGCAACGAGGTGGGCCATCCAGCAAGAACAGCAAAGAGGCGGACCCGATTCTGCTGTCTCTCTTTGCAAATCGCTTCATTTCTGTTGCGGAGGCTATGGGGCGCTCGCTGCAACAGACCAGCATCTCCACCAACATCAAGGAGCGCCTCGATTTCTCTTGCGCTCTCTTCTCGCCGGACGGATCGCTCGTGGCCAATGCGCCGCACTTACCCGTCCACTTGGGAAGCATGAGCTTCGCCGTGCGCTACCAGATTGCACACCTTGCCCAAGCGAACGGAGGTGATGGGATCCAGCGCGGCGATGTCATCCTCGCAAATCACCCGGCAGCCGGGGGAAGCCATTTGCCAGACATGACTTGCATAACGCCTGTCTTTGCAGAGGATCGAGATGAGGTTATCTTCTTCACTGCCTCCCGCGGTCACCATGCCGACATTGGTGGGATCCTTCCGGGCTCTATGCCGCCCACGAGCAAGACGCTGTACGAAGAAGGCGCCCAGATCAAGTCCTTCAAAATAGTCAGTCAGGGCGAGTATGATCGCCACGGGCTCATAAAGCATATGCTCGAAGATCCGAGCAAGTACCCCGGCTGCTCAGGAAGTCGCTGTATTCGCGATGTAGAGAGCGATCTTCAGGCACAAATCGCGGCGAACCAAAAGGGTATCAACCTCATCCAGATGCTCGTCGAGGAGTGGGGGTTAGGGACGGTGCAGGAGGTGCGCATGCCTTGTTCCCAATGCAGGCCGGGCTCACTGCTGATTATGACCATTCTACTTTCGACGACGTATCCAGTACATGCTTCACATACGCAACAATGCCGAACTAGCGGTTCGGAACCTGCTGCGCGACGTGTCAAAGCGCCAAGGCACGAATTCGCTGCATGCCATTGAATATATGGACGACGGGACGCCCATCGAATTGCGGGTGACGATTGATCCTTCAGCAGGCTCGGCCATCTTTGACTTTGAAGGCACGGGTCCAGAAGTGCAGGGGAACTGGAATTGCCCCAAAAGCGTCTCGCATTCTGCCATCATCTACTGCTTGCGAAGTATGGTCAGCATGGACATTCCACTCAACCAGGGGTGCCTAACGCCGATCGAAGTCCGCATCCCAAAGGGGAGCCTGTTGGATCCAAGCGATAGCGCGGCAGTTGTCGGAGGCAATGTGCTCACTAGTCAAAGGATCACGGATGTCGTGCTCAAGGCTTTCAAAGCCGTCGCAGCGAGTCAAGGTTGTACGAACAAGTGAGTGTGCCGACCCCTAGGGAGGTTCGAGCATTTTACGTGACAAGACGCAAACTGACATCATATCTTTGTGCGGTGTAAAGCTTGACTTTTGGCCTCGGAGGCCGCGACAAAGATGGAAACCACGTCGAGGGCTTTGGCTACTACGAGACCATCGCTGGTGGATCCGGTGCTGGGCCCTCTTGGCACGGGACAAGCGGCGTGCACACACACATGACAAACACTCGCATCACGTGAGTTCTACGCCTTTTTCATTGCATTATTTTCGCAATGAAGCACTCACCTTCTTTACAACCTTCAAACGAACCGCACAGTGACCCAGAAATCATGGAACGGCGCTACCCTGTGATGATCCGGCAATTCTCCTTGCGCACCGGGTCAGGCGGCGATGGGCTGTATAGAGGCGGCGATGGTGTGATCCGTGAGATTGAGTTCCACTCTCCGTCGATCCAGGTGTCAATTCTGTCTGAGCGGCGCGTCTATCGGCCCTTCGGCTTAGAAGGCGGCGAGGACGCCAAGACTGGTCTGAATCTGTGGGTCAAGCAGCGGAGAGAGGAGGATGGTGACTTGCTTGATGATGACGAGGATCGAGACGATGACGGCGTCGGCGTCGACGCCAGCGCCAGCGCCGGAGATGGCGGGCAAAGCGATGGAACAGCGAAGAGGCGCAAGCAGGAGAAGGTCATGGATGAGAACGGTAAAGTCCGCCAGCCACCGCGCATCATCAATCTAGGCGCCAAGACGACCGCACGCATGGGCCGAGGTGACCGGATCATCATTCACACTCCCGGCGGCGGGGGTTGGGGCAAGAAAAGCGAGCGACAGCAAGCAAGTCCAAGTACATTTGATAGAAATGCCGGAGACAAGAAGGGCGCAGAAGTCGAGAAAGAAGAATTCGAGCGGGGCAAAGCGATGAGTGGACGCACAGCGTCACTCGATCGCGCGCATTTCGAGAACGGGCTACATACGACACATAGCAAAGGAAGCATGATGGAATGGGAGGCTGCCCAGCTTGGCGCATGATCGTGTGATATCTTATTGCGCCCACTCCACATTGCTATTATAGACAAATGTCCTCTTTTGCTGATGCTGGCTATTGTACATGAGCTGCTATGAATGCGGACCGTGTGATCAAAGCTGAGAAAGGAAAGGCGCAGGCAGGCCAACTATCACTTGCCCTTTCTCCCGCCCTTCTTGCTACCGCCCTTGCCTCCCTGCGACCCGGTACTGTGTCCAACAAGCGCAGCAGTCCCCCTCCCTTGGCTCGCGTACTTGACCGCCTTGCGCGTGTTAACGAGGCCCTTGTCTCCACCGGCTTTCTGCGCGCGCTCCATCTTGCCAAGCAAGCCAAGCTGCACACTGCGCTCGGCGGATGTGTTAACTTCGTTTGGCTCAAACTTGCGCTTCAGGCTCTTGGTCTTGAACGTCTTGCTTTCGTTCGGCAGCGCGCGGTCGAAGCGGCCCATTGACGCTGTCGAGCGCTTCGACCGCAGGAGGTCGCCCTCGAGCTGAGCCTTTTTGACCTCGCGGGCTGCTGCGCGGTCCGAGACCGTCGCGCTGTTGCTGGGTGTAGCAGAAGAGGCAGCAGCACGCTGCAAGTTCTTAAGACGCTTTCCTTCGTTCGCCGCCTTTCGTTCTTTGAGAACTTTCTTGGCTGCCGCGCTAGGGTTGTAGCCGTCCTCTATCGTGGAGAGAATTGAGGCGAGATGGATCAGATACGGATATTCCAGGAACAAAAACGGCAACGGTGGTGACGTACCAGCATTGGAAGGCATGACATGCAGCCACTGATTCTCCTCGTCCTTGTTCGCGCCTTCGAAACCCCATCTAGGCACCCAATCCTTGCGCTCATCATCCCATACCATCTTGTCCTTCTTGCGATGCTGGATGCCTTTCGCCTTCGCAAACTTCTCCCACTTGGTCAGAGGCTTGCTTTCTGTCTTTGGCAGCGGCTTTTCTCGTGGTTCACAGATGCGCGACGAAGGCTGGATGGGCGGCAACGTCGCCAACGGCCCGACATCTGCGTGCTTGGTGAAGGGCAGGGAGAAGATGCTATTGAGCAAGTGCTGGGTGGAGTTCCGCGCTCGTTCGAGGAGGTACGCATCGCGTGCTGCTGCTGATGATGAAGAGGACAGCTTGGAGGCGTCGAGCTGATTCGGGTCGACGGACAGCATGAAACCGACGTCGAGCTGCAGAGGCGTGGAGCCTTGCTTGACCTCGATTGAAACCGACGACGGCCCCGCCGCCGCGGACGTGGACCCGGCAGACATGCTTGCGCTAATTGAACCAGAGGTTGACAATGCTTCTCGACAAGAAATTGTCCTGCTCTTTGGATTAAAGCAATCAATACGGCGGTAAGACCTCGGCGCCAACCTTCGCGATGTCCAAACCACAAAGGAGAGTCTTCCTCGAAGCAAGCTCATCGCCCTCGCCGTTCGGGTGTCCACAATTTTTTCGTGCAGTTGGCTGCCGACACGGAAAGACGGAACCCGGGACTTGTTGATCCTGATGCTCCTCTCTGAAATGGGGAGTAGGGTTACACCTTATGCCAATCCTAGATGCAAATGCTTTTCCTGCAGCCACTGACGAAGCCAAACCGGCTTGGCGTTTCTCGCCCATCACGAGGCAAAAAACCCTAACATGTCCGGCGTTGCATCTCCACAATTAGCCAAATTTCTCAATCATCGAGAGTCCGGCGTAGCGCACGTGCTGTGTGGTGGCTGGACCCTGCCCATGGAGAAAACTGGAGCGGCATTTGTCATCGCTGCGTCATCGGGGCTGGATGTGTCCCGCCAGGACGTCGAAGGGAGAGGTGCAAGCATAGGGAGCAACCGCCATCCTCAACCCTGCATCTATCCTTATACATACGATATGGCAGTGGAGTAGCATTGTATTGCAGCAAGCAGGCGTCTCCCTTTTGCGAATAGTGGCCGTACATCTTATTTCCATCCTTGCATCTATCTCCACTTGAAGCCCTTGTCATCCTGGACGCCATTGACGACTGTGTCCTGCTCAGCAGCACCCTTTCACCGCGATCATCTGCTCTACCCATGGGAATCTCAAGCGAGCAGCAGTCATGTCCCAAATCAAAGGTTCCGATACATGTGGTGCACCACCCGCAGCACACATCCAGGCTGCAGCCACCGCCAATGGCTATTCAGAGCCTGTCGCTGCGCCACCACTGCAAGCCGCGCTCCTGGCCATCGATCCTCTACCCGCACCCGCAGATGCAAGTGCAGGAAGCGATCCTACAGCACCCGCAGCGGGACATGATGTCACCAGCACCGGACAGATTCAGGTCAAAGCCGGCCCGATGCTCAAATACGACACAACGGTGGACGGCGTGTACCACGCGTTCGCCATGATCGTCACCGACGATGCTGCGTCCGACTATTCGTCTCTACCCACCCTGGCTCTGTCCGCACCCACGCTCAGCGGTAGCAAAATGGTGGTGCAAGGAAAGGAGATCTGGCACTACAAAGGTCAGGGCGGCCCGCACACTTTTTGGCGGTTCGAATACAATATTCCCCTTGCCGACGGTCTCATCGAGACACCCGTGACGTACCAGATCTCGCCAGGGAAAGTGCAAGCAAAGAATGACCAGAAGCCGGACAGCGTGGACGCAACCAAGGAGTACACCTTTATCGTGCCTGGGAAGGAGATGAACTTCAGGTGGGCTGGACATAGCTGCAATGGCTTCAGCTCGAGTATTAATGCCGAAGAGTGGAATGGAGCCAATCCACTATGGGACGATCTGCTTAAGCATCATGAGCAGCAAAGGTTCCATATGCTTAACGGAGGAGGAGACCAGAGTTAGTATCGGGTCATGCAACCCTTGATGGTGTATGCTCTCGACTCTGTTCCTAAACTTATATTCAACTTTCATCTCTTCTTGTCCAGTCTACTGCGACAAGCTGACAAAAGAGCCGGAGCTGTATGCGTGGACAACGTGCAAGAACCCACAACAGCGCAGCAAGATGCCCATGACACCAGAGATCGACGCCGGGATCGAGCGCTTCTTTTTTACGTGGTACTGTGAATGGTTTGGCTCGGGATCGTTCAGCAAGGCAATCGCGCAGATCCCCATGATGAACATGCTCGACGACCACGATCTTATTGACGGGTTTGGAACATACGATGACGATTGGATGTTGAGCGATGTGAGGCATTGCTCTCTTTCATCTTAGTTTAGCCATTCTTAACTTTGACTTATGACTTTTGCTAGATTTTCAACGCCATTGGTGCCAAAGGGTACTTTTACTACTTGCTTTTCCAACAATTCATCGTCGACGAAGTGGACGGCTTGTCCGAGTCCTCGCACCCGAACAAGTCCATTATTTTTGGCGAGCACTCTGGACCGTACTTGAAGAATATCCGCAATCACAGCTTCCTCAGCTACCTTGGTCCGAGCCAATGGATCCTCATGGTCGACTGTCGCTCTGAGCGCAAGATTGACCAGATCGTCAGCCGCGCGACATACAACAAGGTGCTCAAGCGCGTGCACACGCTGCCACATGGCGTGGAGCACCTGATCATCCTACTGGGTGTGCCGCTCGCGTACCCGCGCATGGTATTTCTGGAAAAGACGCTCGCGTCGTCGTTCAACCCGTTGATCTTGCTCGCCAAGGGCATCTCGCCGAGTTTCACGAACAACTTCAACGGCCAGGCCGAACTGCTTGACGACCTCGGCGATCATTGGTGCGCCGGTCCGCATAAGCACGAGAGGAACTGGCTCGTGGAACGCATACAGGAGGTGGCGTGCGAAAAGCGGTTGCGCGTCAGCTTTATCAGTGGTGATGTTCACGCGGCTGGTGAGTGAGAGATGGCAAGCATACGCACTGGTACCAGCTCCGTCTGTATGCGTGCTGACAACATTTTCACCTTTCCTTTTTCATTACGCGAAATCCATCAGGTGTCGGAGTTTTCTTTGGTGCGTATCACTGAGAGCGTTGTATCCTCTGAAATGATGGCTCGCGCTTACATGTTCCAGCCGATCACGTAGGCTACCACCAGCACAACCCGTCTACGGATCCCAAGTACATGCTCGCTGTGATCACCAGTGCGATTGTAAATGCCCCACCTCCGCTAGCGGTCATCAACATGCTCAACCGCCTAGCTAGAAAAAAGCACAGAAGCTTGTTCTACCGAGGCACAAAGGAGGCAATGGTTCCGCTCTTTGACAAGGACGTCAATGGGAATAATCAGAACAACAAGTTGTGAGTGTGCGCAGTCCGCAGCGCTTGGCGTACTCTCTGTGAAGCATCCTGACATGCAACGCTTCTGCTACTCCAGCATCATGGGTAACCGCAACTGGTGCGCCGTATCGTACGACCCCTCATCGTCCGAGCTGGAGTTCGACATTCGTGTCGAGCAAGGCAAAGGCCGTGGTGTGACCAAGTCGTACGCCGTGCGGTCGCCGCCTCCGCGATGGGAGGCGAAGCGTGAGCACCTGTCGATGCTCCACATGAAGGACTTCGAGAGCAGGATTCACCATGTCAAGGAGGGCTTTAAGAGCAATAAGTCCGATAAGGCTCATGATGTCCCTTCGCCCGGTGCTGCTGCAACTTGAACGCCTGCAACGCTTCCCCCTTCACGGCTGTTTCGATCAATGTACCGAAGATGTTGAGCTTACACCTTCCCTTCGATCTGCATGATACCCCGATCCACCGCGAGCCTTCTTAATGACGCTGTGATATCTACCATCAAATCTGTATTCATAACATCGATCTCTTATCGACTCTTTCCTGCTCAATCCCAGCTTGCTAACGATGACATTATATGCACTGACCACCCAAAGGGAAGATCTCGTCAGGTGAGGTGGCTGCTTCGAAAAGTGGCACCAAACTCATCTGCAGCCTCCAAAGATACACGGTGAAGACAGATGCAATTCGTTAATAAATGTCGTCGCATTTCATTATGCGCGTGACGACGTGAATAGAACATGGAGCTTGATCACAGGTATGATGCGCGGGGTTTGTGATTGCGGGGCCTCTTTGCGCCTTTGATGGGAAACGAATTACGAGCGGGAATGGATGGCCTTAATTTTTAATCAATCCCTTTATTGAGCTGCACATTCACCGCCAGCGCTGGAGCCGCCTGGACGCAAGTGGACGCCTGAATCCTTTCAAATGCTCTCCAGTGTTCGCCCTGGACTGTCCAATCTCCAGCAGCTCTCCTTAGCTAAAAATAGCCAACCACGATCCAAGATGGCTCCATTCGCTGGCCGCCATGGGAGATCCTCGAATCGCCGAGTGAACCTGTGGGGGACACGGCGCTAGTAGATACTCGAGTGCGTTTCGATACTAGTGAGACGTTTCATGGTCTGTCGAGGTTCGTGGGCTAGGTGCCGAGTGCAGCCCAAACAACAAGTTGGTTTGTGCCATGTCTAATGCCGTGCACTTTTTCATCCAGTTCACCCGCAGCAATAATCCCCTTCAATGCTCCGATAGGTAAGGGCCAGCAAGCCGCAAGGGACAAGAAAAGAGGATGACCATTGAACAGACTGTACACTGTACAAGGATATGCTCGATGAATAGAATGAGTTAATGCATGCGCTGGTGTGCATTGTCGATAACAGTCTATTGCCTGACTGGGTATGTGGTTGCCGATCGATCACTGACCAACTAGACCGTCGCCGACTGCTTGTACATATGGTAACCTCACTGCGCACTGACACAGCTCCCAGCTTGCTGGCGCCGGGACTTTGACTATTACCCCAGATTCCAGAGCACTTCTGGCGCTGAGTCTGAAGGAAAACTCATTGACCTGGTGGCCTTTCCTCGCATGCCACAAGCACCAATCAAATCGAAGAAATGATCCGCGGAGCTGCGAAGGAGACCATTTCTCATCCTATGTATGCCTGTACAAATTGTATATACGAGTACAGATTCTACACAGTATATAGCACACGGGTATATGTGAATATCATTACGAGCAGTTTGGACAGACTTGGACTCTATGGAGCTTGTTTTTTGCTGCTTGCTGCTCGTAAAGAAGCTCTTCAGAGAGCTTGGGGGCTGGGTTCTGTAGCGCTGGTTCTCCAGTTCACCCAGTCTCATCAGTGCAGACAACCTACCCTTGTCTTGAAAGTCTTCGACTCTCGAGTTCACATATTAGAAAGTCCAAACGTGCACGCCATAAACACATTGCTCCGTCAAGACTTCCAGAGGCACCGCCACACCCCTGAGATGTGATTGCACTTGAAGAGCACGGCGCCCGTTTTCAATTTGATGTTTATAGCCTCCAACGGCTTTGCGTGTCCAATCGATGTGCGCTGTTCACAATTATGACCTTCTGGCTTCTATCACTCTTGCTGCCTACATATATGCTTGGATGTATGAGTGTGTAGAAACGAGTTTGCTTTTACAGAAGGAAACTTCTCGTTATTGGGTCATTGCTTCAACGGGCTTCAGCTGGATTGCAATGCTCTCTCCTGTTTCACCGTGGTCGACGCTCGATGTACGGTCTATTGTCAATACACCAGCCTAGAAACGTAGAACGGCTCTATTTGCAGCCTACTTCAACACTGTAAACGAGATTTGTCCAGAGCTGCTTCCAAACTCTTCACTCTTATACATACGAAAGTAGTAGTGTTTACGTCTTGGGAGAACGTATGGACAAGTAGCATGCATCTGTCACGTACTCATAAGTACGACAGTGTACGGCATGTGCTCAACGGTCAATGCCTACCTGTGAGCATAGAAACTGCCGCACATACATCTTCGGCTGCGGTTAAGCGGTGATTCACACTCTTGCCACGGTGTCTGTTAAGTGGTTTGTGGCGGCAACGTATGGACGTCACATCCAGTGCTCACCCGCTGCTTAGGCGCTCAAAGATCGCAGCCGGAGTCTAGATACAAAGATACAAGAGGAAACAAAAATTTAACTTAAGCTGGTGTCCATGAACATTCGGCGAGATTCATCACTTATCTTTGAACCTCGTACAATAAATTGCAATCACAGGCTTCCCTGCTGAACATAGACGATCGATGATAAGCCGGACACGGCCAGGTCACAGCCTAGCCTTCCTTTCGGCAAGAAAAGCTGCAGATGGTACACACTTGGCCGGCGCTTTTGCTAACGACTTCAATTACGGTTGCTGCAGCAGCAGCGTTGGCGCTCACCAGCATGGGCGTTATCTCCACCATGTTCACGTAGTTCGGAAAGAGAATATCAGTGCACGCTGCGGACCGAGCGCAAAGCACGCGGACTTGGATCAAGATTGCTAGGCGAGGTGTCCTTCGCGGGTGCTAAGGTGCCTTCATTGGCCGCATTGAGGAGCCTAGATGGAGTATTCAACTCATATTCATCATCCTTTGGTGTTCTAGCGTCCTTATTTGGCGCAATCGGACCCCTACCCATTCAACCCCGCTTGGTAAGTGCCGTGGGAAGAGCAGAGCAAATTGCAAGCTGTGGGTTTTATGCTGGCCCCAACGTCCCGAAGTTATCTTTCCTGTGCTAATATTTGCCTTTGTTGACAGTGCCACTACATCTTTGGCCCTGTCGGTAAAGACGGGCTCGGGAAGCCTGCAAACGCTAGTAATCACATGTGCTTGCCGGACGATGCGGTTTGCTTGGACGCTGCTATTGCACTGGCATTTGGCGCTCTGGGTGCCGAAGCCGAGGGAACGGGCGGCGGGCGGAATACGGGTCATTCAATTGGCTGAACGACCAAAGTGCGGGAGTCTTGTCCTTTTGGACTTGCTGGTGAGGGCAGAGAGGAAGCTGCTCGAAGCTGCTCAAGCGGGCGTGTCCATGATAAAGACACCATCTCATCTCATTCACACACAGCAGCAAGGGCTTCGACCTTTGCTTTTTAGGCAACCGCTTTGGCATGGGCCGGGGCATCGCTTAGGGGCCCGAGAGATCTGCACAAGTATGCGGCGACGTGTTGACCTTGCCGCGCTCGGCGACGGATTCGAGCACCGCCGCTGCGTACAAGGTCACTGGGGTCACGTGGCGAGCCTCAACACCGTGACGGAGTTCGTACCCATTGCTGCTGCTGCGCCAAAGGCGCCCGCGACGAACGCATAGTGACCCTTTCTAATCTACTCACATTCGTTCTGTCTGACCAACCCGACCTTCAGCCTTCCAACTTTTACACACCTCAGTCACGCAATTAAACGCCATAGGGATTGCGCAGAGTAAAGCATGGTTCACACAATGTACCTTAGATTGTGATACGCTCTACATAGCAGATACTACCATACGCTGCCATGAACGCAATAGAAAGGAGCTTATCGAAATCATCATACATGTAACTCGCAAGACTTGATAATGCTGAAATTCGAAAGCAAATGCCTCGTCATTGAATTGCACACCAAACCTGGGGTGATGATCTGCATGCGCCCCCAACCCCGAACATGATTAGCACATGCTCGGCGCCAGCATATGTATGTGTTTGGTATTGGGCATCGTGAATTGGCGCATATTAATTATTGCGCCTACAGCCCTCTCGTTTTGGAAGCTCGGACTACCCATGCAAACAAACACTAACCCTAGAGCCAAGCGCACCAAGGCCGACCCATAAAGCTGCGTCCTGCGCCCACGGACCACTGGTAGTTGCCGTCAGAGGAAGAGTTGCACAGCTCTGGCTCCACTCCATTGCTCGCCGAGCGCCCGCCCGCAAACGAGCGACAGCAGTATGAAAGCCATGATGACATGTCAATGTAGTCAAATAGTCAAACTGCAGCCGACGTACGCATGCTGAAACATGGTCGAGTTCCAAACGTCCTATGCAATCATCAATGCTCTGTAGAGCCCTGTTGGTCCCATTGGGCGGCATCGATGCGTGCATGCTGACCACCTTCGAGGAGCAAACGTATCGAGCTTGAGCAGCCGGGGTCAAGGCCCGCCTTTCGCCACCTGCAAGGTCCGCCAGCGACTGAGGGAATTGACCCTTTCTCACTTCAAAGCAGCTTAAAAGCACCCTCCGTGATGGCTTCCGCAGCGAAGGCGCTGGAGCACCAAGGCCCAAGCTCAATTTCTCCCGCAGTGGATTTTGGCCAGCAGTCCGCTGGCGCAGCGATGGACCAGCAGAATGCTCTTGCTCGAACGTCAACGGGACTCTCAGCCGCGCAGTCTTCGATTTCTGCGGCCTCATCATCTTCCAGATCTTCCGCATCTCCATTTGACTCGATCCGCAGGTCGTCTGCCTCGTTCCTTCACAAAGCCCGCGATCGGACCAGCTCAAGTAAACGGCACTCCAAAGCCGCTTCCGTGACAGCTGCGGATATGGACTCTGTCCCCTCACTGCAGGCCCATTCAGGACACGACGACCGAGAAAGAGATGAGGGTCCTATGCCTCTGACTACTGCATATGCTTTGGTGTCGCAAGGTGCGCAAGCTGCTCAAGCTTTACACGCAAATGCGCCTTCACTTGATTCGTCCTCTACAAGAGGGGGGAAGCCCGTGCTTTCTCGTCTGACCCCAGCCCCAGTTGACGAAGGAGATACAGCTCTCACTCCCACGCAGCAAAGAAAGATCCCAGCGGCCGTACCCGTCCGCAATACGGCTTCTTTGCCTGATACACCGCTGACGAATACAACTACCCAAGACACACATGTCACGGCTGCAGCCGACATCAGCAGCAGCAAGAACACAGATATCCTGTCGCGTTTCTTCAATCAGCTCACCGAGCGCAGTCGTTCGCAACGACGCCTGTTGTTTACCTTCTTCACTGCCACCGCCGTCGTCGCCGTCTTCACGGCACATGTGGGTCAGCACTACACAAAAACGGCGTTTCTGGCAGCTTGCCTGGTTGTTGCATCACTCGGATTCGTGCTGCTCAAAAGCCTGGAGCGGCAGGAGCAGGATGATCGATGGCTTGTCGAGGAGCAGGTTCGCAGGATCTTGAGTCAGCATGGGATGGTGAGGCTCTTACCTTGCAAAGCTGTTTACCAGAATTGCGGTCTGACATACTTGAATCGGCTCGCAGTCACCGAACGACATATTGGCTCTGTTTTCGGAGAAGGAAAACACCTTACCAGGGGCCCCATACCCCTTCGGAGAGACCGTAGAATGGGTGAACACGGTCCTCTCGCACGTATGGCCCTTGATCGGGCACGATTACTTTGCCCCTTTCATCGATCTGCTGGAGGATGCGCTGATGCAGCAAGTACCTGGGATCGTACACTCAGCACGCGTGCACGACTTGGATCAAGGAAGTCTTCCGCCTCGCCTGAAGTGCTTCAAGGTCCTTCCACCCAGCATCGACGCCTTTCTTGCGGGCGATGCAGACGGCGACGAAAACGCGCGAGCGGAGCATAAGAGGCTGTGGCGCAAGAAGTCGAAGCAGAACGAGGAAGATACCTTGCCGACGCACGAGGAGGGCCATCTAGACAGTGGCGACTTTATCAATCTGGAAGTCGATTTTGTCTACCGTGCGCCTAGCACGCTTGACGGCAGGTCGTGCGGTAAGATGAACCAAAAAACCGATTTCGAGGGTGACGTGCAGCTTTCGGAAGATGATATCATTCAAAAGGGAAGAGAAAAACTTCAGTGAGTGCGAGCGCGACATCATCAGGAGCCTTAAAATGATAACATTTCACCGCTGACAACTCTTCTTGCTCAGCATGCTCCTCTATCTGGGCATCGGCATCAAGAAGCTCGCTGCCATCTCTGTGCCGGTATGGATCGAAGTGCTGGGTATCGAAGGCCGAATGCGCCTGCGGCTACAAGTCACACCGGTCCTCCCCTTTGTCAAGCACGTCGCGTTCACACTGATTGGACAGCCAAAGCTCGAAATATCCGCCAAGCCGCTAGGCAAGAAAATGGTGGTCGATGCGATGCAGCTGCCGCTCATCTCATCGTACATCCTCCGCTCGATCGAACGCGTCGTGAAGGGATTTGTGATGCCGAAGGCGTACACGGTCGACGTAGCAGCGCTGCTCAGCGCAGGCGAGGGCCCGCAGCACCCATACGCCGTCGGCGTCATCTCGCTGATCATCCATCAAGCCACGGACCTCGCTGCGGCGGATACGAACGGCAAGTCCGACCCGTTCGTCCAGGCGTGCTTTGCACGTTCGGGACGACCGCTCTTCTCGACGCGCGTTGTACGCAGGAGCTGTGATCCTGTGTGGCAGGAGTCGGGTTTCTTGCTCGTCACACCTGATGAGATCCGTGCACACGACTCGTTGCGCCTCACTGTCTACGACGCCGATCGTTTCTCGGTGGACGACCCGCTAGGGAAGATCGATGTTCCCCTGCAGCATCTTCTCACGCGCGCCATGAGCCGCAAAGGGAGGGACGCGCAGATTATGCTCGAATACAGGACGGATGAGCTGGAGCCTTTCGATCAAGTAAGTGAGGTGCAGGGTACTCTCAGCTACAGCGTCGGCTTCTTTGGCCTCTCGCTCCCGCACAAGGTGGCGAGCGCGCAGGTAGCCAAGCAAGACGAGAAGGATGGTGTGAGCACTTTAGACGCGGGTGGGGTAACAGGTGTGCAAGAGGATAAGGATGGCGTGAAAGCTGCGAATCTCGAGCAGTACATGACGGGTTTCGATCGGGTTGTACAGCGACTAGGGTTCGAAACCGACACGGATTTGCTGAAAGCGCGCCTGGCGCGGGGCGAGCGAGTCAAGAAGCTCATCGCCATGATCCAAGGTGCGGAGGAGCAGCAAGCGAAAGCGCCTATGCCGGAGCTGCCGTCCGGCATCGTCTGCTACCACATCCACAACATCCACGGCCTCGAGATCTTACCCCCGCAAAAGACGCTCTCCGGCAGCGGCCGCAGCCAGGATCAGGGTATGCGGCCCCGAACGCGCCTCGAAGACGTCATGGGCGAGGATTCCAAGTTTCCATCGTCCTACTGCTACGTCTGCTTGAATGACCAGCCCATTCTCAAAACGAGAACTGCAGGTGAGTGCTTCAGCAAAAGCGTAAGCCTCAAGGGGGCGCTTGCTGACACTGCTTGCTCCGCCCGCTCGCAGTGCTCAATGCGCAACCGTACTTTAATGCAGGCGGTGAGCGTTTCGTGCTCGACTGGCGCACATGCCGGCTGGATTTCGTCGTCAAGGACGCAAGGATGCGCGAGGCGGATGCGGTCCTTGGGCTGGTGAGCGTCCGGCTTGCGGACGTGCTCAAGGACTCGGGACGGCACACGGACTGGCACACGCTCACTGGCGGGCTGGGCTTTGGGCGTATGAAGATCTCTGTCGTGTTCCGCTCGCTGGACGTGCAAATCCCCGCCGCGCTGCGCGGATGGAACGTCGGCGTGCTCAAGGTCGACAAACTCGGCGCCACGATTGACAGAGGAGCGGCTGGGAACGAGAAGAACATGGCGGTCATTTTCGAGACGTATGGTGGCAGGATTTGCAGCGCGAGCGTCGAGCCGGTACCCGTGCCGGTCGGCAGCCAAGAAGGCGGCGGCGCGTTGCCGTCCTCGTCACCTGCGTCGTTGCGTATCGACTGGCCCATGAGGGAGGCGATGCGGCTGGCGATCCGGCAGCGCTACCCGTGCTGGGTACATGTGCGCCTGGTGCAGGAACGGCGCAGGCCAAGCAAGCGACCGCGGATCGGGCACGCGGTGATTTCGCTGGATCACATCGTCGACAGAAAGCCGACGACGCTGCGCGTGCCCATCTTTGCCGGCGAGGGCGACCACGTGGACCAGGACGTGTACCGCGCGCTGCTCCGCCGGCGACGCGAGGCACTCCTCCAGTCGCGGGCGCCTGGGCCGCACGAGCGGCCGATGATGGAGGAGTTATGCACGCTGACGCAGCGCGATGTGCCAGACGTGCTGGCTGAATGCAGCAGCGGCGACAACAACGGCAACGGGATTCGGCGCATTGGCACGCTGGAGCTGACGCTGGCGTTCGTGCCGGGCATCGCGACGGAGCACAAGGCGCTCGTCGCGGGCGACGCGGAGATGCGCGTGGCGTGGGAGACGCACCTTGTCGCGGTTGACGCGGGCGAGCACCCGCGCCCGAAGAAGCTGGCGGCACTTCGGCGTTCGCGGAGCGCCGCCCTCGGCGCCAGTGCCGGGGAGGATGGCTACGAGTCTGATGATCTGTACGATGTCGGCATACCGTCCGAGTTCGCCCTCGGTGGCGGTGGGCAAGTCGACGGGGGGTATGACGATGATGGAGACGAGTATGGCCGCGAACGCAGGAGGGACTCTCCCGGCTCCTCGCCCTCCCTCTCCGATGACGATGGCGACGGCGCGGTGCACCGGGCGAGCGCCGAGTCGCGCAAACGGACGCTGCACCGGCAGCAGCGGGGCGCGGCGCAGCTCAAGGGCTTCCGCACGGCGCAGTGGCTCAAGGGCGGTGTGCAAGATGGGCTGCAGCGGCTGCGGAATGCGGCGGGCGAGCAGCGCAAGCGCATCAGCAGCCTGGACAACGAAGGCGTCTCGCACTTTTGATGTGTGCGCGTGGGTGCGTTATGTACAGCCTTGCGGGGAGCCACCGGTTGCCTTTTGTTTTCGTTGGCTGCGTGAATGCGTATGTATTTCCTTGGTGCACCGAGACGCCATCGCATGTATAGTATAGTACATCGAAGAGCAACACCTCCGCCGGCGAGCAGCTATACACACGCTTGATCCAGGTTGGCACAGGTTCAAACGGCACCATGGCCTCTCCACAACAGGGCATGAGTTTTACCCTCTCAGACTGCCCAAGCCTTGTAGATTTAAAAGAGGACGTTGTGGCGACATGCTGTAGACCAGCATGATATAATCGCAACCATATACATATGCATATGCATGAGCAGTGTCCGAGGACGTGCAAGGTGAGGTCCAGACGCCAGAGTTCAGCAGCGGTAGGATTAGGTAAGCATCGGTCGATGAGGCCTGCAGGGGTTCGGCGAGGTCAAACAAGCGTCGCGTGAATCAGTCGTCCTATTGGTTGAGTGTCATACTGTCATGGAAGCCGTTTGAGCACAAGTATGTACTTTGTATTCAAGTGTAATTGCCATAAGCGAAGGGAAGAGAGGAGACTGGCCTGCATAATGTTTGTGACACATTGGCAGAACGTCTTTGCGTTCGTCAGCGAGACACCCATGTCAGACATTATACGGGTCTCACGGACGCGTTTTCAGCCTGGGCAAAAAACAACAACACGTGAGCAAAGCGCGGCTCAGTCCCATCCCTGCGAAGATGCTTCTGGGTGTGGCGTGTGTGTGACGGCTAATGGATGGTGCACTCGATCGTAGGGAGCGAGGAGGGAGAGTGTGATGTCAGGGTGCGCGCACTACCCAGCAAGAGAGAAACAGTCTGTCTTGCCTGGTGGACGCGGAGAGCAGAACGGGGACTCGCCGGACGCCAGACCAATGTCGCCAGTCGGCCTCTCTCCCCCCCCTTCCCCCCCAAGGTCTGCCAGTGGCGGGCAAGCCAAGAGCCCAGGCACGGGGTACAGACATACAGTGGTGCAATGCGGTGCGGTGGAGTGCATGGGCGGCAGCAGAGTGGAGTGGCGCCACTGACTGCACTCGACTGTTCCTCACACACAACACATGTATGGATTGGTATATAAGTGTATAAACAACAGCAACCAGCGTCTTCCTCGTCGAGCAAACTAGCCAGCGAGCACGCGTCGTGTCGCGTCCCGTTTGTATCTCGCGCCCAGCCCAGCCCAAAAGCCATCATGTTCGACGGCCCACGCTACCTTGCCATGCCGCGCGAGCTCGCAGCCGATACCGCTAGCGCCATGCTCCTCGCTGCACGCGCCGCGCAAGGCAACAGTACCAGCGGTGGCGCGCACTCGGACAGCATCATCTCCGGCATCGACCCAACGGCGTTCGAGACCTCGAACCCTCTACGACTGTTCATCATCCAGGCTGTTATCATGTGAGCCGCTGCTGCTGCTACCTCGCTTCAAAGCGTGCTTTCTCTGGTCTGACACTGTGTTGCGTTGATCAAGCATCGTCTTCACCCGCCTGCTCGGATGGGGTCTCGCGTACGTGCGCCAGCCGCGCGTCATTGCAGAGGTCTTAGGCGGGATTCTCCTCGGCCCAACCGTGTTTGGGCGCATCCCCGGCTTTAGCCAGCACATCTTCCCCCAGCAGTCACTCCCCTTTCTCAACCTCGTCTCCACCCTCGGCCTTGTCCTCTTCCTCTTCCTCGTCGGCGTGGAGGTAGACCTGCGCGCGGTCAAAAAATGCTACAAGGAGGCAGTCAGCATTGGTGTCGTCGGCATGATCTTCCCATTTGGCCTCGGCGCAGCCGTCTCGGTCGGGATCTACCGTGACCTCATCCACCACGACACGGTCAGCCTCGGCCACTTTATCCTCTTCACTGGCGTCGCCATGGCCATCACCGCTTTTCCCGTTCTTGCGCGCATCCTCACTGAGACGCGCCTGACTCAGACCAAGGTCGGTGTTATCGTACTCGCCGCCGGCGTCAGCAATGACGTCGTCGGCTGGATCCTTCTCGCGCTCACCGTCGCCCTCGTTAATGCCTCCAGCGGCCTCACCGCGCTTTGGGTCCTGCTGACCACCGTCGCCTGGGCGCTCGTCCTGTTCCTGCTGATTAAGCCCGCGTTCATCTGGTTTGCGCGCCGCATCGGCGCCTTTGAAAACGGCCCAAACCAGGTGATGATGACGGTCACCCTCCTACTCGTCTTCGCCAGCGCCTGGCTCACCGACGTCATTGGCGTGCACCCCATCTTTGGCTCCTTCCTCGTCGGCCTCATGATCCCCCACGACGGCGGCTTTGCAGTCGCCATGTTTGAGAAGATCGAAGACCTCGTCGCGGTGCTCTTCCTGCCCATCTACTTTGCCCTCTCCGGTCTCAAGACGAACCTCGCCAGCCTGGACAACGGAACCGTTTGGGGTTACCTCATCGCCATTATCGCCATCGCCTTTACCTCCAAGTTTGGCGCCTGCGCTGCGGCTGCGCGCTGGTGCGGCCTCGGCGTCCGCGAGTCCCTCGCCGTCGGCACGCTCATGTCGTGCAAGGGCCTCGTCGAGCTCATTGTGCTCAACATTGGCCTCTCCGCCGGCATCCTCGACACGCGCACCTTTAGCATGTTCGTCGTCATGGCCCTCGTCTCCACTGTCGCCACGACGCCGCTCACGCTCCTCGCATACCCCGAGCGCCTGCGCACTTACCTCCATGACGCTCCGTCCGCCGGTGCCGCCGCCAGCAAGTCCGCCTCCGCCGGAGCAGGAGCAGCAGCGGACAAGGGCGTGCGCGACGGCGCCGATCAAGAGGAGGACGAAGATGACGAGGGCAGCGCTGCACTCTGCAGCAACAAGCGCCTCCTCGTCGTCCTCGACAAGTTCGACCACCTCCCGGGGCTCATGACGCTCGTCCAGCTTATCAAGCCGTCCGAGGCACCACTGCGCAGACAGAACACCGCCGCCGCCGCCGTGGTGCCCTCCTCGGCGACGTCGTCCGCCGCCGAGTCGAGCAAGGACGCTGACGCGGATGTGGACATTGACACAAGCAGGGAGGCGGGAGAAGCAGCTGGTGCCGAGAAGGACGGGGCCACAAAAGATGCTGCCGTCAGCTCCGCCACGCCTGTCCTCCGTTCGGATGCGCCGCACCACGCTGCGATGCCAGACGCCAGCGGCAGTGAGCAGCCGCAGGCAGACATTAGCATCGATGCGCTGCGTCTGATCGAGCTGACAGACCGCACGTCAGCGGTGATGAAGCTGTCCGAATCGGACGACACGATGCGCGCCGACCCGATCCTCAACGTCTTCCGCACCTTCGGCCACCTCAACCGCCTCCCCGTGCGCTCCAGCATCGCCGTCGTGCCGACAGACGAGTACAGCGCGACAGTTGTTGCGCGCGCGTGCAACGTGCACTCCAACCTCGTTGTCGTGCCTTGGACCGTCGCGCCGTCTGGCCGGCCTGCCGCCGGTGAGCAGCAGCAACAAGTCTCGAACCCCTTCGAGAACATCTTTGGCCGCGTTGCCAGTGCTGCGGCTCCAGGCAGCGGCGATAGCGCGAGCGCCAGCGACAGGCGCTCGCCGCACCAGGCTAACTTCGTGCGAAAGGTCTTCCAGACCGCCGCGTGCGACGTTGGCGTCCTGCTCACGCGGCCCGCGAACAGCGCCTTGGCGACGGCGGGGGCGGCGGCAGCACAGCACAACAACCTTCTCGTCGGCTTCTTTGGCGGCCCAGACGACCGCGCGGCGCTCGCGCTATCACTGCGCCTCTGCGCGTCCAACCCGGATCTGCACGTCACCGTCCTACGCTTCAGGCGCACCGAGCCTGGCAGTGGCGACGGCGAGGCCAGCGGCAGCAGCAACGCCAATGGTGGCGACCTGGCCGTGCCGAGCATCCCGCCTACGTTGCACCACGCGCAGTCGCTACACCACGTGCAAGGCGCTGCTGGCAACAACAACCACAATAGCATCGTGCAGGATACCATGTACCCTAGCAACTTTGGCCAGACGCCCATGGAAGCGACGCTCGCCGACGACCTGGCGATCACCAAGGCACAGGAGCTCAGCGCGAGCTTCAGTGAGCGCTTTGCTGTGCGCGAAATCAGAACCCCACGCGTCCTGCGCGACCTCGTCCTCGCCGTCGAAGCGGAGCAACCCACCGTCGTCATCGTCGGCCGCGGCCGCAAGGCACCTGCCATGACGCACCGCGAGGAGCTGCGCTTCTTGCTCGTCAACGGCACGCTCGGCGGCACGCTCGGCGTCGGCGTCGGAGCCGAGGATGCGACCAGGTCGGCTCTGGCCGCAGCAGCGGCGAGCAGCACCAAGGAGCGCCAGCTTAACTCAGAAACGTGCAAAGTCGTCGGCGAACCGGCCATGGCACTGACGCTCGCCAGGACCACCGCGCTGACGCTCGTCTTGGCCTCCAGCGTCAACAGCTCTGGCTCTTCGCAGCAGCAACAGCACGCTTAAACAGCACTGTGTGCACGCATTGAGATGGTATTCGACAGTTCACAGATACTGGAAGGGAAGGGGTCCTTTTTACTTTTCGCATCACAACACCGTTAACGACCACGACTTTCTCTTGGCATTGGGATGACGTATCGGCGACGATGATCGGGTCAGAACTGAAATGAACAACAGAACAACAGAACTGAAATGAACAACAGAACAACAGAACCGAACAGAAGGGCATAACATATTCATGCATGTACCACGTCAGGTCACCGGCAAATCGCAGACGACGAACAACATTTTTAATGTATCGCAGTGTCACCGCAAGCAACATACATGACGAGCGTGTACAAAGTGAGCGCTGGCAGTCTCATGCATGTCGGGGGTATGATACATTGGCACCTGTGCATGGGCATGGGCATACTCGGAGACCTGGACATGAAGTAGGCTGCTTCTCGACGATTCATGTGAATGTGTGCTTGGGGTGTGCGAATGCATGCCCATCTGAGCGTGGGCTATCGCTGGAAGAAGGCAGTACCGATCGAGGAGATGAACGAGTTCTCCGTGAGCATCCAATCGAGGCCAAAGAACGATGGCGCCAAGCCGTGCAGTTTCCATCGTGCGAATACTGCAAGGGATCGCATGGCGCATGAGCACGAATTTCAAAGAACTTTGAGAGCGCATGCATGTAGCACCTTGTAAGGTAACGTACCCCAATAGCCCCATTTTCGCCCAAAGTATTTTCCAATATACGGTAGGACCATGATCTGCACGATCGTCTGAAACTGCCGCACCGTCTCGTCCCACTCCTGCTGTGCTAACCGCGCGGCCTCTTCGCTATCGTAGCTTGAAATGCTGCTGCTGTCCGTGTAGTCGTCATCGTCATTGCCTTCATCGCTGATGTTGTGGGTCTGAGGGCTTTCATTGCGCGTGGCCTGCCCAGGGCGCCTGTTTGACGGTCCGGGAAGTGCATCCCGATACCCTCGACTACCTTCACGGCCGCTGCCTGCTAACGACTGTGCTTGCAGTGCGTGCATAATGCTTGATCCTTGGTACGCAGGCAGGTCGTCGAGGTAGCCTGTTGTCGAGTCCATCTTGCTTCGCGACCAACTTCTATCTGCGTCCGAACGCAACCCAACAGGTTAGCGCCTCGGCTCCGTGGAGGCTGACAGGCAGAGTTGCTCTTCCACCTGGCCTTCAGAGCATTGAGAGTCTGGCAACTATTCAATTCTTTCCTGCGAGCAGCGAACCTCCTGTAACCAGGGTGTAAATAATATCCTGAAATTGAAAGCGATAGGACCTCATAGGGGAGAGGAGCGAATGACCTCGAAAGTTGTGGAGCTCCCCTGCTCGCGCAGTGAATGTGACGGACACATCGCCCACACAACAACGCCTGCGAAAGTCTTCAGACTCGAAACGAGTCTCAGCTTTTCCCGTTCTCGGTGATGCAACTTTCCTCAATGAGGTAGGTACACTGCCTCCAGGCTGCAGCTCCATACCATACGTAACTTGCCACGGTCAACACTCTCATGGCCCAAGAAAACAGGAAACAGCTCGCCTGAAGACCTGCAGAAGCCCGCCGGCGCATCGGGCTGCCTGTTGCCCAACTCCGTCATGAAGTGAGTGCATGCGGTGTCATACGTTGCAAGGTGGGGACACCGACATTACTCCTCTTGCTTTGGCAGCAACGTACACGAAATCAATCGCATAAATCAGAGGGAGCTAGAGCTTGCAGTCTCTGGTGGCGCTGGAAGCTGGCATGATGAATACAAAGGCACGTACGCACATGTCACACGGCCCAAGAAGGTCCTTCAAGCTAACGGCAATGGCTCATGATCTCCCCACAGATTCCGCGTACGTGTTCGTAGGCGGGCTTCCTCTGGAACTGACCGAAGGCGACGTCATTACCATCTTCTCTCAGTACGGTGAAATTCTGGATATCAACCTTCCGCGTGAGAAAGATACGGGCAAGAAGCGGGGATTCGGCTTTCTCATGTATGAGGACCAACGCTCGACTGTACTCGCTGTTGACAACCTGAACGGTGCCAAGGTTTTAGAGAGAACGCTGCGCGTTGACCATGTTCGCTCGTACAAGCAGCCGAAGGTCCGGGGAGAGGATGGGGAGATGGAGGAGCGAGAAGAGCAGTCTATGAATGCCGCCCCTCAGCTGATCGAAGACGAGGCAGATGCGTCGCCAAACGATGACGATGCGGATCTGCAGGACCCAATGGCGGCATACTTTGCTACGCAACGAAGAGCTGGCTCATCCAAGGACTCAGAAGAGAAGGCACGGCGCAGGGAAGAAAAGCGCCGTCGTAAAGAAGAGCGCGACCTGAAGCGGATGCGAAAAGCAGAGCGACAGGAACGCAGGGAATCGAGACCACGCGATCACGAGTCTCGCTCGCGGGGCACTCTTGACAAGCATGCAGGCTATTCGGATCGCAGACGTATGAAGGAGCGGGCCGATGGACGGTTATCTGAGCGTGACACGCACGCTGGGCAGTCATATTACGAGGATCACAGAGCGCGAGAACTCAGACATCAGCATCGATCTCGCTCTAGGTCGCCGATTGGGCGTGCGTTATCATCTCGCCGATATGATGGAGACTATTACAGAAACGACAGATAGGGCCGATTTTGTATAATTCGATTCTCTGAATGTCATTGCATTCGGCCTTTTAAGAAGTACAAGTGCGGGAAACGCGAAACACTTACCGTCTGCAAGCGCTGCAAGAAGTGAAGGCGCAAACAAACGGATGGGTCAAAAGAGCATGAGCGGGGAGAGCCCATGCCAGGGTCTTCGGGCTCGTGATCCAGTGCACCAACCAAAGATTTGTGCTTTCTGTTATGTGTCCACGTTGATCGAGCAGAATCTGCAAAATGCGGACGGAAAGCTGAAAGCGATACAAAAAAATGTTGCGCGGCTTGCGAGGTAGAGTCTGTAACTGAGCAGCAAAGAGCTGTCATGATAGGCACCAAACGCGCAAAATCCGACGCGACTTTTCGCTTATGAGGCAAGGGACGGCACTTCACCCAAGCTTGGCATTGAATATGGCTTCGGCAATGCTGCGAAGCAGAAAGAGGCAGAAGGCCAGCATCAGCGCTGGTCGTTTGCTGGCGCCATGTATCGGATGAGGAATGACTCACTAATGAGCCTTGATGCTTCTTCCGCCAAAGAAGCGCCCATTAAGGCCCTGTATGGCCTTGGCAGCGACAGAGACGTCAACGAACTTGACATAAATGTCACCAGCGCTTTCACGCTCGACGTGGATCCGCTCGACGCCGCCATACTTGGCCTCGCATTCTTCCTTCACGTCATTTGCTAGATCCGTGTCCCAGTCGCGCTCAACCTCCCTGCGAGCGGAAGAGGTACACAGTAAGCAACAAAGCACATAGGGATTCGAACTTCACGAAAATTTTACGCACTCTGCAGGATCGAACATATTTTGGAGCAAGACCGTCTTGCTGGTTGCCTGTGGAATGTTCGTAGGCCGTTGCCTGTCACAGAAGGACTGGTCGTCAACACGGCTCGCGATGTACTTGAGCTTGCGTCACACTCACTGTTCTGCTGGAGGCGTCCGGCTGGCGGGTGCAGATTCGGTGCGCATCAGCTTTTCCATTAGAGCAGCACGAGTCATCGGGTTCAAGCCGCCTCCACCGCCTTCATCGAAAGCGGACAGGGCAGTCGGCTGTTGGCCTCCGTCGGGGGGCCCTCCGAGTGCAGTCTGGTTGGCGCCTGTGGATGCTGCTGCGCCTGAGTCTGTCCCCGCACGTGCGCCATTACCGCGAGCATTGACGTGCCCGACCTTGATCTGCATCGCATGAAAGAGATATCATGGCATGAAGCAGTAATAAAATCAGCCCTTGTTCTGGCGTTTGTCTGCGAGCAACTCACAGCCCTTCCGTAAAGCTCGATGCCATCCATATGCGCCAAAGCTTGCTCGGCAGCAGCTGGCTCTTTGTACCTTATTCATAGACCTTGGTCAACACTTGCACGTGGGTTGCAGGCATGGATGACCGCGGAGACTCACTGGACGAAGCAAAAGCCTTTGCTCTTTCCTGAACCTGGCTCGCGGTGCAAGTCAACGTACTCGATCTCGCCAAAGGGCTCAAAGACCTCTTTCACGTTTTCACTGGTCAGATCAAAATGCAGGCTCCCAACGTACAGTCTGGCGGCTGTGTTGGCATTTACAGCTCTTGCTGTGCTCGAGAGATTGAGAGGATTGTACGAGGTAGCGCCAGCGGCAGCGCCGACAGCAGTTTCGACAGCGTTGACCAAGTTTGGCCGGTATTGCATGTCGGTATTTTGACTCCGATTGCGAGCAGCATCTGTCAACTGAATGAGGATAGGAATGCCAAAAAGATTCTCGCCAGACAAGCCAAGAGCTCTGGGAAGAAGTTGGCGATCGGCAAGTTCGACGTACCCGACTCTGTGACGAGAGCGAGGATAGCATGGATGCGTGGTTTAGTACGCATATAGGCAGTGGTGAGATCAAAAACGTACCCTTTGCTTCGCCTTGTCACCTTATCCATGACGATTCTGACATCAACGACACTTCCCTCACCCAGCTTCTCTTCGAAAAACTCGCCAAGGTCCCTTTGCGTGAGTCTGGCAGCCAGCTGAGAGCAGAACACAGAGCGTTCTTCATAGTCAGCATGATCCGGCTCTGGGCGGGGAGACGGCGAACGTGGGCGAGGCGGAGGGCGACGATCGTAGCCTCTGTCAAATCCCCGCTCATGACGGTCGTAGTGGCGGTCACGACCGCGATCACGGTCGTAGAAGCTTTTTTCATCGTAGTGCCGCCTGTCGTCGCGAGATCCGCGAGAGTCGTAGCGTTCGCGTTCGCTGTTCCGAGGCGAACCATCGCGCGAGGAGCGCGAGTGTCGTTCTGCATCCCTTCTACTGGATGGTCTCCGCCTTTCGTAATTGTCTTCGTACCCTTGCCTGCGTCTGCGGCGCCGCTCTGAGTCTCGAAGATGATCATCATCGCCATCGGCAATGCTGCGCCTGCTACCCGGTGAGTACATCCTGCGGCTGTCTATGCTGCGCGTACGAGATCGAGATCGAGATCGAGAAACTCGCGGCAAATGGTCATCCTGATCCCTTGGTCTGCCTCGCTCGTGTGCTTTGGACGCCACGGCCCGCCTGAAAGGGAAAGATGTGGCATATAGTCAGGAAGAAGTCCGAAATAAGGGTGCAGCTAAACTAGTACTGCAGTCTCACCTTCTCAGCTCTTCTGCGAGCTGCCTCTCCCTATCTTGGGGAGTCATAGAAGCCGGGCCGTCGGGCCTCTCACGGGAGGGGGAAAGCGAGGGATTTGATGAGCTGTTCGAGTAAGCGCGCATGCGCGATCTCGGTGGTGATTCAGTCATCTTTCCTGCTCTTTCAGGGTACCTTGTAATAGGCGAAGCGATTTCGCGGTGCTTTTGTTGAGGAATACACGGCCAGGCTGGGCTGTCTACTGGAGCACGTTGGATAGTCCCATACACACGAGCGAACAATCAAGAGCCGAACCATGTGGCAAACAAGGAGTTGGGAGAGTACGAAGAGGTTGTGCTCTCGTCACTCGTGAAGACCCCCCCCTCCCCGCCGAAGAGCGCTTTGGCAAAAGTCCGCACCCAGAAGCCTGATTGGCGTATGAGACACAGCACAGTGCACAGCCGGGCAGAGCGGAACAGGGTGTGTCAATTCACAGATTTACATAGCTCATCATAGAACAATAACTCGGCACAAGCATACAGTGGCCCTCGACGTCGGCTTGGCCTATCACCCAGTGATTTGAATTACAAGTTGCCTCGCTTCTCGCTAGAGCAGGTAATTGTAGATATAAGTTCTACTGTCGCTTTCTCAATGCTGTCAACTCCACCCAACTACACCCTCATTTGTGCAAGAGACACCTTCCCTTCTTCTTCGTGCCCTAGACTCCACGAACCAGGCAGCTTGAACTTCCACAGAAAAGCTGCCAGCATGCCGTCATCAAAGATCGCCCCATCCGTCCTCGCGGCCGACATGGGGAACCTGAATCATGAATGCCAGCGAATGATGGACATGGGTGCTGACTGGTTGCACATGGGTATGTCCATTGTCGTACGTTCGGTTACTGTAGTCGATAGAACTAACTGACCTCTATCGCTTGCAGATGTGATGGACGGGTAGGCATGCGTGATCTATCGAGCCCAGGCCCGTTGGCATTGTACTGATCTGTTTGCATCATTTCAGGCATTTCGTACCGAATATTGTGCTTGGTGCACCCATTCTATCATCGATATCGAAAGCAGTGCCGAATATCTTCATGGATTGCCACATGATGGTTTCTGACCCTGCGAAGGTAAGTCGCTGGAACCTCGCGCCACGGCTTTGGCTAACGGATGGACCCTTGTAGTGGGTGAAAGACATCGCAGCAGCGGGGGGCAAGTCATATACATTCCACCTTGAAGCAACAGGTGAGATTGGGAGAGACTGTGACTTCGATCGGATAAGTGGTGACAAAATTCTTCTCGCGGAATCACGACAGATGACCCGATGGATGTGGTCCGACAAATCAAGGCGACAGGCATGCGAGCTGCAGTAGCAATCAATCCTGGCACTCCTTCCAGTGAAATTTCGAACGAGCTCGGGAATGCGCTTGACATGATTCTCGTCATGACAGTATGGCCTGGTATGTGCAATGATCTTGCTTGCTTACTCTCTTGCTTGCGAACATGAACTGACTTCGTCGACCTGCACCAGGTGCGGGAGGGCAAAAATTCATCGCAGAATGTATGCCGAAGGTCACAGAGCTGCGTGCGCGCTTTCCGGATCTAGACATAGAGGTTGATGGAGGTGTAGGGCCAAAGACAATCGACACGTGTGCCGATGCAGGTAGGTCTTGGTGTAGCCTTTGTGCGCATCGCAGTGGCTAATCCTCCTTCATGCCTCTGTCTCTCTCAGGTGCCAACGTTATCGTGGCAGGCACTGCAGTATTCCACGCTGAAAGCCCGCAAAACGTAATCCACTATCTGCGAACAAAAGTAGATGAAGCGCAAGCGCGAATCAAGTTGGAGCGAGAAAGTGCAACTTCAGGACAGGGCACTGCATCGCAAGGCGAGGTTGAATCGGCAAAACATGGGATTCAGCATGGTCGCGGGGTGACCCCATGAACCAACCACGAACGTACATTCTCGTGGGCCACGAGGCGAGGTCGCAGGCACATCCAGCCGCCAATGTCAATGCGACATCGGGGGCTAAGCCTTGATTCAGCCTTTTCCTGCAGTTCAGGAGAGATTGATGCCTTTGCGGATGCCCACGCCGATCAGGGCAAGCTCGAGCGCAGAGAAATACCTGCGTCTCGAGCACGTGTTACGCGTCAGCGATATGCGACTGGTCGACGTTACCTCCGCCTCGAGGACGACGCGTGAATGGTCATACGACTTCGGCTGCACGGTCCTCACACTTTACATTCCCCACACCTGGCGCCCATGTAAGCGGCCCCGCATGCGCGCGACCACAAATGCGAGCCACATGATGCACCCTTCCAGTTGTACTCTAGTGTGACAGCAAAGACTTCGACATGTACAGCCCGAAAGCTTCGTTTGCATCATCCGGAATGGAAGCAGAAAGACATTGTAGAATCTGACTGTGTGACTGCTGCCTACAATGGGTACGAGTTCAGACTGTCGCTCTTTGGAGGATCATTGCGATGCGGATGTGATGGGCCTAAGGTCAAGAGCGCCGCAGCGTATCGACTCACCTACAGTGATGGACAGGTCTCCCTAGTGCCAGCAGTCAGCACTGTGGTTTGTGGATCCGGCATCTCGTCAGTGTTTGGGCGTTGATCTCGCCGGAACGCCGGAAAGCGCGAATTACCGAAATGCCCGTTTCGCTCATAAACCCGCCCTATTGGGGTGGATCGTCATCAAGTAACTCTCAAATGTCCTTAGTACCCTGCATACACTTGTTTTTGTTCATGCTGTTCTTGTCAACCAGTATCTCAGCGGTCGTCTGCTTCTGCAACATCGAAAAGCCAAAATGATGCGCAGGTTGTTTGCCGGCGCCGTCAGGCGCACTTCCTCTGCTCGCAGCTGTAGCCGCTCGCTCTTTCACTGTCAGCAAGCGCGTACGCTCACCTTCTACAACGCCGACGTTGCGGGGCTGACACAAGACCAGGCAGAACTTCGCGATGCAGTTGCTCAGTTTTCAAAGGCAGAAATTGAGCCCAGAGCGCAAGAGATCGACCGTGAGAACCAGAGCCCCATGGACCTCTGGACTAAATTTGGAGAAATGGGTCTGCTTGGCATCACCGTGCCCGAAGAATTTGGCGGTCTGGGCAAGGGTTATTTGGATCACACGATTGTGATGGAAGGTGCGTAGCGTGTATCATATCGACGAGCCACGTACCTGATTGATCAATGGTCGAAGCTGACCGTATTTGTCGCTATTACAGAAATTTCGCGCGCTTCAGGATCCGTTGCTCTTTCTTACGGTGCGCATTCGAATCTTTGCGTCAACCAGATCAACAGGCATGGCACCAAACAGCAAAAGGAAAAGTATCTTCCAGATCTCCTCTCGGGAAAAAAGGTTGGCGCTCTTGCAATGAGCGAGCCAGGGAGCGGTAGCGACGTTGTTAGTATGAGGACGACCGCTGCCAAGAAGGGCGACCGCTACATCCTCAACGGTGGCAAATTCTGGTTAGTCAAACATGCTCAGCGCGAAACAAGGAATGATGCTGATAGGTGCGGCATGATTTCACGATGTCAGGATCACAAACGGACCGATCGCGTCGACGTATGTCATTGTAAGTCTCGCCTTTGGACGAAGATATATTTGACATCCAAGGAACAGTTATGCTGACACTTCACTCCCCGGCAGTACGCGAAAACTTCACCAGAGAAAGGGTCCAAGGGGATTACAGCATTCATTGTTGAGCGCGACTCTCCAGGTTTTACAACCCATCAAAAATTGGACAAGGTCGGCATGCGAGGCTCCGATACCTGCGAACTGGTCTTTGAGAACGTAGAGGTACCAGAGGAGAACGTGCTTGGAAAGGTCGATCGAGGAGCCGCAGTGCTCATGTCTGGGCTCGACCTCGAGCGTCTGGTCCTCTCGGGTGGGCCTTTGGGGTGCGCATATTTCAGTCAACCATGAGACATCGCCAGCCACTCACGCCTTCGCGCCCTTGCTTCGTATTTCTCAGGCTCATGCAAGCTGCATTTGATTATGCTACTGATTACGTGCATCAGCGCAAGCAATTCGGGCAACGCGTCGGCGAGTTCCAGCTGATGCAAGCGAAAATTGCGGGTGAGGTCACAGCGTGCTTGAGGGTACCGTCCCATGCAGCGTGCACTGACGGGCTGCTGACAATGCGTCGTTGCAGATATGTACACCAAGCTCGGCGCATCTCGTTCCTACGTTTACGCAGTCGGCCGCGCGTGTGATAATGGCGCTATCAGCAGGAGGGTATGTTCTCCATTTTTTTCCTTTTGCGTTCTGTGAGCCATGAAGAAGAGATTCTGATCGCCTTTCATTGTTTCGACAGGACTGCGCTGGTGCCATTCTCTACTCATCAGACCGTGCAGTCGAGGTGACCATGGATGCAATGCAATGTCTGGGAGGTAATGGTTATATAAATGGTGAGTGCCTAACATTGTCAGCACATTCGAGCGTTCAACGGACTCACCGTTCAACAATGTTGCATCCCCCTGCGGCTTTCTTTATCAGAGTACCCAGTCGCGCGCATGTTGCGAGACGCAAGGCTCTATACCGTCGGCGCTGGTACGCAGGAGATCAGAAGGATGCTTATCGGCCGAACGTTCAACGAAGAATTGGCGGATTGAACACGCAGGGTGCTTTGATTAAAGGTTCATTGTCGCTTGCGACGTATGCTCACGGCTCCTGACCTCGTTGCCCCCATCAAGCACCGGCGCATTGGTGGAATGCGGCGCGCGCCCATGCCTTCTAGCAACGCACCGCTATCATTCCGAAACGTCGCATTCAAATAGCTAGGTTGATGAAGGAGCCTATTCTGGGCCAAACGCTACGAACGCCTCCTTTGGTAACCAGCCATGACACTCACGGTTGTACTCTGAAATGGGATGCCGATTCGCATACACGCATTCATCGAGCGAGGCCCTGCGAGCCCTTCCAAGCCTTGATGATTGTTGTATCCAGCGTGATGCCCGAGGCACGAGGCCCGGGTACCGAGTACCGAGCTCCTGGGATATGTAGAGCGGGTGAGCGACAGGCGCCTGGCCTGGTCTGTCAACCAATAATCAATCATGAACAATCGACCTTGGAAGCCTTGGGTATGATTCAGATAAGCTCGCAGGGAGGTCTTCATCTGGCTATCGAATATTAGGTATATTGAGGTTTGAGCATTAAGCATAGATGATGAGTACCATGGCACAAGGGGCTAAGGCCGAGCCGCTATAACATGTAGAGGTCACGGAATGCCCGAAATAATCTCTACATGCTATAGCGGCTCGGCCTTAGCCCGCTTCGCCAATCGACAGCGCTTCAGCGCATGGGCTTCAGATCTGTTCACTGCTTAGCGCTCAGATAGTATAGAGCTGGTACCTGGGAGCTGCTATTTCTACGTCCGCAGTCATATAATATATACGAGGTCCTCTGGCGGCATATACAGGACCACAAAGGCAACAGGCATGGAACCCGTGAGCACATGTGCGTAATAAATGCTACGAAGTATCAAAAGTTTACGCAAAAAAGCTGGATGAGGACCATAATCTTTTTCTGTTCATTGTGGAATGCACTGGTAGAAAGCCCTCGTCCATGTGTCATTGCAATCGATCAATACGCATGTGCCATTTCAATTTGCACAGGTTAGTACGCTAGGTGTATCATTATGTTAAAGTGTGTATGGCCTGTGTCTGACGCGCAACAAACCCAGGGCGAGAGCAACTAAGGCTTCCAAGGGCTTCTGACTCCCCGGATTTTAGAAGTTAAGAATTTCAGAGCTTCCGACTTGTTGCGAACACGATGTTGAAACGCTCTCATTAGCTCAGAATCCAGACACTCTCATTCTCATTTAAAATTCTTGCAAATTCAAATTTCACCTTGCCGCATTCACCCTTCGTTCTGTTCATCCAATCTTCCAGCATGAACACTTTGTATCAAAAGTCTGTCGTTCGCCGTAGACCATTGGCCATCTTCATACAGATATAAGTGCAGATGCAGGTATAAATACAATTTATTTTACGTGAACAAATAGGTACAATATATTATAATTATATAAATATAGATGTTATTTATTATATAGTAAAATATAGATACAATATATTACATAATATTCGTTAATGTATCGATGACATGAAGCATTAAAATCTAATAATATGACAGTGGCAACCTCTCAAGGGGCAACATCATCATGCAATATCTATCCAAGGCCCCCGAAGAGAAGCGCGTGAAGCAGGGAGTCTTCCGAGTTTCAATTGATTTGTTCTTCCACCGCGCCAGGCTCAGGAAGCCATGAAATTCCTTTGTTAGAACATTGTCCCCTGCGACATCAAGATGTCAAACAGACAACAGAGTTAAGCGTCGAAGGGTCGTCGATTCATTGCGGTAGTGGGCGGTTCGTGCATTGCGGCCACCGGACGAGCGTCGCGACTGGAGCTTTCTCTTCGAAAGCCGAGATAGATTATCATTTATAGATGGCAGATAAGTTTACATTTCGCACTTGAACTTATTGAAATGTTTACAATCAGAATACTGGAGCCATTGTCGATACTCTTCTAACTCCGGCCAACTCTATCACAGGCGCCAGCAAAAACGCCAAAGATCTGTCAAATTGGAGCCGCGGACGATGGCTTATGGCAGAGATTGGTGTGGGTGTGAGCAAACATTCGTGGTCTGTATCGCGCCTAATCCCTTCAACGCGTTGTTCCAGGCGGTGCCACCACCTACACTATTACAAAAGACTTGCCTACTCTTGACCCTTACACCGCTCCCCGATGAGCTATGCATTACGGAGGAATCGCCTTTCATCTCCGAAAGGAATGAAGTCAAGGGGACACGACTCCACTGCATACACTGGCAATCGGGAATGTCGCTGGTCTGCCAGTGCGGGCGACAACCTTGGTCTCCAAATGTGATGCCGGTGCCAGATCGCTGCTGTATTGAGTCTGGGCAGGTCGCCTGCGGGGGTCAACCTATCTACCCTAGTGCTCTGCCCCTGCCACCCTCTGGCCTGTCAACGTGCTCAGTACCCTGGCCTGTGCCTGCGCTAATCCAGAACCCGAGACATTGCAGGCGGGTTTCACGTAGCCTTGCACTGCCAAATCGGCCTGCTTCTTGCGTTCGGACATATGTACAAAGCCCAAGCCATACCAAGCCAGCAGGCCACTCCTTCACTGTCCTACTCCCACATAGGCAACAGACTCTTGTCGTGCTCTTACTGACCTCTCCCAGGGCAGGCACATGAGTACTCCCCTGCGGTACCTGCATACAAGTGATCGATTGATCAATGATAATATGTATACACGTACATATGTATGCATATCGAGCCTTGGGAAGTGGGCTAGTGCCCTTCAACTGTTGACGAACCCATTTTTACCTCGTCTGCGGAACGCTTTTCCGTGCTGGCTGTCGACTAACGTGATGCACCTCCCAGCAGGGTGCGGCCGTCTGAGTGGCTTGAAGGATGTTGTTGGATGAGAGCTCAGTGCAACCGCACGTCCAACCAAAGGTGTATTCGCCATCAGCCAAGCCACTCGTCACTGCGAAATGGTTGAGCACAGCAGCAGTGTGAGCCAAATATATACGTCGCCGATGACGGCAACAATACACCCAAGGTCACCCACATATAAACCCATGTGTCCCCATCTCAAGGACACATCTTTTACATCCCGCACAGATCCCACCTTTCTGCCAATCTCCCCACAAATCTACTCATCCCCAATCTCCTATCCATCTTCAACATGAAGTTCTCTTTCGCCGTTGTCGCCGCCTTCCTTATGGCTGTTGCAGTTTCTGCGCAGCCGGTCGAGGTCAGGTGTGAGTAAACGGCTTCGACGTGGTGCAGTCCACGGTGCACGCCAGCAGGCCGGCTGATGCGTTCCTCTTCGCACCGCTTCTTCCCCTTCCAGCTAACGCCAAGCCCCTCGGTGGCTGCCCTGGTGGCGGATGCAGCAGGTAAATACCAGCAGTCTCCCGCAAATCACTATCTATGCCCGGTGCAACGTATCTATCAGTTCCAAACCCAAGTCAATTATACTGGCCTCATTCCACTCAATTTAGTTCTACCCGCTTGTCGTATCCAAGATCTATGTACTGTCATTGTAACACCTAATCTAGCGTTGCCTTGCGCTTCAGTTCTTCGTCTGCACAAAACTCTTGTAAGATTTTTGGAAGATACCAGCATGTCGAGTACAATCGCCCCGCAGGCCTTTGCCCGTGATTTTCAGTCACGCTCGATTCAACGCCTTGTCCTGCCCTAAGTCCCTCCCTACTTTGTCCGAACCCTTCTATCCGCTTCCCTTGGCTTCGCCCCGTGAAATTCCCACATGAGCATGGTTACATAGGCCGATGAGCTCGTGAGATTGTCCGGCAAAAAGCTAGCAGAGCAAAAGGAGTCGTGCTTGACATGCCCCCCTACCCAATCTCCCACGTCCTGACGCCTCCCAGCCTCGCGCCAAGACATGCGTGGGAAACGCGTACTGTGCAACTCGTTCATGCGTAGCCCCTCATGCTTGCGAGATGCTACACATCTGCCCAGCGCCAGTACCGCCCAAAGCGATGCATCGCCTGGTGATCGGACTCCTGCGGCAGTGGCGAACGCCCTTGGAAGGCATGTCACATGGCCAAGAACCAAGCGCCCAAGCAACTTGCCGTATTCTCTGCACGCAGCCGGGGGCCTTCTTCCCACTCGAGAACTCTCCTCCTCAATGCAAGGATGCTTGTCGGAAGACCTTTCAAACTGTCGGAGCCACAGCTTGCCAAAGCCATGTAGCGGTGCTATGCACTTCTATCAGCAAAGTGGAGAGTGGTCCCGTCGATCTTCTGGCCTTCCTTCTCTCTGTGCCCCTCGTGAGTGTACCTTGATCACCTTGGCGTTTGATCTAGCTCGTTGATCACGAGGCACAATCATCAATTGCTCAGCATCCTCCGGTAAGGGGGCCCTGGGAACTGGGTGGAGCAGGAGCATGCACATGCTGCAGAGTGGGTACGCAAGGCTTTCGCGATTTGTACTATTATTATCCCAAGGCTTTCCAGCTTGCTCGCTTGCCGCAACCGACGCGGCCAAAAGTGGGTGACGTGGGCAAGGCGGGACGCGAGGTGGGGCAGCGAACAATGGCAGGGCAAGCACAAAGGGTATGAATTGAATGAAAAAACTGCGAGAATTGCGGTCACTTGATCACCTCTAATATTCAGGCATTGGTTAAGATGAGCTCCTGATGCAGTGAAGTTACGGGAGCTTACACGTGTCCAACGTGGCTCTACACTTAGGAAGAGTCTTTCTGACTTTCATGCCAGACAGAACGTTTGACGGCTCGATGCCACCACTGGGTTCAAGTCCAACCGGGTTCGATATGTTTCGACGCAGCTCTGCAAAAGAGGCATTTTGGGCCTCTCGGTGTGATCACAACGAGTGATCTGTCCGCTCAACCCGAGACTCACACATGCAGCACACGCAGCAGATTGCAGGACTGTTGCAGTTCGTATCACGATTGTACTTGCTTGATGAAGATCGCGTTGAGCCAGTATCCTTTCGCGGCTCGTCTAGACACGCCATGGAGTCAGGACACGCCTGAGCTCATCAAAGACTGTTCGTTTGCGTAACACGTTCATTGTTGCACACAATCACCAGTCGGTAGACTCTGGCATCATCGCAACATCGTCCATTGCAAGGTTGTCTCCAGTTCTCCACGGTGCATGCCAACTTTCACCGACTCCAGCAGAGTCATCGGGACCTCGCATCATCTTAGCGAGAATCTAGACACGGTCCAGATGAGACGAGATGTGGAAATGTGCAGCACTGCACTTCTGCATGCGTTCCGCAAAGAGCCGTCCATCTCCGGGGTTCTATCAAATATTCTCTCGCAACGGTCGAGAGAGAAGGTAGCCGAGCGGATTCACGCGCATTTCCGCTCACTAACCTGCAGTCACCAAGGCATGAGTGCACGACCAGTCCAGGAAACCGTAGTGGGCCCAGTCAGCTGTGCCTGTCCCTGAGCCTGGCACATCCAGGCACCACCTATGCCTTACATAAGTGTGTAGCGTGCTGCTTCATAACCTACATCACCCTTGCTGGATGTGGCGCAGAAAAAGATAAAAATCCTGTTCTGTCCATTCTCGAGTTTCCTCGATCCCCAAAAAACGTGGATTATTGATTGAGATCAAGCACTGTAGCAGTGTTGGTACGTTCCGCCACTTCTTCTGCGTTGGAAAGGGGTATCGGGCACTGCACTGCACTGCGCGGCACACCTCGCCTTCGAAGACGGCGGGGGCATCCACGCAGGCATACTGCTGCGCCAGTCTGCCATGTCCAGTCTGCTTCAAGTCATCATCCGGCGGCGCAGATTGATCGTCTTCACCTGCTTGCAGCCAGAGAGAGAAGATCCGTCTCCTGTTGTAGGAGAAACCTTGTACATCTAACTGGGCGTCTGCCACAGTTGTTCACGCGCGACCTTCTGTAGTTTCTCGTGCGCTTTGTGCTTCATCCGTTCGGGCACTATCTGGCGAGCGAAAGAAGCGTCCATGGCGTAGTTGCAACCCGCGAGGTCTCAGCGAGATGGAGATCCGGCAGCCGACCGAGCAAACCGAAGACGTCGTTCCCTCCAGCCAGAATGCTGCAATGCAGCTCCCCCCGGCGACGAACGTGAGACCTGGGACTGCCAGAAGTACATCACTGCACCATGCTTCGCCACCATTTGGCCTTAGTTTCGGCTTCGGCGTCGAGGACGATCCCAACCTCGTCGGAAGGCTCGCAACGGCGTCCCCACTTCTTGCTGGTGGCGACGTGGAACGGCCTCCCACTTCCCGCGGCCTGACCGGGGAACGTCCGGGCACATCGCGAGGTGTTGGAGATCGTCCAGGCACCTATCGAGGCTTTGGCGAAGCACGGCCTACGACATCCAGCGGCTTTGACGCGAGACCGGGCACGTCACAAGAGGTTGGCAGTGAGCGTCCCACCTCCTTCGGCTTCGTCTCATCTCACACTGTGCCCATCAACGAACGTGCCGAAGAGGACAACTACAGCAACGTCTTTGCTTTTGCTCCGCGTGAGTACGATGTGTCTCATCTGTGGCATTTATGATGCTCCTGACGCCCATCTACGCATATCTGCCGCAGCGCCATTGGAAGAAGCAACGATCCGGATTTCAGCGTCGGATGCGATCCGGATACTTCCTTCAACCCTTCAAGAGGCGGTAAGCAGCTCAGACGCTACGCCTGGCCCTGGTGTTTCCGCACGTGCCCCCCGGCCGGAGGCTGCCGTGCTGTCTGCTACAAAGTCGATTGAAGTGACAAGCCAAACTTCCGAACCTCCACTCAATGGGCAAGCGCAAAAACCTCCGTCACGGCGGCAGCGACGCCCGGCGTCGAGACCGGTCGGAACGCCGATTTCTCCGGACTCTATCCAATTGAATGCCCAGGGAAGAAGCTCGGAGGAGGACAGGATGTTTTATCAGGAGGAAGCGGAGCTATACGCAAGTGATGAAGACGAGAATGTGTTCGCTTTCATGCCTCGTGAGTAAATGCTACCGTCCATCTGCTTTGGCGGCCGCTCGGTGCTGATCCGTAACACTCCCACCTTAGCGGGCCTGGGTCCGTCCGTCGAGCTTGACGAGTCGTATGAAGTCAGGTCTTCCACCGCGTCAGAGCGAAAGAAGCCTTTGGGAACTGTTCTGGTGAAAGATGCGATCAACCTTGGAGCGACTGGCTCAGGCAAGGACAATGGCTCCATGGCTGATTATTTCAAGATACAGGCAAGCCAATTGCACCCAGCAGAGCTTCTTGCCGCCGCACAAGCCCAGCGCCGCAACTCGAATTTCGCTGCCTATGAACGCGGGCTGACCTTGCTCGGACGGCAAGCGCATGCCGATCATGCCTTCCAAGTTGCGTTCGAAGCTGCGCAGTACGAGATGGCGGTACAAGTGGCCCATACCAATGCTGTCAACTCATCTGGTCCCACCAGCATGACACTTGGCAAGCAGCGAGAGAACATCGGCAACCCTTTGGAACCTCTGCCAGGCTTGCGTGGTGGTGCGCGAAGGAGGAAGCGGCCGGCCCTCGCCGATGTGATCCAAGATCCGCAGCCGATACCAGAGCCAAACAGTACACGCAGACATGCGGTCGATATGGATAGTCAAGGACCTGTGGAGGGCGACGAACAAGAGGACTCAGATTACATCGAGGTTCGATGTTCGGTTTCGCATCTCGACGACTACGATGAGCACGCCTTGACATTGCGGGTTCTCATCATAGCCCTCTTCCTCATCACTGTGTCTGTCGGCGCCAACGCTTACTGGACCTTCCGCTATCCATCCCCCACCATCACCACTGCAGTGGCTGTCCTGGCCGCCTGGCCTGTTGGCAGAACACTTGCGCATTGGACACCCAAATGGACGTTCCACTTCCCCAAGCTCTTCGGTGGGCATGCCGTCCAGCTCAACCCGGGGTACTGGAGCATGAAGGAGCATTCGTTGATCGCTCAGATGGTGATGGTCAGCCTCAACACACAGGCCACTTACCCCATGTTCTCGCTATCCGCACTCGACCTGCCGGTGTTCTGGAACCTGCGTACACCATATTCCTTCGCTATCCTCTTCACGTTTAGCTCGATTCTCTTCGGCGCCGGTCTCGCCGGTCTTGGACGACGCTTCCTCGTCAAGCCCGCGTCGATGATCTGGCCGCAGAATCTGCAGATCTCGCTCATGATCAATGTCCTCCATGCCGAGCCGGAACCGGAGCGGGGCCGGATGAATCGCCTCAAGTTCTTCTGGATCGTTTTCGGCGTAATCTTTGTCTGGCAGATTGTGCCGTCTTTCTTGTTCACCGCACTTAGCACATTCAACTGGATCTGTTGGATCGCTCCGAGTGAGTTGTGTTGGTTGTCTTGGAGCGCGAAGAAGGCGTCGTACTCATGTTCTCCCTTCAACCTCGTCACTTCAGACAACGTCGCCGTCAATCATATCTTCGGGTTCACAAACGGAATGGCTCTATTCCCCGTGACTCTCGATTACACACAGCTCAATTATTTCGCTTCACCGACGCTAGCTCCTTGGTGGGCAGGTGCCAACCTTGGCGTAGGGTATTTGATTATGTGGGTGTTTATCGGTACGATCCTTTACTTCAAAAATGTGAGTAAGCAGCGTGTTGTGGAGTACTCTTGCTGAGAAGCTAATGGTATCCTCGCGGTGCAGGCTCTCAATTTCGGTTATCTGCCTTTCAACGGGCCTAGCAGCTCCGACAAATTCGGCCACAGGTACAACGCTCCTCGGGTCCTCAAAGGACAAGATTTTGATCCAGAAGCCTACGAGAATTACTCTCCACTCTATCTGACGGTTGCGTCCTACCTGGATTTCTGGTCATCTCTCGCGCTTGCCGGCGCTCTCCTGGTACACACCTACTTAAACTTCCAGAACTTTATTTGGATGAATTTGAGAACCGGCACAGCTGAGATCGATGATGTCCATGCGCGGCAAATGCGTCGATACAAGGATGTTCCGGACTACCTCTATGGCGTCATGATCGTCATATCCTTCGGCTTCGTCGTCGCTGCGGTTAAAATCTATGACCTCGGATTGCCGGTCTGGGGCATCATCATCGGCTACGCACTTGTCGGCGTCTACTTCCTTCCCGTTACTATCCTCCTCGCTCAGACTGCTCTCGTCACAACTGTTGTCAACGTGATTGGAGAGTTTATCATCGGGTATGCGTTGCCCGGTCGCGCAATCCCCAATATGATCTTCAAAGCGTTTGTCGTGGGGTCCACACTCTCAGGTCAAACCTTCTCCCAAGCTCTCAAGATGGGGCACTACATGAAGATCGGGCCGCGCTTCTCCCTTGCATGCCAGCTAAGCGCGATGCTATGGGCAGATGTGGTTCTATTGGCCGTAAAGGAGCTCATGACTGCGCGGATCCCGGACCTATGCTCCCACAATCAGGCATCTTTGCTTACTTGCCCAGGACAAAGGTTCTACTACTCTTCGAGCATCGTCTGGGGAGTGATAGGACCGCGGCGGCTGTTCAGCAGTACTGCCAACCGCATCAGTCTATCCTATGCGCTCGCCGCCGGTGCGCTCCTCCCGATTCCGTTCTGGTACCTGAATAGGCGCTACCCACGCCGCATATGGAAGTTCGTCAACGTTCCTCTCATGCTATTCGGAGTTCCCTTCGCAATGGCAGGCGACCCTGTAAACACGACTGCTTTTGTTGCCATCAATTTCATTGCTCGTGAGTGTTCTCCGACCCACGTCTGCTATAACTGTTTGCTGACTTCGGACTTCCTGCAGAGTACATCATCCGAAGGCGATATTTCCCAATCTGGGATCGGTACAACTACCTCGCAGGCGCTGCTTGTGACGCCGCGGCGGCCACATGCGGGCTGTTGCTGTTCGTGTCTGTTCAGATTCCCAACGTGACGCTTAACTGGATCGGGAACATCATCTGGCAGAACACCCGAGACCAGGAAGGTCGAGGATGGATACCAATCCCACCATCCGGCATCCCCTTTCCTTCGTGATAGGGGCCCGCTCGCGCAACGAGCGTCCTGGAAAGGCACTCTCATGCTACGCATCCTATTTAATGCACCGTTTGCATCTGGGTGCGAAGAAAACTGCTGCGCTTATAATGATATATGTCACCATCATCCTATCTATAGCTGGTCTTGATCGTGTCATGAATCACACAGAATTCTGCTCCAAGACACCCGCATGAGTGGAAATTGTCGGGAAAGCGATGTATTCAACGACGCCGACGATAAAGTCACAAGGGTGCTCCTCGCGCTCTCTTACGCGGTCGTGAGAACACATCCAAGGCGCTTTGGGGTTGTGCGCTTTCTGCTTCGCCACGTTTCTGCCTCGCCTCTTGCTCCCGTTGGGCTCGATTGCGCTCGAGCTTCTCGCGGACCGCCACCTACGCATGATTCAAGGGAGAGTACGTGAGTCAGGATCTCCTAAGGCATTAGTTTGTTCGAGCCCTGCTCACAGTTTGCGGGTCGATGACGTTCTTGCGCTTCTTGCGCAGGTAGCGCTTCAGTGCCTTGTTCCGGCCTCGTGCGCGCTTCTTCTCTTGGACAGGCCCGGCCTGCGCAGGGATATTTGCTGCTAGCCTGCTCCGAGAGCGAGGGTCTTCATCATCCCCATCATCTTCGGCCGCATCCAGTGCTTCCTCGGCTTCCTCGGCTTTCCCGTCGAGCTGAAGCCGCTCGATGCGCGATAGGCGGGCGTACGGACGCCCATCGGCCGATTTCACGATGGCCAACGAGCTTTGGGCTGCCACCGTGAGACGTGTCGGCGCTGCCGGTTCAGCCTGCAGCTGCAATGTCTTGCTCTCAAGCTGGCCGAGCATCTCGGTGTCGAGTGTGATCATATCTGGCTGGATCTTGTCGAGCAAGCTGTGAACCTCACGCTCGCGCTTTGTCCGCCTGTTCTCGAATGGATTGGCCTCGCTGCTGTCAAAGTTGGGCTCTCCGGCACCAGGTACGATCAAGCTGTCAAAGCCTTTGCCGTGCGCTACACCCAGAACGTCCTCAAACGGACAGAACGCTAGACTGAGTGGTTCGGATTTGGGGAAGTTCTGCGTGAGGTACGGACCAGGGACGCCGGACTTGGCCGTCGAGTCGAGCACCTTGGCCGGATCGTAGATGGACACATGAGTAGACCAAGCCATGCCGAGCAGCCCTCTCTGCGAGAATTGCACGTCAGATGCCGGCCTGGGATTGACCCACTCCTTGACTGCACCACGTCCGAGCATCCGGCTGTCCCACACCTTGACGCAGCCATCCATGCCGCTTGTCACCATCTGTCTCCCGCCATTTTGCGTGTTGATCGAGATGCCAGAGACAGGGCCGCAATGTGCCAGCAGTTTTAGTGCGGGCGTAGAGAGGTTCGGCGTCCACAGGGTCACGGTCCCGTTGGCGTGCCCACAATGCAAAACGGCAGTGAGTGGGTTTTGCGCGAGGACGTTGCAGAGCCCTAGCCCGGTTCGATGCTGCGATACGAGTTGTCCAGTTGAAACGTCTTGGTATTTGAGGTAGCCAGCACTGCCCTACATTGCATTGCCAAACCATAGAAAGAGCTAATCAGCGAGTCGCTAGTGCCAGCCTATGAAGAATCCACCCACAATAGTAGCAAGCAGGAAATGGTACGGAAGGAACTGCATGCGATGCACCTCTACGTGCTGCTTGAGCTTGTGAATCTCAGCGCCACTGTGTGCGTCGTAGATGAAGGCGTACTTTTTTTGTGCAACCGCAATGTAGTCCTGATTATGCAGCCACTTAATATCCCGCACTGTTTCTTTGACATTGATCTCGAAGCTGAGCTTGCCAGCATGCCAATCAAACGCGGCAATGTGCCCTTTCCTGCCTCCCAGCGCCAAATGCCGACCGTTTCGAGTGTAGTCGCAGCGATACGGCCCGAGACCCACGCCATCTCTTCCGCCATCCAGCTGCAATGAAAAGCTCTTGCGCGCTGTATCAACCCCGACGCTGTCACGAATGACAGACTGTGTGACTTTTGCAGTGCGTTCTAGGTCATCTTCTAATTCGATCAGGCCTGCCCCTTCGCCGGGAGCGCTGATATTGATGTACTGGTCAGCGAGCTTGGCATGCTCCGCTGCTCTTTTGGCAGAGAGATACTCGTTGGAGAGATGAGCGCGGAGCTTTTTGTCGTGGATCTTGCCAAACGACTTAGGTGGGCGAGCATTCTGCATCGATGACGGAGTGGCTTGCTGCAGCGATGTAGGCATGCGCGTGGCTGATGCGATGCTGCTCGATTGGAGCTTCAGCGCACTCTCATCGTGTGTGCTGGTTGGCTTGTCCTTCTTATCCTTATTTCCCTTGCCCCCTCTTTTCCTCTTGCCTCCCTCGCTGCGGGCTGACGCTGCCATTGGCAGCCGCGATGGACCCGCTTCAGGGGACGGTGGCATCCCGGTCTTTTGACGAGAAATGGGAATCAAGGAGGGTCCTTACCCGTCCCAGAAGCAGCGCAGCGCCGATGTAGCTCAAGACTCTGTTGACCTGGGGACGGTATCGAGAGAGAACGCGTATTTCTTAGTGACAATCATTTGCCAATGAGCAAACATTCAGATTTCTTGAACTTTGTGACTGAGTGAGCCTCCTCGAAAATTTCTTGGTTCCGCCGGATTTTGGTTGCCGACAACGCCAACCACCGTCGGCGACTTTTCTCTCTCTTGGTGGCAGCCACAAAGAGTCACGAACCACATGCAGCGACTCGGCATAAAGATATATCCTGTTTTTCGCCTACCGCTGCCGCACTCAGGATGGCCCTCCACCCTGCCCAAGGCGAGAAGAGATAAGTAGTGCGGCCTGACACGCTTCGAGTGGAAAGGCCGCAATGTCTTTGTAGCTCGGACCATCTCACAGCGTTCGCCAGAGGCGAAACTATCCGTTCACAATATGTCATGATTATTGCTCCGATCATCTCAATATACCTAAAATACATAGCCCAGTCAACGCGAATGGCAGGAAAACAGGAGTGCCAGTACGCTCGAGGTACGTGGAGCCCATGGCGGTGTGAGTGGCGAGTTCTCTAATAGGAAGGAGGGGCTCAACTAGCGCTTCTGCGAGAAAGCAGACACAGCGGCGCAGCCATCTGCGACTTGCATGGCTGGGAATTGCTTGATCTTTGAAGGTAGGATTTGGAACTGGGCAGCGAAGCCGGCTTCCATGTGACTGCGACCGTGCAGATCAGGAAGAGGACGTCAGCATTACCGGCATGAAGCGCTACATTTTGCTGTGCGAGTACTTGCCAAAGCACTCACGCAACAATATGGCAGTGGAATAGCCAGAGGCCCGGGTTGTCGGTGACGATACGCACAGCGACCCAGCCGTACGCAGGAACTGTGAATACATCCCTGCGCATGGGGTTGTTGAACGTCTGCTTCCGGTCCAGCTTGCTAGGTGTCCATGTGCCACTGCCAGTGCCAATGATCCACGGAATGTGGCCATGCAGGTGAATAGGGTGCTCGCCCTCGTCGTTGCTCGAAAGAATGATATCAAGCACCTCGATGCTGTCACTCATTGCAACGATCTGCGAGATGGGCGGTACGAACGCCGCATTTACCTCAGCCGCGTTGTAAGCCTCTAGGAGTGTAGAGTTGCCGCCCATCTCTGGCTCCCAAGATGTGCCATTGATGAAAGCCCGGTAATCGCTCTGCTGCGAGATGCCGAAAGAGACCGTCAACGAAGTAAGCTGTGTCGGGTTGGGCGGATTTATCGCTCGAAGCGGCCTGAGAGTCGACGCGTCCAAGCTAGAGTAGTTACCTGGGATCATTGGCAGCGTCTCGCTCGGTGTGGCATCAGCGGCAGCATTGCTGTAGCGCATGACAGCTCTCTGGTCTTGGTTGAGTGCAGGATTTTTGTATGAAAGCATGTCGTCCGTAAGTTTCCCGCGCATGTAGAACACTCCAGCTGGCTGATTAGTGTCGATCAGCACCGAGTACCGCTGAGCGACCATAACGTCCACGTCAGTAATTTTCTGCGGCTGTACCTCGGTGCCATCGGCCTCGATGAGCGTCATGACGTGGCCATCGATGGAAAAATTGATCGTGGCGATCGAACCAGTGTTGATGACACGCAGACGGTAGCGCTTGTTGGGCTCAAATGTGAAGTTGGCATATTGTCCGCCATCACACGGCGTGCCAGGCGGTAAACCCAAGCAGGTCCCTCTGCCATAGCCTGCAACAAGTCCGCTGTCTGGAACAGGTTCGGCACCCTCGAAGGTCCCATCTGCATTTCCGGGCTGGAAGTAAGTGGCGATCCATTGGGCGGAAATGCTGTGGTAAATGTCATTAACAATGACGATGATATCGCCATCGTACGTGCTGTTTTTTGTTGCTAATGAGGCGCCTGTTACGCCCGAGCCGCTGCTAGAGACGCTGCCAGCATGCTTGAATGAGTATGTCTCGTTGGGCGAATGCAGAACCAACGCGCCAAAAATACCATCCGTGTACTGTCCCGCGGCATGGGCGTGCCACCAACTAGTCATCTGGTTCTGCGCCGTCCAGTTGTATAGCTTTGTCTCACCGGGCGCGATGCCGCATTCAGAGACGCCAATCGTGCCGTCCATGAAGTTCGTTCCGTTTTGCAGTGCCCCGTGCCAGTGGATGGACGTCGTCGCATTTCCGAGCTCGTTCTTCACGTAGACAAGGATCGTGTCTCCCAGGTTGGCTTCGATGGTCGGGCCGGGCGACATTTGATTCACCGTGAGCATGGGTTTCTGCACGCCCGCAGGGTCGGAAAGCACGCGAGAGATCGTCCAGTTGTACGTGCGTACCGTAGGCGGTGCATGCCGGTCGAAAGACGCATCAAGCACAAATTGCGATGGGTCGACGAGTTGGCGACGTGGAATAAATGGCAGTGGCTTGCCGTTGTAGTTGGCTGTCACGCTGTTGCCAGACAATAGGGAAGCATTGCCGTTGGAGCGATAATTGCGAAGGCCTAGGCCGATGCCTAGGCCGAGTGCCAGCGCTAGGACGATAACGAACGCTGATCCGCCTGCTAAAAGCCAGCGCAGTTTCAAGCGACCTGTTTTGGAGCCAGGAAGCTTGCTGCTTTGGTCCAGCTCAGAATGAGATGTGCTAGCGGACGCTGAAGAGGGTTCTTTCGAAATAGGGACAGAATCTGCAGCGAGCGACATCGTGCTCTGCTGTGCTTTTGCTGCTTTGGCCGTCATCTTACTGTGTGCGACGAGCCCACGCAATGCTAGAGCGATGCATTCCTGAATGAAAAGTGAGGCTGTGAAAGCTCTGCTTTCTGCAAATGGTGGACGGTGCGTATGAAAGACGATATCAACGCGTCAAAGCTGGTGCTGGTCTTTTAAAGTTCGTTACCTGTCACTTGGACCGCACCACTCACGAATGCGTGCCGGCCTTCTCTATCATGTCTACGGCCGATTTTCTTGATGCCAATCAGCTCATCCTTCGATGAAGTCCTCTAGAAGAGTTGCCACTGCTGAAACTCTGAGAGCGTCCATGTAACAACGGTGCGGCTCTCAGACCATCGCATACCGTCAAATGAAACCCGATATCCAGCGTCGTTGAAAAGCATCTGAAAAAAATCTATTGTCTCATCGGTACCTGAGAGTCCTGAGTCAATAGGCAATGTCTACACTGACACGCTTGCTGAGTAGACAGAAACGTTGCTGCCTGCACCCGGTGCCTGGCTGATTTTCCCCTTACTTCAGGATCTTTTCCGATTTCCGAGCTCCAGTAGTCAAGGAAACAGTGGCTGAATTTTGGATGAAAGGAGACATGAAAAGGTGGATAATCCCCGAGCACGAGCAGAAAATTGGGGCAAGGCCACAAGCATTGTCACGGCGTTGTTTCACGAAACACGAATTAAGCGAGTAGGTATTAAGCGTTCATCCTACCGCGGGGATTTTAAGAGTTAGCGACAGTGATTTGGTGACATGCGCGTGGCCCGCGCTGCGCACGTCGGCCAGTTGCCGTCCCTCTCGCCTACCCGCAAGCCCGATGACTGCCAGTGAGGCTGTGAGTATGTGAGTCTGTGCCCACCCTGAACGCCTAGGCTTTTCATCCAAAAATCTCCCCAAATCCACTTCCATCCACACGTCAACATCGTCCACACAAACGCTGAATATCATATAGACCAAACGTAGGAAGTTAGGATAGGGCTTTGGGAGCGCTTGAAATTTGGACCTTGTAAAGCGCTTGCCGGCGGAGGCAGGGAGCGAGCCGCAAGACTGCCGTAAGATCCCGCAGGGCGGCAGCAGCAGCGGCGGTAGTCCAAAGCTGTCCCAACGACTCCCAACCTGTCATTATAAAGCGTAGTCATGAACAACTTTTACATGTTACATATAACTATGTATACTGTTGTAAGCTCTACTGCAGATACGTACACGTTCTATTGCGCCACCCCGAAAATTGCGCTTCACTGAGCCTGCGAGCAGCCAATCAGAGCGCTCATTTGTTGCACGTTGAATACTTTGGCGCATTTTGCTGAAGCTAGACCATAAGCCATTCCAGTCTACAGGTCACTGCACGTTGCATGGACAGTGAAACGAAATTGCAGATGCGCAGAAGCGCGCAGGACGCCGAAGCAGGAGTGGCGCAGGTCTGGACTATGGAGAGGTCAGCGACCAGTATAGATCAGTGGCAACGCATGGGCGCCCGCTGCAAGTGGCCTGTTGGAGTTTGGTGCAGCCAGTGTGCTGCGCACGGCCTGTGATGCCCACTGGTAATGGCCCTGGAATCAGAATGACCTGAAACGAAGGAATGCACGTAGATTTCAGGAACGCAACATCGTCGTCCCCATGTCCGACGCAGGCATGGTGACCACTTCGCGGGGCCCTTTTGGTTTTTTGGAAATGCAGGGTCAACAGTTTTTGTTGCATTTGTCTCGCCTCTCGTTCTTCTTTCATCACATATACATTCACATCATTGCAGGGATTGTCTCGATATCATGGTCCTCGAGCTTCCAGAGCTCGCCGGGAGAGAGGCGGCACTCAGTAGACGCTGGCATTTAACAAGCAAGTAAACATGTCATTAAATTTGAAATTTGAAAAGGGCAGACGAATGAGGAACGAGCTAATGGGCGAACAACGTGCACGCGCACATGCTCACATGTAAAATTGGATGTCCATGAATTCCTCACTCCGTAGTTCTCTGTAGATGGGGCTGTGGGTGGGAGGGTCGCTGCCTTGCTGGGTAAGCAAGGTATAAATCTTGACGACGACATCTGTTTGACCAGAAAAGGAGGAGTGGATTCTCTCCCTCATTGTCCACATCTCTTTGCGATTCATCGTACGCTCTGTGAGAAACAACAGCGCACGCACGTACGAAGATGCCATCTCTTTCCACCCTTGTGGCCGTTGCGGCCATCCCAGCCGTAGTGAACGCGTACCCCCTCAACTTCCCCGGCGCCGGTCGCATTAGCAACCTCGCGAAGCGCGCTCAGCTTGCTCTCAACTTTGTGGCTCCTTCAACTTCCCCTCTTGTCCAATCCCCAAACTACGCTGGCGCTGCGAACGGCACCCTTTCCAAGAAGGATGTCGTCCCTGGCAAGGCCTTTGACCGCCTCATTCAGTAAGTTTGGAGCACAGCTTATCTCTGCTTCATTTTTGTACAAGGGCTCAGATTCCTTCGCTTTTTCCAGCATTTGGCTCGAGAACACGGACGCTGAGATTGCCATGGCCACGCCCTCGTTCTCTTCCCTCGCTCAACATGGCGTAACCCACTCACAGCGCTACGCACTTACGCACCCCTCGGAACCAGAGTACCTTGCTACTGTTGCTGGAGACTTCTTCGGCATGGCAGATGATGCGTTCTATCACTTACCCGAGAACATCACTACGCTTTTTGATCTCTTCGAGGACGGTGGCTCGGCTGGTAAGCCTATCAGCTACGCATGCTACCAGGAGAACATGCCGTCGAACGGATACACCGGCTTCAACTACACCGAACACAACTACCTCACTGGCAACGGAACGTACACATTCTACGTCAGGAAGCAGTAAGTATGTGCTCCTAGCCTGACAATTTCGCGACAAGTCTGACTCTCGTCTTGAATCATTAGCAACCCTTGCGCCATGGCTGATTTCGTGTCAGGGAATGCCACTCGTGCTATCGAGGCCAACCGCAACTTCAACCAGTTTAGCACGGATCTCGAAGCAGATGCTCTTCCGCAGTGGATGTTTATTGTGAGTGGGGATACGATGACAGTAGGAAAACTTTAACAGGAAACTGACAATTTTGCCTCAGACACCCAATCTGGTAAACGATGGACATGACACGACGCCCGCATTTTTCTCAAACTGGACGGAATACTTCCTTCTTCCTCTTCTCAACGACACTCGCTTCAACAATAACAGGTATGTTCTTCACGTCACCGAAAGCTCATTCTGCCGATGACAAACGAAGGAATGGATCCATTGTGCTGTCATTATTTTCCAGGACTGCAATTATCTTGACATTCGACGAGAATGAGAGTTATGGAGACCCAAACCGTATCGCAACGATTCTGCTCGGTGGCGTCGTTCCCCAATCGGCTATCAACACCACCGACTCGACATATTACACGCACTATTCAGACATTTCTTCTGTTGAGGCCAACTGGGGCCTCAAGAATCTCGGTCGTGGCGACATGAACAAAACCCTCGCAAACGTCTACTCAACGTTTGCTCATCAGCTTAATCACACTAACACCGAGGTCTCTGGCGACGCGATTCCGATCAACAATGCTACGGGAGTCTATCCGGGTGCGTTTTCCAATACGCAGAACACCGACTTCACCTTCCCGCCCAACGCGGACAACAACACCCTCATCAAGGCCGGTCTGAACAAGAGCATGACGGAGCAGGTCGCATTTGCCTATCAGGTGAACTTGACCAGCCAGCATCTGCCGAACCCGTACGGAAGCAATCCATTCCCGCTCGATTACGTTTCTCGCAGCGGTAGCTCGAACGGCGCTGCTGGCACCTCAGGTGCAGGCAAGGCTGTTGCGGCGATCGCTCTGTTGGCTGGCGCCGCCTCTCTGCTTTGAGTGCGTCAGGTTGCCCGCCCTGACTTTTGCAATCCGCTGGGGTCAAATCCACCTCACATTATTGAATACACATGCGCATGGATGGCCGCGAGCATTTTGGGGCCACCGTGTCAACATCAGGTTGTCGTGCTACAAACTCTCCCCCCAGTCAATAGACAGTTGGTTTTACTCTCCAGATGTCCGGACAAAAAGAAAAAATTATGATCATGTCCTTCATTCGTGTTTCATGCGACTGAGAACGACCCGTGTGGGGCGGCGGCCAACCTGCTCATGTGATAGAAATCTCGCGTACTTTCATACACTATCGTTGCTGCTTGCTGGCCTTTAGTTCACCTATGGGCTCAGCGCTGAGGCGCTGATATCTGATGTTTTCCCCACCACAGCAAGCAAGTACGCAAAAACACGCTTTTGGTGTTGTCCAACACTTCCAGATTGATTTTCTGTTAACAAAAGAGTGCCTTGTCAAATTTGTCCTTTTCCGCGGTTCGATCAATCTTAGGTAATTGATATTTTTTTCTCATCTCGTCCGACCGAGTAGCCTAGTGTCGGAAGTAGCGGAGGTAAAGACCAGGGAAATAGTAGAAACTTCACATAAGTCAAAAAAGAAGTGCGCCAGGCGCCGGAGACGAGAGAGAGTAGGCTGTCAACTCCCCAAATTATCCGAACGAACTTTGTGCCTGCCAACGAGCGAGCTTGATAATTGTATCCCAAACTCCTGACATGTCACATTGCTGCAAGGGACGGAGCAAGGTCATCAGCAACCATATCGACACGGGATTTTATGTGATCGCGTGATGTTCCTTGCCAGGTTGGTTTCGCGTCAGTCGCATTTGATTACCACCTTGCCCACCTTCACTGCCGCTCAGATTCGTCATCAACAGCGAACTGCACTGTACATCTCCCATCGTAATCTTCTGCAGCATTCTCCGGTCCTTTCAGAACCTGATTCACAACGAGCCAAGTCTGACAGGATGCCTTTGCCGCTACATGAAGCCTTGCCTCGCGAGGATCTGAGGATCTCTTCATGTTTCCGCTTTCAGGTGCGTATGGGCGCTCGCAGCGACCGTTTTTGGGTCGACAGAAGGAGGGGTTGACAATGAAAATGGAAGCGGAAGAATGTCGACCTTGATCATAGGTCAGACTACGGGTGTGCCGTCCGAATTCTATCAAGCCTTCGCAATATGTGCACCAGCAAATGGCGATACATTTCACCCGCTAACTCTGTCGCTGATCGCTTGTCTGTCCTGTGCTTCCACACGTTCCAGCTGGCTGGCATGGAAAGGCTCGCCAGCCATGCCTTTGACCTGCGACTTCAGGGAAGTAGTTTCGTGAACGACTGCGCTGGCCAAATCGGCGGCATGGAGCTCTCCCGGAAGGAGCGAGCGCGATAGGTGCTCAAGCACGGCTACCGCGTTGGTATGGATCTGTAGCCGAATCAGACTATGGTGCGATAATTGTGTACGTGCGCAAGCGTTTTTGTCAGCTTTCACCTTCATAAATCTCTGATCACCAGGGACAACGAAGAAGAATGGAGATGATGCTGACCGCGAATTCGCTCGGAGAACACATTGCCCCAATCTTTGTGCACACGTTGCGATGCCACGATCCTACTGTACATGTGGACAGGTTGCTCACAGCCGGCAGCGCCCCGCCATATATTGGCTTTGCTGGGAATCCAGGGAAGACTGTCCAAGAGGGCCTAGAGGGGCGATATGCGATCGACCAGGCTGGGTACATGGATCTAGGAACGATCCACTGGGCAGGATATCCGGTTTCCAGGTTGGACGCCTTGCAGTGAGTAACTAGGAATACCAACCCAGTGAAGCCAATCTTGAGCATAGCGGCTTGCCGCTTCCGCCAATTCCATCTCTTTGAAGTTCGTGGTTTCGAACTCTACAGTTATCTGGGCGGTGTCCCCGAGCTCGTGCAGTGCTTTGACGAATGGCACATACCCACATTGGACATCTTCCTCTCGAACGACTTCATCTGCAAAGTGTCGTTGCGAATGTCGCATGCCTTCACACGTATTCTCGGCGCAGCGGTGTCCGTCGAATCGGAACGCAATTGACAATGGTGGGAGCCAGGGACCCCTCTAGGAGACAAGGCGGACACGACGGGTGTGAGAGCGTGGTAGTCATCAGCATCTGCAATTGAAACCGGTCGACAAGGCGTGCCAATGCTCGAAGAGGGTATTCAGGAAGCACGGCTAGCAGTCACCGCCAGCAGTTTTTTCTTGGACTCTCGAGCTCTCGGCTGGTTTCGAGGCTCTCCGATACCTGTCGGGCTTCAGCAGGAATTCGAACTATGAGATGGGAAGGAGGACCCAGGCCGAAAGTCATTCGCCACGTGGACGCATTCAAAATGTTGAAGATGAACCGACCTGGTCAGCCGAATATTCGATTGTGGGACCTGATGTGGGACTTTATCCAGCGTGGAGAGATCCCAGATGCGGATTGGTGGATGAACGAATAGGCGAAACGCGCAACCTCGAGCCAGTGGGACCATCGGCTGTTGGATCAGAAAGATAAGGATACATGCACAATGATAAAGAGCAGGATTTCGACCCGAAAGAGCAATTTCAGTCCAGCAGAAACAAGGACATCAAGCCTGACTAACTGTTCGAAAGTAGGCTATAGCTGCTATGAATTGACTTGTAGCAACTTGTACTGTTCAGGAGAGCGTGGCGAAATCATGCTTTGCGGTCGGCACAAGCGCCCCTGCTCTTCTCTGCCAATTTTTCCTGCCTGAAATTGCATCAAACTTTCTTCGCGTCCGCAGTGCGTGTAGGAATGCTTCTGGACGCGATGACGATGCGAGTGATCTACGCCGAAGGCTGGTGGGTGTGCCTAGGACTAGGCTGCCGTGGCCCATGATTACGCCTTGGTGGTAAGGAGGCTCTGCAGTGCCGAAAAACCGAGGCAAGACCGGGCAAAGGACACTGGCAAAGCCAGAACGTGCGCTTTAGCATATCTGCGAGTTCGTGATGAGTAGGAACAAATAGTGTGAGAAACAAACAAGCAAAATCACCACAATTCAACGAACAGCTCTCTCATCAAGCCTCAAAAAATGACAGACCGCCGGCACAGGTTGGGTGGGTTCCCTTGAATCTGATACAGGTACCGATCAGGATCCAGGAGAGAACCATAAACTTCCATAATATTAACGCCCATTACCGGAAACATTGGAACCCCCCGAACTTGAAGGCGCATTGGCAAGTATCTCGTGCCTTGGGAGTTTTGAGCTCCAAGAAAAAGGGGTTTTCCGCGGTCGCTTTCGGGTTGTACAGCTTTCACCTTTCCTTTCTTTACCAAGCTCGTCGTTGGTGCTGCCTTGAAGCTTGCTCCAAACCTTTGATGATCCATGCGCGCGGGTGAGGCACCGAGGTCTGAGAGGTGCAAGTGCGTCGGCCACACGAAAGCTTCAGGTTTGCTTGACCTGTCGAATCGTTTTGCTATTCTGCCGAAGCAGCGCTGGTGCTCTATTCAACGAAACCTTTCCGCCAAGTACATCGTTTCATCACCAAATACAGCCATCCAATCTCACGAAGCTAGAGGAGTACATCCTCGCATTTGCGGCATTGTTCTTAAGCACTGCTACTCATCAGTAATTCCCTCATCATGGACCGCGAGGGAGCTGTATTGACGGCAGCGTTTTCGAAAACGATTTCGATTAATGCAATACGGCCGCCGTCTCCTTATGCAAGGCTTTCATAAAGAGTGGACGACTCATCAGTTTCTCCCGCAAAGTCGAAATGCAACAATCAACAGAACCACCTGTGAATAGTACGCCGGAAGGCGAGGCAGAGCCCTCGCGCCCTCGCCGACCCTGGCTTCCGGTGCGAGAGAGGAGCAACGCTACCATCACTTTCGCTAGCAACAACGGCGGCAGACGCACCGCTTCTCATTCACCGCAAGGAGAAGTTGATGTGACGGAACAGGTTGCAGCTATGGAGCTTGAAGACCTTTTAGCTTCAGGTCTCGCGTCTGAAACGCTTCCAAAGAGGGATCGTTGGCCAATTTCTTCTCCGTCTTCAAGATTAGCCACACACATGAGTAGGATTACGTCGCCACTTGCGGGCGCTAGCTCACCATACCCTCGACAAAAGGTAAGTAATGCACCAGGACGCAGACGTTGGATTCCCATGATCTCGTCTTTGGTCATTCTGGGCCTTCAGAACGCCGGGGTACGTTCGAGAGGATCCACGCAACGACGGCAACGGTCTGACGAACCTGACGGATGCGAAGACCATCGTCTCGCTGAAGAAAATATCGCTGACAATGATCAAGGAAGCGATCAGCAAGCCCATCGTGGAGCTGAATGCAGCGACAGAGATGAAGGCTATGACCATGAGGATGAAGATGAAGGCAACGAGGATGAGGAAGATGATACTTCAGACTCGGATTCGCTTGTCACACTCGAATCAGAGGGTGAGCGTGAAGCCAGTCCTTCGCCGAGTGGTCGAAAGAGGCGGCAGCAAAGAAGGCCTTCACGGCTATCGCAACCAGTCAAAATCGGTGAGCTTGGGAAACGCGGGCTGCGCAGGCGAAGAAGGCAGAGCGAAACGCACGCCAGTGCGGATCTTGGTGCTTCGGGTCATGCTGTACTGGAAGGGGGTGAAAGAATCAGGGAACCTGGTCCTTCAATTCTGCAAACTCGAACTCGCCCATCAAATGCACGACCTCAGGGCCGTGGGCAATTCCACTCTCAATCCCAGTCTCAGTCCGATTCACACACCCAGCTTTCAACGGGGATGAAAAACGCGTCGTATGAGAGCATACCCGTTGCAACAGGTGGCACGATGAAATCGCTCCACATTCCAAAGATCCCACCCGCGCCGGACGCCAGGAACGCGGAACGTTTGATACAGGTTGTACAGCAAGGTAACAAGATACCGAAAGCCGCGCTTGGGGGCCAGCAACAGGGAGTAGGAGCAGGAACTAGGTCTCAGCAGGCTGTCTCTGCAGAGGGTCCTGCGCCAGCGCGCCGGCGTACCGCAGGCTTGCACCTATCCTTCGCACCCGAGCAAAAGAGGGTGCGCAGACGATACCTGCCAGAGGGATACGTGCCCGGGGATACGTATCGATCATTGGACGAATTTGTGCGTGAAGCGCGAGATCGTCGACATCGAGGACGACGGGGACGAAAAGAACGTGGATCATCAGGCTTGGCGGCATCCGGGAAGAGTAGTGGTGGAGGTTCGAGACGCGGAAGTCGAAGTTCGGCAGCTGGCTCTACTGCCGCATTGTCCAGTAGCAGTAGCAGCTCTTCTTCTAGCTCTAGCTCGTCGGATAGTGGTTCGAGCTCGAGCTCTTCAAGCAGCTCCTCGGAAGGCGGATACGGCTTGACGATAGCTCGGCTACGGGCTTTCTTCGGAGACGATTCCTCTTCAAGCTCATCGTCTAGTTCCAGCTCTTCCAGCAGCTCTTCTTCGAGTAGCTCATCCCGCAGATCGGCGTCCGGTCAATCGATCACCAGCTCCGTCTCCGGTCGTTCAGCAAGATCCTCGCGCAGTGGCCGCTCGCGACACCAGCATCACGGCAGCAGCAAGAATCGTAGAAGGAGCCGACGCAGGGCGGCAAGCCGCGCGGCATCTAGCAGTCGCAGATCGGCCAGTCCGGGCGGCTCACCCGTCTCCATGCGGCACCTCAATACATCTGTCATCGGACCAATCGTGAATGAATTTGTTGAGCGTCGCCGACGCGGTGGAGGAGGACAGTCATCGCGTTCTGCTCGCCGAGGAATTAAAGCAGGCAAACAAGCAGCAAAGCGCGCCAAAGCTCGTGAGAAGCAGCTCATTGAACAGGGTATCCTGCCGCCGAAACCTAGCAAGCATGCCAGGCACAAAGCAAAACGCGCTAAAGAGGCTGCTGGGGGTGTGACGCGCTACACAATGTTTACTCCTGTTCCCCTCCCAATCCCTTTACCGGGACAGCCGCTGTCCATGCCCAATACCGTGGCCCAAGGTCAAGCGGCAGGCAGAGCCCTCTCTGCTAATCGAAGGCACACGCATCGCACACACCATATGAGTGGAGTGGGCGCGGTCAGCGGAAACCTTCACCCTGCTGCAAAATTCTTTGAGACCGGAGAAGCCAGCAAGGTACTGCAGACCATCTCGTTGCTAGCTGTCAAGCAGCAGCTGTACGCATTGCGCGCAACTCGCAGGCAGCAAGATGCTGCAGTAGGAGACCTCGCTGGAGAAAGGAGCGAAAGGAGAGTGGAAGCCACCAGTGGTAACGATTTCCGTAGTCACGCCTATCGAAAGAGGAGCAACGACACTCGGCCGGCCTTGGATCTAGATGCAGAAGCCGGAGACCTCGCGTTGCCGCCTCCAGCATTGGATCTGGAAAAGACAGCACTAGAGAATCTTTCGTCACACACCCGTGATAGAGGCCTCTCCAGCAAACAAGCTTCACAGGATGCTGCCGATGACGCAGGGCGGGACGAGCGAGAGCTTGCGTGGCAACACATGAGCGACATCCCGCTAAGCCCCCATATCAACTTCGCACTTGAGTTCTCGCGTGGACTTTCGACTATCCATGCTCCAATACCGTATCCTGTCGCCTCTACAATTACGGACATCTCGATGCGCGCACATGCTCCTGATGGCTTTGATGCTTCCTATCATAATACTTCAGCAACGACACCAACGGGTGTAGGAGCAGTCAAAAGCTCCTTTTCTCCGCCTCCGCCTAAGGATGACTGGCCACAGACTCTAGTGGGTCCCTCTGACAGCGGGGCTGCTTGGTGGTTAGATGTTAGCTTTCCGACTTATCGAGATATGGTAGAGCTGAGTAAGGTGAGCGAGCTTCATCAGAGGCCTATCCGGCGGTGAACTAGAACATTTCGCATTACAGATGTTCCCTTTACATCCTTTGACGGTGGAAGACGTTTTGCAACAGGAGTCGCGAGAAAAAGTGGATGTGTTCGAGAAGTTGGGCTACTACTTCGTGGTCATCCGCGCGATAGACGAGCGCTACTTCCGCTACACCTCCGGCACTGCATCCAACCCGGCAGAGACAATCAATGAAACTGCGTCGGCTACGCTCCCGAAGATGATTTTCAAAGAGGACAACGATGTCAATTCATTTGAGATGCAGGAACGCAACACCGAGAAGGTGCTGTCAAAGCTTGGCAGTCACACTGCAGACTCCCACAAAGATCTACAAACGACAGCAGCGCAGAGCAAGAAAGCAAGGGTTGACATTATTGAAGGTCTTGACGGCAAAGAAGGTGTGGAAGGCGTGAGCGTGGGTGCAGTCAATCTGTATCTGGTTGTGTTCACCCATGGTGTTATTTCGGTATGTCACCTTAATCAGGGTTTGGAAAAAAACAGCCCTCCGCTGACTGGAAATGTGGTTCTGCAGTTCCACTTTGACGATGTCTCAAAGCATACAGACTACGTCCTGAAGCGCCTTGTAGACCTTTCTCAGCCGGTCGATCTGACATCCGGTGAGTCGAAACTTGAAAATGAGCAATAGCTCAGGACGCTTACCCTCTTGCGCCAATCAGATTGGATCGCCCATGGCTTGTACGACTCGGTAGTCGATGCGTTCTTTCCCCTCCTATCATTTGTCGAGACGGAGCTTGTCGACCTTGAGCAAGAAGCTGGCGATCCGACCGATCCGACCATGAGAGCCGACCACATCCCTGTGGATGAGATCCGTGCTATCACATACAGCGCTCGCAACGGCCATGATGACTTGCCTTTCACAGTTCTGCAGACCAGGCGAACCAAACTGCGTTACGCGTTACGCTGGCTCAACTTCATTCACCTTCCTCTTTGGTTAGCTGAGCGTCTGCCCAACGTCCTGATCGAGCAGCAATACCAGACCAAGATCAAAACGGAGACCTCAGCATCTTTGCTCGATCGTGTCCGCTATGGTACTGGGAAGAAGGCGCTCGAGACACCTGAAGCCTTCAAGAGCCGGACTGCGCTTGAGCAGAGCAACCTCCTGCGGCGGATCACTCAGACGCGAAAGATCGCAACGGGCATGCTGCGGCTGCTGGCTCCGAAAAACGATGCGGTTCGCGGCCTGCGCAAGCGTCTGACGGAACTGCGTTCCGCCAGCATGGCCCGCACGGAAGTGTCTATATATTTGGGCGACGTGCACGACCACATCATTGCTCTGCTCGCGCAACTTCAGATCAACGAGGCCCATCTCGGTGACTTACACTACTCTTACCTCTCTTCACTTACCATCTACAATAGACGGATTAGACAGCATGCAGACAGGAAGATCATCACGCTGGCCACCATCACGCTTACCATCGTCACCTCAGTCTTTATCACTAGTCTCTTTTCCTTCAACGTCAAAATCCCCGGCAATGATTTGCTTGGACCGGATCACTGGTGGTTCGGCATCGTCATCGCCATCATGTGCACGAACGTGCTCATCATCCTCACATGGCGCTGGTGTCTCTTTAAACGCGCGCACCGCAGGCTGACCCTACGCAGAGCTGCCAGATAAGCTTCGCAGTCCGATGAATATCCATGCACCCTGTAGAATAGACAATTAGCCTCACGCAATAGAAATCTATTCATAAAAGTAGCATTGCATTTGTGGTGTTTATTGGTCAATGATTCGATAGCCCTTGACCTGTGGACAGATAGGGCTGTTGGTCAGCGAAAATCTAAGGCTAACAGGGTCACACCTTCTCAGAACGGCGACGCAGCAGAAGTAACCGATGTATCCCAAAGACAGCGAAGGTGTTCCAAGAATGACCGACTTCGACCTTGTCTATCGCGAAGGCATCCAGGCTGAAAAAGCTCAGGCTTGTGGCCCAGCATTTTCCCACCTTGAGCATAAAGTTAGCCTTAGCCCACGAACCTTCCATGCGCTGGCCTCCAGCGCTGCTACTTTGCCCCGCTCCATACGTATCTCTTACTTCATCCATGTCGATGCTCCCCTTCAGGAAAAAAGAGGCGCTCGACTCACCTTTGCGTCCTTGAGCAAGTCCAGGTAGGTCTGCGCGAGCTCGTGGCAGACCTGGTAGTGGTTGACACCTTCGGCCTTGTGGCACTTTTGCAGCTCCTCTCTGACTATCCGCGCCTGCATTGTTCGGATCCAGTCCTCCCTGATCTTCTCCTCGCGCCGCGCGATGATCTCTGTGAACAGCACAATTGCAAAGGTTAGTCTGCATGCCTGTCCCAATCGATGGTCTAATGAAAAAAGAAGGCAGATGGCCACGCACCGGAGTACTCCTCCGCAGACGGGTGCTTGGCTTCCATTTCGTACACGCACAATTGACTTGCGCTAGCGAGCTCCAGACAGTGTCGATTCGCACGCAATGAAGCGTACCCTTCGCGAAAGTCGTCTTTGAAGGGATGGAGGTGTTGAGAGCTGTTCAGACAGATATCAATTTATCAAAGAGAGGAGGGCGATGCCTGATGAACTCATGAGGCAACACCAGTGGGCTGAGGTGCTTGGTGCAGTCGGCACACTCAACTGCTGCCGAGTGCTGTGCCGTTCCATCATCTCGTTCCGCCGGGGGTTCTCACCGTCAACAACTCATCCTCTTCCATCGCCGTAGCCCACATGTATAGTTGCTTCCACCTTGCATCTATATATGCCCTTCTGAACGTTGATGCAAAAGCGATTGGTCTTTCTTGCGGTCGGCACAGTGGTGGGCGAGTAAGCGAAGGTAAAAAGAGGCCACCAGCATTTGGCACAGGCGGTGGTCGGGCGACAAGATATGATCCAAGAGCACGCATAACAGCAGATGGTGTGCGAGACAGCTGTTCATGTTACAAAGAAACAGCTTGCACAATGTAATTGTACAAGGGATGCGGTACAGAAATGATCGCATTGCAGGCTATGCTTCGATACTTCCTCCCAGGCTTCGGCGGCCTGGTCAGCGAGCTTTTGCATGCGCGAGGGGGCCTTTTTTATGTTGCCTCTTGTAACACTTGAGCGTTGGTTGTCTTCATCAAGCTCGACGTCCTCTACGGTCCGCTGCAGCATGTCGCGAAAAGACGCATCTCCACTCTCATCTCTCCTTTTCCTGTTGCTTACTTTATCGTCCGCATCTAGCTCCTCGCCAATCCAAGCAGGGATAGGCTGCCATGTGCGATAGAGTTAGAAGTAAGGCCTATGGCTCCCCCTAAACGCGAAAGTCAATGCACACCGCAGATTGAGGTGGTCTCGTGCAAGCAGTTTCGCTAGTTTTCTGCACTTGTGACAATTCTCCTCATATTCTCGCTTGTATACATCGAACGCCACCTCCATCTCTCCGAGCTTCCATGTTGTCGACTGCCAGCATCGCCATTCCATCTCTCACCTTGTGCGCCACTGCATATTCAAGCCGATTAGGGCGCTGTGAGGATGTGTGCACAGAATGGCATAATACGCTTCTGACAGATCCCTTCCCGTCATAAGCATCCAGGCTTCGAGAGCCGGTGGAGAGTTTCCTGTACCTCTTCTCGCAAGCCAACTCGCCGCGACGAGTGGGCTAAAATTGTGAAGAAGATCCAAGCTGCTCGCATTCGTCCTGGTCCGAAAGGGTAGCGAATCCTGAAGCATAAAACCTCTAGTTACGTCTTTGACGTCGTGTGACCGAATCGTGCAATCGCCGCTCTGTTCCAAGGCGGACTAACACGAGAATGCTGCAATTCCAGTCAAAGTGGCAGCGTGCATCCGTTGTATTAGGCGTTCTTCTAAGCGCTTGTTTTCTTACCGTTTGCCTGCTCGTCCTCATAGAGGTGAAACGTGTCGCCAATAAGTCCTGCGTATTTGCTATACGTTGGCGTTGACGGTGGCAAAGATTGCTGGCACCGTGTAGGAAGCTTCTCAGTCTCGTCTTCCGAGTCCGGGTCACTAGCCGCCTCCGATTCAAGATCGTCCTCAGAGCCGCCGTAGGATCGCTTTCGGCGCTTTATGCTGACACGGAGCCATTGAGAGCTTGTCTTCGCGTCTAAACTGTCTCCAGAAAGCTCTTCAACATCTCCTATGCTACTGCTATCAATCTTCCTATCCCTGTCACTGCCCGTGCGGCTTCCACTTTGTTCATCGCTCTCCGGGACGTCGTGGCTGTTGTGGCCGCCTTCATCGCATTCTTGGGATGACAATGAATCATCAACTTTGCTGAGAGTTGCAAGGTTACTGCTGTCGCTTTTGGTAGTGTCATTTACCGCAGGGGACTGTTCGAAAGCAGCTGTGGGGGTTTTGGCGACCTCCAGCTTCCTGATAGAACCGGGCTCTTGGCGATGCTCACGATCTCTGTTGATTACCTCCTGCTCTTGCAGATGATGTAGCTCTTCCGTGGAGAATCACTCTTGTGGATGCGGATTGAATGCTGCTTCACCTTCGCCCTTCGAGTGGGAACCTTGCTGGGCCACTCCTGTTCGATAGATTTAGTCCGACTCTTGATCTCCAACGCCACGGCTAGGCGAGCTAGCCAAAGGTTAGGAGGCAGCCGATTTGGTCGGAGCATCTCGTCAGCGTCGGCACCCCCAGGAACTTCACAAATCTCAGAGCCTTGTACAACTTGATCTGACCGTTGTTCTTGTGCTTGAGGTGAGAGCTGTGCATAGACTTGATCGACACATTCCTGGTCTCTACACAGGGTGCCCAAGGGGATTAAGACAATGGGACGATGTTATCAGTCTGATGTGGGTACCGATTTAGAACTCTAGGGGATCCCTGCACTTGATTACCTCCGTTGTGGGATTGTACACTAACTCGGGAGATTGAGGAGGACTAGACGATGGGAGCGGTCCCTTGAATGGTTCGCCTCCGCCTGAGCGGGTGTCGACTCTTTCCGCATCATGTCACCTTTCGCAGCACTTAGGCACGCCCGGATACAACAGTCAATGAGGTTATCGACGTGAGAACATCAATTGGGAAGGGCCATCCGCCACGGGAGCCGTTATTCAACACCTCGAGTCGAAAGCTGCGAAAGTAAAGCATGGCCTGCGAGGCTATGACGGATGTCAAATGTGATTCTGGCCCGCCGTCATCAGGGCGGGCGAGGTGCACGAGTTCCTCTGCGGTGCAAGGGTCAAAAACGGACGTGATTCGCTGTTGCATCGTTCATAATGATCGCAATAGCATCCTTACACAGTTCTCAACCGGTTATTGTGAATCATTGTCGATTAAAAGGCATCAGGACCGGTGGACGTGCCTTGTCGACTTGTCCCCAAAAATTAAAGAAAACAAAAATAAAGAACGTTTTCCTACTGCAACGCTGCAACTCTGAATCTGAACCGCCAAGCAAAGAGATTAGGCTGTAGAGACCCGCGATTCGCGGCTGAAGAAGCTGAAACAAGGTCCCGCTGTCCACAAGCCGTATTTCAAGCAGCGAAGAAGAAGCATACATTGTTCTAGTATACAAATGCTAGGATGCAGAGTTTCCGAGTATTACCTTGGCACACCCTCCTTGTCTCTTCTTTGTTGTGCTGAGCGTCCGATGGTCCTTCCTCCTTCCTACATGGCAATGAATGCCCGCCCTGCACGAAGGGAGGGCCTGGATCCTGTGGCTGTGCACCTCGTTTTCAAGGCGATGCCGGTGCAAGCGGCGAGCCTGTTGCTTCGAAAGCTGTGCTGGGATCGAACCCACGCACCACTCGGCTCTTGCTGGGCTGGAAACCAACCCGAGTACCAACAAGCCGCATGCTTTTCCTTTCATCATGACTCTTCTTCTGACTATGGCGGCGGCGCTTGCCCATGCTGCTTGCGCATATGTCGTGCCAAACTGTCTATTCTGGATAGCACTGTCCCACAGATGGCACACTCGAACTTCTTCTGCGGCTGTGGCGTCGAGTGCGTGGACGATGTTTCGCTCCCATTTGCCTTTGCTGCGGGCTTTGGTACTTTCTTGCTCGCACTGGTACTCAGGTTGAAATTCGAGCTCGCTGATGCGCCACCCGTGGCTGCGGCGGCTACCGTCGCGGACGATGATCCCAGCGAATCAAATACCGGATCGATGGCAGTCCCGTTTTCTGCGTATTCCGGATGCTTCCGTTTGGTGTGGCGCGTAAGACTGTCTATCCTTGACACCTTAATCCCGCACACTGGACATGCGAAGATGCTTCCGTCTGACGCCTTGTTTCGTTTTCGCTTGCTTGACCCCGCCTCATCGTCGTTGAGCGGCCAGCTGGGCGGCGGAACGATCATCCCTGGGCCGGCTTGAAGCGCAGTATTTAATGGAAGAAAGGTCTGAGATACCGGATCTGCAGCAGCGCTTGCTATTGCCGCTGCCGCTGCTGCTGCTGCTGCAGCCGCGGTTGCGGTCATACTCGCTGCAGGCGTTGGGATCTGCTGTTGGGACTGACCGCCTTGCTGGGTCTGTTGTTGTGCATGCAAGATGGAGTGTTCTTGTGCCATGCCCCAATTCATGATCATCGTGTTGCATCCCGGGAAGGGGCACATGTACGCGACATGATCTGCTGTGGCGAGGCCAAGAGTGGTCCCGTCAAGCGTCAGACTCGACGTAGACGCCGTCGAGCCGTTTTGTGCGTCCCATTGCGCTGCCATGACGGGCAATGAGTTCATTGCAGATGCAGGGCGTGCGAAGGATGACCAGTGATGTTGATAGCGACGTGGCCTAGCAGCTAGCTCATATCGTGACTTCAAAGACTTGTTGAGTGACAAGTGCGCTGGGCCTGGGCTTCATCAGTCATCGCTGGGCAAATGCATCATTTATGGATGATGCATTTGCAGATGTCCCTCACTCACACACTACTCTCTTCAAGTCTCAGCTTTGTGACACCGTCGGGGAATCGGGATGGGGCGGAACTGTGGTCTGAGCCTCATCCCTCTTGGGTCTTTCGAGACTTTCTGCCCTTCCGTTGAACTTCTTCTGCCTCGCTATTGTTTGCGAAATGCGGGCTTCCATCGTCTGAAGCTCATGCTGATTACACCTTGCGATATGTCATGAGGAAAAGTCTAGTCAGACTCCCATTATCCCAAAAATTAGGCTTCTTGCACATTCTTGACCCTTTCGCTTCATAGGCTACATGGCCTATTAGGCGGCCGCTTGCTGCTTCCTTGTAAGAACGAAGAGTCAGTACTATACGTTGCGTCGGTTCAGCAATTGTGACGGATCAGGGGAGAAGTTAATGGACCGCTGCATGCAATATACACCCGCATGTCTTGTCTACATGGCCCGAAGATGACCAGGGCGTCTATCCACATGCACCGGCCTGGTCTATATTGGACGGCATTGAAGGCCAAGAAGGCTTCCGGTTGCATTCATATCAGAGACATAGTCGCTATTGCGTACGTTCTGTGCATCAGAGAGTAATGGATACGCTTTTCTCGCCGATTGATAGGCCAATGCGCCGGGGCTTGCAAAGGCAGGTCACGCTTTTCGACGAAGTTTGCATTATGGATATTGGAGTTACTGCACATTGGCTGGCGAAACGAATCCGGAAGGCTCAGACAATTTCATCACGATGCTCCAACCTCTGACTGCTCCGAGATCGCTGAAGGTGCTCTTCGTAACGCATAACTCGTGAGCGTGACGATGAGCGAGAACCTCGGGGGGCGTGAGCGATGCATTCCTCGTCTTATAAGCAGGCAACATATACGAACGCCTCATCGCCAGCAATTACTCGTACACATCGCTGTCAGCACGTGTGAGGTTATGAGACACATCCCAGGGGCGAGATTTGGCGATTAGTGAGTTGCGATGTGTACTTGTATTATATTCTGACAGCAGCGGTCGTCAATGGGGATTCAGGCCTTCAGGTCGAATCAAACATACTCACGCCAGACATTCTCTAAGCAGGTCCCAGGCCTTTTCAGTTTCATCCCAGACCGGAAGGCTTCTGGCCTGTCGGTCTGTGCTCTGACGTTCATCTACATGCAAGTATGTACGAGGCTACGTCGTACGGCTTGTTACGGCCTATGCGGTCGCCGGTCTGGTCACCCGTCCCAGTCGGGCGCGAGGTTGGGCATTGACATTGGCAGTCGCTTCAATGTCTGGGAAAGCCTGGCGGCTGCTACGACCTGCGCCACTCCTGCGCCTGCCTTCGCCTACAATTCTGAGCAGGCCGGAGCGTGTATAAAGGGCAGGACTGCCGGCTTAGTTGCCGAGAGCATGTCAAATTGCCAATGGTCGAGTGATTCTGCTCGCCATCTTGACTTCCACTACAGCTCTCTCTGCAGACAAGCATTCCGCGCGAGCCGGTCGGGTTGACCTCTCTTTGTGCTTTGCGGGAGTTTTTGCCTGTTGAGATGTGTCGTGCCTTGTGTGCCTCTTGGGAACGCCGTGAAGCACACATTAGTGCGGCACAGCGCGCACCGCACTGCGGCTGCCTGCGCCTGCAAAGTAGAGTCGGCAGCCTGGCCGGGTGGGTGTAGAGGAGCTTCTACCCAGAATCCAGCGGACTGCGTCCTAATGCCATCACGCCAGCTTCACTTAGTGGTTCATGTCTGGCCGGACATCTGGAAAGGGGGGTCGCGCCGAGTAATACCTCCTCAAGCCACCGTCATCGCTCTCTGTCGGCTTTGGTCTTCATGCTTCCTTCGTCGTCTCTCTAGCCGCATTCGGCTTCTGTTTGCTGCGCGGACCTTCTTGCGCGTCTCCCCCCTCTTCATACAAACATAGACACCCTCTTTCCATTCCCCACACTTGCTTCGCGATCTGGCACCCTCCAGCAGGCGGCGCCAATTTTTCTTTTGTTTTCACTGCCCCAGCACATTCTCGCCACCTGTTCTCTCGATCTATCGTACCCTCACCGTCGTTCATCCGACGCGGTCATCATGAAGGTCACCGCGGTGAAAGCAAAAGCGGGGCTCGCTGCGCTTGGCGCAGCCAGCGGTGTCTCGGCCTTTGGCAGTCACCCCGCTCGCCTTCTCCCAGGCAACATCGTCGCACCCAACAACGTCCTATCGAGCCGCCAGGCCTCTGCCAACATACTCGACATCAACAGCTACATGGCCTCGTCGTACAAAAATGGATCTACTGCGCCGGGTGCAAGGGCGCAGGATGCAGCTGGGCAGTACGTCGTCATCGACGACAGCCTCGGTGCGGACGACAACTCGCAGGTGCCCCATTGCGACACGATCTTCATCGGCAGCGCTGCCGTGGCCGGGTCCGACGACGGTGGTTGGCAAGCATTGCCGAACATCCTAGGCTTTGACCTGATGCGCGACGTTAAGGTCGATGGGGACACTGTCTTGCCGTACTTTATGGAGCACGGCAAAGACCCCAGCAAAGTCAAGCGCATCATCTTTGCGCAGCCGGGCAAGCCGCGCGACAGCTGGAAGTGAGTTTATCCCGCTCTTCCAACTTAAAATTGAGCCTCTTTGCTTGTCATCGTATGTGAGACTGTCAGCTAAGTTCAACCTGTTCCCTGCTGCCCAGATACTCGAATCTGATCCGCAATAGTCTCATCTGCGCGGCGGGTAACAAGACCATGGGCGTCGACCTCTCGACCATTCTGGTGGTTGCTCCTGCCTGGTTGAACGAGAATGATGCAAAAGCGGGAGCAGCGCAAGCCAACGATCTCTACTGGCCAGGAAGTAGCTGGGCAAGTGGCGCACTTGCCTCGGGTCCCGGGTCCGCCAATCCATCGAGCTTCCACGCTTTTGATGTCCTCATCAACTCGTTCTTCAGCAACAAGTCATATTCCTCACTCAACAATGTTTTTGTCGCGGGCCACTCCCTCGGGGGCACCTTCACGCAGCGGTATGCCATGCTCCGCACCCCTAACGAGAACGACCCCAACATTGCGTTCTGGACGGGCAACTGCGGAGCGTACGTCTGGCCTACTAGCACGAGGCCTGTCATGAACAATGGCACATGTCCGGGTCAGTTTGATGAGTGGCCTTACGGCGTGAACGATACAGATCCCAAGAACATCCCGGCGTACGCCAGGAAGGGTTTCGACAAGCAGGAAACGCTCAACACGTACTTTGGGCGACAGGTGCACTACAACCTTGGTCTTCTCGATAACGGTCCTGGTGACACGCATTGCGAGGTGAGATTTGCTGCTCACCCCACATGCGAGCGATCTCTTTCACTTTCGTCCCCGCTGACTTCTCTCTTCCTCTCCACGTTGTCATGACAGGCCCAATACCAAGGCCCGACGCACTTGACGCGCGGTGTGAACCTGCAAGCGACCCTCGCTCAGATCCCCGCCGCGAGCGGTCATACTTTCGATTATGTCGCCAACACTTCGCACCAAGACTACAAGATGTTCAGCTCGGTAGCTGCGCAACAGCGCTTGTTTGTCAACGGCATTGACACGAAGAATGCGCTTGCGAGCACCAGCGCCAAGGGGAAGGGCAAGGGGAGTAGCTCGAGCAACAGCAGCAAGTCGAGCGCAGCGAAAGTTGTTGTTGTCTCTGCTGGTCTCGTCACCGCTGGGCTCACCGTTGCCGCTGCTTCACTACTCTGAGGACAGGGGTGGTGACGACTGGGGCACTTTCTTTTTTGGTTCTTTGGGACATCGAGACGGGTGTCTCTGCAATGGAACGCACACGGACAATTTCCCACCATCACGGCCTTTTTGCAATGGAACGAACAACATGCTCGATACACCTTAAATGGACCATTACTGGTATACAACACAACGCATGCTCCAGGTGACACCTTGAGTCGATTTGTTGCGAACACGCACAACACTCCTTGACACGCCAATTCAATGCTTTCATTTCTTCACCCCCCCCCAAAAGAAATCTCACTGCATAATCAGTTAGCGCGCTGGTCGCGCATTTCCTTGTAATTCGAACATGCAGTGGTAACAGTATTTGAAAGTGCGTAATTCGGGACAGTCTGTGGCGTGACATGTTCTGCTCGCGTCACTCTGCCGTCGAGGCTATTCGCGACATCATCTTCATGATCCATGACCAGTTGAGACACTGGAGGATGTTTATGATGAGCGTCTCATTATGAGCGAGAGGCGGCGATTTTATCGGCCGAGAATGAACATCGCGACTCTGGTCTGAACCTCTTCATCTCAACCACGATGCATTAGTGTATACTGTTGCATTTCTCCCAACGTGCTTCGTGTCCAGAACATCTGCGCTTCACTGCAGTGACACGTTAAGGGCGAAGAGCTGAGAGTGTGACACTCCCATCCTAGTGTCCGCTAACAGCTCAGCGCAGAGCCGCGCCAAGCGAGATATCATGTCTTCAGCAGCTGCACCGCCAACAGGCGGGGGCGTTAGCTCAATCTTGCCTCTCGAGCTGATCGATCGCTGCATCGGCTCTTCCATCTGGGTGGTTATGAAGACCAATCGCGAATTTGTCGGCACGCTGCTCGGATTCGATGACTACGTCAGTGAGTGGCCATTTACCTGACTCTTCTCTGCCTATCGTGGTGGCGCACACAGGACTCTTTAAGCGTTGACCAGGTTGTCTTTCTACCTCCATCCTCTGAACGCAGACATGGTGCTTGATGATGTTACCGAATTGTGAGAAGTATCTACTCTCTCCCCCTTTTGGAATGACAGAGGCTCATCCGATACATTCTTCGCCTTTGCAGTGAGACGACACCCGAGGGGAGAAAGAAGACTAAACTGGGGCAAACATTGTTGAATGGGAATAACATCTGCATTGTATGTTGACTGGCTCATTTTTGTTCCATCCAAGAAAGCGCACCGAGACTGACGGATGACCTTTCGGACCGCAGCTCATCCCGGGAGGTGAAGGCCCGGAGGCATGAGGAGCGTACAGCGTCAATGCGCAACATGCCTCTCTTGTATTAGTATCGTACACATTGTCATTGCGCATATTTGCCAACTTCAATTACTCTAAGAATCATTTGCGAATGAATGCTGGAAAAAATACAAGTGAAGGAGCTTGTGTGGGAAGGAGCTTGCAGCGACGAAACGAGAAGCCAATAGGCAGAGCGAACTTGCCGGGGGCCGGTTCAAGAGTCAAAGCGCAGCTTGGCCCGCCCAACCGACGTCGTCACTGTAACAGAAGACTGCTCCCCGATCTCCTTTGCATTATCGCGCCAGATCTTGCCGTCGGCCATAAACTTGGACCAGCCTTCTTTCTTCCTATTCACCTCCAAGTGTCGCTCGTGTCCCTTTGGGCCTTTGCCCCGATTCGGATTCACCGCATCGCTGCTGGACGAGCCTTGCAGGTGGACGCTCCCGACGAAGTTCGGATGCAGCGCTACGCTCACTGCACCTTTGTCCGAATGTGCTACCACATCGAGCGGAACGTCGTCGGCTTGCTCGACATAGACGATGTCCACGCTGCTCTCTAGTGTGGATGTCTTCACTGTGACCTTCCGGGGGAAACCTTCCTTGGGTCTGAAGCCAGCCGCCTGCGGTTTCTCCACTCCAATGTTGGCACCAATGTGCCCGGTCTGACTTGTGAGGCTGAGGCTGTGGTTCGCGTACCAGACGCCACGGCCAATTCCCCGGCCGTTGCTGTCGATCCTTCCATTCTGCGTACTTGCAACAAGTGTTGTCCCTCGAACCAGGCTGCCCTGCTCCAGAAAGATAACAGCGTCCTGCGTCATCAGCGTCCCTTCTCGCCATGCCTCCACCTTAATGTGCTTGAGCAGCCGGATGCCCCCGCTCTCACTCCGGAAGTCCAACATCTGTGCGGCCACATCTCCGGCAATGGCAATATTTCCCGTCTTGGTGTGCAGCTTGACAGTTCCGTCGGCACGCAGCGGCCGCCCGAGGCTTCTGCCAATACCAATGAGACCAGCGTCACTCGAGATGTACAAGTTGCCGAAATGCGTCTTGGTAGACCGGTCCGAATGAATAATGTCAAAGTGGCGAGACGAAAGCGCGGACGTCTCAGTTGAGGTTGCATCACCTGCATCGCCGTCGAAAACGACAACATCCATTGCACTAGTCGTGACTTCGAACTGGGGGATTGGTGTATGCTTCGGGATCCTGATAATCACTTCGAACGTAAGCGGTTCCTGTTGGCCAATCCGCCCCATATGCGGAAATGAAGGGCGGGTCTAGATGAGGAGGCCAACAGGCTTTTCAGAACTCTGTAGGGTGATGTTTTCAAGACAGGCGCAAGACTCACGTAAATGCCGATGCCTTCGTCATAGCGGCCGAGTCCTATCCGCGCAACAGTGACACCTCTAAAGTAGCGCTCAGCCACCTTGGAATATCGAGCTTTGACGTGCACCTTGATCCGTGCCTTCCCATCTCCTACCGGTCCCCTGTCCTCCTTTTCCTCGACGAAGCGGACTACCCCTCTCACAGTGCCCCGATGATCGTTTGACGGAACATTGCCATGCGGCGGATCTGCAAGGATGTAGAGCCTGTCTCCCGCACCGAATGATGGCGGCACGGTGAGCTCAAAGTTGGTTTTGGAGTAGCACCAGGTCCCCCAGAACCACCCAGATTGATCCGCCTCGGCGGCACAGCCTTCAAGGGTCCAAGTTGCATTTTGGCGAATCTCTCCGTCTCCTTTGAATGGCAAAGGCGGCTCCTCATAAGGCTAGGCGCCAAAATCATGAAGCTGTTCAGCAAGGCGGTGCGCGCATCGCAGCAATCTGAGCAGTGATAACGTACTTTGATATCCTCCCACTTCCAAGCAACGCCAGCGTCGCCACCAGACGAGAAGCTTTCGAAAGAAGGGCCTGTGAGCACGACAAGCACCCACAGGCCTGCAAGGATGAGGAAAGTGTGTGCAAGCCTCGATGAAGGCCACAGCTTCCAAACCAACATCTTGAGCTTTCTCCAACCCTCCTTTGCGCTATCTCTCAATCCCTCCGGCACGCATTGCGGTAGTGAGGAGATGTGCTGGCTGACAGTGGAGTAGAAGGAAGTCTTGTTGCGATTTTCTCGGATCACGTCGTCATACGAAGGCGGCAATGGAGGGTACTTGGCATTTGCAGAGGACGATGCTGACTCGCCCGCTGAGTCTTGAATCTCATACCGATAGCCTCCTATTGAACCTCCGCCTGCCAATGACGATTCTGATGCTGAGATCCTGCGCCCTGCTGCTCCCGAGGATGACGACTCGCCTCGGTCATGATGTTCGCGAACTTCAACCTCCTCAGCTATAGTGAATCGGGTGTCCGCCTCGTCCTCGTCGGCATGCAAGAGGGGGACGGAGTCATGATTCCGAGCGTTACTGGAGGACATGGCGTTTGACCTGACGGGTTATGGGTTGATGAGGAAGCTCGCTGCGTGTGCCGTGTTATTACTATTGCTTCTTCGACAGCCAGGTACTCGATTCCTGGCTCTCGGGTCAGAATTGCTACATTGGTCATTCTCAGGGAGGTGGGGAGGTGGAGACGGGGACGTACTGCCAACCTGAATGTGCGCTTGGGTGTGTTACGTCAACATCACGCGAGCTTTTTTTACGTATGACCATAGGAAGCGCTTTCCACACCCGAATATATTGAAACTTGGGCCACATGGTCTTTAATAGCCTCTAGCCCTCCAACAGGCCTCAGGCGGCAATTGCAGCGGCATGCGATTCAGCGAGGCTGCCAGAGATAGAGAAGCTACAAGTAATGAGCGATCCAGCGTTGCCAGGCTTCCTGGTTATACCAGACGATGTGAAAGGCGTTATCTATAGTTTCCGGCTTGATCACAACTCCTTTTTGTATTTGACATGTACGCCAGTTTGATTTCCTTGTGTATGCGAGTTTTAAGTTGACCCGCTGCTTTCCTGCACTAGCTTGGCCACCCCATTTGCGAGCGAATCGAGGTCACTAGCCAGCGCCGTCTCTGCATAGACTCGTACGCAATCTTCGGTGCCACTAGGCCGGACGAAGCTTCTTGCGCCTTTGTACTTGCCCACCAGCTCATCGATCTTCTCCTGCAAGCCTGCCGGGCTAGTCAGGCGCCGCTCCGCATCGGTCGTCTTGAAGGCGCTGCGATCTTTGACGTTGACTTTGAGCAGCTTGTTCGGCAGGTCTTCGTACGCACCATCCCACTCCTCAGGTCCCCACTGCCGTGCGCGGAGGATGAACTCGACGAGGAGCATGTCGGAGATCGCATCTCCGACAGTCTGGTTGATCAGCTCTGTCAGCTGTTCCAGTTGCTCGAGCGCATCCTGTGCTGCTGGCGAGGAGGGTGACGCCTGAGCTGCTTTGATGGTACGGACCGCCTCGGGCGAAAAGAGCACCGTACCGTGCCCATTGGCTTCAAAGTATACCCCAATGTCGTACGCTTCCGCCGCATGGTGGAGATATTTTACACCAGTGGGTGTGCAGGTGACGGGCACGCGCTGTCAAAATGCCACGGAGCACACGCATGGTCAGTCTACTGGGTGGATATTCCACAGAATGCTAGCAAACAAACCTGCTTGAGATATTTTGTCGAGCTGCCATTCGCATAAGCGGTCTGCACGCAACCGACTTTAATGTCGATGTCTGCCTTCTTGACAAGCTCCGAGATGTAATCCGTGGCCAGCGATGCGATCTTGTCACCGTCCAGCAAGCGAAAGCTGGATTTGGTGCTTGGCGGGCCGTTGCAGTAGAAATAAATCAAACGATCTGCATCGCCGTCGAAAGCGCACAATCGATCTCCGGCCTCGATGCCGTCCTTTTCTAACCCAATTGGTAGGCGCTGATTCGTCTTGACAAAGTCGGCGCCGCAGCCATTGTTCAATGCGCCTTGAACGCCGGTGGAGGTCCTGAGGATGCGAACCGGAAGTGCGTCGGCTGCGATGTACTTGGTGATTGCGAGCAGCGCTGGTGCACCAACGCCGTTTGCGCAGTCGACTACAAGGGGAGATAGTGATGGTTTACCAGCCTACGCGAGGGTAGAAGTGAAGCAAAGTTAAGCCGGCGCCCGGCATTCTCTACCTCATATTCCTGCAGGCAAGCAGCTCTGGTGCAAACTTACTACAAGTTTGAGGTATGCCTGGCTGATCTTCTTGTAATAGCCTTCCTCGCTCGGTTCTCCATATGCTTCGGGCGTGCCCTTTGTATTGTGCGCCTTGACGAGGTAATGCAGCTGCGGCGTGGTCTTGAGTCCTGCATCAATGAGCTGCGTGCCGAAAGCTACAAGGCCATCGACGAGGGCCTTGACGAGATGCGGGGACGAGGGCCTGGTATCATGACCGTATACAACTGTTGCTGGGATGGAGAGATCGATCTTGAATGTGATAATGATGGACTCGAGGACGGAGATGAGTTCATCGTCGGTTGAGGCATTGGCCAGCTGTGTGCAGAACGGCTCCCAGGCAGCTTCGAGCATCTCGCCGCGAGAATCGACTGCTTTGATTCCATTGTCCTAAGAGAGTTATAGAAGTACCAGACGTCAGATCAAAATAACAATAGCCCCAAACATGGCGGGCTCCTGCCTTCATTCACTTCTTCTGGATTGTGACTGGCGGTGACCATGAGACCGACGACCTTGCCTTGCAGTCGCTTGCTTCTCAAAGCGCCGATCAACCCCATGCGGAAGCATACACTGTCCAGCACTGCTGCTCTGCAAAGAAGAAGTATCTAAAGTCAGCGCGATCGGTTACTCGTATGTCACCATCACAATACACTCTATCGAGCTCACTTGGTGCGCAAGCCGGCGGTGCCATAGCTGAATGTGACGCCTTCTGGCTTGGGGTGGGCGGCGGAAGCCTTGAGGATCAGCTTGGTGGGAAGGCCGGTAGTCATCTTCAATGCGAGATCGATCGAGTCTTGCATGAGCATGTCAATCGAGATTCAGATCGAATCGCAAGCAGTTATTTGTATACCTTGCAATTGAAGCTAGTTTTGCCCCCGATGCAATGACCGAGCGGGATGGCGGTGCGGCGACGGTCGCGCGTGCTGAAGGTGTGAGGTAGAATATGCTTTCCACCTGTGTTCTGCGTATTCCAGAGCTGACCTAACTGCTGGATGTTCAACGTGTGCTGATTGGAATAGCCAGTAGAGTACCCGATGCTTCTCTACTTCAATACGTAAGCGTTGGTGGTGAGTTGGTGTGGTGCTTTGGTGCTGAAAGGAGAGAGGTCAAGTGCTGTTCGTTCTACCTGCGCCCGCTCAAGCCTCCTTTCCTCCGCTGACAGTGCGCGGACGCTAGTAGGAAGACATCCCAAAGTAGGGTTCAGGCGTCCTGAAGAGTCTAGCTACAAAGTGAAGTGCAGCCTTTCGCAAGAGTGTGTGCTATGTGATGTCGTGGCGTAGCGCCGGGCGTCGGGGATAACCCCTTTACAGCCGTCCAAATGATGCGGCCCCCTTATCGTCGACCCCGAGTCGTTATAGGCTTTAATTGTGTCGTCATCGCCTCTCCCTCTCGTATTGGCTCCACAGCTGCGGGCCCCATGATCCCCTTTGCACGATCAAAGTAGTTCTATCTTCGACAATCGGCCCGGTACTTGATTGCCGCTTCTTCTGAGTACATACCAGAATGTCAACACTCCCCTTCGGCATATATAGCGAGCTCTCCAAGGTCCTCGAGTGAAGTCTTTCGTCCTCACCAAGTGCGCGCAGTGCACCGAGTTGACAGTTGCTTCTCCAAGATGGTCCAGCAACCTCTCATTTACACTGCCAAAGTCTGTCCGTACGCTCAGCGCAGCTTGATTGCGCTCGAGGAAGCTGGAGTCAAGTATGACCGGTACGATAGTGCGTTTCTCCAAAAGCATTGCAGCTTACTCTCGGTTATGAAGACCATTGACGAAGTACTGTTCTCCACGTTTCTAATAGCTTCTGCATGTCAGTCGACCTGGCCGACAAGCCATCAGTGTACAACGAAAGAGTCAACTCTGCTTCCAAAGTCCCCGTACTCGTCTTGAACCCGTCCGACTCGGCCGACAACGGCGGCGTCACCAAAGACAAGGGCACCGTAAAGTTACCCGAGTCGCTCGTCATTTCCGAGTACATCGGTGAGGAGTACCAATCGGCCGGGCTTCTGCCGAAGAGGCGCGTGACTTGGCGAAAGGATCTCATATAGCGCCCTAGTGACCTCGAACTTTTGATGTTGTGCGTTATGCAGTGCCGTCGAGCGAGCAAAAGCGAGGTACTACATCGAGCGATTCTCTCATATCTTTGGCCCGCCCTGGATATTACTGTTGTACCGAGGCAAGGCAGACTCTCTCCCGTCTCTCCTCTCCGCCATCTCGACCTTCCAACTCTGGTTATCGCCTACGTCAGGAAGTGAGGACAGCGGACCTTTCGTATTCGGCAAGCAGTACACTCTCGCGGACCTTGCTATCGCGCCGTTCATTGGTCGCCTCATTTTCTTCAGCAAGAGAGGCATCCTCGACCCCTTGGGAGGCGGAGACGTGCACAAGGCGCTGACGGGCGGCGACGACATATTTGCGCGGGTGGCGCAGTGGTGGGAGGCCGTCAGCACGCGGCGGAGCTGGAAGAGTACATTCAACGAGGATATCATCTACAAGGCGGCGAAGACAAGGCAAGAAAAGGTCTTGGCGGAAAGACAGGTGGGAAAGCAATAGAAATTACTGTATACGCGTTTGACACTCGACGAAGTGTAGAGCTGCGCATTTTCCTTAACGAGAGTGTTGCAGATGAGGATCATGATGCAAGGCGATATAGCAAATGAAATAGGGGAATACAATTGTGCGTACCACTCTCATTGGAAGATGAGTGACTTTCATTAGCAAGACGTGAAGCGTAGATATGTTTGCACGGAAGAAAATGTTCGCTCGGTGTGATCACGATCGTTGTTGTTCGCCTTCGACAGGCAGCGCGCTTGCGGGCGCGTTGTTCGTCGAACGCGTCCGCTTGGGCACGGACACAGCTGCACTACCCGCCGCAGCTGAAGATTGTTGTTGGTGCTGTTGTTGATGCGCAGGGGGCGGTAGCGGCGAGCCGACATTGAAGCCCTGCACCGTTGTTCCGATTAGCCGCGAGCCCTTCTGCGACTGCTGCCTTTTAAGACGGTCCCGCTCCTGCTCCTTTTCATTCTGCGCGTCTCGCACGCGACTGATGAGCGTTTGCAGCGTGGAGAGCCATTTGATCTCCTCTTCCTCGCTTGGAGCGCAGATGAGGAAGTTGCGCTTGGGTGTGATGATCCGGAAGCAGTTCTCCTTGCGCTTCCTGCCGCTGCCGCCCACGCCGCTGCCACTGATCGCAGCGCCGACACCTGCGCCAACCGAGGATGCGACACTGCCTGCTGCTGCAATCACGCTGTTCCGGCGCTCGATGGCCGGTGCACCGCATCCTGCGAGCCCACCTCCGCCGCTTCCACCAGACCCTCCAACCGTGCCTGAAGCCCCGCTAAGCCCGCTTCCAGGTACTTCGCCTTCTACATCGCCTTCTCCATATGCAGAGGACTCGCCAGCTTCTCCAAACGAGCCAAAATTGAACGTCTTGACTACAGATGTCGGTGAAGACAGGGTGCTGCTAGTGTCCTTCGCTGCCTTTTTGGACTCGTACTCAATCGCGTCCAGGATAGACGCGACGGGTATTTGCCGATGTGCTTTCGCATCCTGCACCGCCGCAAAGATGTGGTTTTCAGTGTGTAGGGACGTGTTAGTGTTCAGCTTCTCAATGATCAAAACAACGGATTGATCAGGGACGCACCATGTGACTGCGTGTGTACATTAGCTTCGAGCTGGTGAGCACGAACCATCGCTTTCGCCAATGTTTCCGCCGATTGCTCTGCTTCATGAGGTAGCCTTGCAGGATGACCCGGCTCGGGTCACGCAGAAAGTCCGAGCCACTGCCGCCAGCATTGGCTCCATTCGCCGCGGCTCCTGCTGTGGTCAGTGCAGCGGGAGAGCTGCCAAGATCCGGCAACTGCCCTGGCATCTGCTGCTTGGCGACCTGTTCGGCAAAATCCAAATTCGTGGGCGCGTAGGTGATGCCGCCGGCAGCCAAAGCCGGTAGCGGCATCGCCCGATCCGCACCTTCCTCCTCGTCCCACTCTTCCTCCTCTTCCGACGAGCTGACCATCCCGGCAGCGCTGCTAGCACCACCGCCACTGAAAGTCGCTTGGCCTGGTAGCGTGAGCCGCTCGCCGCCGCTCTCGCTCACCGAGCGATCGCGTCGCGACATGCTCGCCGACCTGTTCAAGCGCTGATCGGATCCTTCAGCACCCGAATGACTCGTAGAAGGCGAATAGCCGCCGCTAGAGAGGCGGTCTGCGGTGCTTTGCACAGGGCCAGCACTAGCTGTCGTCCGCGCTGGTGAGCTACCCAGGACTGATTGGCCAAAGGAGCTCGCGTAGCTGAGACCGAACTTTTGGGCCTCTGAAACGTCGCTGTCACTAGTTGCCGTCAAAGGCGAGAAAGCAGCCGCTCCCAATGGCGGCGACATACGAGAGCCGCTGGGTATTGGCCGTGGCTGCGCTGGAGAGTGAAAGACGCCAATTCCAGGGACCGCGACTTGTGTTGGGTCCTGCTGTGTCATCGGGCTCAACGTCGTCTTTGCCAAATCCTGCGTCAGCGTAGCAGACTGCGCAATTTGCGTCTTAACATCGTTGAGATGCTGGATCCAGTCTTGCATATCCCTCCGAGAGCCTGTTTTCACGTAGTACGTTCTCTTCGGGGTGACGATGCCAAAGGAATTCTCGTTCTTCTTTAGCTCGACAGAGGCGACCGCATGCACTTCTGACATGTCGATCAAGCGAAGTAGCTGGTACTCCTGAATAGCAGGCAACAAAGAGTTGTCAGAGGACCGTTCCTGCCGCTTGGACGGGAGTGACGTTGGCTTACCTTCTCATTCTTGTAATAGGCCAGCTTGGATGCTCTCAGAACGAACCACCGCTTTTTCCAGGTCTGCAAGGGGCCATGTCAGACACATGCATGCTTTAAAGCTGCTGGTTTGTTGATGCGCACCTTTCTCTTTTCACCCTTCTTCCACAAATACCCGGATTTGATGGTATGCTCTTGCAGGAGGTCCGTGCCGCCCTCTGCACCCTCGTCGTCCTCTTCCTCTTCCGCATCGCCGTCTTCATCATCGCCATCCGCCTCGTCCTCTGTCGACAACTGACCTCGATGCTGCTGCGGCTGCTGTTGAAAGCTGGTGCCTGATTGTGAATGCGATGGAGTCTGAAGCTGCGCCTGCAGCTGTATTGTGCTTGTCACTGGCGAGTTTGCGCTTGGTGAAACAGCACTCCCACTGGCAACGGACGTCATCGCTGCATCGACTCCTGGAACAGAGTTGGTGTCACAGTGCTCGTCGGTCCGACGATTCAGCACGCCAATTCGCGTGAGGCCAGATAGCTTTGGATTCAACACAGATTCGGCATCAGACAATGCACAGTTGTCGCAAAGGTGCTGTCCACGAAGGCAGAACCCATTGTGAATATGTCTGGGGATCGCAGCCAGCGTGAGTGGAGAACCCGTTATGGGCGGGGCATGGCATTGGCGTGCGATGATGCTGTAGGGGCGCAGCGGAAAGTGGGAAAGAAAGGGAGGGCTTGCCTTCTGCGGTGTAGTGCCAGCGGCCGCAGACTTTCTCTCGTTCCGCCCTCTTCCGGTGGGCAGTGGACAGCAGCCTCCCTCAGTCCCTCTCACAGCCTCATGCTCTCATTGGCTCACTCGAGGCTCCTCTCATTGGCATCCCAGCGGCACCTTCATCAATAGCAAGTGTTTCCACATCGATGCCAGCTTGTTAAGGAGGTAGCGCCAATTCACTTCGCCCTCATCGTCGCAGCCATGTCACTGAAAGCGGCTTCATCAGGCACCGTGGCGGCGGCGCGCCAGGCGCTGCGTGCGCCGAGCACCGTCGCGCGAACGTTCGTCCAACGCAGATTCGCTTCCGGCGGAGGTGGATACAACCCACCGACTGGTGAGCAGCTCATTTTTGCTATGGACATGCAGTGAAGGAGGAAATTGTTAAGAAAAGCTGATCGTGAGCTTCTGCTTATCCTTTTTGCGATACCAATCGACCCACAGGTCGGCTCTTCAACGAAAAGGTGGGGTTGACCAGAGCTGCCTCGGCGTGTATGTTGTTGATGTTCAACTCTCTCGTCTTGTACCCCGCAGCCCCTACCACCAGGTCAGAAGAGGGAGAAGGAAGGTTGGGAATCACTTTGGACCTATGGAATGTGGGGTTCGATCGTTTTCGGAACCGTCCTTTATATGTACAAGCCAGACACGAGGTGAGTTGCACTTCGCCTCAGTTCTGACTCGTCTTACAGCGTCAACGGCTGGCTGTGCGCGATAGTGATAGCGGCTACATTGCTCCGTGCGCTTGCCACATGGAACTTGTGCAGTCTCCACGCCGCGCTTTTCAGGTCTGGCTCTCAGAGCAGACATGGAAGAGGTAGAAAAGACTTGTGATTGTACCAGCCGTTGATCCTATCCTTCGAACAGGAAGTAAGCTTCCTAACAGGGCCTCACTGAACTTTCTTGCCTTGCGCTGCAGCATCCAATCATGGGCATTACCGGAGGCGACTAAGCGCCTGGAACAGAGCGGCAAGGCGTGGCAGTACAAGCCAAGCGTAAACTCTGGGTACCCCGAGAGCGAGTGAATACTTCTCTGCAGAAGACTTTGGAGCATGGGGAGACAGGAAGGCGATCAAGGACCAGTGTCTGTATTTCCTGCCTCGGCGTACATGGATGACCTCCCCAGCTGCGACTTGCGTGACACGAGCTGAGACGCATTTGCCATTACCCACTGCTGAGATCCGTCGTTGTACCTGAATCAAGAAGTTGCCGCCTTATGATCTTTCCAATTCGGCATGCCGCATTGGCCCGAACTAAACTCAACTGCCCTTCATTCTATCTCAATTATACGCAATAATCAACACTGCAAGTGATTATGATGAGCTCACAACCTTTCCCTAACTCGGAGTAACCCCATCGTACTTACAGCTGGAACTGCGACAGGGACCTTGATGACGGCGGACAGACCGCCCTTTGAGGTCTCCTTGTAGTGCGTGTGCATCGCCCGTGCTAGGAAGGTAACCAATCGGCTAGTCAGTCGTCTTTGGGCGCAAGGGTATACTCGTGTCCTTGCAATGTCCTGAACCCTCACCTGTCTGTCGCATCGCTTCGATGACATTATCCAGGCTGACAGCGTGCTGCCCGTCTCCTGCCAGCGCAAGCTGAGCAGCATTGACGGCCTTGACGGCGCCGAGCGCATTGCGCTCAATACACGGAGCTTGCACCAAGCCGTGGATAGGGTCGCACGTGAGCCCAAGGTTATGTTCCAGTCCGATCTCTGCAGCTTGGGCGATGATCTCCGGCGGGGCGCCAAGCACGGCGGCCAAGCCGGCGCTTGCCATTGAGCACGCCACACCCACTTCTGCTTGGCAGCCGCCCTCCCTGTGAAGGAGAAAGGGGCGGGTCCACGAGACGTTAGCGACGTTCACAAGCGAGTGTGACATAAAGACTTACGCGGCTGAAATTGTCGCGCCGCGGCGGACAAGCATTCCGACGGCGGCTGCAGTGAGCAAGAAGGTCTGAACGTCCCGATCTGGGTCGTCTGAAATGAACTCGAGATGGTACTTGAGCACGGATGGAATCACACCACTCGCGCCAAGCGTCGGAGATGTCACCACGCGCCCACCGGATGCGTTTACTTCATTGACAGCGATGGCGTATGTGGATAGAAAGTCCATGGCGGGAAAGACTGTTCGCTTGGGCGGCACCGGCATGATCGGATGGGAGAGGTCGCCACGGATGACCCGGACGGGCGGTGGAGGCGGGGGTCTGAAGACAGTAGCACTGCTACTGTTGGTGCTATCCTCACTACCGCCATTTCTTGATAACAAGAAGGGCCCGTCTTCTGAGGATGGTGGCAAGAGTTGTGTTGGATCCTCTGGGTTAGAGCTTGGAGCGGCAACCCCGGGATAGAAACCACGAAGCAAGCCCCGATAGAGTCGCGGGGCGCGACGCTTGAGGTTCAGCCCTCCGGGCAAGACGCCCTCGGGCGCGTGAGTCCCTTCTCGAATGCAATTGTCCATGACATGCCATATGCGGAAGAGCTTGAAGAAGCCTCGGTTCGTTAGTTAGAATGAAAGTGGTTACGCGCATACAAGGTGGCTGAGGGATTCACCTTTTCGCGAATCTGCTCCGGTGTGTACCAAGTACGCTCGTTCTGGAAAACAATCTGCGCAATGGTCAAATTATGTCGCTTCGACAGCGATAGCAAGCTTGCTGCGTTTTTGAAGGGGTATGGGATGCTAGACTCGGGGCTTGACGAAGCCGGCGCATTCTCGGCTGGGATCAGAGCAGACACGTCCTTGTTGGCTGCTGCCGTCTGACCATGACGACGATCCGAGCTGGCGTGTTTGCGGTCAATCTCTTTATAGAAGACGTTCTCAGCGAGGTCCACTGGGTGAGAGTGCGCGTCTTCCGAGAGAACTTGCAAGGAGCCTGTTTCGGCTTCCATGACCTCGTCCCTATCCTCGACAGAAGCAGGCAAGGCAGGGCTCATACCTGCAGGAGAGCTGGCTGTCGCCATCGAACCATTGACAACAAAGCCTCCGCCAATGGAGTAATAGTCGTTGACCGCTAGCAAATCGCCTTCCTGGTCAAAGACAGTCATTCGCATACCGTTTGAGTGAAGCGGCAGGCGTTTGTCCCAGTGCCACTCCAAGTCCTTGTCGTACACAAACGTGACCTCTTGGGCCAGATCGCCTTCCGTGTCCTTGCCCAGCACGATTGTACCGTTCCTCTTGATCGCCTCGAATCTGGGCTCGATTGAGAATGTGTCAACTGTCTCGCAATCGGCACCTTCTAGTCCCAAAAGGAGCGCCTGAGGTGTATGATGCCCTTCACCTGTGGCTGCAAGTGACCCAAAGAGGGACACTTTGATGCTTCTGACTTTGTTGAGCAGATTCTCTCTCTTGAGATCCGAGATGAAGATACCCGCTGCTCGCATGGGGCCGATCGTATGGCTCGAGGACTGTACACAGAATTGAGGAAATACAAGCATGAGCGGCATCAGACACAGAAGGCATGGCATCTGGTAACGGAGAGCCGACCATACGCACTGGACCGATGCCGATGGAAAAAAGATCGGCGAACGATACGACAGCATGTTCGGTGCTCTGCTGGTTGGACGCGGTTTCTGTATCTATCTGGGTGTCTATATCGGCACGTCTGATGGTGCTGCTGCTGCTGATACTCCGCAATGGTCGAAGGTCATAGCCGCCTGGACGAGAAATAGTACGTGCCGCCTCGGACCAGGCTGTGAGCCCCAACCGTGTCGAAAGAGGTGCAGCGGAGCCGGAGAGGGTGATCCATGTTCCCCCTCGCCGCAGCGTCACAGCCGCCTGAGTCAGAAGTGATCGCATCTTGCAGCAACGACCTTTGAAACTATCTCAGCATAGCACAGCCTAGCGCAAGGAGGGGAATTCAATGCGTGCGACGACCTTATCGCGATGGTGCTCTCCTTTTGACTTCTAAGCGGTATCCGAAGATACGCGACTTTTCTCAAGTTTGATCCCCATTTCCACAGGGGTGGCAGTGGCAGTTGGCCCGCGGCAACCTCTCTCCCTACGCTGATTCAGCCAAGTCAGAGGATACCTTGGAGTGTCACTGCGGCCATCTTGTAGCGATGGAGCCGTGCAGCCTGCGTTGTCACGGCTTCATAAGAAAGTCCGCTCCCGGTGGGCTAAATTGTAGGTACAACTGTTGCGATCATGATGTATGCATTCTTTAGGCGTTGCAATTGGATCTACACAGTTCTCAGCCAACTAATTCAGCGACGAAAGTTCGCTCAGGCGCGGTGGCTCGACCTGTTCCATCGGCAGCTTTTGCACGAAGGCTTTGACGCACTGGGCAGTGGGAGGGAAGAGGAAAGGGTGGTCAGCGATGACGAACCAATGGGTGAGAACAATAGCAACCGAGAAGGAGACTTACTTTCGCCATGGTCGGCGATGCGCGCGAAATAGGATCAGTCTGGTAGAAGTTGGTGATAGGTCGGAAGAGTGGCGCACCAGACACTTTCTTTGCGTCGCCGCCTTGGACCAGCGAGTCGATCCCAGCGAGCGCATTCGCCGCCGAGGTCTGCTCAGCGATGTCGTATCGGACGAGCGTGGGAGAGATGTCGAACATGCGATCCCGCAGATCGAGGAGATCGTTGTAGGGAAGCACGTGGCCCAGCACTTCAGAGAGTGCACGGATGATCTTCCAGTCCTCACGAGCTGCGCCTGGTGGAGGAACAGCGGCGCGAGTTAGCTGCGCTCGGCCTTCCGTGTTGACGAAGGTAGTCGCCTTCTCCGTGTATGCAGCACCGGGCAAGCACACATCGGCAAACTGAGCGCCAACGTCGCCGTGGTGACCCTGGTAGACGACAAAGGCATCTCTCGGAATGCTCTCTGGCGAAAAGTCGTCAGCGTTGAGCAGGTAGATGAACTTTGGCGTGATGTCGGCTGTTGCCTTGCGAGCAGCGAAGCCAATGTCGTTCGCGGCAGTCTTCGAAGCTGTGCGCTGAAGAATGTTGAAACCGTTCCACTCGGCAGAGATGAATCGATCCTTGTTGCTCTTGACATACTCGGCTAAGCCTGCCAGCATGCCCTTTCCATCCACGTGCTCGGCGACCGCGCTGCCAACGATGATCATCGGTTTCTTGGCCTGCTTGAACTTCTTACCAAAGTCACCCTTACCATCGATGATGGACTGAATGGCTTTGGCGTCGGTGCCCACGTGATCGTAGTCGTAGGTGAGGTCAACTTGTTCTCCGATCAAGCCGACTGTCAAATCAGAGCGGAGGTAGGTTTTGCGAATCCTCGTGTTCACAATCGCAGCCTCATGTCGCGGGTTGGTACCAACCAGGAGGATGGCATCCGCATCCTCGATGCCCGGAATACTAGAGTTGAAAGAGTAATTGGAGCGAATGTCGACGCCAGTCGCAGAGGGTTGGTCCCCGGTGGGCAAGTCGGTGGTAAGGTTCTCAGAGCCCAGACGGTTGACCAGGTCCTTGAGAGCAACCATCGACTCGGCATCTGCAAGTGAGCCAGCAACGGCCTTGATTTCGTCTCCTTTTGCGCCACTCGATGCCAGGCCTTCAGCAATGGCCACAAGAGCCTCCGGCCACGAAGCTGGGACGAAGCCGTCACCCTGCTTGATGAGCGGCGTGGTGAGGCGCTGGTACTTAAGCCCATCGCATGCGAAGCGGCTCTTATCATTGATCCATTCCTCGTTGATGTCGTCGTTTGTCCGTGGCAAAATGCGCATCACCTGCACACCACGAGAGTCCACACGAATATTGGATCCAACAGCGTCGAGAACATCGATAGACTCTGTCTTCTTGAGCTCCCATGGCCTCGCGTGAAATGCGTATGGCTTAGACGTGAGAGCACCCACCGGGCAGAGGTCGATGATATTGCCGGACATTTCAGAGTCAAGCGTCTTCTCGATGTACGTGCCGATTTGTAGAGAGTTGCCGCGGCCCGAGGTGCCGAGGTCTTGGATGCCTGCAATGTCGTTTGCAAAGCGGACACAGCGGGTGCATTGAATGCACCTGGTCATGACTGTCTTAACGAGGGGGCCAAAGTATTTGTCCTCGACTGCACGCTTGCCGGCGATCTCGTGGAAGCGGCCCCGGTCGGAGCCATAGCGCATCGATTGGTCCTGCAGGTCGCATTCTCCTCCCCAGTCGCAAATAGGGCAGTCGAGGGGGTGATTGGCCAAAAGGAATTCCATAACACCCTCACGAGCCTTTGCTACCAATGGGGTGTTGGTGAAGATCTGCTGGCCAGGCATAGCAGGGAAAGCACAGGAGGCCACGGGCTTGGGCGCGCCCTTGCTCTCCACCAAGCACATGCGACAGTTCCCTGCGACCATAAGCTGCCGACACGTACCATTTGCGTCAACAGCTGCAACCAAGTTCTTCTTTTTCGGTACCAACTCACTCTCTCATGGTAGCAGAACCTTGGGATCTGCGCTCCTGCCTTCTCGCAAGCCTGAATGAGGGCGGTACTGTCGGAGGTCGTCAGGATAATATTAGCATTCTTGTGTCTTTAGAATCGCCACGCGCCGTTGGCCAACGTCACTCACCCCTGGACGACCTCAACCTCCTTCCCATCCACTGTGAGCTTGACCATCTTGGGTTGCTCTGGAGCAGGTGATGCCTGCGCTCTAGTGCACGAGGTCGAAAAGCGGGCCATATGGGCACCGGTAGCATGGCGCGCCACTCCGGCTGCGCCTGCCGCCGAAGCGGGCAGCCTGCCTGAGGCTGAGACCACCGACCGACGCAGCATCTTGTCCGCTAGATGCACGAGCTAGTAGCGCCTGCAAGGAGATGCTTGCCTTCCTGTGGGAAGTTAGAGGTTTGCACAATACGGCCTTGGAAGATGCAGCATCGTTCAAAAGCTGGTAGCCGGCGCAGGGGAGAACGAGTGATTGGCGCTGGCGGCTGGACGAGGAAGCGCTCTTCTGCGTGTGCGACCACACTCTATGTAAATCCACGCACTTCTAAGAAGACGCTTGGCCCTCAACAGCCGGTCGCAGCATTCCGATCTCGCAGAGGTCTTAAGTTGCTCAATTGCAACTTCTCGTTAAATAGTGGGCTCGGCAGACGAAGGCTACTAAATACAAACATTGATCCGTCTGCAAGGGCGATTGGTTTATAGCGTGACACCGAAAAAGCAAGCTGCAATGCTCAGCACGATACTCTCTATTGCTTGAGCCTCCGTCTCTCCTTCCAGACCCGGCCGGTGGTCAACCATTCTTCTGAACTGAGTGGGTATAGCTCTCAAGATCTCATCCGCCTCGGGTGAAAGGGCTGCTGTGCGAATAAAAGGGGCGAAAGGGGGCTCAGCGATCGCTGCACAAGCGGAGCTATCCAGGCTTTCAGATTACTCACTCGAGTCGGGTAACTTGGCAGTGAGAGACACATCGGGAAGACCGCGCCCAAACGCGTCGAAAGCGATGCGGTATCGAAGATGCAGTTGCGCATTGCTGTCAAAAAAAGTAGAGTCAGATGCGCGCATCACATTAGTAAAATACGCTCGTACCTCACTTGTCGTTGCTCAAGATCAGTGTTTCTGCCTGCTCAGGATCGTACACGACCTGAGCAGCTTCCTGATCCGACAAGTCGTGTTCCTCCATATTCAAGTCAGTTGCGAGCCGGTTATGGTTGCTTCTACCAGATTTGTGCCTCCGATGGTTCCATCGAGACGCAAGAAACATAGCTTCTGCATTGACTGCATAAGCTTTCGTACCGCACAGAGGGCGTAGCTGGGTTGCAACAGCTTGGAACAGTTTTCGTCGAGCACGAGCGGCTGAACTAAGACTTCGCAGCGTATTGAAGACGGCTGGCGCGTCGCAGCGTCGCAGCAGCCTTTCATTATGTGCGTAAGAAAAAGGGGAAATCGTCATCAGCGTCTCCGACGACCCATGGATGCGCTGGCTATCTTAACTTACCTGTCCAGATGGGACTCCTGGTTCAACGCGGATATGACTCCCTTGGGCAGCTCCACCGTCAGCTCGGATACCTTCGGCGGGCCGCTTGCCCGCTCCTCCTTCACTGTGAGCTTCACCCGTATTGCACCAATGGTATGCAGCCAGCCTGCGACATCGAAAGCCCTCGTGCTCTTCATCCGGTCTGCACTTGTTATTTTCTTCTGCATCAAACTCTGGATCCTCCAGCCTGTAAAGGCCTGCAAATTCTCCAACAGATCTTGCCCTCTTCGTTTGCGAGCATTGAGCCAGTCCTCCATCCACTGGTATTTGTCAAGTTCGTATGATTCCAAATCGTGCTCTTTCTCTACCCATGCATCATTTGTGGGGCTGTCTTGTGTCACTCCCCCATCGGTTCGGCGACGTTTTGAAGCTGGAGCGCGCGCCGCTCGATCGCCCGCCACGAGACGCGTATCGATGTCATACCCTGCACCACTGCCCTCGATACCGGCAGAAAGAGCCGGCGCAGGGACGGACACGAACGCTTGAGTCTCTGTAGATGCAGTTGCGGCGGATGCTGCAAGCGAAACGGTCGCAGCGGACTCGTTACTGCCGATCAGCTTCTGCATAAGCGCAGATGGCGACGATACCAGTAAAGCGGTTCTTCAAGGGGATTCCGATTCAGATCAAGAATTCGACCGGATTTGTGGACTTGTTGCCTCGAGGACCGCACTCACAATGCGTCATCATCCATCCCTTTGAGTAAAGCATCGATTTCGTCGTCCATGACGAGCTCTGCACTCGACAGTCCTGCGATCTGCTGCATTTGTTTCTCTTTCTCTGATGCTCTGGAGGCATTCTGCTGCCGAGCATTCTCGAGTTGCGACCTTAATGCGTCGATTTGCCCATTGAGCTCCGTCAGCAATGCGTTGAGGTGCATCCGCTCGGCATTCTCGCGGGCCTCTTTGGATGCAGAGAGAGCTCCGAATGCCGTTCCTGGGGAAGCAGCTCTTGAAGCATCAGGCGTGGACCTTAGTGCTTTCGTTGCCGCAGCTGTTGCTGAAGCCTGGGAATTGCGGCTGTTGCGCGGTGAGGAGCGGGTTCCCGAAGCCCTCGCATTACGAGCTGGAGGCGTTGATTGTGACGGCGGCGCGTTGCTGCGCCCACCACGGAAGGAAGACGAAGCTGGGTCGGACATTTTCGGTGATTGACGCCTTTGGGGATCGCTTCTTTGCTCGATCCAATGGAAAGATGTGCGCCGTGACACAACGAATGGCGAGCACGAGACGATGTAGCATGAATGAATGATCAACATCGTGATTCGTGGCGCGCATGCGTGCCTGCGCTTTCCATCAAGAACGCAATGGAATCACGCGTCATCCCGGTCACGTGACTCTAATTAACAACGCCTGGGACAGCTCACAATTTTTGAGGGACTCCCACCTGCCGCCTGCCTTCCTCACCAACGCTCTGCGAGAGATTTTACACATTCTTCTCATCCTCGCTCGTGACATCTCGACCAACCACAAGCAACGGCTCGCAGCAACACTAGCAGCAGGGGCCGTCAAGTAGTACAGTCAATATGTCAGCAGCGAGCGTAGCAGCAGCGGTTGTGGCCGGAGCAAGCAAGCCTGAAGCGTCAAAGGCTGGCGTGGCGACAGTTGCCAAGGCCGCTGCAGGGTTGACGCAGGCCGAACGTCCGCTCACGGATCTGGACATCGCAGCGCTGGAGCTGGTCAAGTCTGCCAAGCAAGCTATCACCTCTGTCCGTCTCGATGGTCTCGCGCTGGCCAAGATTGTCAAGCACTCCAAGGATGCTCACCCAAGCGCCGCTACGGGAGCGTTGCTGGGCCTTGAGATTGCCGGGGCACTCGAGGTATCCAACGTTTTCTCTCTTCCAGGCAACGCACTTGGCTCGTCTTCACGGGATCGCGGCGTCTCTGAGGACCAGGATGCAGAGGCACAGGTCGGAAAGGGCGTCACTCGGTACACTTCTGCGATGCTTTCACTCCTCCGCGATGTGAATGCAGACGCGAACCCGGTGGGTCTCTACTACGGCTGCTTCCTCGGCGCCTTCCTGTCTTCTGCCGTCATTGACGGACTCTGGGCAATATCGAGCTTGATGGAGCGGGAGGGAACAGAGGGAAAGGGGAGAGCAATCCTGCTGGTCCACGACCTGGCGCAGTCGGCAATGGGCAACACGACAATCCGGGCGTTCCGGCTGGCACCTTCTTTCATCGACGCCTACCGGCGTGGCAAATTCCACACACAGGCGTGAGTGCATTCGAAAGAATAAGGAAGATGAGCCTGGAAGCTCATATGATTTGCCTGTGCCTTGTCTGCGGCAGTCTCGTGGACCATAAGCTCACTTTTTCGAACGTGCTTGTCGAGATCCCGGTGACGCTTCACAACACAGCCCTTCTCGATGCGCTGCTCTCTACGCTCTCTGCGCCTTCGGATGCTGCGCCTTCGATTTTACCCCCAACGAGCGCCTCTCTGCTGCAGCGATCGACGTCTGCCGCGCTGGACACATCCGCGGCGCTCAACCACAACCTGACGTTCGCTCTGCCGCCAGTGCTGTCCACCTCGCTCGAGTCGACGCTCGAGGCGCTGGACGAGCACGCATCCGAGGCAGGCAACATCGGCTACCAGCTGCGCCAGCTGGGTCGCGAGAAGGCGCGCGCCGAGGCGTACCTGTCCAGGCGACGGGCTGAGAACGCGCTGCGCGAGCAGCAGGGTCTGCCGCCGCTGCCGGTGGAGGACGTGAACAAGCTCTTCAAGCTGCAAAATGAGCCGAGCAGGCTTGAGGGAATGATGCTTCTCGGACAGCTCGACGAGGCAGCCAAGCGGCTCGCAGAGACAGCCGCCGTCGGCTCTGTCCAGCTGCATGCTGTCAAGACGGGTGCCATTTGAGTCGTTTTAGACCTTCTCGACGCTGTATGGTTCAAGCGCACTCGTCTTCGGACCCGAAATGTGAGCACCCGCTTTATACAGCTGCAGCAGCAGCAGCGGCCACTTGTTTCCCCTTGTGTACTCTAGCATCGTAAGCAGACTGCTTTTGCGCTTCCTCGAGGGACATGTTTTCAGCTCATAATCAGCGGTGCCACTCCTGCAATCTCGCCGATGAAAACATCACAAACGTCACCACCTTGCGACCGCACCTCCCCTCCCACCGCGACATCGACAAGAATGCTACAGATATGGCACAAGCGCCGTCTAAATCACACGCATGCCCTGTCGCGCCTGCGCAGCGATTCCCTTGGCTGGCCCGCGCGTGGCGAGGGCGCGATGTAGTGCGGTGCGGTGCTAGAGCTGCGCCTCGTTGGCCGGGCCCGAGCACCAGCGTGGCGTATGGTTCCCTTTGGTTGCACTGCGCACGATCGCTCACTCGCTTGCGTGGCGCCGCCGGTCGTATCTGCGTTCGCAACTCTGCGAGCGACAATACACATCCAAGGCAAGCGGGGAGAGGGCCAGCACCGTCAAGCGAGTAGCACACTAGCACAGGGAGCGAAGGAGCGGCGGGATGACAGAGGGAAGAGCACATTATGTATGCTTTGCCAGCTGGGTTACAAACGCCCCCAGTCTTCTGCTAAGCCTGATATGCCCATGGTCAGGGTCAATGGGACCGTTCCACTCGCTCCAATTTGACCAGCAGCGGGGGGGAGAGGAAGGGAAGGAGGAGTGCGGCCCAAGGAGTTTCCACGAGATGGCGTAGCCATCTCGGCGCGGGAACTTGTCTTGTTGCAGCAGCATATCGAGGAAAGGTATATTGGAGAGTCAAGTATCGGTCTTTTATTATATGTTTGGGCTTGTGCCCATGCCAGGACGAGTTGCGCCGGTTAATGGCTGCCTGCAACTGGAGGATGGGTGATGAGCGGTGCGTCTTTTCTCCTCTCCATTCTCGGCGTACGATACCACCTCGTTGCCTCGACCCCAGCCGCGCTCTGCACAGCAACTCGCAGTGTCACGAATGCCTCGAGTCGGTTGGCTACCCTCGCTAGTGTCAGTACAAGAAAGCACGCGAAACGACGAACGGTCGTTCTGTGCAGGGTTGTTGCGTAGTGGTGCTGGCTGCTGCACGCCGCGCTCCAACCCTAACTACATCCAACTCTCTAGATCACGCTGTCACACATCGAAACGTCCGCGTGGCGCCTACGTCACAACACACACGTACACTCACCCACAACTAGGTAGAATCGGAGTCTCTCAGAGTTCAGCTCATCGTCATCAGATTCGGGAGTCAGTGCAACCCTCTCCTTGACAGCAAGGGAGCCCGCAACGAGACCGTCCTTGTCGATCAGCCAGTCTATATTCACACATATATATGCTCTGTCACTGCCTCTGATCACCTGGCTGTGGCCTCGTCCTGACCCAAGTGCAAGTGCCTGCGAGCCGTTGCTTTACGGCGAGAACACACGCTCAGACAAGTCACACAGTTGGGCTCTTTTGCTTTCCTCCGCATAGCATACAGCCAGCCCTTCAAAATGTCAGCAGCACCAGCATTGACAAGCACAGCCAACTGCGGCAGCAGTGAACGGCCGCGGGCCAACAGCGCGGTTGACAACCTCCGCTTCGTCAAGAACAAGACGGTCAGCCTGATCGGTTGTCCCTTCAGCTCTGGTCAGGTGAGAGGGCCCTGGTCGTAGTTGTTGTCCGTTAGCACTGTGCATCGATCCCACATGAAATAACCTCTCTGTCGCTCCACATCGCCCAAACTCCATGCAGGGACGACCAGGTGTCGAGGCAGGGCCCAACTCGCTCGTCTCCGCTGGTCTGCTCGAGCAGCTCACCCAGCTCGGCTGGACAGTCGAGTTCACAGGGTATCAGCAGTTCGAGTCCATTGTCTCTTCTGAGCAGCTGGCCAAAGATACGCCGATCGGAAAGATGAAGAATCCTCGCACCGTCTCACACGTGACCCAGGCGGTCGCAACTGTCGTCGCCTCCAAGGCGAAGGAGGGCAAGATCCCGCTAACGCTCGGCGGCGACCACTCGCTCGGTCTCGGCACAGTGCTTGGCTCTCTCGCCGCGCACCCGGACCTGGCACTGATCTGGGTCGACGCGCACGCCGACATCAACACGCCGCAGACGACCGACTCGGGTAACCTGCACGGCTGCCCCGTCTCGTTCCTGTGCAACCTCGAAGACACGCAGGTCGAGCCCTTCTCCACCTGGCTGCCCGGCCCCGCATCGAAGTTCCTCGACCCCAAGCGGCTCGTATACATTGGCCTGCGCGACGTAGACTCAGAGGAGAAGACTATCCTGCGCAAGCACGGCATCAAGGCGTTCAGCATGCACGAGGTCGACCGGTACGGCATCGGTGCAGTTGTTGACATGGCGCTCGATTACATCAACGACGGTGTAAAAGGCAAGCGCGAGAGACCCATCCACCTCAGCTTCGACGTTGACGCGCTCGACCCGAGCGTCGCGCCGTCGACCGGCACGCCCGTGCGTGGCGGTCTCTCCTTCCGCGAGGGTCACTACATCTGCGAGGCGCTCTACGAGACTGGCGCACTTGTCGCCATGGATCTCATGGAGGTCAACCCATCGCTCATGCCCGCTGATGCCGAGCAGACCATTGCCGTTGGCTGCTCGCTCGTGCGCTCTGCGTTCGGCGAAACCCTGTTGTGATGCCCAACTGTCCAGGAAAAGAGCAAGAGACAAGTACCATTGCTTGAACGCTAGACTGCAAACCTTGTTTAGCAGAACAAAATTGCAAACGAATTTCGTGTATGCGCATTGCTCCTGCTCGATACATGTGGCACCACCATCTGGCGTGTCGAAGGTGAAAAACTGAAAGAGTGTAAGGCAAAGATGTGTGCATGGGTACGCATGAATGCGTATTGGCTGGCTACGATCTGCTGGAGGTGGTATGAATCGAAGAGAGTGTGAATGAAAGTGTTGCTTGCCGACGACAAGTGTATATTGTGGACGAAATGCTGCGAAAGGGAAGTGGATCCCTTTGCCCCAGTCAGAATTGCGTACCGAAGCGAAACCGTCTTTACGCTTTGGGCTGCGCAGACATCGAAGAACGCTTTTGCCTAGTCATCGACAGCGAGAACTGTGACGCACGTTTGTGCCTGCGCTCGTCTTCTGCGGTCGCTTTATCGAGCGCCTGTTCAACAACCATGTTGTCGAATTGCAGCAGAGGCTGGCTGAGCCGCCTGCGGTGGCCGCCACTGTTTTGGCCCTGCAGTGCACCCTCGGCGATACGACGGCGATCTGTCTCGGTCAGCGTGGCCGATGCGCGCTTGAACGCGACAGCAGGAGCTGTGGCGTTCATCGTAGTGGACGCCGCCTTGTCGGGAAGACGGATCTCTCCACGACCGCTGGTCGTGGTCGTGTCATTCCTTCCCGCCGCGCTATGCGTGGAACACTGAAGTGCATGTTGTTGAAGCAAGTCCGAGGCCGAGTGCCTCCTGCGGGGATGCGTCTGCATCTGCTGTTGCTGCATCTTGGCTGACGAAGGCTCAGGGCGCTGCGTGCTCGCAAAGCCACCAAGCGAACGCTGCGAGCGGTGTTGCAGCGTTTGGCGCGCAATTTCATCGAGTGAAATGCTACTCGAACGGCGGTGCAGACTCATGCGCTTGGCATCATCATGACCGAATGCATTTTTGCTGGCGTTAGGTATGCTCATTCGTTGGCTGGCTGCGGCCAAAGGTGACTGCACTGAGCATGCAGGCGCTTGGCCTTGCGGAACCTGCATAACGTTGATGCTCTTGCCATGGCCAGAGCTATGCCCGCTCATGGAGAACTCCTGTGGTTTGAGCACAACCTCCGTTTCCTTCAGCGCGTGCCTGTCCTTCTCGGCAAATGCTTCAGATGCCTTTTGGCGTTCGATCTGTAATAAGCGGCTCTTCTCCCTCTCGAGAAGAGCTTCAGTTGCATTGCGCTGCATGGCTGCCAAGCGCTCCTTGTGCTTGGCTTCGTATTGCGCAAGCGACATGGATCCGCCAGCTGAAAGTTTGCTCTGACTTTGTGCGCGATCCAACGGCGCCAAATGCGCCAAAGGAGAGGCCGGGGCAGTCTTCGGAAGCGGTGGCAGCGGATCCTTGGGCGGCGGCGTGTTTGATTTGTTGAGCTGCGGCGATGAAGTTGTCAAGGACGGCGACAGGCTTTCGGAAGAATTGCGGTGCGGTAGCGCTGTCCACGGACTTACTTCGCTCATGCTGGGCCTGGAGGCCGGTAAGGCAGATGCGCGGCGAGCAGCACTGACAACCGGATCCATCGTGATCGTACGTTGCTGCTGCTGCTGAGGTGAAGATGAGGAAAGCCGATGAGCGCGGTAGGTCTGTGTAGGTATCTCAGCCGCTTCCGAGGTGATGACTTCCTGCAATGACTGAGAAGGCTCCAGGCCGCTCATTGAGTGCCGTTTCTGCCTTGTGAATGCCCCCTTTGCCTTCAAATCGCGGATGCTAGCAATCGTGTCATCGCCCGTTTCCTCTTCTACACATTCCGGCGCCGCGAGCAGCGCGTTTGAAGCCGTCTTGCTCATGTGAATCGAGCCAGCGCGTATGCGTCCGTCCGTCGCGGAAAAGGGCTTTGAGTCATCAGCGCGTGTGACAGCTGAAGCATTTTCAAGGTCGAAGGAGGATGCCTTGCGCAAGTTATCGATGCTCTCTCGAATCCTTTGTATCTCATCGAGCAGCAGCTCAGGATCGCCCGAGTTGCTGCTTCCAGCCGACTTGGAGGAAGGGTTGGAATTCATCTGAAGCGATGCAAGTTGGCGGCGTTGTTGATGTTGCCCCTGCGGGTGATGACACTGTGAGGACTCGCTCAGTGATCCGCCCAGGTCGAGTGGAGGTAGTGTAGCCGCCGAATTGGTGCGGGTGTGCTGCAGGTGGCCTGGGTCCCACTTCGAGAGGTACGCTAAGTTACGCTGACCTGTCGCGACATAGTGCAAGAACGAGCCGGGGCGAGTAGATGTAGGACGGGCGAGGGGCGCCGTCTCCATGTGCGGTGTCATCGCAGCGGGCGTCATCGAGCCCTTTGATTCCATGTCCCACCCGTGCGAATCTTGCGAAGCGGTTGTGTGCAGTGCACGTGGCATGAAGTTGAGCAAGCTGTTCATGCTAGAATTCTTGCGTTCTCGGTCGTCGCCAGCGCCATCTCTCTCGATGGCTATCCGAAAGGCGTTCATGTTCCTGTGGTTGTTGCTGCTGTACCTCTTTTCCCATTCTTGCAGGTCAGCCTGAGCGCTGCGCTGGATGCGCTTCGCGGCCTTCTCTGCCTTGCGCCTCGTCTCGCGGTCTTCGTCCGCCTCGCGCATGGCACGAATGTTGCGGCGCAGGTCGGACCACAAGCGCCACTGGAAGGCAGCAGCCATGAGGGTGACAGCAGCGATAGACACGACTTCGATGAGCATGGCCGTCGTCAGAGGCCAGCGATTACTGCTGAATGTGTCTGGATACTTGCGAATGAAGATGTCATCGAAGCCAATGTTGCGGACATAGAACTCCTTGAGACCGGCAGTCGTGAAGCAGTCGACGCCGAGGATGACAGCGGTGGCACCAGTGAGAGCCGTGCTGAGGATGATGACAGGCCGTTGTAACCTCACAATTAAATGAAGCCCGAAAGTCAGCGCAGTACAGCCAAAGTAGAGGGCATAACGCATGCCGAATTTCCGAATGAGTCCTCCATCCCGTGTAGCTTGCAGAAGTAAGCCAAGAGCGAAACCACCTAGGCAGGCAGTCAGCAGCGTGGAAGAGTAGCGGAAGATGAGTGCGAGGATGCCCCCGATCGCGCCGATGACAACGCACGCGACGAGAAAGACGCCACGAAGACCAGGCGAAGGATCGTAGATGGATTGTGCAACGCCCGCACGGAGGATGATGCAGATGGTGATCAGGGCGAGAGAGTAAAATCTGCGTAATGGTGAAGCCGAGGTGAAGGCGTAGCCAAATGTTTGGGGATCATTTGTCAGCGGTCAACTTCCTCGTGGGCTCCTAGCAGGTGAGACTGTACGCCAAGTGCAGTGAAAGTAAAGCATGCATCCCCAAGCTCACGACAGCGCGAGCGCACGATGTGCTACAAGGAAACACCACATTACCTCGCGTTTAAGATGCCAGCAAAGCCCCGGGGTATTGTCCTGGACTTATTTCGATTGCATGAACTACTTACCCAGTGAAAAAGACCGTGGACCAGGTCGACTTGATACCCCAGAATGCCATGAAGAGACCGCTGATGATGAGAAACGCGCCGAGCACGCCGAAAGCAGGATCGATGACGGTCTGCAGTGGGAGGCTTGGGGATGTGTCTGAAGCTAGCGCTGTTGTGGCTGTAGAATCTCCATATGGCGACGGCGAAGAGATGGCGGAAGGTTTGGTAGCGCTAGCTATGCCGAGCGTCAGAACACGAGTGACGGAAGTGACGTATTGATTCGTTGCATTGCTGCTGATCGGATGCGCCCCGGGTGGAAGCGGTTGTTGCGGGGATAATGTGACCGTGGCCAACGAGACTGTCGTAAGCGTGTAAAGAGATTGAGAAGAGGATGTCGGACTGGCGCCATTGCTAGTATTTTCGACGTTCGATGAGGATTGCGCGGATGTGCTTCCCGCATTCGTTGACGTGGCCAGCGGTGGGGATTGCGCGAGGGATGGTGCTATACACAGTGCCAGAAGAAAGCCGACGATCAAGCGTTGGATCACGCTGCGATGTGGCAACGATCGCTGTCGCCCTTCTGTGCTACTCCTCATGGAAAGACCGTGTATGTTGAGGGTGAACTGCCGCATCGTGGTAAGAGCTTTGCTTATGCGAATTCGACGTTTCGCTTGACGCGCCGTAAATCAGTCACAGGCACGCTTGTTTGCGGATCTGGTCAGCGCCATGCGCTCCATCAAACCTAACGAACAGGTCTTTGAAGGTGATCGCTGAAGCAGGGCAGCATGAGCTAGTAGTACGGTCGGATGCAGGTGAACAGATGAGCTCGGAGGATGCTTTCAGCCCTGCTTCACCAAGGGTAGTCCAGAAGGAGACATCGAGTATGGAGAAGCAGCGGAGAGGAGACTCGAAGGAGATTGCACCATCAGAAGGGAGAGGAAGCAAAAACATTGCAATGGATCAGAATGACTACAAAGCATCCCTTGTCACGGTGTCGCTGCTGACCCAGCTGGAGCAAGAAGAGTAGACAGGCAGGCTGCTGCCACGACGGGTCCGCTCTAATGGAGGCAGGGGCAAATCTGCGCTCGCTGTAACTTTGATTGTCAAGACCTCTGCAGGAGCCGAGATGAGGGGAGGTTGTGGAAGAAGGCCACTTCGAGAGCCGTCGAAACGGGTGGACGGGTGATGGAGCACCGAATCTCGCCTTGTCTCATCCGCAACGGATCTCCGCGATCCTTGAGTAATAATCATCGCGGCCACTTTGATCCTTTGACTCGAGACTCTTGCGTTCTCCCATTTCCCCTGACTCGGGCCCTTCCCCGAAGATCTCGCTAAGAACATGTCGTCGCTCATCCGCTCATCACAGGAACGCCCTGGGGGGTGCGGACATTAGACAGGAAATCGCCTCTATCTTTGGTGCCGTTGGCCGTTATACAGGAGCCTCTAGATCTTTATTCGTTGCATGCCCTGCGCCATTGCATCACCCCACACAAACTGTAAAAGTCACGTGCTCCCAGGCCTCAGCTCTCGTTCGCTGGCTCCCCCTCACGATCACACCTGGATCGTTGGAATTCCAATTCCTCAGAGACTGCAACCTTTGGGTCGTCAACAGCCACCGCAGAACGACCGGATCCCTCACAAGGAGAGCTGAAGGCTGATCTTCGTTACTTGATTCCGTTATAAGCTGTAGTCCGGCGTCATCCCGTTCACAGCTGGAGAAAGGTCAGAGCAGCCCCTCTGGACCTATAGGACCAACTACGTAGCCCGGTCGAAAACACGAGCCTGTGACCCTAGTCGTTTTGCGGCCGTCAGCCTGCTCCGTTCGGGGACATTTGCCTTTCAACGAGATTATATTGAGTAATTGCACCGCTAACTGGGATGAATTGTTCGAAATACATTGCAGGCGATATACGGTCTATCTAGGAATCTACCAGGTGGCATGCGTGCGTTGAGTGACCTGCTCTCTGCAGAGTAAGGTCACTATGCCATGCACAAGTGCTTCAGCGTGCCGCCGTTCCTTACTATCGTCCATGCTTATACGGCTTATTCTCTACACATCAAAGTCTCAGTGATATCCAAAAAGGCTGCTGCTTCGGCGTGCCGGCTTCTCGATGTCGACCAAGTGTCACTCGATAAGTCGCGCTGCATGTGCGCCAGCTCGGCCGGCCAATTTCGTGGCGGCGAACGACGAGCTGCTTCCACAAAGCTCCAGATTGGAGTGCCAAGAATCCCAGGCTGCAACCTTCCTTCCTTCACTAGGCCCTCCTCTTCTTTGACGCGTAGTGTTGCAATGAGAGCTTCGTTCGTTCGTCCGTAGCCGATCGTTCGCGCATCGCTGGCAAAGCTGAGCACAGCCAACAGCTGTCGTTCTGAGAAGAAGCGAGGGTATTCATGGTCATATTCGATTCTGCTCTGAGAAGCTACTTGCCTCAATATTGCAATTTTAAGTTCCGGTGGCAGATGAAGCCACCAAGGCGGTGATCCATCGGCCGTTGCAGCAGACGATACGTTGCAACCGAGGACACGCGCAACACCCAAGACCGAAAAGGCAGCAATCTGCGTGCATCGTGTGATAGATGGGTGCAGCGGCTTCAGAAGATTGTTCAGTGGGTGACCCTTAGTCTCATTGTAGCATGCCAGTGCTTCTAAGACCCGCTCCAGCGCCTGAGCCTCGAAACGGACGGATCCGGTGTCCTGCACTCCACGACAGGGGTGTTCGGTGAGGATAGCATTTGCAGCGGACCAATCAGACCTTTCTTGACCGTTCTCGAGTGCCATATGGCCATGGCGCACCACGGCAAGGATGTCTTCGAAAACCACGTGATCCTCTGTCATTGACTCGCAGGCGTAGAGGTTGACGAGGAGAAAGTGTCTACTCCCATAGAGCATCCAATCTGCACGAGGCTCCAATGAAGAGGCGAAGTGCGCGCCTGGCCTATCAAGCCGCTGGTTCAGCCGTGGAGTGATTTCGTGCCAGCTCGAGTCACCGCAGTGAGCGGCGGTGATCAGGCTCACGCCGCCTTGGCCAAAAGAGTTGGCATTCAACTTGAGCAGTGTCAAGTTTGGACAGCCAGCGTATGGTGGGAACGATCGCGCCTTCGACGCTTCTCTGGCAGATGACGAGGCACATACTTGAGTTTGGAGGCTCCGTCTGATGAACAAGGCAAGCGTGCGAGCAGCCTTGATCCCCAAAGATCTTCGCTTCGTTTGAATCGTACCGTCGGCGGTCGCATACTGCTCCTCCACGTAACCGTCCTTGATTAGTTGCGAAAGTGACAATGTCTGCAGAGTCACTGAATTGAGGTTCAGAAGGAAGACGTCGAAAGCTTCGTTCCTGTCATCCATTCTGTTTGTGCTCAGATTCAGAATGCCAAGGACGGAGTGTCGCACACTCCTCGCGAACAAGCCTGCGAGAGGAGGATCTGTCTGACGGTGGTAAGGGAGCACATGAACACACCGTGAGCAGGGCACTGAGCTGCCGTTGAAACATTTTAGGAGTCAACGCACCAGGAGGGAATTTCCCTGTAAGTGAAGCTCTCTCAAAGTTCCGTTCCCCTCGATGTATGATGCGAGTGGACGCAGACAGCTCGCTTCAAGATTGCATGACGCCAAACTCAGCGAATGCAGAGGTTGTTGAGTTACCACTGATTTAACTTCTTGGAGCATCAAAGTCCAGTTGACAAGGTCATCTTGAGGGTTCTCATCCGCTTGTTCAGCCTCAGGCGATTGCGATCGGCGCAGAAATGCCGATGACGCTGCTGCATTGCTGTTGGGAGCACCCCCATCACCTGCAGCACGAGTTGGTATCACATAACCATCGTCTATAGAGTCGAGGACGGCTTTTGGAATATGTACCTTTCTCCCCGAAAGACAAAGCGGATCCAGCACAAATTGCTTAAGATATGACGCCCAGCCAATACGCGTGTGATCGAGCTGTAAAGTTGAAAATCGCACGACCTTGCGATGTTGTACATCCTCAGGAGCAGCATTGAGAAATGCTGCGATAGCAGTTAAAGGTGCACGAGGCGGTGGTATATCCTGGTCTTCAATATCGTCATCTTCGACTTGATGAGTATTCGCATGGGAAAGCAGTTGGTCAGTCGTTCTGAGGTCAGTCGAGGAAGTCGGCTCAGGAAAGTGGAGAGGCCAGTCCCTGGGGTGGTTGGCAAGCATCATCTTGACTGGCTCAGACGTAAAGGCGTGAATCCTTTCGCGCTGCAAGACACCAGAGACCAGCCAGACCAGGTGGATGACTTTGCAAATGGTGTTCTGACTCTTACAGCACCCGTAGACTGCGATGTGATCAACGGTGGTAAGGCCATGATGGAATTAGAGAGTCCGTTAAAGCCGCGGAGACCAGGGACAAGTCAAACGAATATAATATGGCGGTTCTCGAGTTTTTTGCGGTTTATCGACTTCACATTTCGTCACATGATGACCTGATGACGCACTTGGAAACTGCATCATAATATAAGCTAGCTACATGGCTTCTTGACGCCTTAGCCAAATTTACATTAATTTAGTGTGCACGACAGCTAGCGGGTTGCCTTTGGTTAAGATGTTAACTGTCCAAGACGGCTGACGGTGGCTGACACGGTACGTATTGCTTGGCATCATTGTCGCCTCTAACGCCGCCATACACTGCTATCGCTGTGATGCCATCATCATCGCGGATATCAGAGCCACCTTTGCGACACCGTCAACGATGATTATCGTGCAAAGGTAAAGTATTCATTGCCAGTGATCTGTCAGTTGAAGCCGCAGGCGCACCAACAATCTCTCAGAGCCCAAAAGACCATCCTCGACAGCAGCAGCGGGATAATAGCAAGCTGGGGCCAAGGGGCGCAGCTGCTTCCACTAGATCGTTCAGGGTTAGGGCCGGAATGGCAAGAGTAAAGTTAACGCTGGCAACTGTGGCAAAGCAGACGTACGCGTAGTATGCCTACTTGTTCGGCACACGTTCAGCACCCTGTGGCGCACGATGCGACACAGGGTGCTGGCCGTAGAAGCACGCGACAACGAGCGCGGACGTTCGAGGCGTGTCTATGACGGTAGTTGAACCTAGAGCTCACAGGATCAGCACAACGGTGTCAAAAACGCGAGACTGAAAGAGAAGGAGAGTGGAGAAACGTCATGTTTCGCGTGACCGTGGACGTTTGGGCTCGGCGAGCTTGCACACATACCAGTAGTGCGGCTGCCGACCTGGGGCCATTTCGAAGTTCCCTCATCAACATGCACTGAGCGCCGTCCAGGGAGATGCCAGAGTTGTATGCACGGTCTTTGCGACCGCTCCTTTCGCGTCAGAAGCAAGAAGTCCGGCTCCCCTTGGCCCACCAGGCAGACTCACAAGTGCAAGCAGTGTAGCTGTAGCCTGCGGAGACGCCGGGAATGCAGCCGTACACCAACACACGTAAGGGAACTCTGTAGTCACAGGTGGCGATCGTGCGCTCTCCGAAACTACAGTGGCGGAGGTGGGGAATATCGTACCCAATGAAAAAACGATGGAAACGAGAGCCTGGCAACGAATGCTGCCGCCCCAGCTGATGGATAGGTGTAACACGTCGATTTGGCGCCACTGACATGCTCACACAAGAAGAATCAGGATTCACAGCAGGGAGATGGCAATGAGGACAGCCACGAATGTCGCGTATCGTTGTATCAGAAAGGCAAAGATTGTGATCCGGACGTGTTTTTCCCTTGCCTTCAAGTCATTCCAGAGCGAGTACTCAGCCGGCTAGAAAGCGACGGCCATGGCATCAGCTATATGTGACATGGGGCTGCTAAGTAATGTCACCCGTCATCGAGAAGTTTTCGCTTTCTGAATCAGGAGAACACGTCGGCCACGGAAGCATTCTTCCGAGATCGGTCCGCGGCCATTCAATACGAAATGGTGTAGATTCACCGTGCCGTCCCTCGCGTGGAGGCAGGCTCAAGTCTTGGATCCTGCATGCAGTAGCAGTGGTTGGGTCAGAGTAGAAGTGTCGGAAGTGCCACAGCTCGTTAGATGAAGAATATGTTTGGCAGGGGCGCAGCATTCTGATGAGTGCGGCAGTGGCAACTTCCCGAGAGGAGCCTATCCTTGATTGCGGTTGGACCTCGCCTTTGCTTGCTGCCTCGTCTTCATCAACTCCCGCAATTTTAAAATGGCATCTCTACTTCGGGCTTGCACTCTTGCTGCTTTGGTTGTTCCTTATAGGCGCTCGTACTTGGTTCGCATTTGGCACAAGATTCAGGACGACAAAAGGAACGAAGTGGCGACAGAAGATGTTGAATCTTCGGCGCATGAATTTAGTGAAACGGACGCGTAGAGCGCATTTTAGATGTATCGTCCGGCTGCGTCCTCCAGAATATACCACCGTTTCAGGTGTGCGAAGGCATTAGAAAGACGACCTCCGACGCGATGGACTAGATCCGAACAAGAGATCTTGGTCAAAGATTCATAACAGAAGATGACGCGTGCTCAGAGGAATGGGGTGTATGTCGAGAAATGAGATGCGATATGCTACACACGACGCACGCCTCTGCTATTAAGAATGGCACCAACCTCTGGGTGGTACGGGGTCCGCCGCACTCCGCACAGACCAATATAAAGACCCGACTACTTCTTCACTTTTCCGAACAGCTTGCCAAGGACCGACTCCCTCCTACCACCGTCCTCAGCGCCCCTCGAAGCCGAGCGCTGGGTCTTTTGCGCCGCTTGCACCGGCTGGGTATCCGCGAGGCTCGACGACAGTGCCCTCTCGAGCGGGACGGCGAGTGCGCTGATCTTCGGCGAAGCATCCTTGAAGAGCGTCACTTGATCTGAAACCTGCGTGATCCCCATCGACGGACGGTTGGCGTCTTGTGCATCGGCCGCCGCCGCGGCCTCAAGCGGAGCAAGCATGGGTGACTCATTGGTATCAGCAGCTGATGACTGCTGCTGCTGTCGCTGCTCAGCCAGATCCATGTGCGGCACCGCTCCCACACCCTCTGTTCCCTTGCCGTTGTCGCTGGCGGCGTCAGCGGGCAAGATGAGCGGACTGCGTTTCTCGCCGATGGCCTCGAGCCCATGTTTGCCGAGAGTGCGCAGGCGGAGGCTTCCCGCCTTCGCCGGGCTGCTGAGGAGGGGCAGGCTGCTGCTATCCCCTGCTGCGGTGATCGGAACAGAGCCGCTGGCGCTGCCGACGTCTCCATCGTCCCCGTCGAATGAGACGGACTTACGGTGCCGGCTGAACGAGTCGATGGAGCGCTTATGGTCCCGCGCGCTGGCCATGAATCTGCTTCCCGATGGCGACAAGGGCCCTGCAGAAGCGGCCGGGTGCTGAAAGCGCTCTGCGAGCTTCTCGAACTTGACGGCCTCGCGGCTGGGCGTGACGATCGCGTGCTCGCCGTCGATGCTGATGATCTTGGAGCGCATGCTACCGCCGGGAGAGACGGGTGGCGCAGCGATGCTCGCAGAGAAGTTCTTGAACGGATCCGGCGTGTCGGGCGCGGTGGACATCGTGAGGATCTGCGAGCCGCGCTTTGAAAGGAAGCCCGAGCTGCTGGCGCTGGACCCGGGGACGTTGGTGCTATAAATCATGCTGCCGCTGCCAAAGTCCCACGACTGCTGGTTGCGCAGGGATACGATTGACATGTTCCGCCGTCGTTCTTGCCGTTCCACCAGCGGTGGCAGGCAGGCTGTGGAGGTGCGATATGAGCTGGTGAGCACGAAGCAAATGCGCGCCTCGCTTGGACAATGCTACTCACACAAGATAGCAGTGACGAGGTGCTTTTTCGATTTGGCCTGCTTAAAGAACGCGTGCCCGAGCAGCTTCTCCGCCGAAGGCCGCTTGCTGGGGTCCTTCTGGAGGCAGACCCTGACAAAGTCCTCCATCACCTTGCTGTACCTGTGCGGCCCGCCCGTGCGGTCCAGCTGTGGCGGCTCGTCCTGCAGCGTCTTCATCAGCACTTTGACCGGCGCGAAGCGGCTGTGTGGCGCGCGCCCGTGCGCTAGCTCGAGCGCAGTGATGCCAAAGGACCAGATATCTGCCTTGTGGCCGTAGTGCTTGCGCTCCACCACCTCCGGCGCCATCCAGCACGGCGTGCCGACAAAGGACTTGGTCGCGCCTCCTGTGTAAGCCGCATCGCCGCCGGCAGCAGAGGCGGGGGCGTCGGCCCGCTCGTTGAGAAAAATGCCGACGCCAAAGTCGCCCAGTAGTACAGTGCCGTCCTCGTCGACGAGCATGTTGCCCGCCTTCAGATCTCTGTCGGCAGTATTTGCAAAAAGAGGGCGAGGAGAGAGATATATATATATCAGATTGTCGTGCACACGAAGTATCTTCGCTGGGGTCAACGCACCTATGCAGCCATCCATTAACATGAAGATAATTGAGCCCTTCCAGCGCCTGCTTGAGCACCGTCGCGATGACGGCCTCGTCAAAGCCGTCAGGATAGGAGAAGCGCATGATATCGAGCATGCTGCCGCTGCTCATCAGCCGCGTCGCGATGTGCAGCTTGGTCCCGTCGACCCAGCATCCTCTGACACGGAGCACGTTGGGGTGCTTGCTCAAGCTCATCAGCTGCGTCTCCCTGCGCAGCACCTCGGTGTCCCCGCTAAATGCTTCGAGATCCACGACCTTTACTGCACACGCGCGACTGCCGAGCGGCAGGAAGGCCGCCTGGTAGACGACGCTCGATGCGCCGAATCCGATGACGTCGCCTAGGATGTAATCGGCGGGCTGCGAGCTGTACATCGGCCAGTCATCGACGACGGAGCCGATGTGCGCGGCGTTGCGCAATACGGCCGCTGCGCTGTTGCGCTTGGACCCAACGCGTAAGAGCGTGCCGCTGCCCCCCGGCACTACCGCCGCGGAGGAGGCATTCCGTGTTTGCGGCGGAGTCGAAGCGCCGGAACTTCGCCGCGAGCCAGATCCACTGGCTTGGGCGTCCTTGGCATTTTTGCTGGCCCCCGGATGTGAAGGTTTCCCATCGGGAGAAGACGATAAGGACGGCGTGGAAGCGCCAGTGCTTGCATTGCTTCCGACGGGTCGGAGGATGGGCGAGCTGCGGCGGCTAGACGCGCCGCTGTCGCCGCCCTTGCTGGAGCCGGCTGCGCTGTTAGGCATCTTCGCGCAGCGCTCCGATGATGGCTGGCGTTGCACAGGCGTCCGGACAGCGTCGATCGCCGCCGAAATGCACTCGGCTGATCACCCGCTGTCGAGCGGAGATGGTCAAGGGGAGGGCGGACACAAGCGGATAGATAGGCTACTCGTCGACGCGTATCGCTGTGTTGGTGGTAGCAGTAATGATCAGCAGAAGCAGGACCGTGCCCAGTGGGTGCGTGGGTGTGGGTCACGCCAAGACTGTCGCTGGCTCAGCGTGCTCACCGACGGCCACTCGGAGTCGCCCACCCTGGCAGAGACATGGACGAATCACGCAGAGAGCTGCGCCTGTCCGTGTTCCGTGTATTATAGTACATAGCACCCTGCCTGCCAACGATGGGGGGAGGATGTGAGAGCGAGGTGGTGCATCTGGTCACCGTGTGCATCACTGGTTCCATGAGTGGAGCGGGACCCTTTCCTTGGGGCTAGCCAGGCTGGTCTGGTCTGGTCTAGTCTGTCTCGGTCTCTCACACTCGCTCGTGCACGGTCCCAGGCCATGTGCTTCTCTGTGGCTGCCCCTGTTAGGAATAAAATCTGGTGCCAGACTTGACTCTCTCATTGCTGCGGCGGCCCGCATCGCGTTCAACTGGATCTCACACAGGTCAGGGCTCGCAAGAGTGCTCCACGTCACAGCGCCGAGCCTTTGGACAACCCCATGACGCACGTGCTCCAGGTGGGAGCTATGTCCTAACCCTAGAACATTGGTCCATCCATCCACATGGGTCCCGTCTCTCACAAGTGGCCCGCCTCTCTGCGCATGGTACAAGTTCATGGCTCACACTGTAATCACAAGATTGCCGACTCCTATTTCAGGTACATCTATATTATATATATTTGATCTTTGATACTTTCAACAATTGTACACGACTTTGTGTGATTTGCGCTGTTGATGAGATGAGCAAGGTGCAAGGCCGGCCTTCAAGGCCAAACCCCGTGTGGAAAAGCCCAAAATCGGGCGTGGTGCGAGATTGGGAGCGGAGCAGATGATGAGCAATTAGCAAAGCCCGTCCAACTTCCGAAAGCTATATATACACTGTGCGAGGGGTTTCCAATTCCGGAGTTTCGGGCCACAGACCTGGGGTCTAGGTCTTCTCTTTGTTTGAATGAGTTGAGATTTCGCTTTGTCAGACCAAGCCAAAACGACTTTTTACTGGTGTATGTGCTTGCGAATGGCTCAGTGCATCCTCCCCCCTTCCTTGCGGGTGCTCGTTATGTCATTGACGCCTTCTGCCTGAGTGAGAACGACGGCGGGAGAGAGATGGAGATCCAAAGCTGCTGTGGCGTGCGATTCTGGAATGCGGTGTGATTGGCTCCTTTTGGGGCTAGACTCTCAGCCCTCAGAGCTTTCCAAATTGTTCTAGACGTAGCGTAGCGCACAAAATAGTTGATGCGACGCTGGGCGGGCAGTGGGATGGATAAGGTTTCACAGGCGGATTGCCCTATTACTGTACTGTACATACGTACACGCCCTACACGTGCACCTCCAGGTGTGTGATACAGGCACACCTGCGTAAGAAAGGACGAAAACCTGCTCAACCCTCCCCGCCCGATGACATCCTTGTCATCTCCACCTTTCTCCTTGCCTCGTCCATCCTCGTCGTCCGCGTCCAGCCGGCGACGCGCCTAAGACGAATGTCACGTACAGCCGCGAGCGCGCGGCATCACTGTCGAATCAGCAGCCAGCAGCTCGCACACCCCACAAGCCCAGCATAGGCGGGTGGCAGCATCAGCATCAGCATCATCGTTATCAACACTGTCCCAACCAGCACTGGAGGGGCAGGAGATGCACGCAGCTTCATGAGAGTGCAACGCTTCGGTCCCGCTCCTCGCTACAAGGAAATCACATAAAGCTTGGCGCAGAGTCGGCTCACCCGCTATGCTGCGGCACGCTGCTTCCAAGAGCCCCTTTCGCAGCGGCGCCGGCCAAGGTCAAGGGTTGGGCAATACCAGCGGCAGCGGCGGAGGGAGCGACCGGAATGCAGTGAGCTCAGCAAGCATTGCGCTCAGCAGCCTTGTCAACGCTGGCGTCATCTCGTCCAGCAGCGTCAGCAGCAATTTTTCATTAGTCACCGCTTCTTCGAACACGTCCGTGGGCACATCAGCGGGGGGCGCCGCCGGAGGATCAGGAGCGGCCGCCGGCGCCAGTTCCTTTATCCTTCTCGGGGGCGGCAGTCACGAACACACCGCGCCGAACACATTGCTGAGCCTCGGCATGCACAGCGCCGCCGCGACGGGCAACGTCGGCCTCATCAAGTTCGCGTTCGACCACGGCCAGTCCGTCGCGTCGGTCCTGAACGGCATCGTTCCCTTGCATGCCGCCTCTTCCGGCGGGAGCGAGGCGGCGGTCCGTCTGCTGCTTGCGTACGGCGCAGACCCTAACGCACCCCGGATCAAGGTCAAGCCTTCTCAGTCGGCCGGCAGCGGTAGCGGCGGAGGAGTAGGTGGCGGCGGCGGCGGTAGCGCGCTGGCTTTCAGCGGGTCGGGCATCGCAGGCTCATCTGCGTCCGGAGCAACTACGGGCGCCGGATTGGGCACCGAGGGCTCCACACCGCTGCACTTCGCAGCCGCTAACGGGCACGAGGGCGTCCTCCGCATCCTGCTCGACAGCGGCGCGCAGCCGGACGTGACGGACAGAGAGGGTAACACACCCGAAGCGCTCGCACTTGGCAACCACCACGATGACTGCGTCCTGCTCCTGCGCAGTGCCGCTGCTGGTCTCAGCAACAGCAACACCAACACCAACATCACTGCTAGTAGCAGGCAGCATCTCCCGCCTGCGCTCACGAAGCCGGCATCCTTGTCCGGGCTCAACGGTAGCGGCGGCTGGAGCGGCCGCTCGAGGGGGGACTCGGGAGCGTCGAGCAGCGGCGGTGGAGGGGCAGGGATAGGAGGTGGAAACAATGTCGCAGGTAACCCCAGTTCTTCCATGTCGCTGCGCACACAGCGATCCTTTGACCAGCTCTCCTCCGCCGCTGCGGGCGTCAAGCAGTCGTTGTTCAATCGCAAGGCGAGCAACAGCAACAGCAACATGCATGGACATCCCAACGCTACTACCTCGTCTGCGGCAGCCGCTAGCAAGATGTTCAAGACCAGCTCGCATCCTAATCTCAAGTCCAGTGCCACCGCTTCTGGATCTACAACTCAGCCTTCGAGCGCAAATGGCATCCCACCGGTGCCTTGCGTCAAGTACCGCGCCCACGCGCCGGCTCCGGACCCTGCCCTCGTGGCAGGCGCAGCTGCAGCCGCTGGTTGCGGCTCCGGCGTAGGCTCGGGCTCCGGACCAATGCGAAGCGTCAGTCCAGCCCTGAGTAGCCCGAGCGACCCTGCGGACATGGGCTTTGCGACGTTCAAGACGACTCCTGCAGCAACGGCCGTATCGGTTGGGATGCTCGGGCCTGGATCTGGATTTGGTGCGGCAGGATCGGCTTCAGGCACAGGATATAGCTCGACGCCAGGCCCAGGCAGCAGCATCCAGCGCCGGCCGTCGCTGCCTTCCATCTTTGAGCGTGCGGACCACCCCGGTCAAGCGCTACGCAGCGCACTGAACCTTGCGGCGGCGGCGTCGTCGTCGTCGTCATCCTGCTCTGCCTCCTCGTACTCCTCAGCGGCAGCGTCATCGACCACTCAGATGCATCCGTCGCACTCGATGAGCAGCGGCGGCGGCAGCAGCCACGGCAACCAGGGCAGCGTCTTTGCTAGCGGCGGCGCGTCAAGCAGAGGTGTCGATCTGATCGAGATGCTCTCCTCTGATTCTGCTGGCCCCGGCGCAGGGTCCTCGTCAGGAGGAATGGGCAGCGCAGGGGTGCGCATGGCGAATGGCAGCGCCGCTGGTGGTAAGGATGCAGATTCCGACACTCCCGGCCAGTCGCTGCAAAGGCCAGCGGGCAAGCGGAGTATCGGGCAGTTAATCCGCAAGGCGACCGGCACATCCACCACCAGCAGCGCAACGGAGCTGTTGCCCAGTCGTGTGCCGCCGCAGTTGGCACATCGTCTTTTCCATGCAGAGCAGCAACTCAAGAATACCAAGGCATTTTCGGCGCCTTACTCCCAGACAGCTTTCCACATTCCTAAAGTTCCGAACGTCTACATGCCACCGGTCGCTTTAGCGGCCATCGAAATGTGCACCCCACCCTTCGATGCAAGCACTCCCCTTCCTCCCCTACCTTCTCCATCCTCCGCAATCCAGGACGCACCAGCTTCGGCACGCTTAGCAGCTCCGCCCTCTTCGTCAGCGTCGGGCCTGTACAATCAGCAAAGTATCACGTCTACTATCGCCGCGCGTCCGCGGCAGGGATCCGTCTCCACTGCATCGCCGAGCCAAGGTGTGTCGCATGAACGCAGCCTCAGTACTATAGAGATAGGTGCGATCTTGCGCAGAAGGGCACTCAGTTCTGCCAGTGCCGATCGCAAGCCATTCTTGCTCAATTCTCAGCAGCAGCAGCAGCAGCAGTACGGAGCGCTTCCCTCTTCCGAAATAGCGGAAGCGGACCCCAAGTTGACCCAGCGGGGTATCCGCGCCGCATCCAAGTCCCCTTCGAATCCAGGCAGTCCCCTCTTGCATTCTGCCGGTTTGCCCAGGGTTATGCGCAAGGATTCGGCCAGCAGCATGTCCAGCGCAAGCGTAAGTTCGGCACTGGCGCCACTGCCGGCGCACACCTCCACAGCTGCCGGCGGCAACGGATGCAGCACCTTCGCACATGACCCGGCATATGCGCACGGTTCTCCGCACTTCTCACCGCGTACGCGGGCCCTGCCTTTTTTCAGCGACGACACGCGATCGATCGGTTCTGGCGGCGTCCGGCAGGCACGGTCCAACTCGGCGGCTGGCAGCAGTGCTAGCACGAGCATGAGCAACAAGGCATCCAACGCCTCTCTCCGGTCGATGAATGCTGCTGGGAGCGCGTCTGCTGCGGAACACGCGCAGGCGATCATGCGGAATGTAGAGGAGAACGGCTCGACGACGCTCGTCAAGGACGGGCAGAAGATCTCGCTTGCAGAACAGCTCGCTGCGTATGGTGAAGCGCTGGCAAGGGAGCGAATGCAGCAGCAACAGCAACAGCAGCAGCAGCAGCAGCTGAAGGCATCGGACAAGGCTTTGCAGCGAGCGCTAACTGCACAGCAGCCTGGCTTGCTGCCCAGCGTCAGCGAGGATCGCGCGCAGAACAACATCTCCGCTATGCGCAGCATCGCCCCCGGATCGACAGGGACATTTGGATCTCAGGGTGGTAGTGGAGGCCGGGCTAGCGCTAGTCGGCCGAGAGCGTGGAGCAACGAGGAATCACTCATGCGACAAGGTCAGTCCCTGCCATTTTTGCCGCGCTCTACCTCAGCTGCCGAGGCGGTGAACCGCTCTGCAAGATCCCCAAAAGATGGTTTGAAGGAGCTGTTTATTGGTGAGGCAGGCGCTTTGACATATGGGTGTGATTGAGTTGCTGAAACTTGTCGACTTTTCAGATCCTTCAAGTCGCCTATCAGCCGAACGTCGTTATCCGCCATTCGAATTGTCTCTTGTGAGCACATATCGCCAGGGAGGCATTCCGCACGCCAAGACGTCGCCGGTCCTTCCGACTCGACGTACCGTAACAGACTACCGAAAGGTGACCGACACTGCGTTTTTCGACGGACCAATGGTCACTGCGCTCCATCGACCTGTGAACTCAACTCCTGTGTTCAGTCGAGCCTCGGATGACACCCCGAGGCGTGCAGGAGCCAGCGGGTCGATGGGCAACGACACTGTGGCCCCCATGCACAATTCGGATATGCTAAGCCAGCGTACGGCGCCCAAAGTAGATTCGCCTGCACGGAGCACGCACCGCTACAGCGACTCCTTGCCTCCAGATATGGACTCTTTAAGCAATGAACGCGGAGGACGCACGAGCCGGCGTCCTTCCAGTCGAGATGAATTCATGCGCTCGCTGCAAAGCAACTCGTCGAGCGGAGCCAGTGTCGCTTCGTCCGGCGCATACCCCGACGGAGGCAAAAATGGTCTCGGACTCGGCTTTGGCCCTATGTATTCGCGAGATGACCTCGTTTACGGCGGCTACGCTATCAACAGTACGGCAAGCCCAATGACGACGTCCACCAGCCTCAGCTCAACCGCCGCTGGGCCTTTCTCCTCGTTCATCAGCGCTGTCGAAGCGTCCCTTCCGGATCACAGCCAGGGCAACAACAGCAGCAACAGTATTGGTGCAAAAACGAAACGCAAGTTTGTGCGCACTCTCTTCGGAAAAAAAGAACAGCAACAGCAATGATGAAAGTAGCAGCACAAGAATATGAACAGATAGATACCCTTGCCGCGCCCTATCTCGCGTAGTACACTTTGTTTCCACCTTTCCACCTTTGGATTCTTCCTGGAGTTGTTCCATGGGACTTCAGATACCCACGCAATATCGTCAGCATCCTAAACTTTTGACAAATGCACACCAGCCAGCAAATGGTCTCCGGATCGCAATGGAATGATCTTTCTCAAATGCTATGCTCTCTTCTTTTCCGCATCGTGTGAAGACACCACACTCACGGAGGCACCGTTTGAAACACATTCTGAGGGCGCAAGCGCCAAGTATAAAGGACAGGGTCACCCCAGGAGGGTTGGTGAAAGTCCCTTCGCACGTGTGCATTTGCAATTGGCGTCGTTTGTGCGACGTTTGGTATATTGAACTTTCTCTATTTACAAAAGGCGAAGTGACGAAGTCAACACGGAGTGATAGAATGTCGAGCGTGCGAGCCAGACCGCCGAACGATTGTGTACGCGCGTGAGTGTTGATTCTCTCCGCTTTAGAATTTACAGGGTGACAAGGAGAGTCAACAGCTTAGAATCCAAACAGCATGGAGCGAAGTCGATCTTTCCGCTCGCTAAACTAGCTTAATCTTTGCGGGACAGGTCACCAACCGGCAGCGTGAAGAGCGCCGTCTCAGGCGAAAGAAGGCCAGCGGCGCCGACGTACCATGCGACGGCGGCAGTGGCGATACCAAAGACGCCGCCTGCAGTCTGGAGGTGGGCCTTGCCAGAGAAGTAGAAGGCGACGAGGAGAAGGAATGTAATGTCCAGCAGGAAAAAGAGGACGATGAGGCCGATAGAGGATCGCAAGGAGGCCATGAGCATGATGAAGCTGCGGGTAGAAGCAGATAAGCCCAGAGAATCTAGAATCAGCAACGAAGATATCCAGTTGCGAAAAAAAGAATCACTCACGTGAAGATGAACCATGCAGCGAGGTAGATGCCAAGCTGCAAGAAGCGGCGAGCAGAAAAATTCAGCATAAGGTCAGCAGGTTGCAAAGATAGAACAGCTCACAGCGCTCTCGAGTTCGGCACCCTTGACATTAGCCTGAATGTTGAACCACGGAATGAAGATGATGGCGAACGACCACCAGAAGGCGCCGTACGAGCAGAAAGCGGTTGCGCCTAGCACAGATTGGACGCAAAGAAAGCGTATTGAAAAATCAGCTCGGCTGTCTGTGCTTGCTGAACGCCAATGGGCTCGCATCCCGTCACTCACCAAAAGTGTTACCGGCAGCAAACTCCCATATGCCAGCGACGAACTGGGCGGTGCCTCCGTACGCGACTGCGAGCGAAACGACCAGCTCTGGGTGGGTGATGCCGCGCGCAGAGACGTTGAACATGGACAGCACCCATGTCGTCGCTGCAAAGCTGAACAGACCCAGCGGTGCCGGGTTGGCAAATTTGCGGTGGTACACCGGGAATGCCGGCTGCGAGGTGTCCTGCGGGTGGCCGCCAGCTGTACGGCGCCGTTCAGTGGGCCGAAAGGTCATAATGCGGATTGTTTGTCAGCTTCTTCTATGCTTGGTCCACCCTGTCCGGGAAGATGACGCAATGCAATTCAAACCGGCCCAAATTATGCGGCTCTTCGCATGGGCAAGCAGTTTGCGAAATACCTCCAGCGCTGTCCAGCCAAAAATGTCAAATATGGCCTTTCCAGGTGTGGTCTCCACCATGTGGATCGCGAGAGATCGTGCGTACTCTCTGGACTGGTCAGGATGAGATGACCATCACCCTGACATCTACGCTCCGCTACGAGGCGCAAGGAAAGGCGTACTCACGGGTGACAGTGCGCTGGATGGCGACGCCGTTGTACTGAACGTCCTCCTTGGCCTCGTTTGAGTTGGGCATGTTGACTGACGTTAATTTGGAAAGTGAGGTTGGGGACAAACAAATAAGAGAGTTTGGACACACAAGGTGAGCGGTTGTTGCGTGTTGAAATCGAGAGGGAGCGTGCGGAAGGGCATGGAAGGAGGATGTGTTAGGAGGTTGTGGCACAGACGATGAACAGCCTTATATACAGTGGGACGAACTCAACCCGCGGCAGTGAAGAAAAACTTGAGTTTACGGCCCCACGGCAACGAGTGTTTGAACTGGGGTGTGGAAGGGGAGTTAGAATCGCAAACGAAACAAGTCTTCGTCATGGAGACAAGCACGGGACGCACACTGACCGATTGCAAGCCCCAACCTAACCCCGCGCTGCGGCATAGCGTGCAAAAGATACAAGTAATAAGAGCCCAGCCTGCGGTTCTTTAAGGGTTAGTTGCATCACTGTTGCATCATGGCAATGCATATTGCCATCATCGCAGGCAGGAAGCGGGCTGGGGGCTCTGCGGGCAAGGGACAACAGGCTTGCCTATGACAAGCAGAACGGCCGCAGGTCTTACTTTCTGCCTTCCCACGCACTGCTTTATGGACTGGTACGCCTGTCGCTGGGGAGGACGGAATGTGGACAGAGGTATGATCGGAGTGCGTGGGGAAGGGCCATCATCAAGGACTTCCAAAAACAGTGGGTGAGCATTGTCGACAGTCAAGCGCCACTACGCTGACACCGCTGTACAAAAAAGCCCAATGGGCAAAACGCAAACAAGCAACGAATTTGTACACCCACATGAGCCGTGCTCTACGGGCCCTGTACGGTTCTGCGGTCTCTTTTGACAGGTCTTGAAATTGACTCGAGGCGTGATGGCGAGCAAACCGTTTCGCTCCATAAAATGCACGCCAGAGGACGACCGCTGTGTTGTGAAAGCTGATTGCAGGAGAGAAGGGTTGTAAGTAATCTCTTTTTTTCTTTTTTCTTTTTCCCTCCTTCCCTTCAGTTAGTTTCTTTTTTTGGGTTGCTTTAGCGCGCATTCCTCATTTGACAGGAGCGGACCCTAAATATGCTAATTGGGAAGTGGTCCCGTGCCGCCTTCCACTTGCACTATATCGGAGGGCCGCGGCAGGCAAAAGTGCGGCCTCCAGGCCAGCGCAGCTCGGATACCCGCGATTTTGGTGGCCGAACGATCTTGATTGGAGTCAATTCTTGCGAGGCCCCTCTCTCTCGTTGTAGTTGGAGTCGGAGCGGGACGGTGAATCACAAATGCGCATCCCACTCCAGATAGTTGCACTGCGGCACACTATGGCGGCAGGGTGAGTAAACACGACAGTAGTCATGTCACTCTCCTCTCGCCGGCTATGACCCGTCGGAGGTGCTGCTCTTCCGGCGGTCTATGGAAGGGTGTTGTTGGAAGCGGATGCGAACAAGCAGGCTGGGATGACAGCACAATACGCACACATTGTATGTAGCTAGTTACTTCAGAGGTCCTGGCGTTTTGATGCTAGGTCGGCGGGCTGCGCGGTTAAGCACGATCCCCTGTGACCAACAGTATCCCCGCAACTTTACCTGAAACTAAATGGCTCGCCATCAGCGTTTGAAGCTGCCGAACAAAAATACACTATGAAAAATTGTCCAGCCGGCAGATACAGCCCTTTTCCAAATGCTCCTGTGACCCTTCTGTGGCCGGTGTATGCTGCGACGATTATGGAGGAGTTTTAAACCAGCCTGTCTGCGTTCGGAGCCACCTGTCGGAAGTGCGACGAGAATGGCGCCAAACCGCCGGTCCAGAGCACCCTCGAAAGCGGGCCTTCTCTTCTACTACGTATGTCTGCTTGTCTTCACGCTTTCGGCATGCTTCACGTGGCTTAGCCAGCTACCACGGATATGCAGGCAGCGACGAAAATTCACTGCTCCCTACTTACATACTCACAGCTCACTGATCACAAGAGTTTACTCCCTGATTACTATTCGCGCCTCACGCCTCATGCCTCAACGCCTCTAGGTCTTCTGGACTTGTAAGTTCTGGCGACTGTACTGAACCTCCGACGGCTCCGCCAACCGCCGAGATGGCATTCGATTGGGCTGGTACACATGTAGCCGAGGTATCGAATGGTCTGCTGGGCCAACAAACACTTAAAAACTATTCGCCAACTTGCTCGCCTCCTTCAACCGTCGGCCAGGCGTACACCGGTACACAAAAGAACCACATCGCTAAGTTTCTGAAGCCGAGAACCAGGGATGCGCGTGGCTGGGCTTCAGGCAGCCGGCTGAGTCGGCGTGAGGCTTTGGAGTCGCGTACATACCTACTGCTATGGGCAAATGTACCTTCGCTCTTATCTCCATTGGCATACATCGAAGCCAAAATAACCAGAAACGAAGTAAGCGCACACAGAGCAAATGCATCAATTTAGGCTACAGAAGGCCGGGGGGAGGGGGTCATGGAATCGTCCATGGATCCTTGCAAATATGCATTTTGAAAATGTTGCCTTGCGAAGGTGCTAGAGTGGAGCGCTCCTTGCGAATGTCTAACAGGTCTCCCTCACCGAAGATAGAGAGACTGCGGCAGGCACACGCTTGGGGTGCTCACGTGTCACTTATCAAGCCAGGAATGAAGAACTGCCAAGGGACACGTGACACAGGCGTTTGTCAGCTCTCTCCCTCCCCTCCACCGTGTATGCATTCAATTGCTCGGTGCAAAGGCTGCCGAAACATCTTACAGTCATAACTCCGCCAGGATGCTGTTGGTCGCCAATGTAGACATAGAAGATCGCACAGTGGTCGACGCATATGCACGCTATGGTGGACGTCTCGACATTGTAGCTGGACAGGAACCGAAGAAAGGACCGCATCTCGAGCGTCACGCTGCGGAATTCGCCCTGTTGCTTGCCTCTTTGGGGTGCACCCTTGGCGTCCCCATCGTTCTCATCGGCTTTGTGTCGCGCACAAGTAGAGCAGGAAAGCGCGGTCGGCGCCAGATCACAGAGGGTTCGATTCGGAAAGCCACTCACTTCGAAATTCAGGATGGCTTAGCCCTCTCCACGTCGTCTCGACGTTGACCTCATCGGAAGTGATGCCCAATGTCAAGGCACCTTCGAGGTTGGCGGAAAATGTTATCTGGAAAGACATGCGCGACATGCGCTCTGCGACTGTGCGCATCTTCAGCAGTCGAGGTAGTACAATGTGGACCTTGCAGATTCAGAATGAAAGCGTTCAATGTCAGCGGCCAAACACATAGCGGCAGGCAGAAGGAATGTTCTGCGGGGAACCTACATCTGGCTCAGGACAGTGTGGCTCGCGAATTTGCTCCCAGTCTGGCGGCTTGATGAGCTTGATGAGGACTTCATGTTCGATTTCCATCTTTGCACCCGTGTGGCTCTGTGATTTGAAGAGCAGGAGCGTGCGTGGTCAGAGCCAAGCTGTACAAATGGATGTGCTTGCGTGGTTTCCCGTGCATACACTCACCATGGAGACGATTGCAAATGAGAGCAATGGGTCGCTACCACGTTTTGCGAGTCGCATAGTGACGTCCGATGTGTCTTGAGCGCTTTTGAGCACCGAGATAAGCATTTCTGTCGAAATCTCCAGATTGATGATATTTTTGTACTTCGACTCGACCCGATAATCCTTGAAGAATTGGTCCTACCAAAGGCAGACAAAGCGAGATCAATCACTAAATTGGGACATTCCCTGAAAAGTTGGGCGCTTGCACACCTTGGTGAGAGTCCTACAAGCATCGAAAAGCGTGCAAGCTGAGCGTCACGGTACGATCAGAGCCGTGCCATTACATGTGCTCACGTCCATATTTGCACGCCGTCCGACTCGCCCGTGCAGATAATGCGGACTTCGTCGGGCGAAAGGTTGAGTATGCAGTGCGTGCTGATCTTGTTTACGGATTCTGTGTGAGCGACTGCATTCAGCTTGCAACATCCATCGATCGTTCGAGCCTTCCCCAGCGGTGGAGAATGCTGCACGCACGAAACACTTTCAGCAGCGTTGAGATGGCCTCGATGCCCGTCCGAAAACGCATCTTGTTCTCTTTGCGTATTCGCACAAGGTGGTGGTTTCAAGCGTGATTATGTTTTCACTAGTAGGCGTGACACACTACCATGTCCACAAGCGGTGGGTATTATGGATGCTGGTGAGGGCCGCCTGCTCGACCAGCGCAGTGGGCCTGTGGCCTGTGACACACGTCCACGATGAGGGCCAATGAAAGCGCACGGCTTTAGCAAACGGCAGCCCCTGGATTGCAATTTGCATGGCACCCGCTGCTGCAGGGCTCAATCCAATTACTTTTGCGTGTCGTTCGACCGAGAGAAGCCAGTGACGGGTAGCGTGGCCAGCGTGCAGGCCAGGCCAGACCAGACCGGACTGTCCAGAGAACTCTCGCAAAGGCTCAGTATCATAAGTTGAACGCGAGTGATGCTTCAATCGTGCCGCTCTTTCCTCTGAAGTCAGACCCGGTGCGTACGCGTCTCTCTGTGCGTTAACTTATTGAGACTCGACGTGAACATCCTCCCCGATCGGCCAGAGATCAGAGCCCGATTGTTGGAGTGACATAGAAACAAACAGTTCTCTCACGTGACACATTTGGAAGCCTTTTGGCTGACTGACAGCGGCAGTGCCTCAGCCGCAGATTGCATAGGAACGCCAAAGCGGCGTGGACCTGGGTAGGAGCCAGAAGACTGTCACCGCGCTGCGTGGAGACAGGAAAGTCTCAGAGCGACGGCAGAGAGACTTTCTATGCACCTCGCCGGCCACTCGCACCCGCGTCTCCAGGAAGCCAACCTCCTCTTCTCCACACTCGCACCATTCATTATCATAAGATTGTCTTCGACGCCAATATACTTTCTTTTCATTCTATAGATAGAGGTACGAGGCGCAAGTGCGACTCCTGGACGATCTCCAGCCCTCCAAGTCAAGAAATCGAGCCAAACAGGCAGCCGGCCAGCGCCTTATCGGCGACCACCCGCTACCGACACATCTGCAATTTCACTCCCCTTCATCGCTCTGGTATAGACAGCAGGCAAAGGTGGATGAAGCTCTGCTCTCTCCGCCTCTGCCCCTCGCTGCCACTATTCCCGCTCGACTCGTTGGTGGCGGTCGGACAACGTCCGACTCAACATCAACGACGGAAGAGTTCGAGTTAGCCGAGTTTGGTCGAGCCAGTCGGGAACCCTCATCGGTCCTTGAAGCGGCCAAGGCACAGGGCACGACACTAAGTCGCTCGCCTGCTAGAAGCTACTCGGAAGCTACAGGAAAGAAGGCAAGAGACGGCAACATGAAGTTCTCCCATAGTCTTCAATTCAACAGCGTGCCAGATTGGGCGGACAAGTACATTGCCTACTCGAACCTTAAAAAGTCTATCTACAACTTGGAGAAAGATGCCGTGGATGGGCAAACTCCAGCCGGCGGCTTGGGCACCTACCGAGATCTTCGAGATGACATTGAGAACGAATCAGCAGCGTTGCTCAGCGGCGAGCAGCGTTCAGACACGGACCCCATCTTTCTACCGTTGCTCGACAAGGAGCTGCGCAAAATCGTTCAGTTTTACGAGAGCAAAGAGAAGCAGATTTATGCAGATGTTGCAAGGATCGAAGAGGACCTGGAGAGGGCCGAGAACGAGGAGATGGTGCTAGAAAGTGAATACGACTTAAGCGACGATGATGACGCCGACGACGACGTTGATCCGTCCGCGGCCATTGTGCAGGGAGGGATGATGCAGAAGGGCTCACGGTGGCGCCGCACTTCGCTGGATGCAGTTGTCAAAGATCCAGCACAGTACAACGAAGCTAGTAGATGGCAGAGGCAGATACACAACAGCGATTCCGAGCCCCGCCAGAGCGTGACGCGTCGAGGTGGCGTCGAAGGAGGGGACGTTCTCGGTGAAGGGTTGTCAACCGGAACTCTCAGTAGACGACGCTCGAATTCCGCCAGCAGCTGGCAACCTAACCCTCGCTGGAATTTCTTCCGCCCTCGGCCCGCTCGCAAGCACTCGGTAGGTCTCTTCGGAGGAGGGGACCAACAGCAGAGCTCGTCCCGCTTGCGCTCAGATTCGGAAACCACCTCCAGCGCACTCGGAGAAGCCAAGTCGATTAACATTTGGACGGCGGACAACGACTATGCGATCGACGTACGCATCACGTTCAAGCGACGCATCACCGAGATCTTTGTTGCGCTTTCCGAGCTGCAACAGTTCGTTACGCTCAACCAGACCGGCATGAAGAAGATCTTGAAAAAGTATGACAAAATCACCAGCAGCTCGCTCAAAGACCGCTACTTGGAGGATGTCGTCGGCCAGCAGTATCCATTTCGCAGAGCGACGCAGGCGCAGCAGACCAACAAGATCAACCGCATCGTCGCGTGCTACGCCAAAGTCGTCACGGGCGGCGATGCAGCGCTAGCATTGCAGCAGCTGAAGACGCACTTACGCGAACAGGTCGTCTGGCAACGCAACACTGTCTGGCGCGAGATGATCGGCATCGAACGCAGGGCTCAAGGCGCCACGCTCGAACGTAGCGTCATGGGTGCGGGCAAGATGGGCCCTGGAGGCAAGCCTGAGAGGCCGACCAAGCTGTGCGGCGTCACGCTTCCCTCGTGGCTCGGTCTCCCGACCTTGCAGCTAGTTGGTGCTTTTGCCGCCCTTGTCCTGCTCCTCAAGGCGCCGAGTCTTCGCTTGTTCGGAAGGATTGAGGAGCAGAATTGCTTGGCTTTGCTCGTCTTTTGCACCATCCTCTGGGCGACGGAGGTAATTCCGCTTTTTGTCACGTCCTTTATGGTTCCATTGCTGGTCGTCACGCTCCAAGTTGCTAGGACGGACGACATCGAGGATCGACGCATGACGGCCAGCGAGACCGCCAAGTGGATCTTTCTGCAGATGTTCGCGCCCAACATGTGTCTCCTTCTCGGCGGCTTCACCCTTGCCGCTGCGCTCTCTAAGTACGGCATCGATAAGATCCTCGCCATCAAGGTCTTGCGCATGGCTGGCACCCGACCTTCGATGGTTCTTCTCGCTCACATGGCTGTCGCGTGCTTTGCGAGCATGTGGATCTCCAACGTTGCGGCGCCTGTGCTCATGTACTCGCTCATTCAGCCGATTCTGCGCACGCTACCGCCGAAGAGCACCTATGCGTCTGCGTTGATCATGGGTATCGCGCTCGCATCTAACATCGGCGGTCAGACGTCGCCAATCGCATCGCCGCAGAACTTGATCGCGTTGCAGTACATGGATGAGTCGGTTGGCTGGCTGCAGTGGTTCGCGATCACGATCCCGGTCTCCGGATGCTCACTCCTCGTGATCTGGGTCGTCCTTCTGTGGGTGTATGGTTCCGGCAGAGGCGTCAGCATTCGGCGCATCTCCGAGTCGAACGACTCGTTCTCCGGATTGCAATACTTTATTTCGGGCGTCACTGTCGCTACTATCCTATTGTGGTGTTTCGAAAAGAAGCTGGAGCGGGTGCTCGGCGATATGGGCGTCGCTGCGATCAGTAAGCGTCTTTCGTATTAAACCTGCCATGTGCAGAGTCGCTGACACTCTGACCGGTCACGTTCAGTCCCCATCATTATGTTTTTCGGCACCGGCATTCTGAGTAAGGAGGACTTTAACAATTTCTTACACACTGTTCTCTTCCTCGCCATGGGTGGCATCGCCCTTGGCAAGGCTGTCACCTCCAGCGGTTTGCTGGAGAGTCTTGATGAAGGTGCGCTGAACACCTGCAAGACCTCACATTCTTCCGATGCACATTGGGCTGAAATGACACATTCGCATCTGCAGTGATTCAAGGGCTCGTCAAGAATCTGCCTCTCTGGCAAGTGCTTGCAAGCTTACTGGTCGTTTCGTTGGTCATTGCTACCTTTATCGTGAGTATTGCTACCATCTCAGGATTTGAGGGCTCGGTGCTAACGCCCATCTGTGTAGTCTCACACCATCGCCGCAGTGCTGCTAGTGCCGATCGCAGCTCAAGTCGGCGACAGTCTAAGCACGCCGCACCCGCGTCTGCTGATCATGGCCACCACGCTCGCTGCCTCGGCCGCTATGGGCTTGCCAGTCTCAGGCTTCCCGAACATGACCGCTTCGTCGCAGGAAGACTCGGTCGGAGAACGGTATTTGACCGTCAAGGATTTCATCAAGTCGGGCGTGCTGGCGTCCGTCCTATGCACGGCTATCATTGGAACGATCGGCGTGGTCATCATGCTCGCATTGGGGCTTTAGGTTGTACAGAACCTCTGGTTGATATAGATCAATAACTCATACATCGCATAGCAAGCATTCCTTCAAGCGGAATTGAAGGAGAAATCTCATTTGTTCACCGAACTCACCTGATCTTCGTACGTGGTTTGTTGGCTCAAGTACTTGACGAGAGTCCTGGAGATGACGGCGTATTGAGGAGCCAATGAGCTACGAAAATGGCAGTGGGGAGGCTGGACCGCTGGAGTGAGTGTTACATGGGCCAGACTGCTCTCTACAGGCAATAGAAAAGAATCGCCGCGTGCAACGAGTACCTTTCTTATGTGGTCATCATCCCCCAACATCTCGGATGTCACGGACGCCTACCCATATGGCACATGGGTTTCTCGCTGGGCGGGCTGTCTCGCACACTGCACTGCTCAAGACACAAAAACATGTCTTTCCAAAAGTGTCGACCACTCCTTACTTTCAACTCGACAGGTGCTTTCAAGAATGAAGATATCAGGTTGCATGCATATATATGCGAGATCATGGAACAAAGCGCTGACGTTTGAGCCCTGCCTTTTCTCGTCAGCGTATTGCCTGGACGGGGCAAGCTGACTGAATCTAGTTCTTCGGCCGTCGGTCACGCCTTTTGCAAGCGGGACTCCATCTATCTCCTGTGTGCAGCACTTCCTCTCGTCTTCCTCCGAGTCCGCCTTCATGATGCTAGCCTGGCACCTCGTTCCGCGGCAGCACTCCTGGCGCAAGCTGCCGGAATACGGCGAAGCTCCTAATAGCGATATCGGTACATACTGCAACAGAATTGGTGGCTGCTTTGATGTGCACCAAGGCGTCATCCGCTTGTGCGATCTTGGACAAGCACAGCGGTGCAACAGCTGCTCGGCCTTACCTGATCATGGTCGGCGACCTCCTGGCAAGTGTACGCTCATTCTAGGACAATGAACGTTAGCGAAAGTATCGCAAGGTCGTGTATGAAGCATCTAACAATCAAGCATCAAGTCGCTACGAACCGATCAAATGCCGAAGGTTCGTTTCGCCCCTTTCGATATTGGTCGAGACCCCGACAATCGAACAAACCCTTTGAGCGTTACGCAGCAAGGACCATTATTAGCATCATTTGCGATCATCCAGTGTGCCGTATCGACGATCCGCTTGTCGTGGTGGTAAATGAGTGTCCGAGAAGCCTCAGCTGCAGGATCAGTCCTTCCGCTTCGCTCCTCGGTCTCACGCTAGTTTTGCAGTACATTCGGACTTTCATCAATTCCTGGAAGAGAAGGCAGGAGGCTGCATTGCAAAGAGCTCGCGACTTTCCTCGAGGTCTATCGCGATGCGCGAGACCATGTGAGGCGCAAGGAAGCATAGCCGTGCTCCATCAGCCAGCTGCAAGAGCGACGGGAAGAATACCGTCTGTCTGATGAGGAGGCTTGTTATGTCGCAGGGAGCCTTGTTGGGGCAGGGTGAGTACCGTTGGCAGCATCACTGCCCAACGATTGAGAAATAGCTACAGCTGGTCAATGCGCCGCCGTACATATATCTTCCGCAGCTCAGTTACCTCTTAAAGCGCGCTGAGTATCTATGTCATGGCGATGATCAAACACTTACACGCAATGGAAAAGGCGCAGGTTGAGCTCGACGCAGTTGTCGGCACTAATCGGCTGCCGACGTTCTCGGATCGGTCCCACCTTATGTCAATGCATTGTGTCAAGAGGTCAACCGGAGATGCCTGATTTCGGAGGGGTGGCGTTCTTCATGGCATCGCCAAAGACATCCTGCATAAGGACTAGTTGCTCTCAAAAAGACATCATTTCATAGGGTACCATGGGTACATCTCCCTTGAGCCGCACATCTTCAAACCTGGACGCTTGTTAAGCGATGATGGTCAGACGGTACAAGGCCGTGGTTCTCAACGCGCGGTAATATTCAGTTCGACTTTGGTCACAGAATCTGCGTCAGCCTCAATGTCGCCAATTGATCCATCTTCATCAACTGCTCCATCCTGCGTTGGGCTTTGCGATTCCGTGCGCCAGACGGAGACGTCGAAGATGTGGACACTCTGGCTTTCAACAGGGTTGCCAACTCACACACTCTACCTTTCAAAGCATGAGTCGTAGCGGTGCTTAAACCGGCAAGGCAGGGGCTCCAACACATGACCTGGTGCTGGGCAGACCGTTGACTTTCTCTCTCCGCCCGCCTTTCCGGTAGGGAAGTTACATATGGCTCTGCACAACATCGACATGTACTTGAGGATGAAGTAGCCAACTTATGACCGCTTGTCTGGCCATCGCCATGCGGATACCGCATGCACGAGACAAGTTTTTCGTGCCCAACAAACGAATTTGAGGCCCTGTTTGCAATGCATGAGCAAGCTCCCCAAGCCGATCTGACGGTAACTCGTGAGCCTCTCCTTTAATAAAACGTAGCATAGCGATGCTACACCCTGCGAAAAAAGTAGCTTAAACGATGGTGGGATGTTTCAACATTGTATTGTAGTTATGGTAGTAAAAAGGAATGCTCTCCCTGCCGCGAAAAAAAAGTCTTGTTAATGACAACATCTTGTAAGTCCGCCTTTTCATCCGCTGTCGCCTGTCTGTGCATCTCCTTCGTACCACATTTCAAGATTTTAATATGCTGATTTCAGGCCAAGGGCGGACAGGCTGCGATTGATGCATGTCCACTGGACATTAGAGGATAGGGGGACCCACCTCCGCTTCGCATCTTGAGCCTCGGCAGAGAGATTACAGAATGCTGTTTCGACGTGTCCCGAAGCCAGATTTATCACCGTGCCGATAGGCAGTCGTCACCTGAATCATCGAAACAACATCGTCCTCCACTTCCGAGGAATTGCACCTCTTCTGGTGCGGTAAGACGCTTAGCACTCTGTAGCAAAATTCCCGACGTGAAGATCCAACGAGGAAATCATGTCTGGCCCTTTGACAGCGTCGGGAGGCTCGGCCTCAGCAGCCCCGCCACTTCTTGCAGCACCCAAGCCCAAGCGTGCCGTCGGTCTCTTTCACGACGCCATAGATGGAGACAATCAAGCTCATCAAGTAGAAAAGCAGGATGGGGAACATGGCAGAGCCCGAAGCATTACAGGATTCGAGTTCCGAACATCGCTTCATTCACCGTCGCCGCCCCCTGTTTCGATCGAGCGGCGAAGCTCGCCTTTTCGACCGAGCAGCACATGTTCGCCCCCACCGTCTCAATTGGTGTACAATGTGCCCCCGCTACCTCGAACCTCCCAAAGCCCTGTGCTTAACGGGTCGCCTAAGATGGGGTCGCCTAAGATGAGCGGCACTTCTATGGTTCCTGCTCCTCCTCGTAGCCCAACCCCAGTCGATTTGAAAGGCTTTGCTGCTACCTGCCACGGGTTCTATTTCGAACAAGATGAGGCGAGTAAATTGGCAATGGAATCCATGCTGAACAAGGCCCCGCCCACGCACCGACCGACTTACATGCGTCTACAAGCTAAAGTCCGACAAGACTTTCATGCCCAAGTAGCAAGACAGGGCCGTGAGCGACTGGAGCGAGATATCGAAAATGCTATACCGGCCTCCAAACTACCCGATCACGGCGAACGTCCGCGTTCTGCCGCCGACAGACGGGCGCGGTACGGGGTGCTGCAAGAATTCATTCGTTCCCATTGCACGTCCGTACAAGTGGGAACACGACCCTTCTTTGGCGCGCTTCGCCTCTTTATGCAGTGCCAGGCACGAGGAAGAGACCGCGGTGGCGCGGGTTGCTATCAAGCTATTTGGGCCTTTGATGAGGCTGTCCTCCTCGAGGCTGCAGGGCCAGAATTCGAGCGCGACGCGGTGAACCTCCTCGTCCGCGTACTGGGATTTGAGGTGATCACGCCAGCGCGACGACGGACGTGTCAGAGGCAGCCAACTGCTGATAATGATCCATTTGGCGAAGCGCAAGGCAGCCAAGAACATCGTTCGTCACTTCATCTTTCTAACAGCCCAGTGCGCGGTCGCCCTTCATTCTCCAATTCTCCGCACAAGAGTTCGCCGCTCGCCGCGCAAACGGAATCTGAGTCGCAAGCTTGCGAGCCCCCACCGGTCGGCTTCTTGGAACCACCTGAGGACGAACCATTTTATCGCCTTTGGAAGATTCCGCCATACTATACGGATCCTGAACTGCGTGCCCTTTCCAATTTGATACCGGAAGATGTCCTGCCTGCGCGTTACAGAGACGTCTTCAGCGAAGCCGCGCAACAGGCGCGCAAGACTTTAACACAGGGTATCAATGAGGCGGTGGAAGCAGGTCGCTCGCCATTTGAGCTAATGGCCGTACACGCCAATCTGGGCCGAGAGCTTTCTGCGCGCCCTATCATGAGCATCCTGCCGCCCGATGAGGGCTCCGTCGGGATGATCCAGTTGCCCACTGGCTGGGTTTGGCGCAGCGATGACCTCAGGGATAGTGATCACAAGGGTGGGCTGGTCAGCCGCGTGATTGCGTTCTTCAAGCGCACGCTGTTGCGCAAGGGATAGATTCTTGAACATTCTGTAGCGTTACGGGTATGTGCGCTTGCGGACTCCAACAATCTTTCTCCCCATTGTTGTAACACCAAGGATCATTCAATTAGACTAAAGCGGTGCCCTAGCTGCTTGACAATCCCTTCCACTCTAAGGACGAGTGGGTCAACTTCCAAACTGTTCTGCGCTTGAGCCAGCTGTGCTTCCAGAGCCATGTACGTGGTCAACCACCGTTGTCGTTCGTCCTGATCTTGCAGATGGTGGTAGAGGTAGACTATCAGGCCCACGCACGATAGGCGCGAAGCATTTGCACCAACACGCTCGTAGTCTGCAGCATCGTGAATGAGTTCAGGTTGTGTTTGAGAACGCTTTCAAGAGTCTTGCGTTCACATGCTCACCTGCGCAAGCCCGTTCGAGCCATCCGATCGCCTCCTTGCATTCGCCAGCTAAAATGCAAAGCTCTTGTGTCGTTAGCACCGTGGCATCAATTGTATTTTCTCTACACCCTAAATGGCTCACGTTCGTGCGAAGAGTTTGCCAGCAAAACCACAGCTTTGACCTTTTGTGCATCTGCTCTCCGTTCAAAGTTGTCCTCTACGAGGCACTGCGTCCGAAAGCATTATTCGTCAGATTCGGTTTAGCCAGCCATCGCCTTCGCGCTTGCACATCCTTGCATGACTCACTTCATCGAATACCTCCGAAAGTGTATGCTGTGCGCGTTTGGGCAGGTTTAGCTGCACGGCCATCAGCTCTGCGACATGAACTGTCGCTGCGCGCTGCAAAGGCGCGAATTTGAAGCGATTGGCGAGACTGATGGATTCCATCAATGGCATCAGAGCCAGCGAGACGTCTCCGAGATCCTGTACGCCCGAAAGTCAATCAGAGTCTCGTGCAGTAGGGATGTACGACGGACATGCGTTGGATACGCACAGATGCATGTTTTCCTTGCCTTAGGACTCGCAGAGTCCGTTCCTTCGCGCTCTCATGCATCCGCACGACAGCGTCTGCCTCGTTGGCACCTCGAGAGAGTGTTGCATTGTCGCTTTCAGGATTGAGAGCAGGCGCTTCGGGACTAGCGCCATCGAGTTTAGTGCCTAAGAGTGGATCTAGTGCCGCTCGGTCGTCCGCCGGATTTAATCCATCGACCTCCAATTCCACTTCGTACCTCGACTCCTTGAGCCTCTTCATTGTCGCGACCTTGCCTTGCCTCCTAGCTCGGAGCCACAGCACCCTCCAGATGCGTTTCTGCCAGTCTTGGTACTCAAGCAGCGATAGGCCGCACAGAAAGTCCCAGTCGAGCAGTAGTGCAAGTGCATCATCGTAATGTCCGGCTTCGGCAAGGCGAAAGGCTTTTCCACCGAGAGCCTCCAGCCTAACTTCGTTGGCACATGTGTGATGTGAAAAGCCACTCGAGCCGATTTGATGCAGGGCCTCATCCCAAAGCACCTCGGCCACTTGCCCGAATCCCATGTCGCACCAGACAGCCCCACGCAGCGCATCGTAACGAACTGCTTCTTTGCCAGAACTGGCGCGCGGCTCTTTCCGCCCCAGTTTCCGCAGTTGCGCCTCCCTTGCGGCAGCGGCAAGCGCGGTGGCGGCCGTCATACCTCCCATGGGGCCTTGCTGCGCCGCATTCGCTTGCAGCTCCTTGAGCCGCTTCTTCTGCTTTTGCTTGCGCAGCGTCTTCGCCATCGGCGTTTTATTTCCGCCGAAGCCGAGTGTGCCACCCAGGAACGAGGCCGGGAAGTCCGGGTCAAAGTCCCACGTCAGCTCGTGCATACTGTTCAGGGCTTCGGGCAGGCTCGAACGTCCGGTCTCAACGCTGTGTCGAGCATGCCAGAGCGTCTCAAGACTGAATGGCAAGATCTGCCGTTGTGGCTCAAATTTTCCGCTGCCGGCATCGACGATCAGCTTGGGGTCGAGAATGGGCGGTTCGTCGATCGGCTTGAGTGCTTGCAATCGATCGAGCAGGGCTGCGCAGAGGTCAATCGCATATGTGTCATGGACGTGGCGCCCGAGCCGTATTGCTTCTTCCACGCTGCTTTCGGCTGCTTGAAGATTATTCGATTGCATGTGAAAGGCAGCGAGGTTGATCAAGGCGTGATGGTGCAGCTCACTGCAAAACCAATGAGCACAGCATAGATGAGCATTGCGGCTTCCTTCCGATGCTGCACCAGTGACGAAAATTTCACACTTACTGTTCAGCATGCTGCGGTGCGTGATCAAAGTAGCGACTGAGATTGTGCCTTGCTGCCGACCAGTCGCCTCGCCATAGTGATCGGACATAATTGTCGTACGCATCCACCCTATCTTCGAGGACGATTTCGCCTCTACCGTACTGGCCTCGGGCATCCATCTCCTTGAGCTTCTCTGACAGATATGCTGCAGCCATGGTACTGCTGTTGCAAATGGTATTCGATGTCGACGGTGCTTGACGCCAGGCGACGAAATTCTGAAGGACGGTCGCCTGCTCGGTAAAGTCGAGCCTGATCCAGCGCAAGCGGATGCGCCTCACTTGAACACCGAGGAAGCTGCGACGATGCAATGCACCCTGCGAGACTGTCAAGTCGCTATTATTCATGCTGTTTGTCAGCCACCCGGTGGTTTGCTGTTCGGAAGAAGAAGGCGAGGAAAGCGAGGAAGGCGAGTGCGCCTTGGAATCCCCATCGACGATGTTGGCAAAGATGCGTGCCAGGTCGGAAGTGGTTTGAATCCTACCCATCATTGCCTCGAGCTCATAGCTGACAAGATTGCTGACTAGGGCGTCGGCGAGCAATTCTATGCGTGCGAGATGCCTGCTAGCATGGCTTTCTGTGTTTGAGCCACCGAGCTGAGAGTGCGGAGGGGAGGTAAAAGAGAAGTGCTGCCGAATGTGATAGCATGCATCCGATAGCAGGTAGGCTCGGAGCGAGCAGAGGAAATGGTTCCAGGTGGGGGCTGGAGGGTCGATTTGGCAGTACAAACGAACAATGTAGATGAGTAAAGAGGCGTATGTTCTACTGACAAGGTGGCTATTGATGTGCAGCTTGTGTTGTTCTTCTCCGGAGCTTTCTTTCACCGTTTCGACACCCTCGTCGGGACCATGTCGACGAACGTCCTGCTCCTGGTACTCCTTTTGCGCAGCTTGAATCATCGTCCGACGCCATGACGAATAGTTGACATGATGGCAGAAGTGCTCGAGAAGAAGAACACAGGCGATGTTGGGACCGTCGACTGACCCTGGCTTGGGAATGGCTGAGGTGGGCAGCATGCTTGATGCAACTACTTCTGCTTTCTTCTCGCATAGGGCAAGGCTCATCAGAGCCACCCTTCATGGATCATGCCGTGCTGCACCTACCGACAACCCAAGTGCCCAGTCATATCTGTACTTGTACCTCAAATATGACAGGCTGACAGCTAACCTCGCTGTGATTGTTATGTGGGTTGCCACCAAACGCCCCATAGAGACCAACACCTCTACAAGCTTTCATGTCGCGTCGCGCCCCAATTGGCGTCTGGCTGTTGGTTATTTACATTCACCATTCTGATTGAGGGATGCCAGTAACCCTAATCTTCACATTGGTTCCGACCTGTCCACTTCCGGATTCTACTTCTGACTCTGATTCAGTTCTCTCTTCCTCACCTGCCAGCAGGGCTCGCCTTGCTTCTCTCCTTCCTGCTACCTTTTGGACATCGATGGAGTATCTGCGAGGTATATGTGGCCTACCGAAGATCTCCGTATCCGACTGTCATCGTAAACGCGAGTGCAGTTAAGCAAAAAGTGATCATGGCCTCCGTTCAGGCCAACGCCGACCAGCCGGGCATCGGCCCTTTGACCCTCGCCGTCGACTTCCTCTCCAAGGACAGACCACCATTCCTGCCATTGGTCGTGTCCAACCTCATCCTAAACCACTCGGCATCGTCCTCCACCTCGGCAAATCAAGTTAACGTTGTCGAGGGTGAGTTAGGCGCAGAGCCTGTGCTGGTGCTTCCCGATGGATCTACCGTGACGGGCGCAACACAGGTTGCGCAGAAGCTCGCCTCGGCCTTCGCTGCAACTGGCATGTACGGCTCATCGCAGGCCCAGAGCAAGGAGATTGATCAGTACTTTGCACAGGGAGACAAGCTCCTCACAGCAGATTTTGCAACGCTCTCGTCCATCGCGGATGAGGTTGACCAGCACCTTGCACTTCGGACCTTCTTTGTCGGACACAGCATCACCGCTGGCGATGCTGCCATCTATTCGGCTTTGCGATCCAGCAGCGCAGGTATGGGTCTCGTCCGAAGGGGCACCCACAAGCATCTTGCACGATGGTACAAGTACCTTGAGCAGGTGCCCGCCTTCAGCGATGCGTTGGCAGCCATCACATCTGCGAAGAGCAACAAGGACCGCAACAAGAAGGCTGCCTCCTCTTTTGATCTTTTCCTTGGCGATAATCCCAAGGAAGGTTCCGTCGTCACTCGTTTCCCTCCGGAGCCATCAGGATACCTGCATGTTGGGCACGCCAAAGCGGCCATTTTAAATCAATACTTTGCTCAAAAGTACAAGGGAAAGCTGATTGTCCGCTTTGACGACACCAACCCGAGCAAGGAAAAGATGGAGTTCGAAGACTCTATTGTCGAAGATCTCGCTTTGATGGGAATCCAGCCAGATATCCGCTCTCACACATCCGACTTTTTCGACGAGCTCTACCGTCAAGTCAATTTGCTCATCCAGCAAGGGGACGCCTACGCGGACGACACGTTGCAGGAGCAGATGCGTGCCGAGCGCATGGACGGCATTGCTTCTAAGCGAAGGGACTCCACAGTTGAGGAGACGATGGAACGTTTTGCAGAAATGACAAAGGGAACCGAAGAGGGTCGCAAGTGGTGCCTGAGGGCAAAGATGAGCGTCGACAACCCGAACAAAGCCATGCGCGACCCTGTTATCTACAGGTGCAACATTGATGTTCCACACCACCGCACTGGGTGAGCAGCTTTAACAAGTCCAATTTTCTCATTTTTTTGAGACTGACGGACCGAAATTTGGCCATATTTTCCTGCAGTGCGAAGTGGAAAGTCTACCCGACGTACGACTTTGCAGCGCCAGTTGTCGACTCCCTTGAAGGCGTCACACATGCACTGCGTACGAACGAATACCGCGACCGAAACCCGCAATACTACTGGTTCATCGAGAAGCTCAATCTGCGCAAGCCTCAAATTTGGGACTTTGCTCGGCTCAACTTTATCTACACGCTGCTGTCGAAGCGGAAGCTGCAGTGGTTTGTCGACCGCGGTCATGTGCACGGCTGGGACGACCCTCGTTTCCCGACAATTCGAGGTATCAGGAGGCGTGGTATGACGATCGACTGCATCCAGCAGTTCATTCTCGCCACGGGCCCAGCGCAGCAGGTCGTCAACATGGAATGGGACACGATCTGGGCTCTCAACAAAAAGATCATTGATCCGGTTGTTCCACGTTTCACTGCGATCGAAATAAACGACATGGTCACATGCCACATTAATGGCGCACCTCCATCACACGAGAAGGCCGTTGCCAAGCACAAGAAGAATATCGAGCTTGGCACGAAGACCACGACGTACGACTCACCAGTGTACATTGAGCAAGTCGACGCGCAGAGCTTCGCGGAAGGGGAGGAGATCACCCTGATGGACTGGGGTAACGTCTTTGTCAAGTCCAAGAGGCTCGCTGCGGATGGCAAGACGGTTGAATCGCTCGAGCTCGACGCGCACTTCGAGGGGGATTTCAGCAAAACGGACAAGAAGGTCACCTGGCTCGCCAAGACGGCCACTCGGCCGCTGGTCGATGTCGCCCTTTTGGAATTCGACTATCTTATCACCAAGAAGAAGCTCGAGGAGGAAGACCACTTTGAAGACTACCTCACACCTGAGACGGAATTCCGCTACGATGCTGTTGCAGCGTTTGACGTCAGCGAACTTGCTGAAGGCGCAATGCTCCAATTCGAGCGCAAAGGCTACTATATTCTCGACAAAGCGCAGGGCAAAGACGGGCGCCGCGAGTTCATCAAGGTTCCCGATGGCAAAGCGGCCGGCGTGGCGAGCAAGCACGCAGGCATCGAGAAGACTGAGGACCAAAAGGCCAAGAAACAGGCGGCCAAGAGCGCGCAAAAGGCCAAAGACCCGCAGGTTGCCACGCAAGCGCTCACTACTGCTTGCCGCACCAAATCAGGCACTGACAGCGCTTTTGATATCGGGCAAGATGCGAGCAAGGCGACCAACATGTACAAGATGCCCCAGCTCACTGAGGACGTTGACACTCCGGCTCTCACTTCGATGTACACCATGAAGCCGCTGTACTAGAGCGCACACACTCATGAAATCGCAATACTGCATTGCTAGATGCCGCCTTATCCATTGCCTGGTTTTGCACGTGGTTGGGAAGGAGTTGCAGGCGGCAGCGCGCTGAATGGAGAGGTTGCGATGGCTGCAGAGCTGGTACCGCCAAGCGTCGTAGGATTCCGTTCCACTGGACGAACTCGTGAGGAAGCAGCAGTCCAGGGTGCTGCAACCGGGGAGACTATCGGAACTCCCGTTCTTGCATGCGGAGCCGACGACGCTGCCCAAAGTACACTTGGAGGCGGCACCGCCGCGGAGCTCCCGCCCCCTATATGTGCGATGGTGAGCGGTGGGAGCCGTGGGGCGCTGCCAATGCCCATACGTGGAGGTTGTGCAGCCCAGGGTGCACCCGTCAGACTAAACACCTGGATGTTGGGTGCATCTGCTGGAGCGTCGTTGCAGCCATTCGGCCGTGGGGTTTGTTCCATGTTTGAAGTGGAAGGTTGACGAACCGGCCCTTCCCATTTGAAGCAAGTTGGCCCGAACAAGAAGTGTTGCACGACTGGCCTTTTGCCCAAGCACTCTGCGTCATACATCTTGAGCATGCCATTGTGCATCTTGACCCAATTTGGCACAGAACCAGACAGGTCGTTCAGGAGCGGCGAATGTTCCGCAAAAGGACCTTTCTTGAGTAAGTGGATACGCGCAATGGAACTGGTGAAGAGATTCGCAAATGGTGGCGGAGATTCTGGCGTGACACGCGATGTCGGCTGCGGAGAGCTGCTAGAGGGGCCGTCGACAGATCGTAGTGGCGCGCTATTGCGGGTCATGCTGGCTGGACCTACGTTTGGGACAAAGGCCAGAAGGTCCTGCGGGGGGACATGCTTCTGTGTTTGACTTACAGCGCGATGCGAAACCGAAGAGATTTGGGACGGGCGATACTCGTCTTGGGCAGCTAGTTGAGCCGCACCCACAATGTAGGGAACGAATTGGTAGTCATCCAGCCCCCACACTCCGTGGCTCCCCGCAGGTTCCAACTTGTAGGCGTCCTGCAAGTTCCACACGACCTGGAGGTAGCGCGGAATGATTCTTAGGCCGATAGCCTCTTCATCGCCTTCATGAAGGAAACCGAGACGTCGTAAAAAGCACAGCCATGCGGCAAATGAGAGCTCGTGGCCGGAGCCATAGTCAAGTCGCACAAAAGAGCCAAAGGCGCCAAGAAAGTATGCCGCTAATTCTGGTATAAACGCATGTAGCTCTGACGGCAGGAGTTGTTTATGCAGGCCTTCAGCTTCCTGAAAGGCGTGAAACGTTAGATTCGGCAGAAGAATTCATCCTTCTCAGCATCTGCCACTCGCCTCTTCCAATCTTTGACCCCAGGTCCTGAAGGCAAGGTTGCCGAACCGTTGCGGTGTATCCAGAGGCTTGATCTCTTGCGTCAAAGCGTCTACGCGCTCGAGTAGCTCGATCAAAGACAGTACTGCCGCACTTGGGCTCTGAGTGTCATGCTTCTGCGGGCATACTGTCGCTTTTCCAATGCATGCCTGAGCAACTTGAGCAAGGAAGAGCAGGAGTTGGTGATGAGCATGTGAACGCTGCCAGATTTGTACATCTTCTTCAAGGTAGATGCGCTTGACTGGCGGGCTGATACTCGTTAATATTGAGTCATCTTTCACATCGATGAGGGCTAGATCTGCCAGTGGAGGCAGTGCAGCTGGGTTGTCAATCTTGTTGCGGCGAAGATCGACCGGCAGAGTTGGGTAGCTCGGACGGCCGAAGGAGCGAGACAGCTTCGACATTTCGAGGCCGATACCGTTGGGATTGGTTCTCAAGCTTCAAGGCGTTTTGCGCCTAGCCGAGTCCTCGCTGATACGAAGTCAGTTCTCAAACCTGCCAGCGGGAGCGTAAAAGCGTTATCCTCAGATCAGCTTCTACGCCGTCAGATGGAGCATGATGCAAGAAGCCATCATGAAGCGTCACGTATCGCGAACATCGTGGCCACTTGATGTTGTGAAAACGGAATGGTACAGGTGACGATGCATTCAGCCCTGCGGTGGCATGGGGCCCCCCAAACCATCGGCGCATCCACCGGCGTCTCCCTCTCCCAGTCATCACTCATGCTCGACTGTGGTATATGCACATTTACGCTCCTCAGACTGGTATGAATCTAGCCATTATCCCTCCCTGCCTTCGTAGAGTGCCTCTGCATCACTGGGAATCGGTCTACTCATGACCGCCGACGGTCGCAACACTTGAAATCGCGTCGGCGATTTAATGCACACTCGGCAAACCCGCAGAGCCTCCCCGGATTCTGACCAAGGTCACCATGGTGCCTCACTTTATGGTTGATTGAGCGTGTTGAACGGTGTATACTCTTTGAATACTCAGGTCATCAGGCGCAACGCCGCCTAACGCAGCCCGAGCGTAATCGAAGACCTTAGAAGACTTGCACACTAGAAAGTGAGAGGTTTGTGGCAACCAAGGCACCGAGGCGACATCAGCACCACACGCCGTAGCGCAGCTGGGATGACTTCGAACGGACCCCGGATAAGGGAACAGCAGGTATGGCGCAGTCGTCGAGTCGAAGACCAGAAAGCATCTCAGGCTAGCTCGACAAGCGCATCAAGATGGGCGCCAAGGCCGGCAACGGGAGTAAATTTGCTCGAAGCAGACAGAGGATCCGAATCAAGTCGATGGAATACCCTACGCAATCAAGATGGCCGTGGTCCTCTGACTTCAGACTCTCTCGCGATGGACAACAGCCAGGCAGGCCGGGAACGTAATCAGGATTCCCCACAGCACCCTTGCCCTATTCAGTTCAATGGTGCTTCCCATAACATCACAGGCTCTATGAGTCGGTCCAAGAACTTCCACGCGGGCGAAGCGTCCAGATCACTGGGTGGCATGCGCAGGCGTGAATCCGGCCAGCCCCTGGGCGGTCTAATAGATCAAATGGCTCTTCTCGCGAGCCCCAGCAGAGGCTTAGACGACGCGAGTGCATCGATATTCCTGGACGGTCAAAGCAAAGTGTGAGACAGATGTGTCGGGCGATGGCAACGGAAATGAGCCCTGACAAAGTTGCCTCTCTCGCAGATCATCGCTGATGAACGCAGATACACAAAACGAATTTCGTCAGTACATCTCTGACCGGATCAAGGCCCATCGGCAGAAGCACGGTCTTCTGCCTCACGGTCAGCGCCTTTCATACGTCTCTTCTGTGAATCCGCATTGCCAACAGTCTCTGGAAGAGGTAGCCCTCCTCGTACGAAAGTTGCGGGAAGCCCTGATGGCCACGCATAGGGTCGACTCGCTTACACTCGAAAGTGCGTCAGTCATATTGCGCGTTTGCAAAGTTCACTTGCACTGATAAGATATTCTGTGCAAATCTTCAGTCTACATGCTTTCGGTGCTTCTTTCGCTGCTGTGCGATAATGCTGGACAATTTGCGACTGCCATGCCACGATTGGTGGAAGAGCTGCTCATTTTAGAAGCGGCTCAGTTGACACATACAGCAAGCCAGAGATTGTGGTGTGACGTCTCGAACCTGACCGACGACGCTGGCTTGCCAGAAGACAATCTGTTCGACTTCTTTGCAAGCCTATACCTGCTCTCACGCACTGTCGACTTGTGCATTCCGTCGGCCAAAGGCAAAGAACGCGCATCCGATTTTATGTTACTGTCTTTACGGTTGGAGAGCTTGGCAAGAGCGCAGAAAGGCAGAAGAAGCAGCCCTCGCAACGATATGGCTGCCAGCTTGCTCCATCGTGTTAAACTCATTTCGACTCACCTACGCACGGGCGACGTCCTCTCGTTCCGCCGTCTCATCATTCAATCTCAGATGAAGAGCGGTGTTGATCCAGAGCTCACGCCGTGGCATTACTTCCTGCTGCGCAAGGTGTTGATTCAGCTGCAGACTCGGACATGGACCAGGTTGAAATCAAGCTATCACAGCCTGACGCTGCCTTGGTACGTCTCTAGCGAAGGAGCCGTAGCAGGGGCAGGGGTATCATTCGACGAAGAAAGAGAGCCTGCGTGGCTGGAAAAGCTGCTTTTGACCGACGCAGAGCTGGATCCCATCGTATGCGCGCAGCCATCGGGCCCAATTTCTGCTAGCCCGTCGGAAGTCTCAGCTGTGCGCGTGCTCTCTGAGCGACTCGTTCTGGTGCTTCACAAGCAAGGCCTGCCGACCTCCATCGCTGGTGGTTCTAACGCCGCAGCAGCGGACAGCAAGCCGTACCCGAGGCATCCGCACGCGTCTTCGTTGGCGCCTTGGAGGTTGCGCATGAACGCGGTCAAGACCGCGGTCCCCACTCCGCCGTGCCTGGCAAGTGAAGCCGTCGTAGGGGGCGTTGTGGCATCACTGCAAGTCCGGGGGTGACGAAAGATGTCAAGCTCGGTGCGATAAGCGCATCCATCGTCACACTGCCAAATAAACGTTTGTGTAAGATACAGGAACATGAAACTGATAGGCGGGTGGAGAAAGAAAATATACAGCTATAAGGTGGTCGAACAGTGCGCAGTTCTCGCTCCAAATGGATCAGACTTTCTCTCAATCCTCATTCTCCTTGATAGATTTCCTGTTGCGGTTGCGATACCGCGGGACACCATTTGCCGACCGCCAACGGGATAGCTTGGAGAGACGCTGGCGAATGCGCTGCGTCTGCGTTTGGCGCCCAGCGTCCTGGAGCTCGAGGCGCTCATGGCCGGCACACTTCTTGAGGCGCGCCAGTGCATCCCTCTGCTCGGGAGAGCCATGGCGCTCAACGGCGTCGAGAGCGTCCTTGAGTGCACTGCGCGTGTCCTGGCGCATCTTGAGCGCGACGCCGAGCAGGCGCGCACGCCAGGGGCGCTCCTTCTTGCCCTTCTTGCCGCGCTGCTTGCGCAGGTTGATCGTGTCCTGTATCGGCGCACCGGCGCGGACGGTGTCGATCGCATGGCGCACGCGCGGGTCGCCCATGTCCAGCTGCCAGCTCTCCCCGCCGAGCGAAGCGGTAAGCAGGCGCACAGACGCGAGCAGCAGTTTGACGCGGTCATACGTGTCGTCAATGACGGCGTGGTGCAGGTGCATGAGTGAGTAGACGAAGATAAAGCCGACGAGCAAGCCGACGGGGTTGAACAGGAATAGCAGCCAGAAGAAGAGAATGTAGAGGCCGTACATGATGCTGGTGAAGCCGTAGCCACTGTCTCAAGCACAGAGGAGCATGTGTTTGTCAGCCTTTCCCTCTATATGAATCGAATATCCTGATTGCTTCCACAGCTAGAACCCACACTAGTGACTTTGCGCTTGCCATGCTCTCCTCCTCGTGACTGGCATACTTTATGCTGCAATAATTAGCGATGATATAGGGTACGGCGTGCAGTGCAAAGATGGGCGCGAGGTAGGGCGCGCGGAGCAGCAAGCCCATCGTATGGCTGACGACGATTTTTGCAGCGAGCCACGCGGGCGGCAGGCTGCCGTCGGCAGCATGGCCGCGTCGCGTCAGGTCGTTGGCAAGTTTGTTCAGCGTAAACATGTCCGTTGAGCAGCCGACCGAGACGGCGGAGAGCTCGGAGAGCAAGTCACGCGCGTGCTGCGTCTCCTCCAGTGCGCAGGCAGGGTTGCGCGAGGAGAAGGCATCGGTGAACTTCTCAACGCCGCCACTACCAGCGTTACCATGCATTGTGCCGGCTGACGACGAGTTCATCAGCGTCGGGCTGCTGCTTTCGGGCGTCTCTGTCGCAGAGGACGAGACGTGCTGTGGTGGTGCTAGGATCGTGATGAGACTGGTGCGGAAAGAAAAGGCCCCAGAAAAGTGTCAGCAACTCGTGCATATCCAGAAGGCATTCGACACAAACTGACCGACGCACTCGTTGGAGATAATGCGCAATTTGCGCATCGGAAGCTCGTCATCGCTTTCCCAAATGAGCTCGCGCGCGACCTTCATCGCATGCCAAGTGACCCATTCCGGCGCGTTGATCGAGAGTTTCCTTAGCTGTTCGCCAATGTGCTCTGTCAGCTTCCAGACCGCCTCCTTTGCACTCGGCTCGCTGCTCGATCCGGCGCTGAGGAAATCTGGCGTGAACTCGTCCACGCTAAAAACTGGCCCCCAGTCGAGGCAGGCGCTGCTCCGGTAGCGCGACTTGTCCGTGAAGTTGATGCCGGCGGTGATTATGGTCACATCAGTGTGCTCTGCGTTCTTCTCGCGGCTCAGCTGGAGTTTCTTGGAGTATTCGAGTGCGGCCCATGCTGCGCCTGCCTTCATCGAGTGCAGGTGAGGCTCGGTGAAGGAGCCGCCTTCGGGGAAGAGAGCGATGCATTCGCCTGCTTGCAGCGCTTCAAATGTACCTTGGAAAAGCGCCTGGTTATCCTTTGTATGGCGATCGACTTGGATGTTGCCCGAGTTGTTCAAGATGTACGAGGCGACCGGGTGCCTGTATAACCCACCTATAATCGCAGGCAAAACGGGTTTCAGTATTGAGCGGCGTTGGGGGAACTGTTAAATGACTTTCGAATCCTTGAACCCACGTTTTGCCCAGTAATGCAGCTTTCTCCTGTGCGGCATGTGTTCACTTAGCAGGCTGGTGTCCATCAGCGTTGCAAAGTGCGTCGAGACGAGGATGACGGCTCCAGACTGCGGTATATCCTCGCCGCCGACGACGGCGACGTTGCGGTAGAAGGCCCAATTGCAACATTCCCCGGTGAAGCGCATAAAGTTGTACATGGGCCCGAATCCGGCGCCGGTGCCTTTGTCTGTCAGACGGGGGCGCTTCATAGTTGGGGTTGATGCTATCTTGTATTGCATCGGAGATCCGAGCTGGAACCTTGACTCGGAGCGGTGCCGCCGGGGCTGGGTTGGATTGCTACGGCGGTGATGGCCGGGGCAAGCGACTGCATGAATCCAATTCTGTCGCGTGACTTCTTCGCAGGGTGAGTCCGTTGGAGACGAGAGAGAGTCGATGACAGTGAGAGCTGATAACCCGTGCAAACGTATGTATACACCGCTCACGGATGTTTGTTTGCCCTTTCTCACGCCATGGGAAACTGAATACGGCATCAAATGAAAGATGGCTCGACCACTGCGGGGTAATGGTAACGATAACGGCAACCCTATTCTAGTTTGGGTTCGCATGTGTCCGCTCCCCGCTGCCTGCGTTTCATGAACCGAAGCCTGTTTTGTGACGCAAGCTTAGTCGATGACAACGGGTCAGTAGCAGCTTATCGCCACCATAGGCCAATCTCGAGAGGTACAACTAGGGCCACATACGCTTCATGTGCTGGGCGCTGGGCCGTAGAAATAATCATCATCGTTTCCGTACCCGGTTCTCGCATGCATGGGCAGCGGGTTTCCTGACCCTGGGCTGCTGGTAGTGCGTTGCGCTGCAGGAAATATTCATCTGGTGCGCACAGATAGATTTTGACCTGGTCGCCTTTAACCCCGCCGCTCCCTGACTGCCGACATCGACTTGATAGACGCTGGCTGGCTCCTCCCACGGCAGATGCTCGCTCCCTTCAAGCGTAAACTAAAGATCCATTGCGCCGCTCCCACTCAGGATACCGTAAGCTCAAAGCTGCACGCAACACGCGCCAACATGCTCGTCGATGTACAAGTGGGCGAGCCCGACGGCCGCCCGACCATAATTCATAATCAGCAACCTCGCCCTCATCCCAGCCCTAGTATGACAGCCTCTGCACGTTCATCGAAAAGAGCTGGTGACAGCCTGCATAGACCTCCCATCACACTGGCTATTCACGGTGGTGCGGGTGGGACTATCACGCCAGACATCCCACCGGTGCTGCAGGCTGCATACCGCGCGCGTCTGCGCGCCGCCCTCGAAGCCGGCTACCGTGTGCTCGAACAGGGTCTCCCATCTGCCGCTTCCAGCGCCTCGGAATTGTATGGACCCGAAACGCATCATGAAGATGAAGATGCTCCGTCTTCACCATCGCGCGGTGGAGCGTTTCGCGGCGCCGGAAACGCACTGGACGCCGTCTGCGCCGCTGTCAAGGTGCTTGAGGACAGTCCGCTGTTCAACGCTGGAAAAGGCGCGGTCTTCACCAAGGACGGCAAGGTCGAGTGCGAGGCGAGTGTCATGGTCTCGTTTCCTTCCACTTCCGTGTCTCGGAGCGGAGAAATCGAAAAGGGCCTCTCCGCTTGCGGCCTTCCGATTGTCATGCACGACAACGAATGGTTCCACCGCGGCTGTCCACCGTCCGAAAGATCGATATCTCTTCCCAAATTGCTCTCCGAGAAGCCTCTGATGTTGAACCCTCCGCAAACAACGGCCTCGTACTCCAACTTCAATACGCAACAGCTCCCCGCGACGCGGCGCTGTGCAGCAGCGACCCTCGTCCGCGCGACCAAGAACCCGATCCTGCTCGCGCGCACTCTTTACCTCTCTCCGGAAGATGCGCCGCACGTTCTGCTCTCCGGGATGGAAGCCGAGAAGATCGGATGGAAGTACGGCTGCACCAAAGTGGAAAATGACTACTACTGGACCCGAAAGAGGTGGCTGGAGCATCGGCGTGGACTCGGCTTGCCAGATGACGATGACGATGACGTTGACGAAGGTGATAGTGATGATGAAAATGATGATGAGAGAGAGGGTAAAGTGAGAAAGCATGGTATCAGAGACCCGAATGGCCTTCAGGGATACACCGACAACCTCCTCGTCAGCGCACTCAAAGCACCAACTCCAGCCTGCCCTTCCGCAGCGCACGTCGCGCCGCCGCCTTCGTACAGCAGCGCCATACGCAGTGTCGGGTCAGTCGACAGAGCAGCTGCGCCTGATGCATCCAGCTCGTGGCCATCGGCGCCATCGGCATCGCGGTATGCAGCCCTACAAACGACTCCGCAGACAGAAAGCACACCGCCTTCCTCTTACTACGACCGCACACCAAGTTTGACGGCAGCTTCAGCCTCAACTTCACCCTCTTCCTCCCCACCCTCCTTGCACGGAAACGAACGCTCTGAAACCAGCACCGACTCCCCTCGCCACCCAGATGCCGAGGTCTTCGAGCAGTTCTCGGCTCACTTTGATTCCTCCGCCCTGCCGCAAGGGACTGTTGGTGCATGCGCCATCGACGCGCAGGGGAGACTCGCTGTCGCGACGTCCACCGGTGGCAAGACCAACAAGAATACAGGACGCGTGGGCGATACACCATCAGTCGGCGCGGGCTTCTGGGCTGAGAGATTTGTCGTCGACGGCGGTGACAGCAAGGAGAAGGCGGCTGAGAAGCAATACGAAGTCGACGCAGTTCCGATGGATGGCACGACCTGCTGGGCCTCCCCCTGTTCCTCTCTGCTGTCCTGCTTCTGGAACTGCTTATCAGCCTGTGCCTGTCTATCGCCTCGCAAGGACGGCTGCCGCGACTCGGCTGGCGTTGAGAAGTGGAAAAGTACCGATGAGAGAGGTCTTGCGTTGTCTGGAACGGGGGATGGTGACTACTTTCTCAGAGGTTCGTGACGAGTCTTTCGAATTCCCCGTCGCTGCTGTGGTGCGTTGACATCAAGAAACTTCACTTTCACTTCCACTCAACACGAATTCGACGAATTTAGTATCATTGGCGTCGCTCGTCGCTCACCGCATGCGCTTCCTGGCCGAAGATGCAGCTACAGCGGGCCAAGCAGCGATCAAAGAGCTCGGTCGCAATGCAGGTGTAGGCGGAGCCATCGTGCTCGACCACACTGGGAACGGTGAGCATACCCTTCTGGTGGCTTGCATGGCCTGAGGGACAGCTGACGTGATATATACCAAATTTGGTCTGCCCTTCCGCCGCTCTGCAGTCACCTTCCCAATGAACTCTACAACCATGAACAGAGGCTACATCTCGTCGCTCAGCGGCGCTAAGCCGCGCGTCGCTCTATTTCAAGGCGAACAGCTCGCTTAAGCGTTGGCAACGAAAAAGCTTGGCACGGTTTTAGTCCCATGTCCCAAGATTCTATCTTAATCGACGATAAGGGCATTGTCATTGCGATGATAAGATTTGTTGTAGTATACAATTGAATGTGTGGAATGCGATCCCCGTGATGTAAGCAGGAGGCCTCCTCGGGCTTCTCAAGAGCGCTCCTGCATCTCTATCGCCTCCGAGCCGAAATTTCCATTCAGCGGCCTCTTGCTGAAGTCGTTCGTTTGGAAACCAGTGCCATCGCCAGCGACATGGGGGCTATCGCCATTGGCAGCCGAAACATGTCGTTGCATCGACCAGGCAGGGTTGTCCAGTCGTTCATCCACTACCCTGTGTTCATACCTTGCGATCCAACTGTCGCTTATCGGCCTGCCAAGCACAGCAATGGCGTTCCTGACAAACCCGCCATATGAAAACGGGTTTGGATCCGACCTGCTCAATTGGCCCGCCTTGCCTGGCAAGAAGAGGCAGCGCTTCTCTTCTTCGCCGCCCGTATCCACCGGCTGCTCGCCGTACTCGCGTGCGGCGTTGAAGCGGATCTGCTCGACGGTCGTGCGATTGTGCACGACGAGCCAGGCGTGGTAGCCAAATAGCATGCCGATCGGACACATGGCGGCCAAGGAGAGGATGACAACGACGGCGCTGACGGGCGAGCGACCGAGCGCTTGTCGAAAATCGAGCCCCCCGCCATACGCGCCTGCTTTCGGAAGCCGCTGTGTGGTGGGACGGGTGAGAAAATATAGATGCAGGATAGAGAAGGCAATCATGATGCAGAGTGAAAGGAGCGTGAAGATCAGAAAAGAGAAGAACGAGCTGTAGTTTCGGCGGCCGATGCAGGTGTTAAGGAAAGTGCAGTGGTGATCTGAAGAAAGGATGACAGGTAGGCGCTGTTCAGTAGTGCATCATGCTACCAAAGTGCACACACTTACCGATGTTTTCAACGCAATTGTCGCACATTCGGCAATGACTACTTCGCGGCGCTCTGTACGTTCCGCAAGTTTCGCACCACTTGACTTTCAGATCTCTAGCACCGCGCACTTGAATGGTGCGGGGTAACGGAATGGCCAGTGGGTCTTCTGGATCCATTGCCCCGAGGGTTTCGCCAAGTGTACACGGAGGATCTGGGTCTAAGTCGCGGGGCAAAACACCTGGATCACGCCAGGCGGTCACGCTGTTGCAATGCGTGGATAGTTGTAATCAACACCAGAGAAAATATTGAGCAAGCGAAAAGAGATGCACTTACAGCATGTTGGTGACGGCTACAGCAGTCGTGTAGCAGAGGATGATGACAGGTGCGATGCTGATATTGTGCACCGTGTAGGACGCGTCGAAACCTAACCACAAGCCTGGCAGCGCGAGTGTTAATGCGAAGCTCGCGAGGAATGGCATGGGATTGGCGTGCGAGGTCATGATGATCCCGCCAAAAAAGAAACGGTTACCGCCTTTGTGGAACTTGAAATTTCGCTCCTTCTTGCTTCCCCGCGCGCCCGAGATGTTTCCACTGCCTCCATCCACAGCAGAGCCACCATTCAAGCCTTTCTCTATATTTGAGACGCTTGCACGTGTCATATTGACACTCCGCCGTTTGGAAGGATTTTGTTGCGCATCAGAGAAGCTCGGGCTTGAAGAGATCCTGATTCCTCCTAGCATGCGCTCCGCCTTGCCCGTCCTCGGCTCGAAGCTTTGATCGGCGGATCGCATTCGGGATCCCTGTGCGTGCTCGATGACATCCATCAGCGGGTCCTGATTTTGCCTGTTCCCAAGCGGCTGATGCTCGAGGTCGTCATCGTCACCATCGCCGTCTTCTCCATCGCCTGAGCCTGTTTGGAGGTTGCAACTCAGTCTGCCGTCGATCCCAGCAAGCTGCAAGGCTGCCATTCCATCCGCTTCTGTTTGCGCGTCCATAGGAGCTTCAAAGGCGCTTGGAGTACCCACTTCCGTCAAAGCATCTGGGTCTTCCATGTCTAAGAGCGGTTCGCGGGAAGTCTTGAAGGCCACACCTCCTTGCCGACCCCTCAGGTGCCCATTTGATGGGGTCACAGGCGACTGCTCCACTGTTCCATCATCTTGAGCCGCCTCTGGCGCCACGTCATAGATGCTATTCGAACCCAAGGCTATTGTTGACACCCTCGCTTGCCCAGGAGACCAAGGCGACTGTGGCCGCTGCGTTTGTTGCGCCTGAAGGGGAGATTTCTGGTAGGAGCTCAGATCACCTGGGTTAAGCGGGCCGCGGTACGAAGAGCTTCCAGCCGTAGCGAAGCTGTTTGCCGACAAGGGAGTGGGCGGTAGCCCAGGCGACCGTGGCTGCTGAGAAGGCCTTTTGGGAGCAAAGAAGGCCGCAGGTGGCAGAATGGTCGACGCCTGGCGATTGCGCGAAGGAATGTAACCTGCAGATTCAGTTGGGCATTGTGCATCGCTAGGGTCAGCCCTTAATGAGCACGAACCGAGCAGCTGCTGCTCATTCACCGATCCTTCCTTGCCTCCATCCGTGGCGCTCATCTTCCAGCGACGCCCGGAAGCTACGGAGATGCTCCAAATCCAGGAGGCATCAACGTGCCGACGAAGAGGATTGGACCTGCTGCACGCGATCTCGAAGGCCCACGTCTCTCTTAGCAATCAAGTGAGCAATAAGGCTGCGGAGCCTTCTTGAAGCGAAGAAGAGGTGTGCCCAGGGTCTGCTGTTGTCTGTGAATGGCTTTTGGAGGCAACAAACGTGGATGCGATGATACTTGTGACCGCTTTTAGCCTCGTGTTCGGTGTTTATCTGTTTATCGTTCCGGTTCGCTGCACTATGCATGTCAGTCCCCACCGCCCACCGCACATCACGCATAAGCGAGGAGAGAGAGCGTCATAGGGCCACAACTACCGGCAATGAACCCTCTTCCAATACGATTGTGAAATAGGCGGTGAAAGCATGCAAATGAACCATTGTCCTACAATGTATGATTACAGCGCAAAATAACAGACAAATCTGACGAAAACAGAGAGCGGGTGGCCCTCCCCTCGGAATGTACGAAATGGATCGAGAAAAACCGAAAGGAGGAATTGTTGTAGCTGTCATTGTTGATAATGTCATTTCTTATGTGCGTGCGTTTGTGAACGTATATTGATGAACGTATGATAGGCGAATGTAGTCTGAAGGGCGTATTGTGTTGTTTTGTGACAGTGAGCGAGAGAGCGAGGAGAAGACATTTGTTGCAATTGTGTGCGCTTGAGATTCGAAAGGTGGGAGGCTTGAAGCGATCGATCTTGCGAATACTAGTACAACAAGGAAGTATGGCTTTCCAAGGCGGACAGCCTTGTCCTGCTGCGATGCTTGTTGTTCAGAAGATTGTGGAAGCTGTACGACGTGGTGATTGTGTGCGGATCCAAATGAAGCAAGAGGAACGGGCTGATGATCGTTGTTGCATGCATGGGCCGGAGGTTCAACAGCGACTGCACGCCGAATGCAGCGTCAGGCTTTGCTGCTCCTATTGCGGCCTCCGCCGGAGGGTGAATGCGAAGTGTGGACATGAATGCGATACTTGTGTTGCTTGCGGTCTTGCTTTCTGGCTTGGGGGCAGGCTGGAGCACGGGAAGGGGCGTAATGCTTTGCTCTTCAATATCGCAGTCTAGATGTATCTACCAGGCGTCCGCCAATCTCAGCGAGCTGCGGCTGCGACGTTCCTGGCCCCAGGTCTGCTCCTGCGGCAAATGGGCCATCGCTCGGATGGAAACCCAAGGTGGAAGCAGTGAGCTTGAATCGTGCTCGGATTCGCTCCAACAGCTGACCAAGGTCTGGCGACTGATCCTGACTCCCTCCACCGGCTGCGTCGTTGCGTGTCGGAAACGCAACGATGAGTTCGAGCAAGGAGCCAATCTGTTGCATCTGTTTGTTCTGCTTGCGCGATCGGTCCTGCTCTGATGTCCCGTCCTGTAACAACCGCTGCCACATCGCCGCCATCCCTTCGTAGTAGCCTACTTCGCCCCAAATGTCGAAACCCTTCTCGCGGCCCAACGCCCGGCCTTCGAACTTTCCATGCAGCGCTCCATGTGTGAAGCCGCCAGCGTATCCATGCCCAAATGCGCTGCGTGGAAGATCGATCAAGAACGATAGTGTGAGAAAATGGCCATGCTCCACACCATTCACAGGCTCAACTCACGTCTCTTCAAGGTTATTCAGCTTGTCCATGTCGAGTACGTCCTCGCACATGGCCCCTCGTGGCCCTTGAGGCGAGTGGAATCCATTCAAGCCGGTGCCTTGATCGGGCGGAGAAGAGTTGGCATTGCTATGCCGGAAGAGCGGATTCTTTGAGTAGCTCAGTCGGATCCCTTGACCCTTCAGCAACCCACCGAGGGAGTCACCATTGACCTCCGTCAGCGCATTTCGCGCATGACAGATGCTCTCGAACTCGACAAAGCACATCGGTCCGTGCCCCTTGAGCTTGTAAGACATCTGGCGGAAACCTTGACGACTGCTGAAGAGGCTTCGCAGCTTCTCCTCGAGCTGAGCAGAGCTAGCAGATGAGAGGTTAGCGGGAAGATTGCCGACGAAGAGGGTAGTACCGGGAGGATGCTGGTCGCCGACAAAGCCCCGATGAGTCGGACTAGGTAATTCTGAGCTGGGTGGACTTGGGGTGCTCCCAGATCGATGTGAACGCGGCGCCGAAGCTTCGTTCTTCGCTTGCGGCCGCTGGTCAGCCGAAGACGGATCTGCGACGTTGGGGGAGCCGAGCCCAGGCGGACCAGGGCGAGAAGCTTGAGCTTGATCATTAAGAAGATTACTCAAGTCCTGATTGGGCCTGGTACTATTGTTGATGTTGTTGTCTGGGTGTGTTTCTTGTCTCAGCTCCCCCACTCCAAAATCCTCTCCCTGTCGCATCCGAGCGCCTGTAGCAGCAGCGTAGGGCGCTCCTGGCAGCATCGAATTGACAGGTGCAAGGCCCGGCGCTCGCGGCTGAGGATGGCGTGCCGGCGGCGAGCCGACGGACCCCCAATCCGATCGCGCGGAGGGCTGCGCCGCTCGATCAGCCTCGTCGTTATAAAAGTCGAGCGGCCCCATCGGCGCCCAGCGTTCCTGAGGTTGAGCAAAGTTGACCGGTGCTTGTGACTGGGACGGGTTGCTCGCGCCAGTCCCAGAGGCTCGGAGAAGCTCTGTATGCCGCATGGATGTCTCCTGCTGTGGCAAAGCGCCTTGTCGGTCGAAGCCTTGTGGCTGACCGACGAATCCTCCTTGGCCAGGCTGAGAGGGCTGTGGCGGGGGGCGAGAGCCATAGCCAAAAGCATGTGCTGGGTCCCTGTCGCCCATAGCGCTGCCTGCATAAGGCGACAGCGCGCCGTAACCCCCGTCGACACCGTGCGGGCCTGGTTTTATCCCAAGCGTAAGTGCCGGCCTCTGTCTCGTGTGCAGATTCTTCTTCGCCATCTCCGTCTTCAGCACGCATCCGCGCTCCGCATCAATCTTGCGACCATTGAGCGCATCCCTAGCCTCAAGCGCGTCTTGGCGCGTACGGAACTTGGCAAAGCCGATGATTTGCTTGATCTTGCCACCCGGTTGCCCCTGGCTGTTTGAATTAAAGCCGGGGAGACCTGCGCCCGCGCCGAGATTCGCAAAGGCATCATGACCTGCGCCTGCGCGGACCAGAGCCAAGGAGAGTGCTTGCTCATCCCAGCTGGGTCCACTGTTGGATCCAGCAGGCGCCATTCCTTGCAACTGCACCGAGTTGTACGGCCCTGGTGGCCCTGAAACAGAGCTTTCCCGCTGCCCACTCTGGCCGGTGCCTGTCATACCACCAGCTGGGATTTTGAGCGTGGATGCCTCGAACCCTTTGGCGAACAGAAACATGTTCGCGAACTCGCGCTCCGTCATGTCGTCCGGGAATCCAACGATGAACACCGTGGTGATCTCCTCCTGCATTGACGCACCTCCTGCCATCGAGTGATGCGCCCCACCTGCCTGCTGAGCTGCTTGAAGGGCGAGAGCGTGCTGCGCCTGCAGCTGCTGGTGATGGTAATGCAGTAGGCTGCGAGGGCTGAGGCTCCCAGAAGCTGGTAGCCCAGGGACGTTGGGCATCCCTGAAACCATAGCCATGCCTGGAGGCGGGAACGGAAAGCCCTCTGGGCCCTGAGCAGCAGAGCCAGGTACATCAACGTCTCTGAGTGACCCCTGCATGTCCAAGCGCCCTAGTGTCTCCGCCAAGTCTTCAGCCCTTGTAGGTCTTCCATCGCCTTCAGAATCCTCCGCTTGAGGCCTTGGCCCAGGATTGATGCCTGCAAGAAACAGATCGTTGTAACCGAGAAAAGGCTCGGCGCCGAAAGGACCTTGGCCTTGCGCAACCGACTGCCCTGGATTTGATGCATTCACCGGTCTCCGTGGTGCTGGTAGTTGCGTCTGCGGCCCCCAAGGCGATGGACCTGGATCGCCAGGTCGTCCAAACATAGACTGCTGCTGCGATTGCTGTTGCTGGTACTGTTGTGGCATTGGATGCTGGGGCTGCTGCTGTGCTCCTGTCGACGAGCGTTTGCTGGGTGATGGAGAGCGAGCCCTGTCAGGATAAGGTGATGCATAGCGCTGTGGGCCGGATCCAGTTCGAGAGCCAGGAAAAGACGGCTGTCCGAAGCCGTCTTGCATGATTGTGAGTATGGATGGGGAGGAGGTGCGGTCCGTGGGCGGTCTAGGCGAGATGTCCCTGATTGCGGAGGAACTGTCGCTCCGCGATAGAGGTCCGGTCCCTCTGCCCTCAGCACCCACCCGATTCATGGCATCCACGCTGTGCTGCATCCTTCTTTCCTCCGCTACTGACCCCCAAGAACTACTTCTGTCCGTCTCTTCAGTTCCCTTTGCTGCGTGTGGTGGCGGTTTGACGGCAAGTCCACCAGATGTGGGAGGGCTGCCCGTGGTCATCAAGGGCAGGAGCCAATGCGTTGGCGGGTGACATAAACGGCGGTGAAGATCGTTTGCAAGGTACTTGCGGTGCTGGAGAGGAGCCACGGGTGTCTCTATGAGCACTGTAGATGATGATGATGGAATTGTGCAAGTGGATGGATGCCGTAAGCCGCCGGCAACCAGATCGGTGGATGCGATCTTTGGCGTCGAAATCTCGCGTCCCAGCACGTACCACGAATGGAAGAAATTGGCACGAAAGAATGACTGTTGGCTTCGAGGACCCTTCTCGACTCTTTGCAGCGCCAGTTGGGGTCGATGGATGTGCTCTACTGGCGGTCTGAGATGCTTCACTAAAATGGATGCAAGAGAGTGGTCCTGTTGACGCGACGTGTTCAGAAAGGCCACGCCTCTCTTTTGGCCTCGGCACGCACGATTAGTCGATGTTACACGCTGCCTTTGGCTCTCAGCGATTTTTGTGCGCTTCTCCGCGTCTTCTAGGCTGTAGAACGGGCCTGTCTATGTCTGTGACGGGGATGGATGCTGCTGATGCAGGTTGGTGGTGGCTATGAGGGTTAAGTAATAAGGGCGAAACCGCGACGTGTCGTGGTGTAATCTTGTACAGCAGTCACGCCCCCCGCCCCCCCTCCCCTCCGAATTCCTCATCCCGGGACCCGCGCGGGGAGAAATTGGTTGAAAGGGAGGAGGGGCTGAGAGCAGACACGGGTCTCGGGCGCTGGGTGTCGAGCAGCAACAGACTGCTCTGACAGCGGCGCTGAGCGAGCCAAGGGCGAGGGATTCCGCCGAAGAATGCTGCAGTGCACACGAGTAGAGACTCCCCCTTTTCCCGTTCTGCATCGGGCGTCACAGGTGCGGCCAGAGACCAGCGAACACGCTTCATAGAGTGGTGTACAGCCCAGTGAGCGGTGGCTTGCCGCGCGAAGCTTCTGCTCCTCATATCCCTCCCCTTCCTTGCAAGGAAGGCATCCCGTGGGAGGGGCAAGTCCAGCCAGCGTCACGAAGATGACTTTATGGCTGAGATGGCCTGATGCTATGATGCGCAGATGTTTAACCCTTGGCATGGCAGAGATTTGGGCATGTTGAGCTGACATCCAGGCTTGACAAGGAGCGCTTGGGTCCCTTGAAGAAGCAGATGGCTGTTGGCTGTGACGTCTGCTCCCTGCGGTTGGCCGCGCTATTGAAAGGGTGGCGCCGCTGTATTCGAAATTGTGACTCTAAGAGCACATCGCTTGTAACCAAACGAGCACTTCTTGATGTTGTGACCTTTGTAACGACACACCTTCCATCGTGGGCAGGGCCCAATGAAGGTGTCCTCGCTCGAATGATGGATAGGTAAAGTTGGCCTCTAGCTGTATTGGAGAGGCTCGCGCTTGTCTTCGATGTGCTCGTAATCCCGCCCGGATTACGAAGCCTCGGACCCGAAGGTCGGGGCTTTCACACTGCTCATCACACACATCCTCTTCACATTATGAGCACGCATGTATGCATGGCATAAATGCTCGTATGCATCGCCTGACAAGCCGTGTCTCAAATGACGTGAGGACTTTGCGACCAACTCGCTTGGAGCTGGAACATGGGCACCCTCCGGTGTCGATTGAGGCCATGAGCTACGAGAAGCAGAGCGTATCGCAACCCATCCTTTGGATGAGCGAAGCACAAGCCCAGAATAAGCAATGGGACGCCGAGGCAACCAGGAACTAAGCTGAGTGTAAATGCAGAAACTGGGTATGGGTCGCAAATTACATGTACAACTTTAGGCATCAAACGTGGCAATGGACTTGACACAAGCTTGAGCAAGGCTTCGCAGGCTAGGAGCAGCGCCCAGCATGTCTGCAATTTGCGCCTGCACAGCTGGAGCGCTAAATACGCGAGACGAGAATACCAAGCGTAAAAGTCGGTCAGGAGCATCTTTACATTCGGCAAGCCGACTCTGTACTCACTCAACGGAGCCGTAGACCAGCTCAACCTGGATCTCCTCGGGCAGAAAAAGGATGGCGCTGCCGGCGATCAGCGCATCGCGCTTGCAAGGCGCCAGCACCCTAAGCTTCGCCTTCCTCTTGGTCAGTAGCACACTGGCTTTGACTTGCACCCCCTCATCGCTGAGCTTGGCCACTTCGGTCGGGAAACAGGATAACATTGCATCAACTTCAGCCTGCAAGTGTCGCTGAGCCGTGAAAGCATTGGAGATGCGCCGCACGGCTTCCATGGGCTTCAAGACACCGCTGCATTTGAAAGAATGTTGCAAGGCATCAGTGACGAATGCGTATAGACCGTTCCTGTCTGACGACGCCCGGGATGTGATTGACACAGACTGAACAAGCGCTTCAACGCTGATGTTGAGATTGACGTCGATAACACTGTTGTGCAGGAGCGCGATATGTGTCTCCGTGGCGGAGATGAGGGTCCACAGGTGCGCCTGCTCGATGCTCCGGATCTCGCCTATTCAAGCACGGAACGTCGATCAGCAGTCGCTTAACAGTTTTGCTTCTTTTCTGTTGCACTCACTCAGAAGGCGAGCAGCTTCGCCCCGTGTAAAGCCCTTGATTTGCTCGCATGCAGAACGCGCCGCTGCAATTCCATCCTCGGCAGCGTGCTTGCGCTCGAGCTGTTCATTCACCCGTGCTTGCACTCGTTCCAGTGTTTCCAATGCTTCTCTGTTTTCAGAACGGAAGCTTTCAAGCATGTTCCTGTGGGATGAATATGCTCATCAGTGAAAGTCCATAAGCCACTAGTACTCCAACACATGTGCTCACATTTGGTCTTCGATAGCCGCATGGATGCCGCCGAGCTCTTCCTGATCGCTGGCCGCGACAGCTGCCTGGTGCAGCTTCTCTGCCTGCAGCTCAGCCTTGAGCTGCGCATGACGCGCTCTCAGCTCCGGCAGCAATTCTTCGCGAAGCCTCAATGACTTGGCAGCCAACTTTGCCGCATCTTCGTCGAGGCGTCGTCTGTTTGCTTGCAGGCGCTTTACTGTGTCTTCGTCGTATTCATTATCAAGACGCCAGCCGTAGTATTGTCCAACGGAATGGGCGCGAGCGCACTGCTTTTGAAGCTTGAATTGAGCCTGTGGAATCGGCGGATGGGCAGGATGAGAATCTGCGAAGGAAGCACTTCGCAACGTAACCACTCACTTCTATCAGCTTCCTCTCTTTTTCCATCTCAGGCGGGTAGGACATGACATCACGTGCATAGGCGGGCGGTTGCGCGTCGAATTGGTTCGCAACCTCTGCCAAGGCCTCGCGGCTTGTCTCAATGTGTCCCTCGAGCTCTTTGCAGGACCTGCTGAGATTTTCCAGCAAGACCGAGCCGCCAGCTGCCACTTTGCTCCACCTGACAACATTAGGCCCAAGCCGGCCGTGGTCGAGGTCGTTCGGGCGAGCGACACGGGGTCGAACCGCGGACAACTGATCCTGAAACTTCAACCCCATGGCATCCAAGAAGCTCTGCAAAGTGAGTTGCATGTCTGGCAGCACTCGTGCTGAGAAGTTGCTGCTGGCGGACTCGAGCGAGCTGTCTCCACTGTGGCGTGGTTGCTGCGTGAATACATGCGGAGGAATGGCTGAAAGGGACTGACGACTTTGCGCTGGTACGACAATCTCTTTGCGTGGGCTGCGCTTAGGGGAAGGCTTCGGCTCTTCTGCTTCACTGGGCATCACCCGTCGCGCTGGTGAGTGCTTGTAGTTTGGTGAGGCGTGTCCGAATGGAATCTTGTCGCGGATACGATTGGGCGTCGATGTTTGTGAGCCGCTGGAAGAAGTCCGCGGTGCTCTGACGGGCGTGGTGTCACCGACTCGTTCCTCGAAATGCTTCTGCGTATCCCGACGGACCTTTTCGGTATGCTGCAGTTTTTGAGCGACCGAATTGAATGGCCTTGTGAAATCCATCGTGACAGACTGTCGTGATATTTCTTCTAGCATTGCACTATCCTCCTCCGAAATGCGAGACAGTCCTCCCTCGTCCACCTTGCCGCTAGTGAAGGGCTGGGTGAACTCCATGCTTGCTTCGCCTTCCTCTCGCTCCGCATCTTCTTGGACTTCCGTAGTGGACGACTCGGTGCGGTAGCTTCCCTCGCTGTCACAACCTATGCTGTGGAAGACGCCAGTGAACTGCATCGTCTGAGTCCGGTCTCCTCCAGCTCCTTCCACCGAGTCATCATGCAAACTCGCGCTGCTTTCGTCAAGGTCCATGTCGACTGTTTCGCTCCCCGTGGATTGACGGCCGGATCTTGCTCCGAATGGAGCTGTAAGGTCCATATCCATTGCTTCGCCTGCAATCGAATCGCGATGGTTTCCAGCAGCGAAAGGAGTAGTGAATTCCATGGTCCTTGTGTCATCATCCACGTCGCCCAGAGACGTGTCAGTGAAAGCATAGCCCGTGTACGTAGTGAGGTTCGCTGTTGTGATGATGTCCATATCAGAGCTTTCCGCTGAGGCGGCCCTCCGCTTGGCTTTCCTGTACTCCTCAACATCGGAATCGCTGTCGCTGTCGCTGTCATCGTCCTCGTCTTCACTCTCTTGATCTTGGGCCTGGGCAGCGCTGCTTTGAGTGTTACTGGTGTCAGACGCGGCGGGTTCGTACTCGCTAGCAGGCCGAATGCTCATCGTTGGCTCGTCAGAAATGAAGTCCCTGCAATAGGTGGTCAGTCGTCTCGGCGCAGCAGTCGAATAAGTCAGAACAGGCACTCACGTCTTTTCTTGTCTCCTGCTGAAAGTCACTCTCCGCTTCCTCGGCCTTGGCTCATTTTCGCTTTCCTCTTCCATTTTTCTCTCAGACGCCTGTGGTGGACGACCTGCTTGCTTCTGCGATTCGCTAGGTTCTCGATCCCGAGATACTGGTTGTATTGGCGCAGTCTTGACTTCGGATTCCCCGACTTCCTGACTGAATCCGGCGAAGATGTCATCAATATTTGGCATTTGACTCGTCCCGTAGATCATCATCGTTTGCCCGCGAGTCGGCCTGTTGATTGGACTAGCGACCAGCCCTGTGGGGCTCTGAAAGACCTGCTGCGTCGCTTTGAGGGCTGACTTGCGCGGTGCAAGCTGACGTCGAGAGGTGCCGACGCTGACGCTCACTGCGGACGCTGCAGGCAGTGACATCCTCATCTTCGACTTTGCCTTCGTATCAAATCTGCTATGAACATCGCTGAAGCGACCCGCCACGCTACCAGCTGATGTAGCTGGTGTATTCTCTTTTGAAGCGCTGGACGTCATTGCTGCCATAGAGTGTCGGGCTCTGCGCGGCGAGCGCCTCGGGCTGGACTCATAGCTCATCTTGCGGCGTTCTTCGTGTTAGCTGTACAGATGTGAAGGCACCAGTGCTTCTCTCCTGCAAGTACAACCATGCGGTTGGCGCCAACGAAGAGAGTACGCTTGATGATTTTGCATGAGGTGGAGGGAAGTGTCCAAAAGATAGATGCTCGACTGATCGTCTCTCATCTCCACACGACAGCAAGCAGATGTGTTTGGTAATGGTGCTTGCATTGAGTTGAGTGTCAACGCGCTTGATTGAGGCGCGTAGCACGTGAAACTCAGAGCACGTGACATCAAAAAAAAATTGGTGCGTGGCTCTTGATCAGAGTCTCGTGAACAGACTTTCCTGATCTAGTGGTTGTCGGGATTGGTATTGACTCCGACTACCCACGTCCAGACTTTGGTTTTCGCCATAGGACACATCTTCGTGGTTTGTTTAAGAGCCCTTGTCGCGTTGAAAGACTTTTCTGTGTGAAAAGCATTGAAGAGAGAATGTCGGACGAGGAGGAAGACGGGCGCTCCGGCGCTTTTGGCCAGTACATTGGGTCAGACGAGGACGTCCTTCCCTCGAGTGGCGAAGATGACGGCTCAAGCGACAATGGCGAATCTTCATTCGAGTCTCAGGAAGAAAAGCAAGAGGCTGAGTTAAAGAAAAGTTAGTGCTTGCATGCGTCTTGCGTGCAAATTTCTACTGAGAACTTTGTCACCTTTGTAGGTATTGCAGCTCTTCCTTTCGAATCGTTGCTCAAGGCGAGAGGCAAGCTGTCCCGCGCCAGCCAGACGAGTGGCAAGATAGGTAGTCTTCGCGAAGGGGTTGATCAGGAGGTTGAAATCTCTCGCCGCTCTGATCTACGGGAGCAAGCAATTCAACGGAAAAGAAAAGCACATGAATTAGGGCAACGAAGTGATAAGCATGCGTGGGTGCAATTCTCGGGGCCTGCCTGATGAAGTAATTGCGACCCTGACTAATGCTTATCTGCAGCCCTACGGAAGTCAGTTCGCGCAAGCCAGTAGGGCGACGAAGGGAGGTCGTTGAGACAGCAAAGGTGGTAAGTCAAGCAGACATTCTCACTACCCGCAGCATTGGACGCTAATTATTGGCTTGATTCCACCATGCAGCAACGACGAGATCCGCGATTCTCCTCTCTGACCTCCGGGCCTCTCAACAAAGACCTGTTCAACAAGTCATATGGCTTTGTGAACGACTTGATGTCACAAGAAATCACGACCTTGCGCTCTACGCTGTCTTCTCTCAAAGCAAAAGAACGGACGCAAGCCGGCCCCAAAGCCAGGTCGGAGTATGCGCTGCAGATCCGCCAAGAGCGCGAGCGGGTAGAGATGGCTCTACGCCGAGCCGAAAGCAAGGCGGCCGAGCGCGAGCGCCGCACACGCGAGGAAATGGTTGACAAAGAGCAGAAACAGAAGAACAAGGAGCGTGTCAAAGCGGGTTTGCAGCCTTTCTACCTGAAGAAATCTGAAAAGAAGGAGCTGCTGCTCAAGCAAAAGTTCGAGCAGCTCTCGGGCGGGCCGAAGGAGAGCGCAGAGAGCTCTAGCTCGGCGAAGAGGAAGCTTCGCAAGGCGATGGAGAAACGGAGAAAGAAGAATGCGGCCAAGGAACGAAAGACTCTTCCATTCACGGACGCCAGGGCTTCTGGGCCGTCCAGATCAGCGGCAGCGCCTCAACCGAAGCGACTGAAGACAAGTTCGTGACTCCCGCTCTTCTGCCCTCTACGATGATCCATGTAGCCTTATTCGTCAACTGTACCATATAATACGCAATCGCTGTACTGCAAGCCGAGATGCTCTTCATGACTACCACTTGCTGGGCGATCACAGGCCTTCGATCGAATCAGTGCCCTCGGCCGTTGAGTGTGTCTGGGCCATCCAATAACGCGTCTTCGTCTGGCGAAAGATGATCTGATCGCTGCCTGCCTGGCGGTAATGATGCTTGCGATAAGACCCACGAAGACCCGCCTTGTTCTCGTGCTTGATCCGGATTGACGCCTAGCCGCTCTATCGCTGCGATCTCGGCCTCCATCTTTTCGTACAGCAGTCTGCATCACATAGTACCGTCATGAGCGGGCTCTACGGGTGCAACGTGCCTTTTGAGAGACTCACGCTCGCTCCAGCCGCATGCGTTGAATGTTGCGCTTCAACCTCAATGTCTTGGCATGCATTCTGTCATTTTCCTACGACAAGACGTAGCGAGAAGTCAACATAATATGACGAAGCATACGACGCAGGCGCCGCTTAGCACGCACTACTTCAATCTCCTTGCACTTCTTCTTGAGCTCCTTGTACTTGGATCTGTACTTGGCTGCGTCGCTCTGAATGGCTACGCTCGAATTGTATGCCTTTGACTTGTGTTTTCCTGGTCCCGACGCGGACATTGTTGAACGTTGAATCACTTCTCCCGATTCAATTACTGGACGGAGACCAGGCCTTAAAGCATGCGCTTTGGGGATTCAGGCTAAAGCGTGATACTCGCAAGACTCGGATTGTAGATGGGTGCAGAGTCGCTTACATTGCTGGTGTGTACTGTGAGCTTTCCATTTCAATGGATACAAGTGTGAGAGTGAAGACCTTAGCTGCTAAATGTACACGCGGCAGGTGACAAGTATGAGAGGCGTGGCCGCGCGAGCCGTTTCGCAAGGCGTGCCTTTGGCGGGTGGGGGCCAAACCGCCGAAGAAGAGAGAGCAGAAGAGAGAGAATACGACCTCGAATAAGCCAGAAAATCACCCTGACAGCCAGCTGCTCATGCAGACATGTCTTCTCACTTCTCATTTGAACAGCTGTGATCTGCAACGCCATCGTGGCCAAACCGAACAAAACCAGCCAGCAGCGCTTGTTGAGAGCGCAGCTCGCCTCATTCAGCCAAGATGACGCACATGCTGCCGCCGAATCTACAGCGGCTCTTCACGCCACGACCGCCGGTGGACTATGTGACGCCATTGCACTATGACAAGAATCCCATGGCAAAGCCTGAGAATGCAAACCCCAAAAAGGCACGCAAGCTCACGGGGGTATCAGAAGTCCTCGAGAGAGTCAAGCAGGAAGCTGCGGACCGCGGAGAGGCGACAGACGCGGATGCAGATATGAAGTTCTCCCTTACGGAGCAGACCAAGCGAGAGATCAGGCGGGAAGAGAAGAAGAAGCAGGTGGAGGAGGAAAAGAAGCGTGGGCTTGACACTTGTGAGTCTTTCGTTTCACAAAGGCGTTCATTGATTTGCTTCTGGTAGGCACATTTGCCTAACCTGCGCGATGCACCTGGCTCCCCCTACGCCTTTCAGATAATCCCAAAGAAGATGCGCACACGACTGGTGATCCTTTCAAGACCCTTTTCATCGGTCGACTTGTGCGTCCAGCTATCGCACTTTGCATCTCATACATATCTGATTGCTGCTGACCATGCACTTTTTGGGTTCCAGTCTTATGAGGTCGCCGAAGACGACTTGCGGAAAGAATTTGATCGGTATGGGCCAATTGAAGTCGTAAGGCTCGTGACAGACCAAGAGGGCAAGAGCAGAGGATACGCTTTCATTGTGTATGAGCGAGAGAAGGACATGCGAGGTGTGTGACATAACAGCTGTTCTAGATGACTCGCAGGGACTCATATGCTGAACCCCCTCACCTCGTCCTTTCCCCCGTTATCTCCTCCTTTTGCCCTTGCGTTGGCCCTCGCAGCCGCGTACAAATCGGCAGAAGGGATGAAGCTTCGAGGGAGACGGATACTCGTCGATGTTGAGCGGGGAAGGACTGTCACAGGGTGGAAACCCATGCGACTAGGAGGCGGACTAGGCGGAAGTGCGCGCAAACCAAAAAAACCTGTCGAGCCGGAGCCTTTCATGGGAGGTGCGTCGATCATAATGACACGAGACAGTTTCTGGCGTCCTTGCACTGACTGATGGGACTACATACACATCTTCTACCGTACGTGCAGGAGGCTTCCGTGGTGGTTTCCGAGGCGGCTTCAGAGGTGGAGGCGGCTTCCGAGGCGGGATGGGAGGAAGAGGAGGCGGTTTCGCTCCGCGCGGAGGGTTCGGCGGGCCAGGTGGACCAGGGCGAGGAGGTTATGCTGGCCCACCGGGAGGTAGCGGCGGCGGATATGGAGGCGGCAGAGGAGGTTTCAGCGCAGGCTTCAACGGCCCGCCTGGTGGAGGTGGAGGAGGGGGCTATGGAGGCCCCCCACAAGGTGGAGGGTATGGGCCGCCTGGTGGGGCGTGAGTTACTTGGACTCTTCCCATTTCGGACTGCAATCGGGCAACTGACCATTGAATCATCTACTCCACGCTCAGATTCCCGCCAATGGGTGGCTTTGGAGGTGGTGGAGGTGGGTGATGTTTGCCGAAATGCTCGCTCCCCTGAGATTTTGATGCTGACATATCTAACCTTTGCGCTCCACTATTGAGTCGGCTATGGCGGACGTGGTGGCTTTGATGCACCACCGGCGAAACGTCCACGATATTGAGATGACGCTCCCCTGCTCTTCCTAAGGGCGACGTTCATTCAGTCATTCATTCTCACGCACACAACAGCAATGCAGCAATCGGATGTGTTTGTAGTGCCTCTCGGGACCTCAGTGGACTCTGATTCGATGTGTGCACTGATCAAAACCATGCACCAAGCGTCGCACAACATGCAAGGATGACACGAGATGCTGCCACCGCTTGCTATAATCATGATCCCACTGCCACGTTCAATTTCTTGTTTAGTGGGCACTTCCGGCCACCACGCAGCGTCACTGAAAGATGCTCTCCCCTAACCACCTGGAAAATTGACAAAACGCGGTGCTATTAAAGAACTACTGGCTCCGACATTCAAATTACTAACACTTTCGTGTTTGACCTGCCGCTCCGGCTGGCAACACACCGCCTTAGACAATATCGCTCCGTCCCCTCAAAGGTGACGTTGACGAGTAATCTTTCCATCATCGCCTTAGTGGCCCTTTCTCTACGCAAGCGCCCTGCCCACTTACAATATCCTCGCTTGATTGACGCCTCCAGGATCGATGCACCCGCCAAAGAAAGCATCTTGCCGCCGGCCGAAAGGCGAAAGGTACGAGGAATAGTTCATCCCTTTCAAATCATAAACAAGGGATCCGGCACTTTCATGTTTCGCAGACGCTTTGCGCATCGATTAGGGCATCATGCAGATGATGAGCTGCTCTGTTCCTCGAGCACCGATACGACAAAGCAGAATCTGCAGCCGCCAGATGAGGACAGATGGTGTTCTTTGCTGGACGAGACGGCGATGCCCCGCAGACCGCTGCTTTGTTTCTCCCTATACTGATAAAGAAAGCTTGGTCATCACGCAGCTGAGCGAGCAAGGCGGAATGCAACATTTGATCTTCTGATGCAGGCCCGAGCGCTCTCGTCTCTGCCCCATGCTCTCTGTCGCCCCATAATTCTTCAACTGATCGATGAGCCACAGCGCTCAGGCCAGCTGTCCAGCATCTGCATCGCGGGGACAGCGCTCGCAAAAGGAAGGGGGACAGCAGTGCTTTGCTGAGTGACAGCGTCTGCCCAGATCCGGATTCGATATTCTCTGCCACACTGTTGTGTGTGTACTGCACTGAGAAAGCCAGCAGCGTCTCATCTGGAACTTTCCTTCCTGAGACGATATATAAGCATTTCGTTTGGAGATGCTCTCGACATGCAACTTGGAGTGGCTCTTCAGCATGCAACAGCATAGGTGGCACAAGGGAGAACTGGCAGCAACCGCTATGACAAGCTTCAAGACGGACCATTGGGTTGCAAAAGAGCTGCATCGGCCGGAGCTCGTATCATTGCAGCAGCAACGCTCGACAGATTGTAGCAAGTACAATGAAGGCTCCCGTCGGGCGCTTCGCATCCGCACGGACTATACGCTGAACCGCAAAGACGTGGGTTGTGGTCCAGGCGGCCTCAAGCTCGACACCTCGGGCGGTGCAGCGGCACTGGTCGACGCGCCAGTTAAAGCGGACGAAATCACCCAAGACCGATCGATGTCGGCAACACGCAGGCCTGGGCGTCCGCAGAGGAGAGAGCCAACGCAAGATCAACAAGAATGGCGGGTTAGGCAAACTTCAGCATCTTCATCACTCCCGGCGGCCTCTGTACAGGAGAGCGAGATTGCAATCCGAGCGAATCCGAGGACTGGGGTTGTTACCAACAGTCGCAGCAGCACCAGCAGAGGCCCGACGATGCATCAGCTGGTACAAGACTTCAAACACAGTGCCATCGGCCCTCCCAAGCTGCTCGAAACCTCGGGTTATCCCTTCGAGTACAAGCGTTACAATACGAGCATGGATCCACGCGGATATCTTCCCGTATATGAGTACGTTGCAGAAGACAAGCTGTTCATGATCGATGCAGAGAATAGCTACGTGCACTTCACCGGCATCTGGCGCGCCGTCAGCAATACCAAAAGTAATTTCTATTTCTTGGTCTCTCACTTGGTTGCGTGTGCTGACAGCTCTCGCGCCTTGACCTGTTGCCTGTCCAGACGAGATTGTGCGCCTCGTCGAAATCTATCCAGAGCTCGACGCAGTCGTCCGCAAGATCCGTGGTGGCACATTGAAGATCCAGGGAAGTTGGGTGCCTTACAGTGGGTGCCAAAACCGATTTCCAGATGAAGAGATTTTATTCCGCATAGCAAGTATCTGACAGTGTGTGACTGGACTTGTCGTAATTGCCAATAGATATCGCAAAAGCTCTGGCGCGTCGATGCACATTCCCGATACGACACCTGCTCGTACCCATCTTCGGACCGTCCTTCCCCTCAGAGTGCATCACGCCTGGCCAGTCAGGCTACGGTGACTTGGTTCTGGAGCGCAAAGCCACAGTAGAAGCGCCGACCAAGCCTAAGGACAGCGCAGACGCAGTGCTCAGCACTGACACGCGATTCGGGGGAGGTGCAGCTGATGATGAGCAGGGATATGCACGCGTCGCTGCGCTCCTACAGCCGGCGCAGCTTTCAGCTTCGACCGACATTGGTTTGAACCCTTCGAAGCCGCCTCGCAGTGCTCGCCGACGTTTTCGCACGGGCGGGGCTCCCATCAGCAGGGATACATTGCAGTCGCATCAGCGAGAGCGGTGCAAGCGACGGCAGCAACTGCTACGGGTTGAGGAGCTGCCAAAACAGGAACCCTTGGACAATGCTGGGAGTGAAAGACATCAACTGAAGGCGCAGATGTCAACCTACCAAGCCGAGCTGCAGGTTGCCATCAACCTGCTTGACAGACGGGAGGCTCGACAACAACAGCCACTTTTGGCCCATCCTTCCCCTTACACCCACCCCCATCGACGTGCGTTTACATCTCCAGTGAATGGCTTTGGTCTTCGGCCACCGCCGCAAGAGGCTGCAAGTTTGGATTGCTTCCCTGCTATTGGCGCAAACTGGATGGTGGTGGCCTCGCCGGAATCGACAACGCGGTGCGGCCATGGGCAAGCAATTCAACAGCTTGATGCGCCTCTGGGTTTGCAGCCGCCACAGAGCTCATTTCCGACAGGCGTGTCACCCACGCACCGCCGACAGGTGGCGTCGCCGTTTGTAACGCCGATGAGAGGCGGCACAGACACACAGCGACAGCACAACTCTGTGATGTCTCCAGCAGCAGCGTTGTCGTTGAGGTCACCGTCCCCTTCCTGATTTCTGAAGAGAAACACTGCCAGTGTGCGAAATGTTAGCTATAATTGCACATGGACAATGTACGTCCCTGATATGAGCGCGAGGTTGAGTTGGACCAACAAAGTAAAAATGCATCGTTTTTGTGTGACACCAGAAAGAAGAGTTTTATTGGGGAGAGATGCTGAACAGGCAAACGAAAGGAGTTGAGGACCAAGTACTTGGACCTAACTATCTGCCTATAGTGGAAAAGCGAGAGTAGACTGCCGATGAGCTAGCTTAGATCGTCAGGCTGCCAGGCACGACCGCGCAGGAGGTGCACGACTACAAAGGGCCAGCAGCGCGGAAGATCCCTGGATCAATGTTAGGGATGACGCGGGGTGGCTTTCGATGAGGATGAGACGGGTCGTCGCTTGGTGAACGACGCAGCGCTGGTCAAGCACTATCTCACGCAATACGCAGGAGAAAGGGTGTGACAATATCCGTCAATCGGTGCCTGGAGAGTGAAGATACCTTCAAGTCCTTGCCCCGTATTGCGTTGCAACTGGCAAGCACAACCAACAACACCTGGCTTCACTCCTCTCCTTTTCCAACGTTTCGCCAGGAGAGCAGAAAGGGACGTTGCACATAGAGTCCAGTTATGTATTGGCAGAGGACATGGCATGGCAAGCGCCGAGAGCTGCGCTGAGTGCCGAGTCAAACAGGCGCCAGTCCACCATGATCGAATAAAATGTTGCTCTTCCTCGGTTTCTTCGGCACCGCCGATGCTAGCGGGAGCAGCTTGCGCACTCGAACATACATGCACACAAGAGAGGTGGAACGTATAGCGGATGTTCAAGGGCCATCTCTACCAGGTTTATCCTCTCTTCCGCCTCCTCTCGGATTTCTATCCGCATGTCTGACCGTCGAGCCTGCTCCTCAAGCTGACATGGAGAAGCGATATCGAGCGCGAAAAGACGGCAGGTCTGTGCTGAGTGCGAGATTGGCAGTGAGCACCCGAAATGTGCTATTACAACAAGACGGGTTGGCCCTTTACGTTCTTTGCTGACCGCCTCACGTTTGATCAAACGGCCAACTGATTCAGGTTCGCTGTATTCGAGGAACCGTCCAAGATCGATGTTGCAAGATGCGCTCATCTTCTTCATGATTCAGGCTTAGTAGGGCCTTGAGTTGTGCTTGCTGAAAGCTTTGAACATGCCACTCCGCAGGTCATGGTCACCAGAAGGACCATTGGCGGAGCTTGAGCGTCATCCGATAGAGTACTACCACTTTGATCACATTACGTACTGCCCTAACGCTAACCATAGGCTCAGCGTGACATTGCTGACGTATCACACTCCTCACTCACTCAGACCACCACGAGATTAACCTCATTATGGACGACTTGCAGCTCAGGCCGCGGAAAAGTCGCAAGGTTGGCAAGTTCGCGCCGAGGGGCATCTACATCCCGTCCATCGATCCGAATGTCTACTTGGACAACGACAATATCAAGATCTACCTCTACCTTTCGCGAAACGCCTACCAGAATTGGAAGTGGGACGAGCATAGACTCAAGGAATAAATTGAAGAGCCCAACTCCTCGGCGGCGAGCTCAAGGCGGGTTGGTGGCACAATCCGACTGCGAACGCTCTGATGGAGATTGTGGATAAAATGAAGAATGCCAATCTGGCCAATGTACCGGCCGTACCGGCTAACATGTCGACCTACAGTGGTAACGGGGAGATCCACGAGCCTCCGCACAAGGAATGAGTCAATATGATGGTGGCACGGCTTTGCGCACGCAAGTTGCTGGCTGACCGCTCTGTGATGCGTCTCTCGCTTTGCTCCCCGCTAATGGCTGGAAGACGCTCACCTCGTACGATGCAGACGTGCAAGACTGGGAGAACTACCACCCGAACAACTACCAAAATATCAACTGCAAAAATAAAAACCGACGGTGCGCAGAAGGCAGCACGGTTGTCTCGCGCGAGCTCCAAGACGGGATGAAGGTGCACTGATCACGTACACTCCCAGCAGCTACGAGGCGTCCATGTACGGCGTTGGCAACACCATGGGCGTGACGCCGCTCAGCTCGTTTAATAAATCAGCCTGAAGACGGTGCTGTTGCAGATCGCCGACGACGTGGCGCCGTACATGGTCATTCTGTCGGACAGCCCGACAGGCATCGCTGTGGCTGCGCTTGCGACTGCAACTGCAAATGCAAATGCAACCGCAATTGCGGGCAAGAAACATAATATGTTCATCAAGGCGAGTAGAGACGGCTCATTTATGCTCTAAGTCACTGCATTCTCCCAGGCCGACGCACGCTTCGACCTCGACAACGGACTGAACCGCATCACCGCCAACATCGAGCCGAGAGGCGCAGGCTCGATCAAGTCATCCAGCGACGACACCATCCAAGACATTTTGTCCCGAGGTAAAAGCATGGGCGTCAAAGTCCCTGCGGCCTGCCAGTGCAAGCTGTTTAGTAGCGCTTGGGAGAGCCTCGTGCCGGGACATCCGCTCAAGACGGTCGTTACATTGTATGACGTCTGCTAATCGCTGGAGAAACCCCCAAGCGTTCAAAATGATTTTTAGGCATGACAGGCAGAAACTTGCATTGCATGATGAGAACTTGGCTATGCAGACATACTGGGGTATGCTTCACTTGGGCCCAAAGAACGGCACGAAGACGGGGACGTTCTTTTTGTACTCCTGCCACGTGGGGCTGCGGGCGCACACGAAAAAAAGGAATAAATGGGTAAATGGACTTTCTACTATCACCAAGCAGGGCAATATGTGAGGAAAGAGGCACGACTCACTCCTTGCCGTACTTCTCGTCGCCGGACTTTTCGAGCATGGGCACACCACTGAGGTATCGGATGAGCATGTACTCGAATAAGGGCGAAGCGGCGGCGGCAACAGTGATCCACCAAGGGTAAAACATGGGGGTCGCTGCAGAAAGAGAGGAGAGTGAAAGGATGTACTGGCCGGTCCATAGGGAGACCTCGCCAAAGTAGTTGGGGTGCCTGCTCCAGCTCCAGACCCCACGAGTGATAAAGGGCTCGTCGTGCTTTTTTCCCTCCTTCCCTTTCCTCCACGCACTCTTCTGGCAATCGGCGAAGACCTCGAGGCCCATGCCGCCAAGCCAGAGAGCTAGGCCGACGTAGTCGGTCAACCTTGTGCCGAGGCGCGGCTGCGCGGCGGGCGGGATGGCGTTAACGAGGTAGATGGGGAGTGCCGTGAGCGAGATCCACGTCGCCTGCATCATCCACGCAAAAAGGAAATGTGGCGGGTTTTTCTTGATCTTGTCGAAGCGCGGGTCCGAGCCATGCTTGTGGATGCGCGCGAAGAGGAAGCTGCCGAGCCGCACGGCCCAGACCGTCGCAAGTGCAGAGGCGAGCAGCTGGCGCGGATGGAACGTCGCCAGCGTCGGTGGCCAGCTGGCCGACGTGGCGGATGCAGTACCACTGCCGAGCCAGGCGAGTGTGGGGAAGCGCGTGCGCAGCGACGGCAGCAGCAGCGAGACCGCCGTGGCGGAGACGAAGCCGAGCGAGCCACACAGGTCGTAGTACTGAGTGCGTTTGGCAATGACGAAGCGTCAGCATGCGTCCACAGTCTAGTGTTCCCGACATGTAACAGCGACGAGGAGCACAGACACGCACCTTTTCAGTCTGCATCGGCACGGCGACTGCTGCGCACGCTGCCTGGAAGCCGTAGATGAGGACAAACGTAGGGAGAAGGCCGCGCAGGCCAGCGACGTACAACGTCATCGTTTGACTCTCGTCCGCGGTCTTTTCCGAACAGATGTGCGCGCGGGTTTTCTTTGGCTATGCGTTGCCCTGCACCCGCTCGAAGCTGGGGGTGGTAGATATGGATGAGATTGGCCCTTTGGAAAGATGTGAGACGAAGCCCTTCTAGTACATGACCATACGATCTTGGCTAATAATCTGCCATTTCCGCCGACGGCTGCCACCTTATTTTCTCGCCTACTAGAGGCAGACCCTGCCGCGTGCTGAGAGATGCGCGGCGGCGATCCTCTGCCTGTTGCTCTCTCTCGTGCACCTGACCGATCCGAGTGCGTGCATGACCAATCACTCGATCACTCCAAGTATGTATGACTGCATGAATCTCCCAATCCTCATCGCTCCCCTCTTCAGCTCCGCCGCCGCCGCCGCCAGCCGCATGCCTTTCAAATCAGATTGAGTCAATCCTTTCGTCACGGCCCTGGAGCACTCTACGCATGGCCCGTGCACTCTCACTCAACATGGCCCCCAGCACGCGGCGCCGATGGCGAAATGATATTGTGGACAACGTGGATGGAATGGTGGACTGGGCACCAGGATCCAAGTAGGGTTGCAGCTGCATTACTGCCGCCTTCCCAGCATCCTGACATGTAGTGGATATGGTATGGCTTGAAATCTGTGCAAAGGGCGACTTGCGAATCCCAGACCACAAGCGCATCAGCTTGGGTCCATCTTCTGTGGCGGCAACAGGATTGTTTCTTCACGCTGGAACTGGAACTGGCACGGCACAACTTTGAGCACCCGAATATTCCCCCGGCCCCTAGGTCCGCAATCACCATTCCCGCCCTTCTACCCTCACCCGCCGCCCTCGACCGCATCACCGGCGAGCCGCTGGCAGCGAGCGCAACGTTCGACATCGCGCACGCCGCGTTTGCCTCGGGCCTCTCGCACGAACACGCCACAGTTTCCCAGGGCATCATCATCGAAGGTGGAGCAGCCGGCGGCGGACTGGCCAACTTGGAGCGCATCCCCCTGTCCATCCACCACGCCGCCGCCGACACCCCGCAGGGCTTGCTCGACCTCGCCGCACTGGGAACGCTGACCGACAGGATGGCGCAGGGAAGCGCCGCAGCCGCCAGCAGCGCTGGGTGGCAACATGCTGCCCAGAGGTTCACGCGGAACTTGCCCGCCCTCGTTCGAGATCCCGCCGTCGCCGTCCTTGGGCAGGTGATTCCAGTACCGCGGTGGGTGCCCTTTGCACTCTCCTCTTGCATTGCTGACCTGGCGCGTCACTTTGCTTCCCCTCACTCGGGGCACAGGAATGCTACACGAAGCTTGTCTACAATATCGACCTTAGCTCCAAGTACTGTCTCCACCTCGCGCTATCCAAGAGCTTGGGGTTGGGCATCGTCGTCTTTGGATCCATCATGAAGGTCCCCCAGATCCTCAAGATCGTCAACAGCAGATCCGCAAGGGGGATCAGCCTCAGCATGTACATCCTTGAGGTTCTCGCGTATACCATCAGTCTTGCGTACGCCTACCGCAGGCAGATTCCCTTTAGCACCTACGGAGAGAACGCGAGCTTGACCGTGCAGAGTGGGTTTGTCGTATCCACACAAGTATGCACATGGCTGACATGCACCTTTCCTCTCTCCCACTTGACTATAAGATATGGTCATCACGCTGCTCATCATCGCATACTCGCCCGTCAAATCGCTTCCAGCGTCTTCCGCATCAGCTACCAAAAGCAGGCGCTCGGCGGCGCTGCTGATCGCCGCGACGCTCATGGCGCTCCTATCGCTCTTCCTCTTCACACCATCCTTGTGTTCCATTTCACTCCTCTCGCTGCTACAAGCGATGACGATCCCCATCTCGCTCATGTCCAAAGTGCCGCAGATTCTCGAGCTGCATCGGCGAAAAGCCCCCGGGCAGCTCAGCTCGATCGTCGTCTTTGCGCAGCTGCTCGGTACCGTCGCGCGCGTCTTCACGACGCTCACCGAGACCGACGACGCGCTTCTCTTCTGGGGGTTTGCGCTCGCCACTGTATTCAACGCCGTCATTGCCGTGCAGCTTGTCATGTACTGGAACGGCAACGACAAGCATGCGCCCATGCTCGGCGGCGAAAAGGACAACAGGAAGCTAGATTAAAGGGAATACAGGCGGCTCCACTTGCAAAGCAAATGTAATCTTTTTGTCGTCTTTGGTCGTCCAAAATACGACACATTGTCATGTTTTGGTGTATGCTACAGGACTGCGATCAAGTTCTTGTTTAATGTCCATTTTAATGTCCACCTGCGTTGATGCCCACCTCGGCATCGCCTTGTACTCCAATAGCAGCATCGATATCAGCATCGGCATCGACATCGGCATCCGGTCGCCGCCGCGTCTCGTACGGCAGTGCCAGCATGCAGCCGACGCATACGGCGAAGAGCGCAATGCTGAGGAAGAGCGGGAGGTTGATGTCAATCGCGATCAAGACGCCCGCCGCGAGGGGCGCGACGATGCCTGCGAGCCGGCTGAGCGCCGAGGCGCTGCCGCACGCCGTGCCCCTGACGTCCGTTGTGAACACCTCGGGCGTGTAGCCGTAGATGGCCGCGTACGTTGTCGTGGCGCTGATGCTGATCAGCATGCTCGAAAGCACGATCCCGCCGCGCGAGCGCACCACGGTGAATATGGCGATCGACACGCCCGTGCACGCCGTGCTCAGCGCCATCGACCCAATGCGCCCCAACCGCGTCTCGATCATCCACGCGCCCAAAAGCGAGCCGGGCACAGAGGCGAGCGCATACAGCAGATAGTCCTGCATCACGTCTTTGCGCGACTGCAAGCCACCGTCGCTTCCAGGAGCAGCATTGGGGGTACCGCCATTGCCTCTGCCGCCGGCACCAAGGCGCGCCTCGAGGAACTTGGGCAGGAACACGTTAAAGATGGTGAACGCGAGCGACACAAGTGTCCAGATCGCCCAAACCAGAATAGTCGTCCGGCGCCAGTGCGGCTCGAAGAGATGCGTGTAGCGGGCCCAGAAATCTGCTAAGCCTGTGTGCCAATTGGCAGGTAGCAGCCGCCGAACGAAGGCAGGCGGAGGCGACAGCGGCAGCGGCAGTGGCGCTGCCGGAGATAGTATGTGCATGCTGCTTGTCGTAGCTTGCGCAGCCTCGATAGACGGACGATCAAGAGACTGAGAAGGCGTAGCCTCTTCCATCTCAGATCTGCCATGCTCTTCATCCTCGGTCGGTAGAGCATCGTATCCCGGTGAATTCGCTTTTCCGTCCCCACCAAATAGTGAGGAAAACCCTCTGAATGGGCGACTATCCCTCTGCGCGGAGCCCGCATGGCGCCTCTGTTCGTCCTCGACATCGCGCAAGCTGACAGGTAACGGCTTGCCGTTGAATGCTGCTATTTGCTGAAGAACGACGCGCGCCTCCTGATGTCGGCCAGAAGCGACGAGAAATTTGGGCGATTCAAATAGTTTGAAAAAAATCAGCCGGGCGATCACGAAGCAGACGGTCTGTAACGTCAAATGACAACGTAAGTCTGCGTAACGAGGGACATTAGCTTGACGGTCACAGTATGGACCATGCCCACTCACGACGAAGCCAAGTCCATTCAGCAACCAACGCCACCCCTGGTTCTGCGTCTGTGTGTCGCACTGCACGGCCGGATTCCAGTCTGTGTCTTCCGGGCAGCTATTTTCCGGGATAATAGCGAGACCGAGTAGGCTCGTGATGACGCTCCCTAGAGCAAAAAAGACGCTGAGTGCCGTCAAGAGGTACTGCTTGCTCTTGGGCAGATTCTCCAGGAAGAGCGTCCCGTCTGTCGGCATGGAGCCACCAACACCTGTGCCGAGCAGAAATGTGAGGAAGCATAGCATCGGAAACGATGTGGCGAAGGACGAGAGACAGCCAAAGATGGCGGTTACGAAGAGCGTTCCGTTGAATGCGTCTTTGCGGCCATACGAGTCAGAGTCTGTACAGAAGAAACATGAGGGCGATGATCAGAGAGCCACAGTGCGTGCGAGCAGCTGCTCGCGGAGGGGCTCATGTTTGCGCTCACAACTTCCCCACGCCAACGCTCCGACCATCATACCTGCAAATGTAGAGCTCGAAAGCAGGCCTATCCATTGGTCCGGCACATCCCATTCATCCTGTACGCGCGGCAGCACAATGGCGATCCCCTGGAGCCACATATTATCCGCCAGATACCCGAGTCCAGAGAGGAGGAGTAGAGTCTTTTGATAGCGCCCCACGCCAATTTGGTCGATCGTTCGATCCAGCGGGGTCTCTCCACGGCGTAACGACCTTGCATTCCAGCGCTCACCCGTCTCGAGAGCGTCCCAGCCAAGGCCACCAATTGACACATTGGGGTGACCGTCAAGTCCCGCGCCTACCGTATGAGTGGAAGCGCAGCAAGGTGGTAACGAGAGGCGCGGCGCATCTCGAGCCTTCCCTTTCCCTTTTGCATTCGGCTTGGTACCGTGACCCTGGGGATGACCATAAAATGAGATGCCCTGGCGTCCTGACTCAAAAGCCACATCGCCATTGATATGTTCCGTGCCTTGAGGATGGCTCCAGCTACTCGATTGAAAATCTTTGGAGGTACTGTTCCCGCCATGGGTGTTCGTGTTCGATCCCCAAGGGTTAACCACTGCTCCTCCCGCATCCTCTGTTGAACCCGGGTCCTGGCGCTGCTCTTCGAACAAGGCGCTGCCTTTGAGATCTGAAATACCATGGAAAGACTTGGCGCGGTTCGCAGGGAACTTGACGTCCATTGCCATCGCTGATGATGGCGCAGGATAGCCGCTCCTGTGGTGAACGTTGCCTTTGTTCTGCTTCACATATCCACTGTCTACATTACCAAGGGCCGCCGCTTCCCCGGCGCCCAAGCCAGCCATCTTGAGAAGTTCCCCTTAGCGAACTATGTGACGACCTTTCGTTAAGCTGCGGTAGCTTGTGCCGCTCGCGCTCTCGCCGCAACTACCGAGCACTTCCTCAGCTGCGATAGCGATGGCAGCCGCAAATGTGCACGCGCAGTTCGACGCCCTCTCCAAAAGCGAAGGCTTCTGTTGCAACAGTAGGCGCTCACAGTAGACCAATCCTCAGACAGACACACTATGAAGGGAGAAATTCGTCTGAGGAGCATACAAACGCATATATAGCATAGTCGAGCATGAGTAATGAGAGAGAGCGAGAACGCTGATGGCTCGGGTGTGGCGGACCATTGCCGTGGCAGAGCTGAATACGCATGGGTCACGTGATTGAATCCGTTTTTCGCAGCACCTTGGTAGACTCTCCTCGCCTTCCATCCAATTGGAACCGCATGTAACCAACTGACTGACGTCCGACCATTCCATCCAGATTTCCGGCCCTAGGAGAAAGGGTCTTGCGGTGCAGTAATATATTCAATCACGCGCTGACCGCGCCGCGAACAGGAAGCATCCAAGTCACGTGACCAGAACGCGACACGCAATTCCGTCCGCGCAAGTGTTATTCTCATCTGGCAGTCATCAGGCATCACCGCATCAATCACGAAAATGTCCACAACGCAAGCTGGGTCCGTCTGCAGCAGGAAGTGCGGAGAATGTGCAACATGGCTGATGGCTTTTGACGCTTAATCGGAGCCTCGAGAGCAAGGATTGCTACAGTCTGGAGCCAAACGTAAACAACCTGTCTTGCGCGTTCCATTGGTCGTGGACCTGACCTTAACGCGAATCACACACCACCATGCCGCGTCTCGCAGGAACAGGAGCACCACCAACGCCTACTGCGCGTGGCTCTTCAAGGACCACGTCCTCGTCTCCATCCAAGAGCGAGGAGTCTGCATTGATGGGCCCTCCTCCTACCCCTCGAAATCGCCTCATGCGCGGTGGCAGCACAACTTCTGCCATACTTTCAGCCGCACCGACTAGCAGAGTCAGCAACATGAGCGCTACCACCTCTGCATCGGCTCCACCAGGGTCTAGTCCAATCAAGGCAAGAGCTGGTGCAGGGTCTACCAGGGCATGTGCTGCTTCCTCCAGAGGCTCGACTGCCACCCCGACGGGGGCAAGATCTCCTGTGAAGAAGGTATCTAAGACACAGGGCAGAGGAACAAATGCTTTCAGCAAGGCGGGAAGCACCAACAGCACCCCAATCAGTAAAGTCATTGTATCTTTCCCCAGTGTTGCAGCTGGTATTTGGGACGGAGCAGAGCCAATCAAGGCGAGTTTTAGGGACAAAACTTAAGCGTGCATCTTGCATCACTCCTTTGACATTTGTTCTTTCTGATATCGCAGGCATTCCTCCGCCTGCGTCCAGCACTCGACGTCAGCCGAAATGGGGGTGTTGCAGAGCCCTACATCGAGGTTACGAGTGACACAGATATCATTATGACCCCTCCTAAAGACGTAAGTTGTGCATTACTCTTTAATTTAGGCAAACCTGCTAAGGCTTCTCCTTCCGGCCCGGTCAGAATGCCTCTGGACAGTCGGCCCAGCGATCACGCCAAGCTCAACACTATTCGTTCAACAAAATCTTTCGACCTTCCATCTCAGCCTCTCTATCACCGTCTTCTTCGCAGGCGATTTTCTTCCAGGAGACATGTCTTCCCATGATCACCGACTTGTTGAACAACGGCCAGAGCGGACTGTACTGCACCTATGGCGTGACGAACAGCGGAAAAAGCTACACGATACACGGTGGGAACGGCAAAGGCGAGGCAGGTGTGCTGCCGCGTACGCTCGATACCATTTTCAACAGCTTGGACGGGCTGCTTGGCCAGAGCAAGATTCGGCCTGTTGGCTTGAGCGGAGTGGAACAGCTGAGCGAGGATGATAACGACGCCCATGCCACAGCCCTTAGCAGCGACAGGCCCGACAGACTCGACCCTCTTAGCCTGCCGCCTTTGCGCAAGCGTCTCCTCTCTTCCACTACGGGCTCGCTGAACGAATATGAGCGCGAGCAAGCTTCGGTCAAAGTCGATCGTAACTACCGATACAGTGTGTGGATCAGCTACCTCGAAGTTTACAATGAAAAGCTGTACGATCTGCTCGACGTCACACCGACAACAGCTGCCGCTGGTGGAAGTGCAGCCTGCGGCATGAGTCGCAGCGAGAGTGTGCGTGGCTGCTCCGCTACAGGAGCAAGTAATTGGAGTCTAGCTGCCGCTGCTGCTACCGGGGGCTCAGGTGGTCTTCCGAGTTCGACAAGCAGCGCAGCCGTGTCACTTACGCGCCATGCTCTGCCGCTCAAGAATGACAGCGACTCTGCAGGCGACCCTGAAGGTCAATGCAAATACGCAGTCGGCCTCTCGGAGCATCAAGTCTGTTCAGCGGAGGAAGCCCGTGCGCTGATCAAGCGCGGCGAGCAGAATCGCGCCGTGTTCGGCACGATGGCGAATCGGGTCAGCTCTCGCTCGCACGGAGTCTTTACCGTGCGCGTGATCCGCGAGCACGGCGGGGAAGTAGGCGAGGCCATGTACAGCACCAGCCGGATGAGCATCGTCGACCTGGCGGGCAGCGAGCGCATGGCCAACACCCAGCTTACGGACGCTGCTAGGATGAAAGAGGCGGGCAACATCAACAAGTCCCTGATGAACCTCGGTCACTGCCTCGAAAAGCTCAGAGCCAATCAGACCAAAGCGCAGTCGTTGTCTACAGGCAATTTTAATCTAACTGCCAAGCCGGAGGTCGTGCCCTTTAACAGCTCCAAGCTGACCGCTCTACTCAAGACGTACTTTGTCGGTGAGGGCAAGACCGTCATGATCATCACCGCGAACCCATACGACGGTGGATTTTATGAGAACGCACAGGTAATGAAATTCAGCGCGACCGTCAAAGATGTGCAGCAGCTCAGAGGTGCACCGAACGCCATGCGAGCGGCCATCCCCAGAAGCCCAACCAAGATCTCCCTTCTGCCATCTGCCGAGCAGAACGCAAAGGGCAAGAGCTCAGTACCACCAGTCAGGATTTCGCAGCTGGCTCAGGCGCAGATGATCATCCCCGACGATAGCAACGAAGGGGACATCACCATCATCGAAGGTGAGTGCTCCCTACGTCCTTGATTAAAGAGAAGAGACTCTGACGTGTCTTATTTACTGCCTGCAGAGAGTGGCGATGACGATGACGAGGCTCAAGATCCTCTTGTGGACCTTCTCATTACCAAGTGCGAAGAACTTCGACAGAGGGTGAGCCAAATCGTCCTCAGTATCCTATGGGTGGAGTACGCCCTGACGCAATTCCCACTTGCCTCGCTCAGCTCTTTGCAGCCGAGACACGTTGTGCTCAGATAGAATATGATGTGCGCCAAGAAATGGCCGATGAGATGCAGATGCGCCTTGCAGATATGACAGACATGTGGTCGAAGCGCATGCTGGAGGAGGTAAGAATCTCATAGGGCCACATTTCCCGAGTTCAGGCGTGGGTGCTGAGAGTCGCGTATGACATTACTTCACAGGAGGCGATGAATGAGCAATTGATCAACAAGAAGCTGGACCTTCTCATGTCTCTTAAATCGAGCCTTCATCGCGCAAATGACAGCATCGCAGACTCGACGGTCGCGAGCTCCATCGACCCCACTACCGATAGCGAGAGCGATGCGGACGACTCGCTCGTCTCGGCTATGGGAGGCGTCGCCCTGGCCTCGCCTGACCCGACGCCGCTTGTGCATCGTAGCACGATGCCTGCCTTGCTCCCAGCTGATGACGACGCTGGCGACTCGATGGAATTGGGCGATAGTCCGCTGCTGCGCCCGGGACGTTTGCCTCCGCAACGTGTGGCAAAGGCGTCACCCCCTCTCACCTCATCCGATGACAGCCAGGTCGAGTTTGTATCGGCCGACACTGGTCGCCAGGACACTTCGTCTGCTTCGATCGACTCTGCAAGCATCAGCCTCGATGAGCACGACGAGGCGGAGCACTCTGCTACTGAGTTCGGGGAGGATGCAGCAGACACAGATGATGAAAAGGAAACAGAGCCCCTCGAGTCGAGCCACAGCCACATCAGCGTGTCCAGTGCAAACATCAGTAGTGATGTGGGAGCTTCTTCTCCGCAGGACGAAGAGGAGTCGTCGATCGACGACATCCAAACTGATGACCCGGAGGACGAGTCGTTCGACGCAAACGCCGCGGAAATCAGTGATGATGGTGAATCTTCATTCGAAGCTCGAACGGCAGGCAGGCGCAGTCGCGCCAGTACCGCCACCGCCCGGCGCCAAAGCGTTAAGACGCCGCGGGCAAGCAAGGCTGCCAAGGCCCCTGTTGCTGCCGCCAGCGCGCCCTCCAGGATATCGACGAACTCGACAGCTAGTATGAAAACACCGAAGCCGAAAGCCCCGTCCCGATTTACGAGTCAGCCGCTCGCCGAATCGAGTCCGTCGATAGTGAACAAGTCGCCCGCCTCGATGGCAGCTGCTGCAGATGTGAGCATGTCGCTCGACTCGCAGAGCAATGTCAGCCTCATCGCGCTGCCGGCCAAGAGCGTTTCGCCCAAGAAGAAGAGGTCAGTGTGCGGCGTCATGCGGACGCAGATGAAAGACGTTTGATGCATCGGCTGATCGATCGACGAAATGTTTGCTTTTGTGTTCCTCAGGAAACTCCGTGCCAAGTCGGCCGTCGATGAACAAATGATGGTCGAGCAGATCGGAGACTCGTCCTTGACGGAAGCAGTATACAACCGCCGAACGCGTTAATCTCTGCGCGCTGCGGTCAGCAGCCCAATATTTCCCATTAACTTGGCTACCGCATCTATCGTGTGTAACATCGAGTCTCGTCATCATGTAGTGGTCCGCATTGCAACCTGTGCCTGCTGCGCGTGCTCGCGAGCCTGCTTGCCCACCAGATCAGTACATCCGTTTTCAAATGAAACTCTGCCTATAGCCTGGGCTTGTGTGTCCGACGCATTCACAGCTTGCTCGGACCGAGCTGCTGCTCGAACCATTGCCTCCACTCCTTCTGACTGAACGAAGAGGAGATGGCGCCGTCGACGACGCCGTTCCAAAGCGCGGTTGGCGTGACGTGGATGCCGTTCTGGCGGCCAAGTTTGTTCTGGAATCAAAGGTGTTGTCATTGTCAATCGGATGCGGGATGAGCTATGAAAGGAGACTATGCGTCTTCGCTTATACTCACGCAGTACTTAACGTCGGCGCCGACTGAGTTGCCGGCATTGCCAACCTTTGCGACTCGTAGCAGGTCCTTGATGGCCTGCCCGAGGGGTACGCCACCCTGGGGACCACGGAGGATGTCCAGGTGCACCTGGCCGCTGGACGCCGAGCTGCCCTGTCCGCCGCCGCCAAAAAGTCCAACGGCAAGCGTGGTGAGCTCCTGCCGGATGCCGTCGCTGGACTTGGAGCGCGCGGCGGCTTCGAAGAACTGCTCCTGTTTCTCCATGAGCTCGACGGTGTACAGCCAGAAGGCGTTGCGTGACGGGTCTGCGAGCTGCTCGGGCGGGTTGTGTGAGGCTAGCTTGGCGATTGCGAGGGCACCCTCAGAGGTGAGCGTCTGGTCAGCCAAACGGCATCTATGCGTCAGTCTAATGGCACAAGCAAGTCACAGCGCGAGGCCGGGCTCGCACGGATGTACATAGCCAGCATAGGGCCCTATGCTACAACGCACACTCGTCCAATGCCACGGCTGTACATATGGCCGGATGATCAGCTTGAACTGGCCTGATGAGAGCAGCGGGATGACGTAGTCACGCAGGCCGAGGACCGCCTTGCGGGAAAAGGGGCAGACATAGTCGATGTAGAACTCGAGCGTGTTGGGTGCGTCGGTTGCGCCGAGCTGCAGCGCACGTAGCGATGGTTGCAGCGCCATGCCGTTGGTTTACCTTCTGGGGTTTGCTCTGCGAGACCGTGTCCTTTCAGCGTGAGATGATTGGTGGCAGAAACTTGGGAAGTGCTCCATGCTCTGCAACCAACGGATCAACGGGAGCGGTGATCAATATCAATCAAAGGTTCCATGTGATGGGAATCTATCGACTGGCGTCATCGTCATCTCACCATGACGTTCCGAGTTCCGCTCCATCGTGTAGTGGGTTGCTCTGGATCCGCATTGTGTGTCACGTGCTCGTCCGTCTGCCCGCCGTTCCCCACGATGATGAGGGGGAGATGCCTCGCCTCCCGCGCTGATGTAGGCCGGATGCTAGTAAGTAAAGACTGCCCTTGTGCCTCCAAACCCTTTCCCCCTCCCCCCCACGAGCTCCTGTTCTCTCCACACCGAGAGCGGACCGGTCACCACGTCCCCATGCTCATCGTGGACGATGGGCTGCGCTCTCGAAGACGACGTCGTCATCGTCGTCGTGACCATGATACACTTGCTGCTATGTTTCCATTCGGGTTGAGCTTGCCAGCTGCAGACGAAGACAACGTAGAGTGGCTCAAGCTTCACCTCAGTTGGTAAGGAGAGGTCACATGTTACCTTCGCGCAGAGAATAGCATCCTTCATTCTCTCAATTTACCCTTTGCGCTCTGCTCTTCACGTTCCGTTCTGTTCTGGCGGCAGTCCGTGATTAAAACACGGACGACACGACACAGAAAACGACGTTCCTCTGCTTCATCCCACATAACGCAACCATGCCCAACGCCCAAAGCCAGCCAAACGTGCTATGCTGCGGCATCGGCGAGTACACCACCGGCTTTGTCGGCACCGGCGCCTCCAAGTCAGACAAGAAGGTCGGTGTCGTCGGCTTGACCATGTTCGACCTCCGTCGGCGCGGCCTGCTCGGCAAGGACATCAGTATGGTCGGCACCAACGGCGATAAATTCGACGGCATTCGCAACCATCTCACGCAGAACATCGAGAACAAATACCGCGATATGGACACCACTTTCACTGCGTACCCAGAACCCGGGAAGAGGGATCCTGAGGCTTGTGAGTGGCATTCCGAGCTAATGCAGCATCTGCATCGCCCTGCTCTATCTGACGCTCTTTCATGCCCCCTTCCCTGCGCAGACAAGGCAGCTATCGACAAGCTCAAGCCAGGAGACGCCATCACCATCTTCACACCCGACACGACGCACTTCCCTATCGCCGTGTACGCGATGAAGCGCAAGATCCACGTGCTCGTCACCAAGCCGGCTGTCAAGACGCTCAAGGACCACCTGGAACTCGCGCGGATCGCAAAGGAGGAAGGCGTGCTCTGCTTTGTCGAACACCACAAGCGCTTCGACCCGGCGTATGCCGACGCGCGCGACAAGGCGCGAGAGGACCTGGGCGACCTGTCGTACTTTTACGCGTACATGTCGCAACCCAAAACGCAGCTTGAGACGTTCAAAGCATGGGCAGGCAGGGACAGCGACATCTCGTACTACCTCTCCAGCCACCACGTGGACATCCTCGACTGGTACATTCAGGAGCGCGCTGTGCCGACGCGCGTCATGGCCAACGGCGCCCTGGGCATCGCCAACGCTGAGCCGTTCAACTGCCCGCCAGAGACGGAGGACAACATCACGTTGCTTGTCGATTACGCCATCCTCGACGCCAAGACGCAACAGCCGCTCGCGCACCGCCGCGCCACGGGTGTCTTCACCGCGTCGTGGGCCGCACCGACGGGCGCTGGCGTGCACTCCGAGCAGCACTTCCACTACGTCGGCACTAAGGGCGAGCTCAAGCTCAACCAGTCGCGCCGCGGCTACAGCTGTGTGCGCGAGGAAGGCGCCGGCGCAGGAAACACCGACTTCAATCCATTCTACATGAAATACGCCCCAGACGCCGACGGCTACTTTGACGGCCAGACAGGCTACGGCTACCGCTCCCTCGAGCTCTTCATCCGGGCGTGCACAGAGATCAACAGCGGCCGCAGGGATGCACAAAGCTACACTGGTAAGCTACCCACTATCCACGACACCGTAGCTACCACCGCCATTCTCGAGGCAGGCCGCAGGAGCCTGGACGAGAAGCGGCCGATCAACATCAAGAAACAAGGCGACGCGTGGACCCTCGTCTAATATCAACCGACGCGGATCAACTTTTAGAGGCGTGCAGCATTGATGCACATGTGTAGTGTGCACTTATGAGGGGAGGGTGAAAAGTACATTGAGCTGGCCAGGTGCAAAATCAACAGGGAGCGTTGAAGAGATACTGTTCCTATGATATGGGGATGGCTAGGCGTGCGGTCTGAATATTGTTGCAAGTGTGGCCGTGAATGCGAATGCAAGTGCGACGATGCGATGTGAAGGTGGGGCTACGAACGCTAGCAACGCAAGAAAATCCGCAGGAGCGCAGGGGCAATTGATAATCGACCTGCAGTCAAGTGGCATTGGCACTATTTCGTTGTGGGATACGCACCTTGACTCCGCGGAGGACACTCCTCATGGCCTGCTTGAATTGTTTTATTCCGGGCTTTTTCTCGCCCTCCGCCGGATAGCCCGCAGCTTTCGGAGGATGCTTGAACTCCTGTTGCGGTTGTGGCTGCTGCTCCTGCTGCGGCGGCGCTTGTGTCTGCTTTCCAGGTACCGCTCTTTGCTGCAGTGTTTGCTGCTGCTGCGCATGGTAGGTGGCCGAAGGCGTCCGGACCATTGTCCCGCCAACCCATGTTGGGGCTTGCGTCGCGCTTGAGCGGTTTGCAGCAGGCCCGTCTGCCACAGTCTCATCATCACCGTCTGGAAATTCGCAGTGGACAGGGTCGTGCACAGGGTCAATCTGCTCGTCGTAGCGACGATCAAAGTGATCCATTGGCATCTGCTGAAGTTCAGCCTCTACTTCAGAGTCGGCAGGAGCAGCAGCGTCAGTCCCCGGAAACAATCGACTTTGCCTTCTGGGCGGCGTAGGTGAAGCTTGAGACCAGATGCCGAACAAGATGGGTGTCGGCAGTGACGATGGCGATGGCAATGGCGGGCGAATAGCTCTCTCGTACCTGTCGGCGGCACTCAAGTTGCGGAGAAGAGACGGAAAATGATCTTTCGGTTGCTCTCGGTCCGATTCCACAGCATGTGGGGCTGAACGAATGTGGAGATCGGTTTCGCTCGCGCCAGAGCCGCCTTGTACCTCCTTGGTTGACTTGTCAGCTGCCTGCATCTCTGGCTTCATGGACAGTGACAGCCAAGAGTTTCTGCCACTTTTCTCAGCACTGCCTGGAGTGGGCTCGCTCCGCTGTCTGGGAAGGTATGTGAAAGACTTGCGTCGCTGCCCGTTGATGCAAACCGGTCGAGATAGCTTAAAAGGCAATGTCAGGTTAGACCCTATGGGTGGCCCCAATGCGGCCGGTCTGCATGGGCTTGAAATCTGCTCGTCAGACAGAGTAGGCGCTGTGGTAGGTGAGCCTGCGTTGGAGCTCATTGCCGGTACCGACGCAGGCGAAGAGACACCTGGCAGCCAGAGCAACCGCGTTTCCGTTGCGGCTACGAGGGCTGGAGTGGTGAGTCCTGCACAGAAAGCGTCGCCGTCAGGCGCTTCGGCTACGCCTGCGTCTGTGTCGTCAGCCAGGACAGCTGAGATCTTTGGCAGCTGCTCGGGTGGTGATGCGCAGCACACGAGCAAGCCATGCTGCGCATCTCCTTCTGAGATACATGGACTTTTAGTGGCTTCGTTAGAATTGTCCCGGTTGCATGATTTTGCTTCAGTGAATGCTTGAAGGCTCAATCTGCTCGTGTTAAGATCAACATTAATCGATTTTGCGTCCTTCAGATCCAACCTGATGGCATCAAGGAAATAGGGCTTCGATTTATGACTGCTTTTGCTGCTGAAACCCGTGTCGGCTACGCCAGGCGCCTCCGCTTGAGCGGCCCGTGAAGGCGGGGCGTACATCCGCGGCAGGCTCTACACAGTTAATGCGGACAAAGCGTAAAGCTGAACATGGATCTTCCTTGCTTGGCGGTACGGCCTCGGAGCACTGCATGAAGTATGAGATGTCAGAGAAATGGGTGGTTAGCTTTATATGACGCTTCTGTTTGTTATATTATGACGCGACAGGCCAGTCTCCATTTTGTGTTTGCTGCTGTGCTTGAGAGTGCCAGGTGCTGGAACGCAAGCTTTGTCATTCTCGTATCTGTAAGAGCTGCTTGTTGCTATCTGGTCAGCTTGTTCATCAATCCGAAACCTAGTTCCATTTTTCCTCTTAGAACGCAGGAGATACCCCTCCAGGGATGACAGACGAGAGCAATTGATAAGCAGCTTGCCATAATTTCGGACGGCCCAACTCATGTCCCGCTAAGTGAAATCAAATATGAAAGAGATCCCTATGATGGTGCATGATTAAGCGCTTGTGCAGTCCGATCGAGACTTCGGTCAACACAGTCGAGGGTTTGACCCGCAAACCCGACCACGATTCCTTCGCGGCCATTTGAGGCTCCACCATGCGAGCATTCAATACGCGCGATTATATGCCGAGGCCTGAAGGAGGCTAATTGCTAGAGCTGAAGGTTTGGCGCCGCAAGCGAGGCTACATGGAGGCTCGCGAGAGACTAGAGCTGGTTAGTCGCTGGCGCGAAGTTACACGTATCGAGATTGCTTGATCCCTAGTGCACATGCATTGCTTCGGTAGTGTCGTACATTAAGAGCAATATACGACGGGAAGAGTGAGGTCGAATGCCACACTCTCGATAAGCACATCAGAGTGTGGCATACATTGGCGCTGGGTAGAGGCCCACCCAAGACAATAATGAGGCTTGCTGACGGAGGGCGAAGGAGGACCTGCAATGTGAAGATAGGGTGGTTCAAGTGCCACGCTGGCGCACCACGGTCACGAGACGATGCTCGAGAACACTATGGCATGCCGGGTATTTACTCGACCTGGAGACGTGCGACGCATGCGAAGTCTACCAGCTGACAACGTGGGTTGGACCAGAGGTACTGATCCAGCGGTGACGGACGTTCCAGTTTCACTGCACGTCAACAGGGGGGACGTCGTTATGGATTTGCAGCTTTGTGAGTCTACTATTCGCTCCTAAGAAGACGAATGCTTCGCACAACGATCCCCTCTTTCCCATGTGGTCATGTCAACCAATGTATGTCACGCATGTCCCATCAGCGGAAGTGTGGAAGAGGGACGATGATGATGCTACTTGAACACGAAATGCGAGATCGATCTCGCAGACGACCGGTACGGGGTCGCACGCAACCAACCCACTAACCCTTCCATCTCTTCGTGTCGCAAGCGATGAGAGGCTCGGCGTCTTGAAAGAAAAAGTACCCGAATTTGCCACGTGCTTTCGTAGGGATCGGCATCTTGAATAGGCGACTTTTTCATAGACACTACCACATAGCTCCATCCGAGGTTGACATGCAGCCGGGCACCTCGGTATCAAGACGACGCCTGTACATAAAGTAGAATTCTGCAGTCATGATACGAGGCCTTCGACTCTAATATGACATACATGCGCTCCTTCACCTCTGAGGGTTATTGACCATCTCTAAAACATGCTCGCGAGAAATTCCGACCGTGCTTCCGCCAGCTTTTCCCTGACCGGCAGGCGCGCCTTCTGACTTCGTGTCGACGCTTGTTCGCAAGCCAGAGCTTCCAATAATGTCAGCAGTCCGACAGATGCTCCCGCTGGCGCAGATATTCATTTCAAACCCCCAAGCAAGGTTACGCCCAATTCTGAAGGTTCAATCGCCGACGTCTTTAGTTCCTTTTCCGGGGACACTGCCACGCTACGCCGCACTCAAATAGTCTCCGGTCCGCGATGAGTAGCACTCCTTCCCATCGCAGCAGTCCTGGCGCAACATCATCTCTGTGATCAAAGAGAAAGCCGAGATGACGCAAGCTTTGGATGAGAATGTGTTCATATACGCCAAGCACCCGTAGCATACCATCGTAGGAAGTGGTGGGGGTACATCATCTCATATCGAAAGCTGGCTCACGCGACATCATGTCGCAGATATCAAGCAACGCGGCGGGGCTGTCGTCAAGAGCGGCATCAAGCCGAAGAAGGCGCTCAAATGGAAGCAACAGAACCCGCGAATACGCCGCTGCCAACCCGACGCAAGGATTTCCGGAGGACAATCCGCAAGTGTACGAGTTGTACTGGCCCAAGTCGCAGGTCGATGCACGCTGTGAGTGGTGCAAGGACGCTGCAGAACATGACATAAATGACCTCCGTGCTTACGCCGTTTTACATCTGGAACGAGGAGCAGCGTCTTACGTTGCAAACAAGCATGTATGGAGGTAGAAGTCAGTGCAGCGTATTCAGGACTTGGCAAGGCTGGCTGAGCCTGAGCGAAACCAACACGAAGGGGCATTAAAGGTGCTGCCATTCCTCAAGGAGAGCTCGGCTTGCATCATGCTTCGGCCATTCTTTCGCCTGAAACGCCACGGTGGCGTCGACTTTTGCAGGCGAGCAATTGGGTTGTGAGTCTGCGGAGATGTGCAGAATTGTGGGGCGCTGGCTGCTGGATTTGTTGCTGACTGGATGTTGTGCATCAAGTTCGACACGGAGAATTCCGACTTCATCGGGTGTTCGCTGGGCCATGATAGCAAGCTGCCGGACCCTACGCATCACCACCTACCGCTCTCGTCGACCATGACGTCCACCCCATCCGTTGAACTGGGCGGCATGGTGCTCTGGCGCTGCGACTTGGTGCACTCTGGGGAGTCGGTGCACACCGGCGCGTCCGACGCGTCCGTTATATACATCCCCGCGATCCCCCCTCTCACGTTGCCCAACATGTGCTACATCATCCAGGACCGGTGCGGGCACTTTACGCGCGACAAGACGTCGGCGAGATTGTTCCCGGTTTCTGCCGGCAAATGCGAGTTTGTCGGTCGCGGTACGCCGACGGACGTCAAGAAAGAGAAAGAAGCTTTTGAGAGCTTGCAACGATGTGGCGTCTGCGTAGTTCGAAGTTGCAGACCCCCTTACCCATTGTAGATCGGAAGTCAGCGACATCCAATGCACCTTTAGTCTTCACTGTAGCATGGCTCTGTAACGAGACCGCTCCTTGCGTCCGCGTCTACATGACGCTTGCTTCTTTGGCCGAGTGACATCCCCTGCTGGCATGCAACAGCCGTGATGTAATAGTGTCTAAAAGAAAGCTCGCACCAGAAGAACAACGTCTTTCACAACCGCATAGCACGCAGAGTCTTTGATTGGACGACATCGACGTCTATAGAACTGGAATAGTAGGTCAGTTATGAGAGCCTTGAGCTGATTTCCAACAGGTCTAAACGGCAAGCAAGGTGAGAAGTGTTAAATATATTGCCGAGATGGTTGCGATGCGCGTGAACGATAGCCGCTGTTATGCCGCCGTGGACGGTTCTCTTTCACGTTGAGAACATCAAAGGTAGCGAGGAGCTGAGGAATCGTCGGGGGCTCGTTCCGTGTCTGCACGTGCACACCATAGCACATTGCAATAACCATCGGACCTCTCCTGACACGTCCATGCGGTAGCAGGCTACGCAAGCTTTGCAACGAGACCAGACATGCTTAATGTGCGTGGGGGGATGTGCGTACTGTGTCACATCGAAGGTTGGAAGGAAGATGCGAGACGAGTATTAGCGATGCTGGACAGTCCACATTGTGATGACGAAGAGGAGAGAGAGGGAACGGCAGGGCGCGGATGGCGCATTGAACATATTATTGATTTTTTTCGCCTTTTGGCTGTACGTATAATCCAAAGCGTTGAACATCGCTCTGCTCTCTCTTGGCCCTTGGGGGAGGGGGCTGAGTTGGAAGCGGCATCTTCAGCGAACGACTGCGACTGTTCGGGTGCGCGCGCCACTTTGCAAACTTCCACTCAACCCAGCCAGGCACCAGGGCAGTGTGAACTGCTGCCTGTTGGCCGGGGTCTTTTTTCGGCGGAGATGTAGGTGGGCGACGCGGCAGTACGGCGCACGCTGTTCTGCTTTTGCTTGCAATTCGATCATCCCTCACATATGTCTTTCTCCCACATACATACGTCAAGCCAGGTTGGATAGGAGATTCTGGGCGGCAAGTCGAAGCTGTAAGCATCGCCGTCCAACACCACATCCATCGCGCTGTCAATGGGCAGTCGGCGGCGCGAGGGAACGTCCAGCTCGTCGTGTAGCATTGTGGTGTGCGAATCGGCGGCGGCTTGTTGGTGTTGCTTGCTGCTGTTGTGTCAAATTGTTGCGGACGTCATTGTGATTCGTGGTGCTGTGGTACTACACAGAGGCCGTTGTCGCGTTGGCTGGCGGCGGTCCCCCCCCCCAAGCAGGCGCTTCTCCGTCCCTCCCCTCCTCTTTCCTCCTCATCGTCCCTATCCTCTCTGCATCACTTTTCTTCCCTCCCCTCGGTCTGCCTCTTTCGCTTTCATGGGTTCTCCACGAATCCAGCTCGTTTCTCTTCCACGCACCGGCTCACGTCTTTGCGTGTGATCACCTCCATCGAATTCGCTCCAGCCACTGCTTCTGTCAGGGGGCTGAGGAAACGACCCTAGCACCGCTTCCTTCACCTGTTCTCCATATCTCCTCGCGCCTCATCCATCCAAAGACTCGTATCCTCTCATGCCGAACCGGCGTGCTGCATCTAGCATCGTTCACTCTGCAGGGCTCCTTCGAGGCGCAGGGCTCGTCGGCCTTGTCCATTAACTAGATGACCAGTCGAACATACTGATAGCTTCTCGCCTACCACGCACGACTCTCCCGTGAGGGCTCCGATACGTCCCCATTACAAACAAGGGCCCTTCGTTCGCGTTGCGAACATCATCCTGCCTTAAATCTCTGCCACGTTGCTACACCGCGCACGCAACTTTCTTCGGAAGGTAGCGCGTCTTTTAGTTGTCTTCGACTTGCAATGGGCGCGGACTGAAAGTCTCAAAGCAGCAACACGTGCAAACCATCCAGCAGCTTTACCAGGTTGCTCATACTTGCAACTGTTGCAGAGGGTTTACCACGTACCAGGGCCCCATCACGCGCAAACCAGAAGCTCAGTGGCGTCCACACGCGATCAGAAACTCATCATCACTGCCAAAGGCCTCCATACAGAAAACACTCCGGATCAGATCATCAAAGTGCAAAGCATTCTTCACAATGCCGCTCGTGAGACGCAAGCTCGTCGAGCACATCCCTCCGCCAGATCCACGTGCCCTCGCAGCCGTCATGGCATTAGAAGAAGCAGAACGCTCAGGCACGTTTGCAGAGAGCAACGAAAGCAGCCCTGCCGCTGGTTCGTCAGCACCAGCCTCTGCGGCAGCTGGCAAGGGCAGAGGGAAAGGAAAGGGGCATAGCAACACCTGCTCGCCTGCCACGGCCAGAGCCATGTCGCAGGAGGAAGAGCTACCTGACCCAGAGGTATTTTACCTTGCTAAGACGGGAGAAATATTTCTGGATTATGAGTGAGTCACCTCTCACATCGGTATTCGGTTGCAACGAAGCTATACTTACGTGACATGCTCTCCAACTTCGCTTCTTTTCCAGATCATATGCTGCACGGCTCGCCTTCTACAATCAAAAAATCTTCCAGTGCGAGCTCACCGGAAAGATAGGCCTTTCGTACTGGCAAGCTGTTGAATCAGAGCGACGCGAAGCGCAAGAGCTGCACCGCCGATTCCCCGAGGCGCTCAAAGGCCATGTGCTGCGCTCTATTCAATTCGTTGTGACGGGACGGCTAGACAACCTAGTCGATCTGCTGTTCGAGCGCTTCAAGGACCGCTTCTGGCCCGATGAGAGCGTGCTCGTGGAGGTGCAGGGCGATCGCTACCACGCGAGAATCAAGGACGCCTTCCCAAGTCGCTCCCTCATTAAGAAGCATCAGCAGCGCGTTGCGGACGGGCAGTCGACCCACGATCTCGTTGCGGGCTTTATGAAATTGCAGGCGTCAAGTGGCAAGAAGGGCAAAGTCAAAGTCGCAGCAAAACCTGAGGCAAGCGACAATACAAGCATGGCTAGCATTAACGACGGCTCGCCCAGTAAAAGCCAGCTTCCGCATGTGCACCCGGTCGAGATTCTGCACCGCATCGGCACAGATCTCAGCATCGACGCCAAGGCAGCAATCGCTGTGGACGACCCTGCGGAATACCTCTATGCCATTCAGCTTGTCGACAACGATGGCAAGTTCACCGGTAGTCTCATGGAAGTCCGCGCTAAAGTCCTTTCACGCGACCGTCTGGCCTTCAGCAAGACCATTCTGCGCAAGTACATTCGCACCTGCGTCGTCCGCGATGCGTCGATCGGCGCCCCTTGGATCGTGAGACACGTCATAGCGCATCGCTATGGCATCCCGATCAACCCGAGTGACGAGGTGCGCCGCAAGAACCTGCAAATGAAGGAGGAGAAGCTTCAGAAGCGTAAGAAAGTCGTCGAAGAGGAGCCTGGGGCGGACGACGCAGCAAGCGCGGAAGAAGAGGAGACCAAGCCGAAGAGGAAGAGGAGGAAGAAGGATGTCCCAACCAAAAGCGCGGAGGAAATTGCTGCTGAGGAGGAAAAGGTGTGGCAGGAAGAGGAAGAGAAGCGGCGCGCGGAGAAGCGCAAGACGGTCAAGTTTCCATGGGAGGATCTCGACCTTGGCGCGATCACCAACCGCGAGCTGGCATCGCGTATGCTCGAGGAGGAGGTCGCAAGACGACGCGATCGACCGAAGCCCAAGCGTGGGGCAGTCGACGATCCGTGCGGGCGCATGGCCGGCGAGTGGTTCGAGCGGTTCATCGGCGCGTACCACTTCCTAATCTCTTGCGGCAAAGCTCTGCGCCTGAGCAATTTCACCCTTGACGACTTTGAGGCGGCGCTACGGCACGATTCCCCAGACGCTTTTCCAACTCTGATCACTGAGGCGCATGCCACGCTGCTCAACGTCATTATCGGGGACAGCATGGCGCCAGCGACGACGACGTCGGCGACGGTAACGCGCTCGGTTTCTGGTAGCTCGGGATGTGGAGCGCCAAAAGAGCGGATTGTCTCAGCACGCGTGGCAGCGCGAAATGCAGCCAGCGCTATTGCCGAGAACGCCGCTGTCGTCGCTGCGAACGGGACGCCAGCAGGCAGCAGGGCCAACAGCGAGGAGGTGGACGAGCTCGCGTCTGACACAGATGACTGCGCGAGCGCTGGCGGCGCGCCGGCGAGTCAAGGTGCCGGCAACGGCTGTGTCGATGGCGAGGTGGATGAAGATGTCGAATTTGCGGCTGTACGTGATGCAGCACGGCAGATAGGCAAGAACTGGCGAGCTAGGCTGCTCGTGCAAGATCGCAGCCGGGCAGGATGGGATGCGGCTCTCGTAGGGTGCCTGGTTGACTGCGGAGACCGGGCGACTTTTCCTCGCTTGGCAGCCATCTTATCCCTGCTGACAGGAGTCCAGCATCCGGATGCGCTCGTGGATCCATGCTTCCCACGCACGGATGGAGAGGTGGCGGCGAAAGCGTTCACCGCAGACACATATGCTGCACCCTTGGAGCGGTACTTGCAGCTTGCGTTCGAGGACAGGCTCCGGATCTTTACGTTTCTGGCGGAGCAGGCGGCTATGACGAAAGCTGTGCGAGGGTTCTTTGACGAGTGCGACAATCAGCTCACGGAACTGCGCAAGGAGAGGATCGAAATGTCAAGAGTTCGGAAGAGGATGTGAGTGTTGCTCCTATGCTGTGCCAGCGAAGAACATCTGTCTCATGAATATATTTGCATCTGCAGCCTTGAAGAGCGCGCAGAACTTGAGGGTTGGAACAAAGAGAAGCAGGAAGATGACAAGGAAAGCAACGAAGGGGACGCCTCAAGAATAGCAGGTTCAGGGTCAGAGGATGATGAACTGCAATCGGAGGACGAGGCGGCAGCCGACGATGATGACGATGAAGACGGCACGCACCGGGCTGCTCGCCAGTCACGTCGCAAGAAGCTGGAAGATATTGCCAAGAGGAAAAAGGAAGCAGAAGCAGAGAAGCAGAAGCAGCAGGAGGCTGCGCGCGCTGCGCAGAAACTCAAGCTGGCCGAGTCGAAGCATCTCAACAACGAACGCAAGAGGCTCGACGAAGAACAGGCGAAGCTGGACAGTCGCGAGGAGGCGATCGAGCGCGAGTTCCGGCGGCTTTCGCTTGCACCGCGGCTCGTACCGCTCGGCCGGGACAGATTTTTTGAGAAGTACTGGTGGTTCGACGGCGTGGGAGAAAAGCCACTTCTCAACGCTCAAGGACAGGCGCAGTACCTTGTCGGCAGGTTGTATGTCCAAGGCTGCGGCGAGGAGGACATGCTAGAGATGGAAGAATTGTCCGAGGTGCCTCGGCGCTGGATGGAGGTGCAGGAACGCATGAAAGACGAGTACGGTGGAGAGGAAGGCATGCTGAGCCGTAATGAGTGGGCTGTCTATGACGATCCAGAGGAGGTGAGCTGACTGTGCACAAGCGCTGAGAAACTTTTATCACATGCTGACAGTCTTCACTTCCAATTGCAGCTGGACCAACTGATTGCTTGGCTAAGGGTGAAAGGCATTCGCGAGCAAGCGCTCAAAACACTTTTGCTGCGCTACCGTCCATACATCTCTGGTGGGATGGCAAAGCGTCAAGCCGTGAGTACCGCACGCAGACTTTGACCTTCCTTCATCAATGTGAACCTCACTGTGACCACGCGCACGTTGCCTGCTCCGTTTGCTTATTCAGGATCGGCAACGAGCTTCCGCCGACGTTGCAGCTGCCACCGCAGAATATCGGAGAGCCACGCGACCCAAAGCAGACGCCACTGCTGGTAAAGCTGGGTACATGCGCTACCATAACGTAGAGAAATAAACACGGTACGCTCTGGTGTTACTTGCGATTGATAACATGATGGTGCACAGCCGCGACGACGCGCATGGAATCTTTTCGCTTTGGTTCTTTGGAACATGGGCTTGCCATTAAATCAATCCATGCGCCTGCATGTGAGCGGCGATCTCGAGCTGAGTGGAATCAGCCGCCTGCAGCGTCCGGCCTGCCGAGGAAAAATCACTACCCTTGCGCGCGATGAGATTACGGTTGGCGCAGGGCTCTGAGCAATGGGCTGGCAGCAAAGGCGCGAGCTGACAGATTGCACAGCACACGACGCTGAGTGCTAGAGGCTGTGACATCTGACAGAGAGAAACCGAGCTCAACAAGGAGGCAACAATGTGAAGGTGGCTTCCACATACTTCTTTGGTGGCAATGGAATCAGAAATCAATGACATAATTGAGTCTGGCTCGGGTTGGCCCCCGGTGCGAGCTTCCCGAACTCCCAGGTAAATCCCCGGGGCAGCATGGCCAGGGCCAGTAGGCACTCTGCAGCACTTCAGCGTGCGCCTATCAGTACATGTACTTGGATTCTGGATCCCCCTCGACGCAGCTCGGTACTCTGATGTCATGACTGTGAGAGGTTCTCAGCCTGCAGTCTGACCACTGTCTGGCCTGCGTCCGTTTTGAAGAAGGGAGGAGGCTTGCTGGGTGAATGACTGCCTCTCGCTGCGCCCATCCCTGCTCACCTTGGTTCCACGGCCCTCACTGCCATTTCCGTGCCCAGCGCCCACTGGGGACTGGGCGTGCGCCCTACATTGTAAGAATCCGGGACAGCCCATGCCTTGGAGTCCCACCAGGACAGGTTGAAAAATGGAACAGGTCAGGACTGGGGACAGCGCGCCGGCGGCCGAAGTTTCGCCGAGTTGCGCGTTAAGTGCAGCATTTTTCGCTTGTCTTCTGGTATGTCTTTCGCGTTCTGTCCTGCCTTCCAGTCCAACCTGCGGACGTACAGCCTGCAGGTTCCATTTAACATATGTTTCCATCTTTGGGCTTCATTTTGAAGAGTGCCTTCACCATATCCATTGATGATGCGATCGGGACGCCGCAAGGCCTTCATTGAGCTTCGGGGCGTCGTTCAAGACGCGATTCGAAGCTGATGCGCTGACGCCTGACGCTGGACAAGTCCTGCTAACGTTCATCCGCATCAGCGCATGACCTCCCAAATCGCATGGCATGTGGATCTGTGGATGCAGCCGAACACGTCCGTCGTCCCGCGTCGCAATCTGGGGAAAGCTTATTGCAATCGGTCGAATTGAGCCAGAGTACAAAGAACTGTGTATGGGGGACAGGATTCTGGAAGCTGGGAAGGCGGAGGACGCAGGACAGTGCAGAGCGACTGTCGGTTTCTTCGCGTTGACAGCGCTCTAGCAGATTCCAGCGCGGAGTTTTTTTTGCCTTTCCAAGTCTTTTCATTGTGCCTTGGGACTCTGGTCGTTGAGAGAGGCCTGGTGTTACAGCGGCCAGTCGGCAGTCTATCGTCCATCCACTTGGATAGTGGACAACCTGACCAGTCCCTGCTGCATTTTGCCAATTTCAGCCTAAATGTCTCTGCACTGGCGAGGACTCTCCCTGGCCGCATCTTGACTGCATCTCAAATGCGAATTACAGCGGTCAGTATCATACAGTATCAAAGTCAACCTGGCTCGGTCGGCAGTGGAGGAGGACAGTGGCGCGGTCAAACAGGGAGGTAGTGGGAGATAGGTAGCGCGGATGAGAGAGTGTGTGTGCGTCGACCACGAGGCCCAGTGGCCGGAGAGACTCAGAAAAGCGATCTTCCAGAATTGAGACAAAAGTTATCTTCGGGAGTATCTGGCAGCTCTGGGACCTGATCAGCCCATCTACATTTAGGTAGTCGAGGCTGGACCCTGCCAGCGTACAGCAGCAAAAGTCAGCTGGTATCTCATAGCAGAGCAGGGCACAGCACTGGCATCGTCGCACGCAGCTCTGTGACCGGGCCTGGATGCTGCCAGATCTGGACGCAATGTACATACATATATTTGTGTCGCCCTGATGGAGCGCATTGTTACAATGCTCTGGTCACGCCTGCGTAAAAGTCGTGGATGGAGAATTAACGCGCCTTTGCACAGTGCCCCCTAGTGCCACGAGGGGTCTTGCTCCAGCCTGCAGGCTGTTTGTCCTACACAAGGCGCTGCTGCTGCTGCCCTTCGGGCCTACGGGGCTGCGCCACTGGTGGGATCCCCTTGCGTCGTTTTATTATTATCGCCTTTTGCTTTCTTTTTCTTTTTGGCAGGAGTCCTCTAATTCTGCATTCCATAGTTGGCCCTCCAGTCGCACAGCACTGCTGCACTGTCGGGTACACGAAAACTAACCTAATTCTGCTGCGCCTGTGAACTGGTGGTCGCGTATGAATAATGAAATCGAATGATCGTAATTCGCATTTTCACAGGGTTTGCCACGCCTGGGACGCGGACGACCACCACGACAAGACGGGATGGATACTTTGCTGTATAACCGTGTTCGCAAGCAAGAAAGAGCCTTCAAGAGGATACTGCTGTTTCCTGGCTTATAACACCGTTGCTACCGCGACGTTTCTTGTTTCGTCGCCCGCTTCCTTCCGACGAAAAAGGACATTGAGGGTTAATCTTTTGGGTTTATTAAGGCCAGTCAGCAGCGGCCCACCCTGGTGGATTGGGGGTTTTTTTTTTAGAGGAAATTGCAACTACATCCTCCTCTAGCTTGCTTTTAGCGCCGTTCACCCTAGTTGGCGCCGTGCTCGCTCATCGCTCCCATCCATACCCACTCGCCGCGACTATCCTCGACTTTCACTACACTACACACTCCGTCCACCCCATCTGCGGGGTCAGCGACGAGTCGAGAATTTGTTTTCCTGTGCGCTCTTTATCCGCGCTGCCGCGCTGCTTGCACGCCAATTAAGCAGCAACGTGCCCCCAGCCGCTTGCTGATAGTGATGGCAGTGTGAAAGGACGGTCTCTGCCCAGACGACCGGGCAATCCTATTCTATCCACTGATTCTATCCACTCGCATCATTACTCGCTCATGACCAGGTTAGATGAGCAGGAAAGCTGCTTCGTTGCAACACTACCTCGATCTTTACAATTCAGCGGGTGAACGGTGAATGATCTTCGCCCTCGGACTTGGTGGGGGTGCGAACCATGGTGCACAAGCCTCAAACGATACCAGCGCTTCGCATCAACCTCCTGGACAATGATTCACGAAGGATAGATATTCGCAACCATTTGCAGCTCTGCAAGGACGCAATTGCCATTCCCACACCATAGTTCCACCATCGACCAGGCGCTACTCTGACTGCGCCGGATCGACATCCATCCCCTCTGTCATCAGCTCCCTCCACAATCTCAAAAAGCAAGGAGTCAAGCGGGCCTGGGTTGCAGTCGCATGCTGTATACTTGAGCAACTTTAACAAACGAAGTGCCTGCTATTCGGCGTTCAGCGCGACGCACCTCCATCATCGCAGCACCACTCCCACATATACAGGCATCGCAGCTGCATCCAGCTGCGCCATGTCGTTTCCTATAGTGGACGAGGCGCCTACGGCCAGCGTTGGAAAATGTCCTTCCTCGGACGGCTACAACGCGAGCAACTCCATCCCCTTGGCGCTCGTTCAGCAAGGCGTGGCCCACATCATCCTCTACAGCACGCTTTCTACCCTACTTTTCGTTCTCCTTTGTGTCGTCCTCATGAAAGATGGTCTCTCACCTTCCAAGCGACGAACACCTGTTGTTTGGCTCCTTGGGTTAGCCATGCTGCTCGGCGTCATTGGCTCGGCGCTAGACACGGTGAGTGACATCGATCATCACTGCCCGTCGGTAGAGAAGCGCACACATTGAGCAAAAGGATCGTTACGAATCGCCCTCGGCAGGTCTTCTGGGCAACGCAGATGTTGTGGACCACGAGCAGCTCTGCGCAGACAGCATCATACTACGTTGCGTCCAACTCGATGTTGTTCATTGTCCCGTGGGTCGTGCGCTGGGCCATGTGTCTCCGCATCGCATCTTTCTACCCGGTCACGCTCGCCGGTCGACGAAAGCGATTGACGGTCATTGCCTTGCCGACGGCGATGCAAATCCTCGACTTGGTCGCATTTTGCATCGTTCTGCATGACGGCTTCGACGCCATTGAGACCGCCGGCCAGGATGACGGCAAGCTGACGCTCAGCCTCTCTGAGAAACCCCTCCCATACCGGCTGATGGTCAATCTGCTCGCCTACGGCGCCGCTCTTGTCAGCTCGATCTACATCAACATCTTCATGATCCGTAAGTTCACCACCCTCAGAGGGGGCGCCAGTCGCGGCAGCCCAACGCTCGCGACCCCACCGCGCAACCTGTCCTGGGCCAAACAGCAGCAGCTGCTTTTCGGCATCGCATTCAGCTACATCACACCAACGCTTTTTCTCGTGTCGCTCATCGTCATCTTCTGCACAGTACAAGGGCGCGCCCTCGGCTTTATGCTGGTGTGCAACGTGTACGTCCACGTCTTCTCGGGGACGCTCGCTTGCCTGTCAGCGTGGGCAAACATCGGAGGTAACCTCTCGGGAGGTAGCACTTACTATCCAAAGCACGCAGAAGGCGAGCGACAGGTCTCCATAGGGGATGTGTCGGCGCTTTCCGGGCGGTCAGGCAGCAGGAGCGCCAGCCTTGCGCAGACGGCAAGTGGCATCGGGCTTGGCAGCAACGGTGGCAACCTGGCCACTGTAGGCCAGTTACGAAGGCATTGCGACAACGGCAGCGGCCTTTCGCCACCCAAACAAGACGGCGTTGTGGTAGCCGGCGGCACCTCCGTCGCCCCTTTCCACAACGCCGCTCGGCTGAACGACTCGAATATGCTCCTTGCGGTTGAGCCTTCCAGTGGAGTCACCTTGCACAATAATGTCTTAAGCGTACCAAAGAGCTTGCCGGTGAGCGAGAGCAAACTTTTGCTCCATCAGCGCCGAAGGGTCAGTCTCGTGATATCAAATGTGCCTCGAGAGCTGGATTGGCCTGGCGGAAGCGACCTTGACAATCGATATCAACGGATAGTCCGCAGTGCTTCAGATCGGACAGACACTTGGTCTCACGGTGCCGGTGCCGATGGCAGCTGGGAATTCATACCCCATTCTCCAAGACATCCTGCTCACATCGAGCTGCCCCCGCCAGAGCCTTTGGTCCTGTCAACCAAATCATCAGGAGAAGTACCTGAAGCACTTTCCTCGGCACAGATTGAGATTTCACCATGTTCGCTGACCCCTGCTCAGCGATATGACGGGTTAGGGACAGCGGCGAACCGGGCACCTGTAGCAGCACGGGAAGCGGCGACGCAAGGAGAGCTGGACAAGCTCGACCTCGAAAAGGGGCAGAGTGATACTCGTGGCGACGCGATCAACGGACGGATGGCAGCAATAGAAGTCCTTGACGATGACAATGTGCACCGCCGCGGTTCTGCCATCTCAGCAGAACGGCGGAGCTCAACCCGACGCTTTTGAATCCCAGCTCAGTCGTCTCTACACCACCGTGATCGTGACGCTATCCGACAAAGCAAACCGTTCCCGGCGAAAATACCAGCTCACATTTGATACCCCGCCAACCCAAAACGCTGCCCTGTGAACACTTGACCATGCAAGAAAACGGCGGCAGACCGTTACTTTTGCATCCCTTGCCATCCTTTGCTAATTTTATCCACTGCTGTTTAACCCGAGTACATCCAGATTGCATGCATATTTGTATTACTACGCAATGTCTCTAGCAATGAAAGGTCTCTCGTCGGAAACCGCGCGTGATGAACGACTAGATGATCACTGCACCGGCGCAAGAGCGATGAGATTGAAGTTCAGCTCTTCTGGGTTCAAGCTCATGTAAGATTCCTGGATCCATTTGGCAGCTGCGCAGCAGAGCGATGAAATAGATATTAATGTCCGGTCTCACGTCGAAATGGAGAAAACGTACCAGTCTTGAGCAAGGCTTCCTGCGTAGGCACTTGCACTCCGCAATGCACGGGACCCTTCCGCCGTCCATCGAGCTCGATTAACTCGCCGGTCTTCTTGTCTCGAACAAAGCAATCGAAATGTAGATCCACATTTGCTTCAGCCGAAGGTGCCTCCGTCTGCCCCTGGGCTGAAATGTCGCTATGAACTTGATGAAGCTCCTGAGATTCAACAAGCAAGGCTGCACGGTCTCGGGGTGAAAGCGATGTAGCTTTCTCGAGCAGCTTGGCAAGCGGCGAGTCAGCCTTAATGCATTCCCGCGCAGAGCTGTTAGCGAGCGAGTGCAACAGGCCCATCGTGCCACAGGCATTGCCGATCTGCCAAGGAAGTGTGCTTGGGAAATCAGCACCAAACACCGTACAAGTGTGTCAGATTCGCCGGTTCGTGCTCACGGTCTGCTTGAACCACAGAGAATCACCTGTCGCTTCGGCGGTGGCTGCCTCATCTATGTCTTTGTCATCTTCCAACCTCTTTTCCTCGTACTCTTTAGATACCGGAAAGAGGAGCAACACCGCCTCAGCTGGGCTTGGAACCATGTCGAGTAAAGCATCGTCAAGACCAAACACATCGTAGTATTGAAAAGTGCCTTCCTGCAGGCCCATCTTGTGGGCCCACTGCAAGGCCCGGTGCACAAGTCATGTACGTCAGTCGGTCATAGCTGCGAATATCGCGAGCTTGAAGTCACGAACAGCCGTGAACAACTCAGGGTCGGACTCCAACGGGACCCATCGAACGGCTGAGGGCTCGTCAACTGTCGAGGGAGCAAGATGGTCAAAATGATGCATGCTCACCTTGCCGTCCCTGACTTACCACTCATGCTGGCCATGTGTCAGGGCTGATGCGCTAATGTTCCGAATCCGCCAGTGGGCGTCCGTTAGCGATGCTAGGCGTAGCTCAGAATCTGCTGGCACACGACGTGCGTGCATGTGTCTGTCTACCGAGGAAACACATCATTTGTATCATTGGACCTCGATCCGAATGCGCGCATAGGCAGTGGCGGCTGCAAATACCTCCTGCGTTCCGCTTGTGCTTCGACATCGTCCGTCACGGCTTTAATACATGACACTTCAAGCATTGGACACGTACACGGGGTCCGTAATTGATGATGTACAACGGAATGTCATATTGCTCATAGCACAACGTGACTCGTGGGTGCTCCGAAAAGCAATGCATACAAGGCTGGTGAGAGCATGGTCCCGCCCCTATTTTCATCTAAACCTCAGCCTGAACGATCGGGCCTTTCGCGCTGACGTAGAGACCATCCAAGCTAAACGTTGCAAGTGCGATAAAACGTAAGCTACCCAGTACGATTAAAAACTCCAGTTACTCATGAAGCGTGAACACTCACAACTTCCGGATATCCTTGTTCTTGACAAGGCATGCGCCGTGCATGTCTGCTGCCGATTGCGAAACCTCATCAATGTCGTTACCCTCCACGAGAACCTGGTCCTTCTGCGCCTTGTCCTCCTGAATGGTGACGCCCTTCCTCATGTCAACCTTGCGCACCCGCTTCTCTCCAAGGAAGTTCCTGATCTCCACGCTCTTGTGGTCGTCTGCAATGATCATGTTAACGGGGAAATGCGCGTAGACGGCGCGGACCTTGTACTGAAAGCCAACAGTGACACCCTTGATCATGTTCGCGACCGCAGCGGCAGCGGTACGGATGCAGGCAACGTGCTTGCGCCCACCGTGCCAGACAATGAACTTGATCTTGTTACCCTTAGGACTCTTCACTAGCCGCATGTCCATGTTCATGTGCTTGAGCGCCTGTGTTCACACAAATAATTCAGGGTCAGCCAAAAACACTCGACGTGAAGGCGTTGCGTTTGGCAGATGCAAGTCCAGCGCTCCCCAACCCCAGCGCGCCGCAGAAAGACGATTTGTCAATGCCCTTGCACCAAAGAGTACGTTGGTAGCAAGGCATCCTTCTCCCAGGGATCCTCACATCACCCAGACACTCCACCTGGGTTACATGCCCTTCCCCTTCCCATGGCCTTGCAAATGCGACTTGTTCGCCAACACACCTTGTGGAGCTCGCCCCGCGGGCCCTTGACATGGATAGTGCGGGCGTGAAGGTTAACTTCGACACCCTCCGGGATGGAGATGTCGAGGTCCTTGTAGACTTGCAGCATTTTGGCGACAGGCGAATGAGTGGTCGACTGGAGCAATGAAGCGAATCACAGTCAGTATGAAACATCTGGAGATGGAAGGCGAATATTTGTGAAAGCCCGGCAGCAAATGTGCATGCACCATGCAAAGGACCTGGGCTTTCCTTTGGAACCCCGAATGACAGTCACACCGGAGTATCGGCACAAACTTCCACATGACAATGCATGGGAGAGCACAGATTGTCTTGATTTCGGCAATGACCAAGCGCTAGAGGCCGTGAGCATGCCCTTCCAAGCCCCCATAATGTCGAAGTTGGCCGATAGCTCGTCCCGCCATGTAGCTACCCCGATTCGCACCCATCATGCCATAATTAGAGGGAGCCTCTACCTGCTCCATTGCATCACGATATCCACCGCTGCAAGTATGTGCCCGACGACTACTGTGATGCCAACTGTGCCGTAAAGCCTTTTGATATCAACTGATAGGATCGGGCCAAGCGCCCCCCCCCTTTCCATTCACCATCCTTCCGGACCAGCGGTTTTCGGACGTCCTTGCGTATTCACATTTGGCGATGCTGCTGCTGCCGCGGCTGCTCCCGATGTCTCCAAGGAGGACAGTGTAAACACTTACTTTGCTGATACCTTGACGCTTGCCCTCGCTCACCAGCGTCGAACTTGGAGATGAATGCTTCTAGAAATGCTGAAGGCGTTACGGGTGTGGGACGATGTGCGGCTCGGTGACTGTAGCGGGAGCGACTGCGGCTGCCGGAATGTGGGCTGAATAATTCGGTAAACCTTGGCCTCTCGGCTGTCTCATTCTTTTCGTGAGTACATCTGAAATCCGCCCTTTTCTTCTTGCACGTGACTGATGTCGATCTGCGGGTGTTTACGTGATGTCACCTTGCCCTATGCGTAATCCTCAGCAGAGAACGCGCGGCTGCCCGCTTCCCAGCCGTCCAAGCTGTCACTTGCTGGCACCCATCTTGCCTGGTCTTCACTAACCCACTTCCCTTTCATCCTGCATCTATCTTCAACTAAGGAGCGAACAGAGACTGCAAGCAGAGAGGAGAGAGGGAGGACCAGCTGGTTTGATTGTGCTGACCGCTAGTTCAGGAGCGGTCTTGAGAGAGAGAGCAAATCGATAGCAACGAGGAGTAGCACCGTATAACCCATCCTCAACAAATTGAGGATCGATCCAGGTGTCATAAGTCACGCTGCGAGACGTTCTGCTGCGCTTGGTCTACTGCTTCACTCGGCGCAGGAGCGACGATTAGTGATTGCGTGGAAGACCTTCCTTCTGGCCTGTAACTCTGTTCGAGAGGAATCTTGCCACGACACCAAGGTGGTCCACTAAGGGGCACCGGGCGTGCTTTCTTCCTTTGACCCCGACTCCTTACGCACCAAAAGGTCTACTCTTCCTGTGTGTATCGCTTTCGCATTACACTCTACCTCTGCTACCAGCATTCCCGACCCTTCATCCCTGCCCAGCAGCTTTGGTTGCAAACGCTACTGACTTTCGCGGTCTCGACGGTCGAACACCCAGCATCTCGTCAAGATCAGTGGCTTCGTCTTGGTGGCTGTGCCCTTCATATCACACCTTTGACCGGACCTTGCTTCAAGCAGGATGTACGGCCAGTTTCAGGCGCCTGGTGGTGCCTCTCCTCCGCTCTTTGGCGTTCCCGTCGCTCCGGTGCAAGTGCCGTACGGTCAAGCCTATCTAGGCCAGCAAGCTTTCTACGGTCCAGGAAACGCTGTGCCGGGGCCCTCAAATTATCCGCCGCATCAGCCGATTTTTGCCCAAATGCAGCCACCATACTCTGCACCTCAGCCTGCACTGATGATGGCTCCAGCGCCAGACATCGCGAATGATGCGTCGGCTTTCGAACGTGCGTTTCGTGACCACCTTACGACGTTGACTTTCAACAGTAAGCAGATTATCACGATGTTAACCATCATGGCTGACGACTACAAGGACCGCATGTCAACTGTTGTGGCTCGAGTGCTCGACACACACATCACATCCGTGAGTATGAAGCCCAGTGGAAACACACTGCACTTCAATTGACACATTGTCCATCGTGGTGTGCTACCCTATAAAGAGCCCGCCGCAATTCAGGCTGCCTTCGCTCTACCTACTAGACTCCATATGCAAGAATATCGGCTATCCGTACCACGTGCTTTGGGCGCCGCACATAGCCCGGATCTTCATGGATTCGTATCGTGTCGTTGACTTGCCGGTTAAAGCTAAGCTTGAAGACCTGCTTGCTACATGGCGCGATTCTGGAAGCGATGGTGGCCCTCTATTTGGCTTTGATGCCCAGAAACAACTCGAAAAAGCACTGTACTCGTCAGCAGAGGGTCACCGTTCTGATCCGCGCTTGCAGTCTGCACCCGGATCCGCGGGTCAGAGCATGCAGCAGCAGTCCAAAGTACATAGTTTGCTCAGGAGAATCAACTCACAACTCGAGCTCGGCTCACAAGAGCAGTATCGCCATCCTGACAACGTCGAGCTCGTCTCGCGGCTAGAAGCTCTACGAGGGCTGCGCCAAGTGGTCCAGACTGGCACGCTTCCTGAGGACGACTATAGCAGGATCGATGAACAGTTGTCAGCCATGGAGCACGCCCCCACTCCGCAGCCTCCTGGGCCCGCCCCAGGCCCACCGCCGGCGGGTGTGACCACTCCGGAGCGGATAGGCGGTCTACCAAGCAATCTCGCTGCCTCACTCAATGCACTTGGCAGTGGGGCCACCAGCGATGAAGCTGCTGCTTCGGGCAACGTAGCTAGCGATCTCTTCTCTAAGCTAATGGCATCCGGTCTCTTGGGCAATGTCGCGCAATCCCAGCCGCAAGAGCCAGAGCAAGACGATGAATACACCCGGATGATCATGACTTCCGATATCAAGCTGACTGTGCACGAGCTGCAGCGCGATCTCTCCTCGTCGTTGCTTGAGGATGCGCTGCTGTTGCGCGGATATCTGCCTGCGCAATGTCGCCAGTGTGCGCGGCGCTTTCCAACAGGTGACAAAGGCCAGCGAAGCAAAGATGAGCATCTCGATTGGCATTTCAAGCAGAACAAGCGCGTGAAGGATAGCTTGGCGCGTGGACAATCGCGTCAGTGGTTTCCGAAGCTGGAAGAATTTATTCGCGGCGGCTTCGACGACTCGCCCCCCACTGCGGGTGTTGAGTCGGGCGCGGAGAATGGGGGTGCCGGGGGATCAGTCATGACGGTGGAACAAGAGAAGGTACTGAAGGCCAAGTTTGCTTCGTTGTACGTGATTGCGCCAACAGACCCGACTGTAGCCGCTCAGCCATGCCCAATTTGCAAGGAAAGCTTCAAGAGCGTCTATAACGAAGAAGAGGAGGAGTGGGTATGGTACGACGCGATTGAGGTGAACAGCAGTGTGAGTTACACCTGCCCCCGAAATGAAATCATTTTCTGGCGCTGATTCCTGGTACCGATGCTTGCTCTTGGACAGTACTATCATGCCTCATGCTATCATTCTGCCGAAAGCCTGTCGGCCTCGGTGAAGCGCGACAGCACGCCGGCGGATTCAAGCGATACTACAGCGCATCCACGGTCACGAAGCACAACGCCTGCATTGGCCGGTACAGTCAAGGACGCAAAACACGGTGCAGCGGCTTTGGACCCAGTCTCGCGGCTTAAGGAAGAGGAAGGCATCTCATCACCAAAACGTAAGCGAGAAGAGATGGATGATCCGCAGGAAGGTGAACAGGAGGCGGTAGGAGAATCAGGGAGTCCGCCTGCGAAAAAGGTGGCAATCAATCGGGAGGGAGATGTGCAGGCATGAGCAGCTGTTGGCAGATAATATCAGTACATCCCACAACATCTTGTAATCATCATCCATTGGTTTTCTTCCATCAATATATTTCACTTGTTCGGTGACGTGAGCCGCCATCCGATTGCGTCAGAAACGTCAGGCTTGAGCCCAACGAGGGAGTACGCTTGTGAAACCAAACTACTGAATTGCTCGTAAACTTCCTGTAGTTCTTCCACAGTTCCCCGCAGAAGATTTTCGGTTGCCAAGTCATCGCCAAGGTACAAGCTGAAATCAGCTTCTGCATCGGTCAGCGCAGCCCTTGCAGTCGTCTGGAATGAGTCAAATGCGTTTGTTGCTTTTTCTGCAGATGTGTCCAGATTGCTCTGGAGTTCTCCCTGAATCGCCTTGGATGCGGTGTCCAGGAAAACTCGTAATGGGAAACTTGCAGAGCGAACGACATAGTCGCGTACAGCGGCAGAAGTGCTCTGCAACGTGGCTTTGAGCTCCTTCGAGATCGCCGAGTTACTCAAACGTAGTGCAGAGATGCCGTTTTGCACCTGATCGGACTCTGTCTCTGCTTCTCGCTGATTCGAAGCTTGGACCAGTCTTCTTGGATCAAGCAGAGCGCCGGTACTGGCCCAGAGCGTGCTCAGAGCAGAGACGAGCACGGAAAGATCGATGCCTGGGGCACTATCATTGATCTGCGCCGAGTTGAACGCGCCACCCTCGGCCTCACGCTCCTGCAGATGCTGAACAGCAACGTCAAGTGAGACGAGTGCCTCGCGCAGCAAGAGGACGTGCCGTAAAAGGAACAAGTCGGAGTAGAAAGCGGCAGTGCTTTGCGTTGATGCAGCTGGGCACTGTTGCATGATGCGAGCAGCATTCCTCAAAGCCGAAAGACAACTCCGAAGCGCTTGAGAGCCGGCGTCTCTCAGTTGCTCCGACGAGAGAGCTTTGTGTAGCACGGCGAGGATCTCAAATGTGCGAAAGAAAGCGGGATACCAGGTGCGTGTAGCTTCATTGGAAGGCTTGGTGAACAGATGTGATGGGCTGCCTGACGTCGGACTTGATGTTGACTCTTCCTCCGCGTCGATTGCAGCTCCTAAGAGACCAGCACCGCCTATGCTGCTTATGCGTCGTCGATGACCTGCGGCTGCGGTGGGTTTGAGACCGCCATTGCTTTGCAGCTTAAGGTTGTCAAAGTAATCGAGATCTGCAGGACTTGGCATGTAGGCTGCGACGTGCGATGCGATTACAGCTTGCGCGCGGCTGAGCAACCTTGCACGCACTTCCTTCAGAACAGGGGCCAAGGTACGTCGGAGCGAAACAGAGTCAACAGGCCGGGTGTCTGCGGGGGGGTCAAGCTGGCAAGTCCAGAGAAAATGGCATGCTCTAGCAAGAGTGGCCAACTCGGTCTCCTTGGCGAGTCTAATCTTGAGCTTGTCCAGCAATGGCGTCGCGACGAGTGCTTCCATGTGTGTAACGAATTCGCATTGTCCGCTTGAAAGGCCTTCAGGCGGCGGCCTGATGTCCATCATCTGCGAGCACAACTCCTCTTCGTCTGCACAAAGAGGTATAGCAAAGCGTAGAGCGAAATCTAGGAATTTGAGGAGAGAGTTGGTGGGAGTGGAGGATGAGGGTGCAGATCCCACTGCCCCTTCGGAGGCAACGAATGCATCTATGCGGATGAAACTGGCATTGACAAAGTTGGCAAGTAGTGATTGGCGTGACGTGAAAAGGGAGGTGCGACAATCTGTGAGGATGGGCCCAACCTCTGGCAGGAAGACGGTCTCATAGCCCTGCTCCCGACGATTGATAACTTGTTGCTCTCTTGAGGGCTGTGAGTCGATCTGTTCGTCGGCGCCTAGCTTTCGTGACCGTTTCTCAAGCTCCACCAACAATGTGCGAATTTGCGCCGTCTCGTTGATTTGTGGATCAAAGAAAAGCGATTGGATGGCGAGTTCTGCCAGCTCCTGTTGAAGGCAGACAATCAGCACACGGCAAGCTCCCACAAGGTTCAACTGAGGGAAGCGCACCATTCGGGGATCCCCAAGCTCTAGCGAGTCGGGTCGCTCCTTCTCTTTACCCTTTCTGATCTTGTTCGTCTGCCAAATTTTCAATCCTTCCTGCGTCTTCGTCGTCCAGTCTGCCGTCCATCTAAAGAGCCACATGCGTATCAAGCTGGCGGCTCTGACGATGCACTGCTCGAAACGCATCCGATACAAGTTCGCGTCCTTGTAGTGTTCGTGTGCTGCTACGAAGGACAGCGCAACGTCTAGCTTGTCGAGGTTGTGTAGAAAGTCTGGGGCGAGGACAAGGGAAAGGTCGGGTGAAGGACTGGACAGGAAGCGCGTGATACCCGGCAGCAGCGCAAAGTAGCTCCTGCGTAGGGATAATCCCTCAGCTAGCTCGTGCAGCCGGTCCATCTTCTCTAACTGGGTTTCTGCATCTTCGCGCAGACCCATTGTTCCTTCTTCGACGTATTGGCACCCAGCTCGAAGCTCAGAGACGTGTACAGCGGCGCGTTCAATATCCTCGAGAATTGCATCGACTGCCTTCCTTGCACGCGTCACTTGTTCGACTGAGGCGACGTATGATGATTCATTTGTGGAGAAGATATGGTCTTCTAGCGAAGCGATCCATGCTTGATATGCTGCTGTGTCAGAGAGCGGCTTCGAAGGCAGGGCTGCTTGCATTTTGCGATCCAACGACCCAGCTTCTAGGGAGTCGTCCAATTTGCCTGACCGCCCCGCTTCACTGCGTGTTGCGGGAGATTGTGCATGACCATTGAGGCCCATGCTCCCTCCGGTTGCAGCAACGTCATCGCTCTGCGAGGTTCGCCGCCGTTGCCCTAACGCATGGGCTTTCTTTTGTCCGTCGATCCATTCTCCGAGCGTAGTTACGGATGCCTTGTCGACATCGGACAGTGGTGCCAATTGCGTCGACCATTGCTCGAGCGTCAGCTTGACCTTCTCTGTCCGGTTCTGAGTCGAGGACGCAGCGAGCTGCTGCCCTTGTGGCGCTTGAGCGTGACCACCTTGATTGCCCTTGCTCCTGTGCATGGCGTACAAGCTGGGCACTTCACACCCAACCTCCGAGCCAGAGGACGAGCGACGGCTGGACTCTCAGGTTTTGCCGTCCTCTTTGCCAAACACCTACTCCATATGCAGGTCACAAGAAAAGATGATGTAAGACCACTCTGACACAGCTGATCGCTCTCCTACGGGCTGCTTGATCTTGATCCTGACGAGAGATGCTCCACGGACTCCTCGCAACCTCCATCGGTTGTTAATTGTCGCACCATTGGAAGTTGTTGCTTCGTACCTAGACAAGGGCGTCGGGCGCGTTCCGCTCCCACTTCCTAATGCACGAAGCATCAACTGTCGCACAAGGTGCTCCACTTTGCCTTCGTCATTATCTATCCAATTTTATGCTCCTTGTGTGCATTGGATCTATCACCTACAGCATGTGATAATGCGATCATGACTCCTAGGCCTTGCTGTGCAGGCTATCTTCACAATCTAGCAATGCGGCCGGCAATTCATGTCCACCTGGCACTCCCAAACTGGCCAGAGATGCCAACTTGCTGCATTCAAGCGGCGAAAGCTTAGCAATTCTCTGCTTTCTTCAAGTCTTCAGACTTGCAAGGCTAGTAAATGATTCGCATTGCTAAGTACATTGACTGTTTATCCAGGCAAGTCTTTAATCCGCAGCAGGCGTTTGAGCCTCATCTAATTTATATCCTCCGCCTTGAAGGACCATATGAGCTGACTCTTTTCGTCACCATATGCATTCCTATAACACAAATATTTCTTCATGGCCATGACGAATACCCCCATTCCATGTGTCAAGTCGGCTTGGACAATCATGTGCAATGCTCAACATCCATTTTGACGAATAGATCAATGATACTTTCTCGCTTTGCGCCCAATGCCCCCTCCCCCCAATCTAACACCGTCGCCAGCTTCATGGCAGAGGGAGAACCGCGCATCGGATCACAGTAGAGACACGTTTGGCTAACGAGGTTTATGACCAAGACTGACCAGTGAGTCCCTTCATTCACCTTTATGGGCATTAGCACCGCTTCCGCGCCTGGCATGTCAATTGTTTCTAACCGTGCGGCGAAACAAATGATCGACGTTGTCGTCAGTTATAACCTGAAACCTTTCACACGTATCTGAGCGTCACTCACACCATCGCCTTTGAAGGCTCTGAACCTGTGTTCAGCTGTAGAGAATATACTTGTCTACAGATACGTCGTGAGTATCAGTATCTCCCGTCTCTCTGACATAAGTGCTGTGTACTAAAGTAGTTGTTCCTAGAAGTTATGACATCACCCCCAAGCTATGCTCTGCGACTGCACTCTGTGCAGAGCTCTGCGACCGTAAGAAGATTTTTCGTCAAAGGTTCGACAAACTATGGCAAAGCTGTTCGACTTTAATGCATTTAGCTCTTGCGCCAACAGACGCAAGTCATCCGTCCAACTAATTGCATCAAGCCATCTCGTATGGACCTGCTCAGGCGCGCCAGCAAGTGCGATGATAGACCATTCACTGATGACGCTACTTTCAGTTCGTGTTATTACACACTTGCTTTCTTTAAATTATCTACCACCCTTGGCTTCTATCTACCTGCTTTGGCCCCGGGGGAGGCAGCTGAAGGATCACCTTTGATTTTCGAGCTTGCGTAAATCTACCAAAATGATGAGATGTGTCTTCTAGGCGACTGAGCCTCTTGCGCTGCGCAACCACTTCTCTTGACGCACTGACGACAAGCTGAAAAATCAGAACGTTCAATGAGCGAGCACACACTTGGAATGCGAAAGGAATAGCGTGTCTGACCAACCAAGCTTCTACCTTGACTTTATTCGCCTTTTCGTCATCGTCATCGGCATCGTCCTCGCCGTTTTCGTCTGAAAGGAAGCCAGCTCGCACTACTCTGCGAGAGCGTGGTGCTTCCTGCTCAGCCGTGCACTCTCTGCGCGTCTCACGTGTTGAGGTCCGACTCGGGCTTTCTGAACTGGGGCGTAATGCTCAGCCTATTCATCCTCAGATGCTGCGCAGACGGGAGCGAGATGTTCTTTCGAGCTGTAAAACCTGCACCCCTTTCGACTGTTTTCTCATCCTTTCTCATCTTTCACAATGTAACCTGACCGGCTCACCTTCCATTCATCGCTGTTTCCAAATCAAGAAATGCATTCCGACGCAATGGTTTGCGGATTAAATGAAAGTAAACGATAGCTATGTAACAACGATATGTTCAAGCAAAATGAGCAAGCTTATATGTGCCATGAACTCGTTCACTCATATCACGCCCGGACGACTTGATCAAGAGGTTGAACAAGTGGTAGCCAGGCGCAGCACGATAGAGCGCCCTAGAGCATCCTGTGGATCTCGTCGTCCTTGAGCCTGTTGAGACTGAGAGCGTTGAACTCTTTCCCTGAGGAAGCCTTCTCGGACGCGAGCTCGGTCCACCAGGGGATCAAGAACTTTGCGGCAATCAGCTTGAACCAAGGCGTGAACGATGAGGCTGAGGAGACAAAGCGGTGGAATGTATTAGCGGTGAAGCGGGAGCTGTGGAGCAAGCGTTCAGCAGCGTACACTCACGGTCAAGCTCGTCCATAAGCGCTTTGAGCTCTGATTGATCCACCCATTTCACTTCCGAAACTTCGTTCAGATTCGGATTCAGAGTGACGGGGGCAGTGATGAATAGAATGTAGTCGACTATGTGTCAAGAATATCAGAAAGCGGCCCGCCTTGACGAACGACATCCGTTTCAACTTACTCTCATGCTCGCCCCACAAGCCATCGCTAGGTGCTAGGTAGTGAATCCGGGTCAGAAATTGAAACTTGTCAAGCGGGACTTGCTCCGGCAGTATCCCAAGCTCGTGTTCCAACTTCCGTTGCGCTGCTCTTCGGACGCCGATCTGATCCTTCTCTTCCAGCTCTCCTTTGATCGCCAGCGGATGGGAGCAGCACGTGTTTGTCCACATGCTTGGGAATGTGATCTTCTCCTCCGCGCGCTTCTGCAAGAGCAGCTTGCCGCTGGTTGGATCGAAGAGGAAGCACGAAAATGCGCGGTGAAGCAGACCGGCGTTGATGTTGGTCATGAGGTGACATTCCTTCTTGGAACCATCCCGGAGGTACATATCATTCTCGTCTAGTACGATGCAGCGCTCCTCCATCAGCCGAATCTGCTCCTCATCGTGTCCAGCGAGTTGCTCGTCGACGGCGGCGGCCTGCGCAGGAAGACGAATAGTCTCTGTGACGCCGCCGGCATCAGCGCCGGGGCCTGCAGTGGCCGTTGTAGTGGTCGAGGTGGACATCTTTGCCGGTCGCGAGCAGGCAGCTCCACATACACACCGGGCAGAGTGCGATGAGAAGTCAGCTCGTCCAGCAAAAGATTATGCAGTTCGATTGCCTTCACGTTTCTCCATTGGAAGTCATTGACCCTGAGAGGACCCCAACTTGCGTTGCCTGTGAAGTGGAGTGCTGAAACCGACACCGTTCCAGTGCCCGCTTTCCCATTTGTCGTTCTGTCGCGAGAGGTGCGGAAGTGCGGAACTGTGACCGGATCCTCTCGTTCACTTTCTTTTACTCTTGGAAGGAGATGATCTTCTTTCTTCTGGCCCATCTTTTTTGAGGCACTGCCAACTGTTGTGACGCACGTCGTGGAAGTACACACCACATTCAACTGGGAAGGAGAAGAGAATCGTAGACAGCGCCTCGCATTTCCTTTCAGCATCTGAAACCGCTCAGAAGACACAGCGGCCATGGCGATTGGATCAACAGCACGAGAGTGGGTCACCCCATCGACCCGTCCACAGCATATCGATCAATTGATCAATGGAGTTGGTCAGTGCGCGATCGCCCAGGCCGAGCCAGCATCTTCCCAGAGATCCGCCGCCTGTTGAAGCTCATTGAAACTGATTCTGGGCTGACTTTCCATGTGTATCGCCTTCCCAGACCGATACAACCCGCAAAATCTCGAGGTTCTTCACCAGTACATTGGGCAACAGCTCGATCATGGAGGATACGACTGCCTCGCAAACCTGGCAATCCTCAAGCTGTAAGTGTCGAAGAGCCTTTATGCAGGCCAACGGGAAGTGCCTGCATGCGATGGCCACAAGGGCTGGGAAGCATGGCGCAAGAAAGCAGCGGCTTGAAAGGTGGCCTTGGCCACAGTCAGAGGAATCGTTGCGAGCCTTTCGAGCCGCTTTGGGATGAAAAACTTCTACAAAACACATTCTCGTGTCTCCTATGGTACATTGGGAAGTGAAGCGCCCAGCTACCGATGAGGTTTCAAGAATTAGCTCTATCTGATTATTACATACTTTGCATGGAAGAGGACGGGATTGCGGCTGGATCTCAACACTCTGCGCTTGGCTCCTTCTGGCTACTCAAGAGATGATGCGATGCTCACACATGCTCCCTTTTGCAATCACATACAGATACCAGTTCAACCCTGATCAATTCAACTACGAGGTAGTGGTGAACATTTTGATCAAGGCCATGCTCTCTGTCCCGTACCCCGATTTCAAGCTCTGCCTTTCGCTCCTCGGAGAGGCACCGTTGGAGATGGATGCAACGCCGCTATCACATAAAGGGGGAAAAGGAGGCAATGCTAACCAAGCAGAGCAGAGCGAAGCAGACGGTGAGAAGGGAGCAGCAGCAGCAACAACAACAAAGGAAGCATCAGCAGCGGATGAGAACAAGAGCTACCTGGCGGGAAACCTGAACGACGCCCTAATTCTGCGCCTGGCCAAGCTGTCCTCTCTCTTGCAGAGCTCGCGCTTCCGCCAGTTCTGGAGCACACTGTACGACGACGAGGACTTTGACGATGCGCGTCAGTACACGTCAAACGTCGCGCGCTTCGAGGAGGACGTGCGGAAGATCGTGATGGACACGGTGGCGTCGACGTTCCGGCGGATCAGCGAACAGAGGCTGGCGAGCTACCTGAACCTCAAGGTCGGCGAGGAGTTGCGCGACTTTGTCGCAAGCCTGGAGCAGGATGGCTGGACTTTTGAGGATGGCAAGGACAAGGACGGCAAGACGCAGAGCTACGTTGTTGCGCCTGCCACGGCGGACAATGAGATCAAGGCGGTCGTGATCAACGAGGAGATTCCCTTTGAGCGTGAGTGATTGATTGCATCGAGTCTAGTCAATGGCCTGCTGTGGTTCCTTCTCTGACATTCTCTTGATTGGCCCTCCACTTAATGTCTTGTCGACACTGGCAGAACTGTCCAAGCTGCTCTCGCAGGCGCAGCCGCCAGCGCTGAAGAGTAGCAACGTCACCGGTCCTGCAGGGACCACGCCTTCTGCAGCTTCCGTTGCTACTGCTGCTCCTGCCGCATCCGACTGATTGGACGAGAGACAGGAACACATTCGCAGCAGGCCAGCAGCAGCAGCACCTTGCTTGCGGCGCCGCGGAATGGGAGAAGGAAGGTGAAGCAGGTCGACTGGTCTGCCACAGAGCGAGGCTGGCTCGCGCCTAAGGGTTCCGTTCGATGAATGGATGCTGCGCCCGCGTGTGCATATTAGCCGCTGCTCTCTCCCTGCCGAATTGTCCATACCGTGCAGCTGCGTCGCATGCATGTACTTGTACGCCCTCTTATCACCGCATCAGCAGCCATTTGTCCCGATCAACGCGAGCTCGTGGGCTGTGCAGACCAGGATGGGTATCCTCGGATCTGCGTGAGCGTGTATGCCGCCCTCGTCATCTCCCTTTATGGCGTTTTCGCCTCCGCCGACAGCATTCTCGGTCGCCCGTCTGCACCGCGCTCACAATGAATGTACATGTGCACGTAATTTGGTTGGATGGGGTGTGTTCAACACTGTTCCTTCGATTCATGATGGCGGCTGTTTCATGAGTCGAACTCATGCGGAGATTTTTCCTCCTCTCCTCACCCCTCGAACTTTGTTGGGCGGTGTGCCCGATGTGCCTGCCGAGGACAAGAGCGAAGTGGATGCAGTCTTCTGTGAGTAAGGCACTGGGCGACTGTCTGCAGCGCCCGGCATGGGCCTTGGCCGATGCCCGCTTCGCGTCAGACCACACCGGGACGCCCGTGCCAGCGTCGGCGCATTCAACCGCAGAATGCGTGAGCAAGCCACAGCAGAGGAACCAGTGTGGGTGGCCAAGGGCGATCGGAGCATGGAGGGTTGCATTCATATTCTTGTTATAGCTGATGGCTGATGGCATGACATGGACAAAGGAGTAGTATGTATGGAGGCCTGGCCTGGACTGGGCTTGGAACTGCAGGCAGAGCGAACGGAAAAGAGAGAGACGCGCGAAACCGAGAACACTTAACAACGCAAGGAAAGAAAGCACTCCTCGCCAATCATCGTGCACACCCCGGCAAAGAGAGTCAGTTAATCGGCTGTTGGGCTGCGTGATCTGTAGGTTTCGCGCGCGCTCGCTTCCTTCTTCTCTCCCCTTCTCCGTTGCGCCTGCAACTGTCTGTCACTTATCGGCCGACAACTCTTCAGCCCATGGCCAGCCTGGGCGAGATGTACTCGAGCGGCACCGGCTTGCCTGCGTCCGCTTCGCACGCCACGCCGCCCATCGACCCAGTCATCGCAGGCTCATCATCGTCCTCTACCTTGTCGGGTGCAGCCACTGCTGCTGCCCTCGTCCGCGCCGGGACAACGAATCCGAATACGAACAGCGGCAGCCACCACCCTCCTTTTGGCCACCATCTGCTTTCGAGGGACGCGGCCATGAACGCGGGGGGATCCAATTACTCGAGCTCCAACACGCTTCCGCCGCTGTCAGCCAGTCTCGCATCCCACTGGCCCGCTGCAGGAGGCCTGTACAGGAGCAGCGGCCCCTTCTCCGGCCCTCCCACGCCGCCCTTCTACAGCTCACCTTCCGCATCTGCACCCGGGTCAGGAGCAGGGCCAGGTGCCGCGGCAGCGGCAGGCAGCAGACGTGACATCTTTCCCTTGTCGCCCGGCGCAGCGGCATCAAATTTCTCTAACCCGCCCACACCTCCGCCTCCTCTTCCCGGCTCCTCTTTGAGCAACATGAAGAAAATGTTTAATCATCCCTATGCCTTGCATATGCATCCCCTACCCCCACCCTCACCTTCTCATCACCACGGCAACGCCGCGCTGTCCACCCATCCAAGAGGTCCGTCGGCGCTTCCCCCGTCTTTCGGGGCGCTCGGCCACTACAATGGGGAGGCACAGCGCGAACACCATGTTCACGCCACCAACAAGAGCTACGCGTACAATGCCATGCACGAACCGACGACAAAACATGCTCAACCTTCTGCAACCAACGGCAGTGGCAACAGCAACCGTAGCACAGGCGACGCCTCCATGATGCAAGACGATGCCGACGACGACGCATTGAACCCGCCCCCGCTCCGCCGGAACCAGGCGTGCCTGTCCTGCCGCAAGCGCAAGCTCAAGTGCGACGCCGCGCGTCCCGTGTGCAGCACATGCAAAAAGTCGCGCGAGGCAGCAGCCGCTGCGCGCCACCCCCCGCCCGTACCGGACGGGGACTGCGTGTACAAGGAACGGTCGAAGCGCAAGACGAAACGCGCGGCGCCTGGCGAGGAGGATACGCTCGATGGCGAGGAGGACGCGGGCGCGATGGCGACGACAATCAAGAAGGCGCGAAAGGCAGATTCATTCCAGAAGGACAGTGCGCCCGACTGCAAGGTCGGCCAGCTGGAAGACCGGATCCGGCACCTCGAAAGGCTGCTGATGGAGAGTTTCAAACAGAAAGCTGGCTCTGCAGGATCAGGAGGGGCCGGTCAAGGGGGCGACGGAGGAGGTGGCGCCGTGCAAAGCTGGATCCCCACGATGCACACATCACGCTCCCCGGATGGCCAAGCGGCTAAAACCACGGGGACGGCGACGTCGCCGATGTCCGCGAGTCCCTCTACGGCGTGCTCGGTGACGGACGAGCGTAAGGGGTTCCATTACCGCGCGCGGCTCAAGCTCGGCATCCCGTCCTCCTCCTCGTCGTCCATCAGCAGCGCTGCGCAGCAGCGGTCCGACAGCATCACGCCGCATGAGTCGAAACAGCTGTTCGAGCTGGACGGCGTGCAGCCGCTGCCGCAGGAGAAGCGATGGGCTGCGACTATCATGGAGCCGGACCCGCTACTGAATTTACTGTGGCCCGACTGGCCGCCAGACCTGCCGTCGCCGGACACAGTCCTGCACCTGTCAGAGATCTTCTTTGCGCGCCATCCGCTGCGCGTGATGATCTACAAGCCCAGCTTCATGACCAGCTTATCGCTCCCGCCGCGCCACCCGGACCGCCCGGCCATCGGGCTGATCCACGCCATCCTCGCCGCCGCCGCACCGCTCTCGCCCTTCTTTGAGGAGACGAGCAAGCCGCCAACGCGTGCCGCGACACCGTCCCGGGGCATGCCTGACGGACTCTTTGGCGCGGCCAGTGGCGCAATGGGCATTGGCGCTAACCTCGGCAGTGGTGCTGACGGGCTCGGCAGCTTCGGCGAATTTGGCGACTTTCCCTTGCTCAGCGAGATGCTCGACGGTACGCAGTACGCGGCGCCGGACATCGGGCAGGGAATCAACCTGATGGATGGCGCACTGCCTCAGGCAGCGGACACTAAAATGAGCTTTGCCAATTTCCACCTCAGCCGCGCGCGCGCCAAGGTCTCCCGCGCGCTCGTGACGAGCAATAGCAACCCGCTCGACTGGGTGCAGGCCATGATCATCATCGCCGATGCACTCTTTACCGAGGGCAGGCTCCTCGAATGCTTCTTGGTCACCGGCGTCATCGCCAAGATTTTGCCACCGTGAGTGGTGCAGTGCGGTAGCATGTCCGTTCTTTATGAACCCTAGTATCGGCTGACCCCGGCCTTCTCATCTCTCTCTCTTTCTTCTCCCGGCAGGTGCGGCCTTTTCAAACTGCATCCCTACCAGGAGGCCGCACCCAGCTTTGGCTGCTACCTCCCGCCCTCCAAGACGGCGCCCGAGGAGCACGAGCGCAGGATCACGTTCTGGTGCGCGTATTTGGTCGAGGCTTCCTACTCGCATCACGGCCTTCACTTTGAGTCGTCCATCAACGACTCGGCGGTGTATACGACGCTGACGAGCAGCATCGCCGATTTCCAAGCGGGCAGAGACTCGGAGCCGAACCTGCAGACGCTGGCCTCAGAGGATCTGTTCCAGAATGGTCACGTGGATGAGTTCAACGTGCTTCTCAAAGCCGTCATCCTGCACAAGCGCATCAAATACATGCTTGCGCGAAATGATATTGGCGAAGCCGCCACACACCAGCCGGCCGGCTTTCGAGAGCTCGATGCCAACATTCTGCAGCTGCTCCACTCTGCACCGCCGCTCAAGGACCCCAATTCGCTCGACCTCCTCGCTGCACGACTCACCACGGTCGGGGCGCTGGCAAATTTGCACGAACCGTTCCTCAACGTCACCGATCCTGAGTCGTACTCGTACCGCCAGGTCGAGTTCATGGTACGCGAGGTGTGAGTATCGAGCTTCGCCTATGCTCCGAGCTGGGCTCTTTCTGACACGTCCCACTTCTTCTGCCTCCCCGCATTCTACCTGCAGAATGAGGATTGTGGAGCTCATCGAGTCGACCAGCTTCGACCCGACCCTGCTGCATCCGCGCTCCTCAATGACCTTCCATGTGAGTGGCACAAGCACCTTTGTTATCATCTGAACGTCTCTCATGACTCCCCTTTCATTTTCTCTCTCTTCTTACTCCCTGACCGGCCTCGATGCTGTACAGAAAGCAGCAACTTTGCTAGCAGCGAAGATCGAGTTCGCGCGCAAGTCGTCCTGTGCGAGCGAGCGGGAGATGGCCGAGTACATGGGCGCGTACGACCGCTTGACGGAGCTGCTGCGGCGCATGGCCACCAAGATCAAGGTGGCGCAGCGCAGCTACGAATCGCTCATGCTCTTCAGGAATGGCACGTGGGACCAGGCGCTGCTCGCAGAGGCGATGGCCATGAGCGGAGTCATCCCCGACAAGTCCAAGCCGGAGAGCACGAATGGTGATTACGCGCCGCACGAGCTATTGTGAGACGCGGTTATGCGTTACGCCAACCGGTCCAGGGGTATTACATGTGCGCACATGCAGTGGCAGCTTTGAATGCGATCATCATGATCAGAAATACTTTTCGTAATCCGTTTTGGACAGCTCGTAGCCCCAATGCCAAAGTGTCTGGCGCAGGATGGGGTTGATCGTTGCGTTGCTCCACTCGCCACCTTGCGATGCAATCTTGGCGGCGAGTGCACGTCGGAAGCGGCCATTGGGCCCGCATGCTTTGAGCCCTGTGTCACGTGTGCGGTTCGGGTTGAGCTTCAAGATGTGCAGAGGCAGATAACAAGGCGGAAGGGGGACAGTGAGACAATTGCGGACGGCCGCGCGACTCACAGCGTTGGATCTGGCGCTCGTCATCCTTGGACCTGCGTCCGTAGTAGAAGCGCAGATACCACTGCCACCAGCCTCTCGGGTCCTGTGCGCGGATCCACCCGGCGTCCTCCCACTCCTTCAGGCTCTGACTTGCCTTGACGCTGAAGCGGTTGACATCGGGACGGTACGTGTCGCTCATCAAGAAGCGGCGCTGCCACGCATGGTCCGCGCGCCAATCGGGCTTGTCGCGCACGAGGAAGTCGTCGCGAGCCCGCGGCGGCAGCGCGTCGCGCGAAAGCTCCAATTCCGAGTCCAGCTGCCTGCGCAGAACGGGCGAATAGTGGGACTTGAACGCCGTTCCACCGAATGCGCCGCCGAGGAACATCTCCGATGGGGTCAGGTTCGGCGTAAAGTGCCACAGTCCTTGCTCGAACTTGAGCGCACCGCGGCCCTCGCTCAGCGAAGAGGGAGTCTCGCGCTGCGGTAATGGCGCAGTGTAGATATCATCGTCCAGGTCATCCTCTTCCTCCTCATGGTATTCTTTGTCTGCCAATATGCCAACATCCACGTCCCTGGAAGAACCGGGATTCGGCGGGCGGACTTTCTTCAAGTGCACACTCCCGCGGGGCGGCGTAGCTGGGAAGTCTGCATCATCCACAGCCGTGGAGCTGAGTTGCGTTTGTATGTGTTCGACCTTCGCATGTTGCAAGGGTTTGCGCACACGTTCACTGCGCCGCGTCGGCAGTGGACGTAACTTCGTCTCTCCGTTCAAGGCCCGCTTCTTTGACGGCGGCGACGACTGCTGCGCCCGACTCCTCGCGGACAACCGCCGCTTTTGCCTTGCTTCTGCTGCCGCTGGTGTAGCAGTCGAAGGACCGGCCACATCCTTGTCCGAAGTATGTGCCAATTCGTCCCCGAGGCCGAGGCCCGAGCTCAGCTCGAGCTCCCGAAGGAGCGCCTGGTTGCGCCGGATGTTCTCCAGACGCTCCTCCTCGTACGATCCGGTGGTGGGGGCGGCAGCGGAGAACATGATGGCTGCAGCGAGGGCCCCCCCTCAGTTGATAAATACGTGCGTGGGATGCCAGCGAATGCGTCCCACAATGGACGGCCTTTTTGCGTGGCACTAAACTCTTTTACGTGATGTCGGCTTGCAGCTTTTGCCCAGAGCTGTACTCTGACCTCGGTTGCTGCTCATGCTGACGGACATACTATTCGGTTGTAGTAGTTGCCTTGGCGTGTCGCACAAGACGATGCGCGACGCGTCACGTGTTCACGCTTATGTCAGTAGGGTTGCCGCGTTGAATCTAATTCGCACCAGTCTCATTACAGATTGATTGACAGGGATGCCAAGCATCTGTGCTTGATGCTTTCACTGCAAACGTGCCTCATCCACCTCCAACGCCGAAAGCTCCGCCTGACTTTGGCTGGTAATGCTCTAGCTCGCAACAAGCCGAGGGGACAGTGCTTCTTGCCTGTCGTCCCTCCGCATGGGACTCATATGAGTCGTAAGACGTGACGCATGCATGGCGCAGGATGGCGTCGCAGTCAAAGTGAGCAGCGTGGAAGGCTGTGCGCGGCATGCGCTGCCGATACTTTAGCTTTGTAATGCTTGATGGATTGTTGGGGGAGAGTCGTGCGACTCCAAATCGATCCGTCTCATCTCCTGCCTCAAGTGTTGAGCGAGATAAACCGAATGGCCGGCCGGCCGCCGCCACACCACGCTACCACGCGGGCCGCGTATACAGACGCAGCCCCGTGCTAGCTTGGCAGGACCATGGATTACATTGCTTGTGGTAATTGAAGACCCCCGATTGTTAGCCCTCTATATAAGGAATCGGGCTGGTGGATGGCGCTCCCCAGCAACAATGCGCAGCCGCCCTGGCTTCCTTCCCTTTGGCCTCAACACTCGTGCCAGCTGTATCTGCTTGTGCAAGCTAGACAGGCACCAAATTAAAGCTTGTTACCCATACTCACTACTTACCTCATCCATTCTTGCCGCCGTCTTTCCGCTGACCCGACACTTATGGCTGATCCCCCGCATCGCCGCTCCATTGACGCTTCCGCTCTGTTCGCCGCCGCCAGCTCGGGCTCGCCCAACGGGTCGGCGCGTCGTTCGGAACAGGCAGAGGAATCACTGGCCGACGAGGACGAGCCGCCTTGTAGCGGCTCACTCTTTGCCACCGGCCCGACTCCTGCCACCGTCTCGCGGTGCACCACGAGCTCTATCGGCACGCACAGCAGCTCTCACACGAGCGTCGACTCACATCGCCTCTCCAACAAGCGAGATGCCCTCCCTCACCGCCACGTCGACGACCTTGCCGCCGTCCACTTCCAGCACGGCCGAGATGCAGACGCAGATGTCGCAGTCAAGAACGCCCTCGTCGAGTTGGCGGCGCATACAGCCATCGTCGTCGAAAGCATTGACGATGTCGTCGGCACTGCTGCGCGTGCCGCATCTGCCTCTGGCGCCGGACGCTTTGATCTGCTGCAACCGCATACATTGACCGTCGCTCAGGTGGTCGCTTTCTTCAGCTCCCTCACATATTCAACCACGGTCCCACCAGCTCGCGCCACGGCTGGCACAGAGCCTCAGCAGCACGCCGTCGATATGCTCGCTTCGCACGGACTCAGCAGCTCGGACGCCGCTGCGCGCCTGGCCGAGTGCGGGCCAAACCAAGTCGACGCGGGCGAGCGCGTCTCGGCGTGGTCGATCCTGCTGCGGCAGGTGGCCAATGCGCTGACGCTCGTCCTCGTCGGCGCAATGGCGCTCTCGTTTGGCGTGCGCGACTACGTCGAGGGCGTCGTCGTCACCGCTGTCATCTTGCTCAACGTCACCCTCGGCTTTGCGCAGGAGTGGAAGGCGGAACGCACCATGGCCAACCTGCGGACGCTCAGCAGCCCCACGGTGCGAGTCGTGCGCGACGGCGAAGAGCGGACGGTTAAATCAGTCGAACTCGTCCCCGGCGACCTGGTCCTTTTTGCGGCTGGCGACCTGCTCCAAGCGGACGTGCGTATCGTCTCGACGAGCAACGTCGAAGTCGATGAGGCTAGCTTGACGGGCGAGTCCCTCCCCGTCGTCAAGATCGTTGATGCAATTCAAGACGACAAGGCCCAGCTCGGTCCCGGGGACCAGTTCAATCTCGGCTTTGCATCCACCACCGTCACAAAGGGAAGAGGCAAGGGCATCGTCGTCGCGACCGGCATGAACACGCAGCTCGGCCGCATCGCCGCGGCGATGCAGGCGCGCAGCAGTAAGCCGGCCTCTTCGTCTGACCCAGCGGCCACCGGGCCCGTCACGCGCGCATGGCGGCTCCTTTGCACCAAGGCCTCCGCAGCGTGGGAGCCCACGGCCAAGTTCCTCGGCCTGCGTGATGGCACACCACTGCAGATCCGCCTGAACAAGTTTGCGTACATCTTGCTTACCATCGCCGTCGTCTGCGCCATCGTCGTCTTTGCCGTCGCCGAGTTCGACATTGATGACCAGGTGATACTGTACGCCATCGCGCTCGGCATCGGCGTCATTCCAGAGAGTCTCGTTGCCGTCTTGACGATCAGTGAGTACTTTCGCGGACAGGACAAGTGCGTTCCCCTGGCGTGCCATATGCTGAACAAGGATGGCTCCTTCCTTGGTCGCTCACCGCTTGCTCGTCCAGCTTTCAGCGTCGGTGCGAAGCGCATGGCTGAGTCGAACGTCATCGTCCGCAAGCTCTCGGCGCTCGAGTCGCTCGGTGGCATCGACACGGTGTGCTCGGACAAGACGGGAACCCTGACGACAGGCAAGATGGTCACTTCCCAAATTGGCTTTGTTCTTCCGCCTGCTAATATGAAAGATACTACCGCGAGCCAGGTCAACGCAGCTGAAAACCAGGGCGTCACGGTGCTCAAATATGGCATTGAGCGTGCTGCGCATGCTTTCATGCCTGTTGGACGACTGTATACGCTTGAAGACATTGATAGCCGCAAGCCAGTCGAGGACGACGAGAAGCTTGGTACCGCTGCGATCGACGCAGACGCTGCTACTGCCAAAGAGTTCATCTGCCCAAGCCACATGCCTGCACACGTCCATGCTCTCACGCTCGCAGCCGCGCTCTGCAACGTCGCGGAGATCAAGGCCGTTCCCGACAGCCTGGGCCGCGAGGGTACATGGTCCGCAACGGGCGATCCAACGGAGATCGCGCTTCAGGTGTTCAGCATGAAGCTCGGCATGAGCAAGGCCTCCTTGCTGGCCGCTCCAGCTTCCGAGGCCGAGACCGAGAAGGAGGAAGAGGCGCCGGGCTTCGTCTTCGCACAAGAGTTCCCATTCGATTCGACCATCAAGCGCGCCACCTTCATGTATCACGTCACCTCCAACCCCGAGGGCGGCTACGCGCTCTTCACCAAGGGCGCCGTCGAGCGCGTCATCGAGAGGTGCTCGCACACCCTGACGAATGGCTCGGCGCAAGAGATGAAGCTGACCGAAGGACACAAGGAGGCCATCATGCAGCTCATGGAGCGCATGGCATCGCAAGGCCTGCGTGTGCTCGCATTCGCTCACCGGCACGTTTCTCGCTCTGTCGGATTTGACAAGGCGCTGATGGCGAGCAGCGGGAGCGGCGGCGGCGTAAAGCGCGAAGATGCCGAGACGGACCTGACATTCATCGGTCTCGCCGGCATCTACGACCCCCCACGTCCGGAGACACCCGGAGCGATCGAGGCATGCCACACCGCTGGCGTTACCGTACGCATGCTCACGGGCGACCACATCGCCACAGCGCGTGCGATCGCGCGCGAGATTGGCATTCTCAAGGGCGACGAGAGCGCTTCGGCTGTCATGCCGGCACATCAGTTTGACTCAATCTCTGACGCCGAGATCGACAGGTTGCGCGAGCTCCCGCTTGTCCTCGCTCGCTGCTCGCCCGCGACCAAGGTCAAGATGATTGCCGCTGCCCAGAGGCGCGGGCAGCATCTTGCCATGACTGGCGACGGTATTAATGACTCTCCCGCGCTTAAGCGCGCACCGATTGGCATAGCCATGGGCTCGGGCACGCAGATCGCGCGCGACGTCGCTGATCTCATCCTTGTCGACGATGGCTACGCGTCCATCGTCAAGGGCATCGCAGAAGGCAGGACGGTATTCGACAACATCCAGCGCTTCTGTATCGCCCTGCTCGTCGCCAATGTGGGAGAGGTCATCTTGCTCCTCGTCGGCCTCGTCTTTCGAGACGCAAACAGAGACTCAATCTTCCCGCTCTCGCCCGTCGCCATCCTGTTTTGCAACATGGTCACTGCCTCCCTGCCCGCCATCGGCCTCGGATTGGAGAAGGGTGACGCGGACATCATGCTGCGTCCACCGCACAATGTCAAGGCGGGTGTCTTCAGCACGCAGGTCATCTCCGACATGCTTTTCTACGGCTTCACAATGGGCTGGACGTGTCTCCTCGCCTTCATCATCATGATCTACCCCGTCGGCGATGGCGTCCTCGCGGTCGAGTGCAATGAGCGTCTCGCAGTGGGCTGCGAGGCCGTCTTCCAGGCTCGCGCTGCAGTCTTCACCGCGCTCATCCTCCAAAACCTCTTCGTCGCCTGGGAGCTTCTTAGCATGGACCAGTCCCTCTTCACCATCTCGCCTCACCGCCGTCTCGCGCGCAACCCGATGCTTTTCTGGTCCGTCATCTTTGGCATTTGCACCATCCCCATCTGCCTGTACGTGCCCACGTTCAACACGTCCGTCTTCAGGCACTCGCCTCTCTCGGGCGTCGGATGGGCGGTCGCGCTCGGCATGACCATCACCTTCATCCTTAGCATTGAGCTCTGGAAGGCGCTCGCGCGCAGAGGCTATTGGCCTTGGCTCACACGCTACACCGGCGGCACTGTTGGCCGCGCTTCCAAGCCCAAGCATGGAGACGTGGCTTGAGAAGCTACTGCAAATGAGTAACGCACACGAGTACGTTTTAGCACATCAATTCCATTATAAGTTGAGTCGGATCTGGTCACTAGGCAGCTATGGCGCAGCAGAATGATTGGTGATCGGCAATCAAAAGCGATCGGCCATCTGGTGACCAATGCAGATTTTGCGCATTGACGTGATCTACATGCAAAGGTTAGCAGCTGGTTCAGCAATGCGCAAGCCGGTGAATCCAACGTCCGAACTCACCGTTGGGGATGGGAATTGCCTCTGCGGTTTGTTGAATACTTTTGCCGTCAGCTGAAACGTCTAAGGACCAGGTGTAGAGCGCCTCGCCTCCGCATGCGATGGTTAGGGATGATGGGGCTTCGTTTTGCCAGACTGCCGAGCGGACTGCACTGCCGAAGAGCAGGATCGCAACAAGGTACGGGCGTGGAGTTTGGTCGGGCTGGTCGTTTGGGATGGGAGGGAAAGCGTGAATGAATACCGCGGTGGGCATGTTGTCTGTATAAGAGGAAGCCCAGACTCGCATCAGCATAAGATGTACGGACGATTACCTCACGTCCTGCTTACCATTTCTTGATGCCAAGAGTGTACCCGCTTTGCTCCAAGCCATCCAGCAAACTCCACACTTGGGCTGCGAAACAGCCGTGTCAACCCGCATACTTGGGATTGTAACCGGCAAGCTGCTGCTAGAGTTCTCCATTGCTACAATGCATCGCTTGCCCGTCTCCTCCAGCCATGATAGATGAGGCTCTCGCCAGACGTGCAGACGACCGAACACAAAGTCAGAGACTCTGCGACCTTGGTGGGGTTGCTGTTGCGTCGGCTTTGCACGGCTGTGGGATAGCTCTCCGGTAATGGTAGTCCGCGACAGATCGAGAGAATAGATCTCTGTTCCGGAAGCGGCGTCCAGCAGCCGTATCTGCGAAGGGTGTGTCCGGCAGGTTCCTACCATTCAGATAACGGCTCCAGACGAACGAAGCTCACAGCACTCACGTGCTCGTCAAAACCCCCGACAGCCAGCAGGGTCGAGTGGGGGGACCATGCTACCTGCCTGATTCCCAGCCCACCACCAGAGACCTTGGTTTCCTCGTCGTCCGACTTGCGCTTCTTCGGGATTGCTTGAGAAGGCGCCCTTCTCTTTTCTTTGCTCTTTGATTCATCCTCTTCGGTTTTCACGGAATTCGATGAATAGGACTTTCGAAGACTTGAAGCCATGGTGGAGGAACGTGCGCTTGCTGTACTTTGAACTGCAAGCAAAGGTAGTCCAGATGTTCCGGTAGGCAAAGCGGATGAGATCGGCTCAACTAAATTGGGAGGTATCCAGAATGTAAAGCGGTGGGATCCACAACGGGTATAGACGAGGAGCTTGTACTGGGACAGCCGTTGTCAAAGCAAGCCTTCAGTGACAGCGTTGCTTGGAGGGGACAGTTGTCGCAAGACTCACCTCCATGTGACCCTCCCACACAGCGATGTGTCTACCATCCGGAGACCAAGCGGCGCCTCTGGCATCGTTCGTGGCAAGATTGAAGGACTATAGCAAACGCAAGAGAGGTTGGCTGAGAAGGAATAAGAGGCCAACGGGAAATCGAACGAACCTGTTCAGCCTGCCAGTATTTGCCAGCGGTTCCTTCGAGAATCGCGCGATATCCTCTCCTCTCGTCAGAGCAATAAAGCGAGATGCTTTCTTTACACGCCTCGCGACGGATGAGCCCAAAGTACCCGGGGTATTTTGAGCTCGTGATTGACATTCCCAGCTTGACATATTTGATTATTGTCACTTTGAGGTCGCTAAGGGAGTAGACGCTGGCGCGAAGCTACCGTCATGTGAAGGAGTGGAACGACCGTCAGATCCACATGCACTTGTGCGGGGTAAAGATGCCGTGATATAAGGCACTCACGTCGGTAGCAAAAAGTATGATGTTATCGGACCTTCCTCTCATCCATTGCGCTCCTGAGATACCTTCAAACCCAGCGTCGACCCGGGCGACCCATCCTTGCCCTTCATCCGACTCATCATTCGCCTCCAAGCTAGGGTCGAGACTCAACACATATACTGATCCATTTTCCGCACTCGCGACACCAAAGTACGACTGCTGTGGCACCAAAGAAGTGGAAGGCGAAGGGGAGACCGCGTATGTCGGCGACACGGCCAAAAGGTACCTCCCTTCTTCGGACCATTCCAAGGAGGTGATGTAACCATCGAGATCCCAGCTCCGAACCACTTGGAGTGTGGACGAGGCGCGAATGATCACTGTACTCCATTCATCGGAGCTAGCGTTTCGTCGTCTGCGCTTAGTACCATGCAAAAGAGCCGATGCAGCATTAGGATCGCGATACTCTGAACGGGCCGAGCTGTGCACCACAAGCGCAAAAAACGTGGAGCCCGGCGAAAAGGCGATGGCGCCCGGGCAGGAGTGCGGGAATGGACTTGTGAAATCCATTTGGCCGATAGGCGTTTCTGTGGTCTGGTTGAGAAGAGTTACTCGCACAAAAATGCATGCAGAATAGTGCCGTCTTGGTGCATAGGAAGCGCTGCCGACGAAGTGTCGACTATCCGATGTGATCGATCACAATATAGATGTTGCTTGCATGTTGTTTTCGTTGTGTCGCCCCGTCGCAGACGCGTTCTCGCGCCACGTCTGGTCCTCTCCCGCGTGACGGTTTATCCGGCCCACTCTTCCCAATATCTTGGCGCTGATCCGAGTGCAACGCAACTTTCAATCACTTATGTCATGCTGGAATGCATTAGCCGCAGTGTGTATGTATATCCATTCGACCGACAGTCGTAGGATCGTCACGGTTCCTCGTCGCATCGTTGCCGACAGCCGGCGCGCTTCGTCTGAGAGCGCTCGCCATGTCTACCGACCCCGAGAAGAACCAGCCCCAGAGCGGTGGCAACGGCAATCGTAGAGATGGTCAGTTTGCGATCCGCTTTCTGCAAACCTTTGTGAACAGATGCTAATCACGCATTATTCAACGCGTGCCAAACCTGCTGGATATCATTATAGAGATATCTCTTTGGTCCACGATCGCATCAGATCTCAGAAACGCAGACGATCTGCCCAACAAACGCGCTGCGATGATGGGCAAACATGAATCGCTTAGATTGCAGCTTGCGGCAAATGAAGCCTCTCCACGGAGCGAGCTGCTCAAGGAATTCAATGAGGTACATGCTCACCTCTTGACGGTCACAAAGCACGAACTCGAGTGCGCATATCATTTTCGAGTAACAGCCTGTCTCTTCGCACTGACACAGCGCGTGTCTCAATCCCCAGAGTATACGATAATGCTATCGAGAAGCTTGGCATCCTCCAAGCGTTGCTCTCTTCGGTGCCGAATGAAGATCATGGTAAGCACCTCATCAGAAGCTTGAGTGTCACGTTGATTGCTGAATTCCTACGGTGCTTTTGGAATCGACAGATCACAGCCGCAAGCGGAGGCGAACTGACGCTGGGTCACCAGCGCCGTCGTCACTAACCTCACCCTCGCCGTCGGCTCGTACCTCACCGGCACCTGTGCAGCAGCCTCCATCTCCAGCAGAGGACAAAAAACATAGCGGGGCATCTCCATCGTCAACCTCCGCAGACAAACCTGCCGCAAGCAAGGCAGGGGTGTTCAAAGGCAAGGGAAAGGGCTGGCGCAAGGGCATGACCGCACAGGTGCCATCTGCCACACACACGACCGAAAGGCAGCTGGTGGCAACCACTACAGCTAACACGCTGTCTGCGACGGGTGGCTATCTTGACCCGGCCAAGGCGAGGCGGGAGCAGCTTGCGGCACAGCTACCGCTACAGAAGGGTCGCAAAGTAGCGTTTCGACAGCCAACGGTCAAGAAGGTCACCGGCGACAAGGCGTCTGCGCCTCCTGCCGCCGCCAGTGATACTGCAGCACCTTCGCAGAATCTTCCAGGCGCTCCGCCGGAGGAGGAAGGCGAAACGTGGATCCTCGCGACAATCATTGAGTGCATCAACAATGACCGCAATCGGTGAGCATGTGGCGCAAGGGAGGCCGGCTGACGCGTATTTGGCCACTTACTCATGTTTGCATTCACAGATACGTTGTTCAGGATGCCGAAGAAGACAGCAGGGGCGTGTCTCCGTGAGTTCGGCTTTGATGCGCACCGTACAACGTTGGCGAAGGTCAAGATGTGCTAATGCTTCACTCAACCCCTAATAGCACGTGGAACACGACTCTGAAAGCGATTGTCCCTCTCCCAGAAACTGCTCTGACGCTGCCTGCGCGAGACTATTCCGTCGGACACAAGGTGCTCGCACTCTATCCCGACACGAGCTGCTTCTATCAGGCGACGGTCAAGGGGGGTGGGCCTGGCGTGCACAAGGTATCCCCGAAGAATGTGAGGACGAGCGGGCGAGGTTCCCCCCTTTTTGGGTAGTGTTGTTGATCAAAGTTCAATTTATACATATTTCTGAACAGTTGCTGAAAAAGGAATCGGAGCTGCTGAATGCACGGTACCAGTTGACTTTTGAGGACGACAACGATGACATCAAATCGATCCCTGCCTATCTCGTAGTCGAGCGGCCACGATTGTGAGCCTGTTCAGCTTTTAAGGACAGGGCTCGCGCACGAATTTGCGGAGCCGAAATGTGTAGCACAACCCATCCGCATCACCTCAATCAAAGTCCACGCGCCTATGTTTGCTCTCGTGCTATCTGACATGGGAACCAGCCCGTGTAAAGCGTCAGGTGCAGCACTCTCGTGACAAATATAAATAGAACGCCTCACGCGCCTGCATGTTGTGAAAATGCTCACGTGACCAACATTGTGTGTTTTCGAGTTTGCGACGTAAACAAGTTACAAGGTTAGACCACGGGCTGCGCCACATTAACCCCCGGAGGCCCCGAGGAAGGCTCCCCAGAAGAAGCTAGGGTGTGGCGCAGACGGCATCGCCGCCCGCGCAGTGCCACCTGAAGTGTTCCAAACTCCCCAAGCGAGGGAAGGCGAGCAGCTGCCTGCTGGCTCGGGAAAATGTGCTAAGATGCTCCTTCTTGATTTTCGTTTTTTGCCGGTTGGACAGGCAGGTGGCGGCGGGCCACCCGCAATATCTACCTCGACTGTCCAGTCTACAGGCTGCCGGCCTGCGTAGTGCAGAACTTTCGATGACAAGGCCACGCGCAGGGACAGGCACAACAGCACTGTGTTTCTTCCTCTCCCGCGCCGCACCCACACCCAGCTTCCAGCAGCCGGCAAGCCCACCCTATGCTTTATATACCTTGCCGCGTACACATCCTCCATGTCCCACAGTGTACACCTTCTTACCACCACCTGTCCCATTGGTCACCTCTAATCTTCGTCAGCTACCTCCAGAATACACGCTGGTCGTGTATCTCCTTTCCTAGTCGCATCCTCTTCGTCCCCCTTCAAGTAACGCAGGTCGTTCAATTCTACCTACGCCCACAACCTTTTTTCGTTCGTTTCCTATCTCTTGCTCTCCCAACATCTTACCCAGCCAACCGCACAAAAATAAGCCCAAGATGCATTTCATCTGGTCTTCCATTGTTGCGCTCGGCGTCATCGGCGGGGCGGCTAGTGTCTCGGCCAGCGAAGCGTCTTCGTCAGGCTACCAATTCAATGGCATGGCAGGCGACGTTACGCGTCGCGCTTACCCGCAAGAGCAGAGGCAACAAGAGCTCGAAGCCCGCGAGAGGGTCGTAGGACTCTCGTCAAGGCGGATCCAAGAAGTCAACGGTCAAATCGTCGGTGAGGAGCAGGCACAACAGGCGCTCTGGCCCCGCGAAAGGGTCGTAGGTGTCTCGACAACGCAGATCAAGACAGTCAATGGTCAGGTCGTCAGTCAGATGCACGCCGAGGCTATCACACCCTCCACCCCTAGTTCTGCTGGCACTAGCTCAGGCGCCCAAAAGGCTGTCACACCGTCACAGTCAGCTTCTGGCGCTGCTACTGGCCCGTACCCTCCGGGTCTGAACAAGGTCCTCAATAAGGTGGCGAGTGATTCCCTAACCAAGCACAGCTGGGAGCATGCCGTCTGCTACCACAATGGTGCTGCTTCACGCTACATCTTCCACAAAGGTGACCTTGTGCACAATCAGAACATGTCGCATGCCAAGCTTCGCAAAGGCGGCAGCAGGAAGGGAAAGAGTGATCTCAGCATTCGTGCCGATGCTGGCACCGCTGCTCCAGCTGCCGGCGATGCAACGACGCCGACCACGCCTGCGACACCAAGCACGCCGACCACGCCTGCGACACCGAGCACGCCGACCACGCCTGCGACACCGAGCACGCCGACCACGCCTGTGACATCGAACACGCCGACCACGCCTGCGACACCGAACACGCCGACGGGAGCAGCAGGTGGATCCACAGGTGGCAAGGGCGGCAAGAAGGACAAGACGCAACGGCCTGTATGCATCACTTGGCGGCTCGACCGGGAGACTGCCAAGCTGATGGCCGCCCATTTTGACTCGGGCTCAACCGCCGGGGGCGCAAAGGACCCCGCAGCAACAACTAGCTCTGCGCCGGCTGCTAGCGCCGCACCCACAAGCTCATAGAGAGATGCAGGGAGGTGATCAGAGGTCGAGGCTTGCGAGTAAGAGCAACGAAAGAAGATGTACTTGATAAACTGTTCAATCAAGCGGATCAGATAGCGGTCAAATACACGAGGGGGTTTACCTGCGAACCTTTTTCAATCATGTGGTCTGCTCAATCGATGTGCAAGACAGTGAACGTCGTAGGTACTTTGGTATGCGCGTTGCGAAGCAGTGCTCAGGCACGGAAGAGGGTAGGCTACACACGGGTCGTGCTCGAGGCGGTTGTGGTCATCAGCAAGCACTGCCTTCATTGACAGGATGGCATATGCGCAGTCGCGCTGCGGCGCGTGCGAGTGACGGAGTCTCAGCTCGCTTTTGGCCGTCGGATGGCCTCTCGTCCCCCTTCAAACATTCTCTTGTCTCGAAACAGATCGCGCCTCCCGAGTGTGGACTACTGCAAACGTCTAGCGTGATGGATAGCGTTGGCCTTCTTTTTGCTCTCCTGTGCGATTGCACGCGTCGGAGGTGCAGGGGACCGCCATCCGATGCCACATCAAAGTGGACCAGGCTACAAAATCATGCTTCGTATTGTAAATGGGAGTTCCAAAATGGCGCCTTGCCAAGAGAAGGCAAAGGTTAGGACGAGCAAGCCGACGCTTCTTAGCCGTGGCGGACCTCGGGCAGCGGCTCTGCACGGACCGAGGAGTGGTCAATCGCCTTGTCTTTCTCAACGTCCATCTCGCCGATAAGTGCGCTGTGAGCGCAACAATGAAAGGGAAGGCAGCGAAGGGCAGACATCCAGAACGATCAGCATCGTTGCGGGTTGCAGAGAAGCGAGATGCGTGGACCCACATTGCGTCGCCTCGAACGATGTATAGCCCTAGAGGGAGCTCTTCAACGCCATCCTCCGCGCTGTAAATGCGCTCTATGCACTGAGAGAGGATGATGCTACCGGCGGTGTCAAAACCTCGCAGCTGACCGACGATTACGCGTCCATCTTGAGTGATGAGGAGAACTTGCTCTACGTAGTGAAAGGCCGTCAGGAACTTCCAGAGCCCAGACTGTGCTTGGCTGCCACGCTAATGGCTTCGATACTTACTTTCAGTATAAGCTACAAGCGAGCTCATGACGCCTGTCTGCACACCGCACCCAGAGCGAGTCAGCAAGAGCTAGGCGAATGACTCCGAGCAGCCCATAGGCACTTTCCAGCGGGTCGTAGAGGTCGCAAGGGAACTGCCTCAACGCGCAGCTCGAGCGCTTGACTCGCTCCTCTTTGATACCCAGGTCGCTCCCCTTGACGAGCAAGGATGTTTGCAGCTGACCCTGGGCATTTGCATACGAGGCGAAGAACGATCCCAGAGATGAAATCGATGCGAAGATGGATGGCCCCAGCATCAAAAACGGAACGGGTGTAGCACGCCCGTGGCTCTGCTTCTCTCGCTCTTCCGCGCATGACACGCGGCACGCCCACTTGCTCCACCAATATGGACAACATCGTGCTTTTCTGGGAAAACCCATCAGGTGATCGCATCAGCTTGTGTACCGGCTTCCTTACGCCATCCACTACGAGCATCTTCTCGGACTGTGAAACAAGCCTAGAGGAGGATTGTCCTGTCAGCTGCCTTGCATCGCTCACTAGCATCCATTGCAGACGAGAAGGCTCGGAGAAAGTGAGTAGTGAATCCTGGGGCCCGACTCAAGCGCATCTTTCAGCCACACCATATACAACTGGACATCTGCCTCGCTTCTGACGCTGCGTTTCTTAGCCAACATGCGCCTCACCAGTCTGCCCCTCCAACCACCCATGGCTCTGCTGTGGGCCGCGCTGGTCGCTCTCTCGCTCTGCCTGCAATGTGTCTCGGCGATCAAGTTCGAGGTGCCAGCATCCCACGAGCCGTACGAGAAGTGCGTGTGGAACTACGCACTGGCTAACACGTTGGTCGTGATAACCGTCAACATCTCGCCGATGGGCAGCAACTCGGACAAGCAGGCGATGGATGTGCAGATCGTCGATGGAAGCAAGCACAAAAATGTTTACCTCAACAAGAAGAAGGTCGAGGGCGAGACGAGGATGGCTATCAACACCCACAGCAACGCCGACCTCGGTGTGTGCTTCAAGAACCACCTGAGCAAGAGTGAGCAGCCTGTCTAGCCAGGATCTGTGAAAGAAGAATACATAACGCTGACTTTGATCATGATCTGCTGACACAGGCGTGAGCTCACGAGGTACCCATTCATATCATGCTGTTGTCGACCTCGATGTCGACATTGGCGCCGATGCTGTCGACTACAATGCCATCGCCAACCAGGAGTCACTGTCTGGCCTCGAAACCGAGCTAAGAAAGCTGGAAGCGGTTGCGGATGAGGTTCTCAACGAGATGGACTATCTCAAGAAGCGGGAAGCACGGATGCGAGACACAAATGGTGCGGCTTGCATGAAGCACACATGTTCTGCGTGCACATGTTTGACACTGCCCTTCTCTTTCTTCTCTTACCGATCAACCAGAATCCACCAACGAACGGGTCGCAAAGTTCGGCTGGCTGACGATTGTGGGATTGCTAGCCCTCGGGATATGGCAGATCGTTCACTTGCGGGGCTTTTTCAAGCGCAAATACCTCATCGATTGAAGATGCAATGACACGGTTTTCATCGACGTGTGCCACGCCTGCGTTTGCCTTTCGCGCCGCTTGATGAAAGGTATGATACAGAATAGAATCGCAATAAGGATACAGTAGGAGTACCTGTCATGATCACGCAAAGGCGACTGTTTTGCGTTTCTTGCTGATGTCTGGGCCAACGGGGCTTGCGGGCGCGGCAGACTTGCCTTCCATACCCATGCTCGAATCGCTGACGCTCGCCTTTTGATTGCGAGCTTCTTTTCGCCGCTTGGCCTTCTCGCGGACCTTGGCTTTTAGTCTCGCTTTCACCTCGTCCAGGCGCTGTGTATGCAGCAGTAGGGCTCGTGTCATGCATTGCCAATGGCATAGTATCAGCTGATCGAAACATGCACGCACCTTGACCCCTTTTCCTCTGCTTGCTGAGCCATCTTGATGTTTCAGCTTGGACGCAGATTGCTCCTGCTGTTGCTTTGCACGCTCTAAACGCTTCTGATGCCTTTCATCCTTCTCGCCAGCGATCTGAGCCGTCAGCGCTTTGAGGTGATCTAGACCGAGGTCCTCTGAAAACGTCTTGCGCTTCTTGCCGCTGCCCTTCCTCGCCGATGGAACACGGGGACCGGCTTTGCCCTTGCCATTCGCGCCACCCATGTTCGAGCTCTGTTCGGGCTCTGCGGCTGCACCTTTAATCCACAGTGAAGGCGCTTGATTGTGGGCGCTCCTCGAGCCTCGCCATCTTCAGGCATGCTGTATGCAGCCTATTTGAATCCCTGTCCAGTGTCGACTGTTCTTCACTCCAGAATAGGAAATTGTGAGCGGAACGGGTTTTGACTTCTTGACTCTCACCGTCCTCTCCCAGCCAGTCTCACACCACAGCCAGAGCGGCACAGTTGCGGGGGCGCTGGCTTTGTTCTTTGCGCCACCAGGGAGGGGCCTGGTCACACAACAACACATCGCGTCCGTGCTGAGATGGCTCGCTCTTCGCTGCGCTGCTGCTATGTACTTGTAGAGACTCTGAGGAAGCGGCTTGTAATCGGCAGGTGGAGGTCATACAAAAGGGAGCTGGCAAAGGTACTGCCCATTTGGATTCGGTGGGACCCCACGCAAGCCTGATTGCGAACGAGCGCCGCCAGCCATCATGTCATCACCAATGGCAATCCTCAGCAAAACCGGAGACCACGTCCAGTGCCCATCGCAGCACGATCCAGTCGCAACTGGGCTTGCTGTATTCCTCTGCATCGGCTTGGTTGTGTCTTACCTTCCACAGGTCATCCGAATCATCTTGAAGAAATCGTCGCTTGGATTCTCACCATGGTTCCTGCTTCTAGGCGCCACAAGTTCCTCTAGCAGCTTCCTCAACGTCGTCGCATTGCAGTGGGGCCTTGTCAGGTGCTGCTCGATCGTCTCGACCGCCATCTGCGCCGAGTCGGTCCTCGGCATATTGCAAGTCGGGCTGCAATGGCTCTGTTTCGTTGCAATGTAAGCTCTTAGCATCCCCGAGTGCAAATCAGAGTGTTGACGTTGACGCCCTCCCTTTGAGCAGTCTCGCCCTGTTTCTCATCTATTACCCAAAAGAGCTGCGCTACGAGCGGTCTATTGCGCTGCCTGGACGAACACGAAGGCCACGCCTTCTTGCCGAAGACGATGATACGTCTTCAGGAGGCTCATCTGCATGGTCGGATGACGTCGAGGACCTCGACTCTCTTGATTCGCATATCCAAGAAAATTACTCGGGTATCCAAGCTGTCGGCAGCGGCGTTTCGGCCGTTGGAATCGGCACGCCGACGCAATCAGCCGTCGCACGCATCACCGAAGAAGCACAAGCGGACGCCAGCAGCAGCGCATTTGCCAGACTCGTGCCCACCTTCTGGCCCATCTGGAAGGCTCCGCAGACCGAAGGTGCTGCGTTAGGTCCGCCAGGGAGACAGACTGCCAGCGGTGCTTACGCCGTTCCTGGCATGCCGAGTGCGCCAGGGCCAATGGATCAATCAAATCAGCCCGGAAGCAACCTCCTCCAGGTTCCTCAGACAGGCAGCCCAGCGCACCCGCGCACGCCGAGCCAGACAGCGGTGAAAGCTTGGAAGAAGGCGCTGCGCAAGAAGTCTAAGCGGAGAACGGCAGAATGGAGCCTGTCTCTCGCGCTCGCATGGGTCGTCGCCCTTCACTTGTGAGTGCTGAGACGTGCAAATGCTCCCATGGATCTCATGCTACGTGCAAGCTGAATGCTCCCTTCCTTGCTCCGCAGTATTTTCGTATTCTTGATCACCCTGCTCCTAGTCACGTCTCTACCGACCGAATCTTTTCCTGATCCTCGCGACCCTACCATCCCCAACCTAATTCCTGCCCCTCTGGAATCGCTTCTGTCTGTGCGCGGGAAGCTCCTGACTTCTGTACCGAAAGGGTCCAAGTTGCTCGTGCAACGGTGGGCTGCCTTCCTCGGAGTGACCGGTACGATCTTGGCTGCTGGACAGTACATCCCGCAGATCATCTATACCGCCAGGGCCAAGCTGGTGGGGTCGCTAAGCATCCCGATGATGTGCCTTCAAGTTCCCGGCAGTGTCATCTTCGTGTACTCGGTGGGTTCCCTCAACAGCGCTTGTCTACTTCTCGCACATGAACACAACTGACGCAGCAAGTATTCCATCCTGCGCAGCTTGCGATCAGGCCCGGTACAGATTGGTCTTCTCTTGCTGCATTTGTTGCTACGGGAACGCTCCAACTCGTATTGCTGGCTCTTTGCATCAGCTGGAAAATCCGACAGAACCGGCTCGGCATCGATGACTTTGGTAGGCCGCTGGTGCGAGCGCAGGGCCTTCCGAGCCAGGTTGCATTAGAGGAGGACTGAGAACCGTCTATAGTTCTGACAATGGTCGTCCGCAAGTATACACTACGTACTCGTTCGCACTCTTGTTATCTGCAAGTAACTTTACGGTGCTAATGATGACGATGATGATACAAGGTGCGAACAAATCAAGGAGCCGCATGCCTTCGTTCAGGGCTCTTCCGCTTCCACCGCCCACAATGCATCGGGTGGTGCTGTTCCTTGCGCTTCGCTGAGAGCGCCTTTGAGAATGTACGTAAAGTTTCCACTTTTGAGCGGGGGCACGGTCGTCTCGTAGCCCAAGGGCAACTGACACCGCTGGCAATGGAATCGATATTGCTTTTCTAGAGACCCATCCGGCCTGAGAGATGCAGAAAAGTAAGCGAAGGGAAGCTTGCATTAGCGGATTGGTGCCTGACGGCCGACTACGTCGAGTGACAAAGGGGCTTGCTTGCATCTCTCGTCGCCGACGACGCAAGCCTGCCCTTGCCATCTCCACATATAAGCTCACCGTCGGATGAGCACCGGATCTCGCTGTGTTGCACTGATCTTGAATATCCGCGCTTTCCTGACGTATCCCGTCTCAGGATCCGCTCGGGAGTCGAGGCAGCGTAGCACGTATGACCCATCCTGCGGCCTCGAGGGACACGCTGACAGCGGCTGGTCACAAACTAGCGCAAATTCGCCGCAGAGACAGTAGAAGACGCGTAGATTTGATCGGGTATCTTCGTCCTTGGACGCCGAGATGGCGGACTGTGAAAGTAGCAAGTAGTAGTCGCACGCCGGAGGGGGGGGGGGGCATTTGCAGCACGTCAGAGCCCATTAGGACCTCCGGTTCGACATTACAGCAAAGCTCACCCTTGAAATGACCTTCGGCATAGTGCAATCAAGACGATGCAATCCTGTTCCCGCGGGGTGTCATAAAACAGAACTTGGCTGTTGACCACGGTGCTCTGCTGGAACTGCTTGGCGGCTTTTCTGCGGAGAGACACAAAACAGTTGACCGAATGCTCCCGAGTCTCACTGCGCTGTCGTGTTCGCATGCGCGTGCGCTCGCTACTCTGACCTCACCCGCAACCAAGACCTACAGTGAATGCACAGTGTTTTGTCAGAATGTATGGCAACTGTCAAAGGAGCGAAGAAGCATCGTGCATTGTGAGGAAGCGATGAGAGTGTGCAACTCATGACGTCCTGTCCTGGTTGATGTTGAGCGCATTGAGACTTTTTGGGTGGCTTATTCCCGGGACTTGAGAGGCAGACCGGCGTTTCCTCCTTCCGCGGCGGCGTGGAGTTTCTATTTGCGTGGAGCCACCCCAGTCATTAATATTTTTGAGTGGTGACTGTAATGTGAACCTTTATGCGCACAGCACTTTCAGCTCGTCCTGGCGGCGCATGCTTCATCATCATCTTCGGGAGACTTGGGAACTTTGGTGGCTTATTGATCGGTGCGAACTCTGGGCGGAGAGCTCTCGATCTGTCTTCATTCGCACCCACCATGCTCGTGGTGGGGAAAGAACATTTCTCTGCTTCTGACAATCCTCGATTATTTGTGGCTGGCTGCTGGTACTCTTCTGCTGTTCAGCAGTTCACATTTCACAGACGTGCGCAACGTACAGTGTTCAGCGATCTGAGGTCAGCATTCAGTGCTTCAGATATCAAAATCAAAGCCAAGCATCATGGCCTGTCAAGCTGCCAAGGCTCTGGATAGATGGGCAGCTCCTCTCGATTTCCGCGGCGAACACATGCCTGCTACTCGGACTCTTCTACACGCCATTGCAATGCGTCGGGGTCGCGCGTTCCAAGGCCCTCTCGCCCTTCGACCCTCGGATGCTGAGCAATGAATGGGATAGAACAAGCTCCCAGCTTCTGGTGAAATGGTGTCTCAAGCACGCGTCTCCTGGTCCCGCATGTTGCGAGGCGATTCGATGCCCACACCCTAGATTGAAGCTATATATAGAGCTGCCCAAGAAATCATTCGCTCGTGGTAATGGCCACCCCAACTAGTATCCCTTTTTCCCAACAGCAGCAGTATCGTCGCTCTGGTACAAAAGTCAACATGCAGCTCCTCTCCGTCCTTCTCTTTGCTCTTGCTGCGGGCGCCACGCCTGTCAAGCGCGTCCAAGAGGTCGGCTGTGACGCAGAGCCATGGTCCTCTGGCAAGCTGACGCTGTCTCCAAATTCGGAGCTTGACCAAACGTGCAACATGCACCTCTCCTTCAGCGGCGTCCGTAATTCATACGGTCACGTTAGTCTACTAAGATCGTCAAATAATTCCCTCATGAGTTTCACACTGAAAGCCTTTGGTTCCTGTCCTCGGGGCGAATTTAGCAAGTGTTGACGATTGCAGTGAAGGAATCGCAATATGAAACATTTGACTTCGTTCCCTGCAACAGCACCACGCTCGGCTGGTACAACGGCATCTCCACGTCACCTGCCGGCAGCATCAGGGCCGGCATCTTGCGCTCGCACAACAACAGGAAGTACTGTGTGCGAGCCGAAGAGCTTTCTTCTTCGACACCCACTAAGTTCACTGCTCATTCCTGCAACTACGATGACGACTCGGGACAGGTCACCCAGTTCTGGCGTCTTACCACGTCAGCAGAGGGCGAGCGTCTCGAATTCATCAGTACGAGCAGCGACTCGTCCCTTCACCGGGTGTTTTCGTACAACGTGATCACAAGCGATGACTTTAATGGTAGGAAGCGCCTTCAAGCTGACCCAAGCAAGCAGGATGGAAGTTACTTGAGCTTCGATCACTCTTGATTCGACCGTGGTTACATCCTGTGTTCCACCACAATCCGCCCTGCGCATGGAATTGACGGGCAGCAACTGGACTGACTTATATTATTGAAATGGACATGCCCAAGAAGAACAATGGACCTGGCTTTTGACTGTTCTTGCTGCCATTTCGACTCGTACCACGCCACTACCCTCTCTCACAGTTCGCATTATTGAAGCTCGAGCCCCCGGTGTCCGAAAGCGCGCCGCTCATGCGCTCATGCTGACATAGGCTGCATCACGTTGTGCGGCGCGCGCTACCCTCATGTTAGTTCATAGGTGGTATCAACGAAATATATACTCTTGTTTGCACCGATACACGTGAAATCTTGGGTCTCAGCGTCTGCCTCTTCCATAGCCCAGAAGAGAAGAGTGGCCGAAGCATCACATTCGTTTCCGCCGAGGGGTTAACACCGCATGGACAGTGTTTCATGCGGTGAATACAAGCGCTCCTGTTTCCTTGTTGAAACCACTTATCAGCTGATGAGAGCAAGCGCACATTGTACGCGGGTAAAAGAAAGAGGGAACGCGTGAAAAGATGGCATCAGGATCCAAGAAAAACATTTCGATCGCTTTGCTGGTCGCAGACACGCCGCCGGAACCGGTGGTGGCCGCTTACGGCGATTACGAGAAGATCTACAAGAACTTCCTCCAGCAGTCTGCAAACACCGTGAAGCGTCATAGATGGCAAGAGAGCCTCGACCTGCGAATACGGCCGTTCGATGTCGTGCACAAGCAGGAATACCCGGATGAAGGGCAGCTATCGGACGGCCTATGGGATGCCATCATGATCACTGGCTCCGCTTCTAGTGCTCACGCAGACGTTCCCTGGAGCAACAAGCTGGTCCAATTTGTGGCCAAGATCGCAGAGGAGCACCCGCTCGTGCGCATTATCGGTATCTGTTACGGGCATCAGATTGTCGGCCGTGCATTCGGCGCAGAAGTTAAGTTGAACCCGAGAGGGTGGGAGGTGAGCACATATGTGACTTTCCTTTCGAGCTCGTTTTTACTCGTGAACTCAAAAAGGATGTCCGTGATTGCAGGTGGGAGTGTACGATGCGCAGATGACTGAAGAGGGCAAGGAGTTGTTGAATTGGGAGCCGGAAGAGTCAAGCTGCCTTCGGCTGCAGCAAGTCCACCGTGATGAGGTCATAGAACTCCCGCCCGATTTCAACGGAGAGGAGTTCATCAACTTGGCGTCCACGGCTCGCACTCCTATCCAAGGCATTGCGTTGCGCTACCCAACAGAATGTCCACCAATTCCGAGCGTAGTGAACACCTCTGCTTACCTCGCCTTCGACATCTCGGACAGCGGGATATCGTCGTCCGGGCCATTGCCGGCACGCTCGCTGCACGTCCTCACTACCCAAGGCCATCCGGAGTTTAACCGGGAAATCGTGGAGCTGATCATGTCAGTCAAGACCGAGATGGGTGCCATCACGGGCAATCTGCTCGAGGAAGGTCTGCAAAATGCGCAAAAGGAACACGATGGTCTCCGAATGGGGGCCATCTTCCTCGCAATGCTAGGATACGAGAGAGCCAAAGACGAAGGGGGTCACTCATTTTAGCCGAGCGCCCCACAGCATGCGAGCTTGCAGCATCTGTGCATTGCTCGATGGTAGATTAATTCATTCCTGAGTCAACCAAATTTTTATAGGAAACCAAGGGGACATTTGCTTCTTAATCATCATTTATGTCTGCAAGGTTGCCTACATCGACGGATTTCCGTTCTGAAGTGGGTATGCCCTCGCTCGATTTTGCCTTCCTTGCAAGCATGGACCAGCATGCCTCATCAAGGCAGACCCGAAGATATGCATACCAAGGAAACTTTTGCGTATTCCTGGTGCACATCTGTCGCCCCAGGAACGGAGATGTGACCCATGCTTGCGGTTTCCGAAATGTCGAGGCTGAAAGTCTGTGTCTCTCCCTTGTTGATCTTCTCCGTACGGATTCCAAGCAAGCGTGGCCATGGGTGGATACCCACTCTTTTGCCAAATAGCTGCCCAATCCGCTTCTTGGTTGAAGCTATCCCACTCCTCCTGCGTCGCTGGCAGCATCCACGGGTGGTTCACGCGAATCTCTTCGCGCGCAACTTCATCCAGCAGCTCAATGACTCGTTGCCGCGCTTTCGCGCTGAGTTCGCCAAGGGCCATCAGGTTGTAAAGGTCCAAGTTTTGCGATATCATCACGAGCACCTCTTGTGGAAGCTGCTTCATGTTAGAGCGACTTGAATGTGGGGTCTCTGTCTGCTCATTGCCAGCCCATGATGCGTGGGGATAGAAAGGTTCGTACTGAGCATAAGCCTCTGTCACTGGGAATCGGTCTGTCGGCGCGGTGAGGTGGAGTTGTAGTCGCCGAAACCAGTAGCGAACCTTTTCCTCCAAGCGTGGGCCGTCGATGCGCAGGCGAAGATCCCACCATAGCTCCTCAAGTTCCTCGGGGTGAATGGATCGCTGCTGTTGAGCGCGATGATTACAGAGTGCGCTGTAGACGCTGCCATCGTTGCTGAACGGCAGCAAGCTCAACGCTTCTTGGTCATTGTTCCAGTCGCCTCGTCGCATTGGCGTGGAACGAATGATGTTGTAGGACCTGTCTGGGTAGTTAAGGCACATCCCAGAATCGTCCAGATAAGGAATGAAAAGATTTGCTAGAATCGATTCAGGTTCATATCGTTGACGCAGTTGTGCTGTCTCTTGTAGGCTATGCAGCATCAGCGCCATCTCTTCCGGTGTGAAGAACGGTGTACCCTCATGGTCGAAGGCAGGTGCACAAGGCAGCTGTATCCCAGCATCGTTCAGTGCCCGGCAAAGTTGCTTCGCGTTGAACGCAAGGCCAGCCGACAACGTTTTTGACTCGCCATAGGGGTGGCATTCAGACCGTGGGATGGGGGATGCGATGCTGCGCGACTGAGAATGAAGCTGCTCGAGGGGATCGGCTAGGAGTCGCTGCTTTGATTTCCAGCGGAAGCAAGCCTCTTGTGCTGAGTTGCGAGCGGGAAATGCGGAGATCGTCCAAGTCTGATAGAGTAGCGGCTGAGTCTGCGTTCCGCGAGGCCAGAGCGTCCATCCATGCTCACCTCGATGATCTCCCTTTTGGAACTGGCGACGAGGCCTCTCGTCATGCAGCGTATCTTCTCTGGCCCCTCCCCGGTGCCAGAGCACGTCACCGAGCCCATAGCGCGCTTGGCATGGTATACTTCTACCTTAAATAGGTATGCCACTCCTTGACAGCTGAGATGATTCGATTTCGTATTTCGCCAGTAACGTCGTTACTTTCTAGAGCTCAGCGCCTGCCCAAAATGTTGATAGAACTGGAAAGGATGATGAGAACAGAAGGAGGTAGATCAAACGCATGAAAAAAGGAGGTGGGCTGCCCCATCGTTGAATCTTGAGCCGAGTAGTACCTATACGGTAGAGGTTTGCAATGTCAATGATTTCGTCAAGCCGTTTCGAGCAGCTTACTGCCAAGTGCAGAGCGCGGGGCTATAGGTTATAGATTATATAGCCCTCTTCTGGCGATTGAAGATTGCCGCTTGACAGCTGTTCGCCCCAGTCCGGCCACTCTGCCCACTGGTTGACATCAATTGATACAAGCATATATGGATAGTTGAGCATATATGACAGACGTCAGACCTGCTTGTAACTTCGTACATATATTTGTATCCTGAGACTTCAATGATGCACATGTACTGCACCTACATCCTGCTGGATTGGAGAGTAGAGGAGAGCCCGGTCGAATGAGCTCAAGCCGCACGTGCTCATGCAATGGATCAATGGCGGCATTCTATAACGAAACTGGACGAAGCTCTTGTATTTTCTTCCATCAATGACACACTGAGAACTGACTACTGACCATATATTACCTACTGAAGGCAAAACCCGTTCACAGCATACAGAGCGTTCAAGGGTTTTGTCTGTGGGCATGTTGCGAGTTTTGAATATCGGATTGTCGGGATACCGCACTGTTTGATACAGCACCGGGGTCTGTGGGACCGTTCACATTTCATGCTTTCACGTTTCAAAGTCCATAATTTTATGTGCATACTCTTTGCATATCCTGTGTCTCACTTTTTTGGCTGGCAGGCCGGGGCCTCCAGAGACTACTTTGCCGGAAGCAGAGCGAACAGGTGCGAGTCACTTTCTGAACAGAAAGAGCATTGGTTAGGGCCTAGATACAGTGAGGGAATGCGATGAGATGCGCGTGACTTCTATCTATATGATGCGATAAGGTTGTTGCACACACCAAGACATGCTGCGTATGTCAAACAAGGATGCTGATTGATGGACGCTGAACCCGTTCTGTTTGCTACACTTGCCGCTGCAGCCGACCGCTTCGAGGGCCACTCCTGGGGACGACCAACGGTCGACTGGCGACACGTTTCACGGTGCCATCCGCAACTTCATGCTCCCCATGTCATTGTAGAAGTCCACACTCTGATCAATATAGTATCGTTCATGCTCTGGCGAATGTTGGTGTGGCGCTACCCTCTACTCTCTGACCTACAGAACAAAAATGTGCATGTATAGTGCTGCATTGATTGCAGGCCTTGGCGTGCTGTCGCCGCGTTCGATCGAGGTGCGATATGTTTGTATAGTGGTGCGCTTCGAGTATTTGATTGAAGGAGAGGATTCTCGTGGATTGGTGGAGTCAGAACAACAGCATTGGGTCGGAGGCTCCGATTTTTTTTAGTTTGCATTGTTCGGCTGCCGTGGCTCCGCCGTCAACGGAGTGTGAGACGTGAGACGTGAGCCGGCCAGTCTATCAGTCGGCTGTCCATGCCGTCAGCGCAGCTCTGCCGGGCTGCCGCTTGGCGCCGCGACAGTTGCCGTAACGACGTGGTACGGAGCAACAACTTCAAACTTATGTATCTCGGCTGCAACGGATGGAGGCAGCGCGAGCCGTCACCACCCACGCACAAAACCCTCAGTGAGGTGTTCATCCTCTTCATAGTTTATAGGGAGGGCCTCACCCCTTAAGGGCTTGCGGGGTGTTGGAGCTAGGGTAAATTTCATCCAATCTTTTGCCGCACACCGAAGAAAAAGTGCCTGGAACACCCCCAAAGGGCGTTAGGGAACTTACTGATGAATTGCGGGAATCATTTTATACTCTGAGATCCAAAGGGTCATGCTGAAGAACCACTTGGATTTTTTTAATTTAACACACCCTGAGGAGGTTCGCATTCAGGTTATTTTCACCCGTTCAACAGTTTTTTTATCCAAGATTGTTCATTGGTAAAGAAGATGGATCGCACGCGACAAGATTGCTGGGTGCCCTCCACCACTGTCGTCGGGCTATCCCAAAAGGCCCAGTGGGAAGGTCAGTCAGTTGCGTCATCGCCACAATGGTGTTCCCGAATGCTTGCTGACCTCGTTTCACCTGCGGCAGCCCAATGAGCTTAGCTAGATCAACGATCAGCTTCGCGCTGCCTGAAGTAACCGTGCGGTCAAAACACATGACGTGCCAGGACCCAGGTTCTGATTCATGATTAAGGCACCCTAAATAGAGTTTTTGAACTGTCCCTGGCTGACTCAGTCTCTGTCAGAGCATGCCGACTGGGCTTGATTGATCAGCAACTAAAAGTGTAGGTATCTCGCAAAGTCAAAGAAGGTGCAGGGTGAGAAACGGCGCTGACGGCTTGGGTGGACACGCTTTGGCATGATACACTTCGTCTTGATTATCCATCTTCGACCTCAATATATGCGGATGAATATTGCATTCCGTCGTCCATCCTCTCCTGACATGGAAGGAAGCGCGCTTTGGTGGATCTCAAAGAGAGTTCAACCTTGTTGCAATTTGGTACATCTCTCTTAGTCAAGGATAATGATGTCATCCTCCGGCGCCCCGCCAGCCGGCGGAAAGAGCGCTCTTCATGTATTGAGTACGTGTACATACTCATACAATATTTTCCTCTCGTCTCAATCAATCTCTGCTCGTAGGGGCGGTGCTACAATTTACGAGACTAGGCTACTGTGTACCACTAGGTTGCAACGCCAGTCCAAAGACCAAACAAAGGATCCCAGCATAGTGGTCAATGATCGTGACGAGATTCACATATTAACAAGACTTAGTGACAAGTTATGCTCATAATTTGGTACTTGATGCTTGGTGCTTTTGCGGGTAGTCCAACAGCCACATCCGCGGAATTAACAAAACGGCTGATCACGTGACCATCACGGTGATTGGGTGACATCACTGGAGCAATCACGGACACCAATTCATGCGCATCACTTGGCGAATCACCGCATTAGTCGTCGCACACACTTCGTAGATCGACTTACTCATCAGAGCCAGTGAAAGCCCCTACCAGCAAGCAAGTTGCTTGAATCGGAAAGTGTTCCACTCACAGGAGACACTTGTATATACGCATTCATGGCCGGGTATTCTCCGACGAATTGAGCCATTTGAACACCATCGATTCTCCAACGTGGCACACGCGTCCCATGGTTGCGGGATACCTTCAGGCGACTTCTCGCATTTCTCACGTTGCAAGCCTATTCTCTGCATCTCCTGCTGTTTTAACGTCCAACATGGCTACCAATACTTCGCCAGTTCCTCAATGGAAAGAATTGATCACGCAGACGACCGTGGCCCACCGCACCAAAGAAGAGGGGTCTGTTTGTACGTCTCAAACTACACACTTCACCATGCTATGTAGTCTCGTATTGACCACGCCTTACCTTCGCACTTGACGGCGTATGCAGTGTATTACGTTCTCAGCACCGTGAACCTTGGACCCTCTATTCGTCCACAAGCCCGCTATGTTGTCCATCGCGGCTTTGTCAATGAGCAGCGCTCCAAGACGACTGAGTCTGGCGTCGAGCCGGCCCAGGCAGATTACGGGATGAACACATGCTTGCTCACCACCACGGACATCCGTTCGCCAAAGGCCCAGCAGATCCTCAAGCAGCAACAGCAGGAAGGCGAGGCACATGTTGAAATTGCTTGGTGGATGGAGAAGGCACAGCTACAGGTGCGATCGACGGCAAGTTGATCATATCTGAAACCGGCGGCTAAGGATGACTTTTATGTTCTAATCAGTTCCGACTCGCTTGCACCGCCCACCTTCTCCCTCACGCTGACAATGAGCATTATATGGGCTTTGATGGTAGCAAGCTGGTGCCACCTCCTGCCTCGCTATCGTCCAAGCGACCCACGTCCTTCGACTGGGCTTTTGAACGCAGCCGAATCTTTGAAAAAATGAGCCTCGGCTTGCTCGCTTCCTTTGCCCGACCCACGCCAGGCAGCGAGCATCCAAACGGCAACGAGATCGATGCCGAAGGCGCTGGGAAGGACCACGAAGATGGATTGAATGACAAAGCGAACCCATGGCCTATGGAGTTGCCCAAACCCGGAGATGCGGAAACGAAAGCTGACCAGGATGCACTGGCTCTGTCGGACAAAAAGTGAGTTTCACACTGCACTGGAGCTTTCTTAGCACTTGCTGACAATTGCTTTGTTTTTTGAACGCGCCGCCCAGCTTTGCATTGGTAGTGCTTGCGCCTTACAAAGTCGACGTGTTGGATCTTGTTCGATCGAAGCGTAGCGTCTTTGAGCTCCAGGGCGGACGCAGCGGAGGAAACGAGCACTGGACGGCAAAGAGAGTGGTTCCATAGACCGCAATCCTGCCTCCACTTCGGGCTTGTTGTCTTTGACTAATCACGTGGACTCGAAAGGATAGCATTCGAAAAGGTCGTGCACATGACGTTAGCATTGAGCGCAAGGTGACAGTGGGTAAAATTCATCAGCATTCAGAGGGCGTGCGCATTTGACGGTTGTGTACCGTTACGTCCCATGCTCCGAGTGCGCCTGCGTTGTGTGCCATCCCCGACGCAGCAAGCTTACCTCGGCTGCTTACTCCGGGCACAGCAACCGGCAGCCTGATCGAGAGAGCCTGTGGGAGATCAAGGCAATTCACATGCACTGTCCCACCGCATCACGCACGCAGGGACTAGCGCGGTGCGCTCATTATGGCATATGCAAATGGGTGTCTGCGATGAGCTGTCGGCTTTGGCTGCCACCCTTGCTTCCTCTTGCCCACAGCCTGCAGCTGGGCGTTTCGCACTCGCTCGTGCTGCCACAAGGACGAAGCAGCGTGGTGTAGTTCATATCGAGCTTGCAGGCCCATCAGAGTTTCACCGCTGCAGTGGTACACCCAATCGAGTGAGGGGTGCAATGTGATCGCGCGATACGTGGTGAGAGTGATAACTGATGACTACTCATGCAACGAGACGATGGAGGGCTGCGTGAGGCGCCAAAAGGGACACTTTTTTGGGATCCACTTTGCCCAGGCTATAGCTATGTGATTATTGGCAAATGCGATTGGTTGTGTACGACCACGAATCCCGTAGCAAGCTGCATGAAAGCTTTGGCATGCATGCGCTCAACCAACAGGACCGCACATCGGTGGGTTAAGGACGAGGGGCAGCATGCGGTAAATATCAGCTCGATCGACAATAGCCTTGAACTCTCCCTCACCACTTTTTGAAGGGCCGCCGAATTACCCTCACCTGCTGAAGATGGTCATGCGGTACTGCGCTCGAATCGTCCATCGCTCCTTTCGCCGAGTCGAACATGCCGCAGATTGGCTCACAGGAAGGGCAGGTCCAGTGTTTGTGCTGCTGTGCACGGCCCTGGTCTCAATCGGAGCATGGTCTTTCTGTGAGTGGGCACCAACCATGTTGACCGAATAAGAGCCGCAACCATCTCTGACAGTCAGCTTGTATCAGTCACGACGATGTTCTGCACATTGGCAACGTTACCCCCTACGTATGCGAGACTAACTTCGCGTGGATCTAAAAGCAAGTTCCTTCAGTCGTTGCCGCCAGCTATGCTCGAAAGCTTCGCGCGAGATCCACTCGTAACATCGGTCTTTCATCTGAACCTCGCCGCATGCTGCTACATTGTGTACTCGATCTTCTTCCACTACTACATGGCGGCAACAGAGCCGCCAGGAAGTGTCACCGAAGGCCTTTCATCAGTGCTGAGAGAGAAGCGTAGTGGAGAAGGCAGCAGCGCATGGTGGGCTAGCGTAAGGACGCGAGCAGCGCGAGCGAGTACAGCAACTGTGAAACGACGAGCTCTTGTCGTTGAACCCGCGATACCCATGTCGGTGCTCAAATCCAACGAAGAGCACATAGACAACATCATGAAGAAGACAAAATCGACCTCGGATGCGCGTGCAAAGTGGCAGGCTTCAGATGCTATTCAAGAGACGAATTTACCCCTACATGCGCCGACGGCTGCATCGTCTCATCAGGCGGGCGCATCGCCGGCCTCCTCTTCTTCACACGAACTGCATCGTTTGAACGACTCGTTTGGGCAATCGCAGATGCAGAGCCGCCACTCGCACCGGTCCAGCTCGTCCACTTCGAGCGTCGCTTCGTCTCGGGCGACAGGAGTTACCGGGCATAACCTTCTCGCTCCGCAACCGCGACCAGGTGCGATTCGAAACCTGTCCTCGGCTGCAGTAACCCGTGCGTCTCCGAGCCCTCCACCAAGAAAGTCATGGGAGTCGTTGGAGGCGCACGAGCGAATCGCGGACCACCTGGACGAAGACTCGGACGACCTCTTCCCACTGTCAAAGATGTGCACGAAGTGCACGCCTGTGCCGCTGTCGCGCGCGCTGATCTCGCTTCCTCCGGAATTGCGGCTGGTGGAGCGAGCGCTCCGGGGCAAACGCAAGAGAGGGCCATCAGAGGCGCAAGACGACGTCCTTGCTGATGATGAGGGCAGCTTTCGCATGGACAAGCTCGGGCCTCCGGGTTACGATGAAGACGAGGCTGGAGTGGCGGATTGGCTTGGGGAGCCGGACGCGAGCAAGTTGGTACCTCCGCCCAAGCCTGAGCGAACGCATCACTGTTCGATATGCAAAGCGTGTGTTCTGAAATATGTGAGTTGGTACATTTTGATTATATGGGAGCGCGTCGCCTGAGCTCACTTGGCTGTCCGCATGTTCGGCTCGCTAGGACCATCACTGTCCGTGGCTAAACCAATGCGTTGGGCTCGGCAACGAGCGCTACTTTGTGCTTTTCGTGGTCTGGTTGGGCCTTGCATGTGTCATCATCACCGGTTCGGGGTGGCAGGTCGCTTACTTGGCTGTGCAAATCAATGAGCCTGTGGGTCCTTTCTCAATACGTCGCATAAGCTGACTGGACGCTCACGCGTGGTGCCCAACCACCCTCGTTTCCCCAGTGGCCGCATGCATATACGCCGCGCGTGTTTGTTCTTCTCACCTGGCTACTCGCCACCATCATGGCCGTCGGGCTGGGCGTCATGTCCATCTGGCAGCTTGTGCTCGTTGCGCATGGCGAAACGAGCGTCGAGTCTCATGATAACGCGCATTACGATGCGCTGGCCAAGCGGCGCGGGCAAAAGTTCATCAACGTCTATGATCTGGGGCCGCGGCGCAACTTGGAGTTATTCTTCAATGTCGGCGAAGATTCGAAATAGTGAGTTGTATGCTGTTCCATGTGTCCATGCCACACAGACGGTAAAGAAGCTCACAAGTCCTTACGTTGCAACTTGCTCGCATGGTCACAGTTCTTATTTCTCCATCTTGCTACCCATCAGGGTTCCTCCCTATTCGGATGGGTGGCACTGGGCGAAGCGGCGCGGGCTCGGGGGTCGACATGCAGGCATTGAGGCAGTGGAGGAATTGACGGACGACGAGGGACCAGATTGACATGCATGCGGCGCAATGTGGTCAGCTTGACCGCGCGTTGGCTTGCTCTCACGTTCTTGTACAGCGTGCACATATTGCGACTTACTGTAATATATTTAATACTACTTGGTACGAAGGTGTTATGCACGTGAATGCAGTTTGTTAGAAAGGAGACACAAGAGTCTTTGTCGCATGTCTCCCTCGGTGACTGTGCCCGGGCATTCCTGAAGGATGACGTTCGTTGTCCCAAAGTCTGTCCAATGTCCAGCTCTGCACCCCGCCACAAGTCGCGAGTGCGCATCGAGCTACTGACCGATGATCTCCAGACAAGAACCCATGAAAATACCGGACACCCAGACTCGTCAAAGTCGAAGCATAAAGACTTATGCGCACCATCTGCGGTCTGGGTTACCCGGGCGACACTAAGCCACTGCTGCGATTAGGAGAGTCACTGATCAGACCAGGTCAGTGGTCATGCGGCCATGGACAGACGACAGGTGGTCAGAACGTCAAGCAGCGCGATGCGTATGTGGGCATGTACCAGGCTACCAAGGTATATTATAATACATGGGTCTGCTGGGATCTGGACGCTGGACTGAGGGGAGCACTGGTCACTGGTGGACATGCTGGTGCTGGAGCGGCCGTGTGAAGCTGCAATTATGCCTGAGCACTTTTGAGTACATCCATACACGCTGCACTACGCAAACTTTCATCCTTCTTCCGCCGATCACTGTGGGCCTGGAGACTGGCGAGTGTCTACACTGAACCTAGCTGGATCTCATATGTTGTCATAGGTCATTGGACCTCTTTCATACATGATACAGGCTACAGGGCCGTCTGGCGTTGGCAGGGCGCATCCTGGCCATAATAAGCCCTGCCGGCTGGCACAGCAACCCGAGCAGGCAGGCAGCATCCCCAGTATGGTTGGGCGTACATAACTGGAACTTGTACTGTTGGGAGTCTGTTTAAGTAGGCGCCTAGGACCCTGTCTTTGTTCATCGATTGCAGGAAGTTCGTGACAAGGTTCCTGGGATAATGATTTCCAATTGCCGCAAAAGGCGCAGAGCCGGGGGGGGGACATGAACAAGGCGCAGGCCATTCTTTTATGTGGCTTGTAGCACTCCTCGCTCTACATACGGATGATAACCGAGGCAATCTAGCCTTATTCACATCGCTAGCCTTTATGGTGTTCGCCTTTATCACACCAACTGCAGATCCCCCTTCTCCCGTTTGGCAAGCCATTCCTGGCCCTTTCGTCTGGTGGCTGATGGGGCGATGCCACTGAGATGGCGATGGATAGAACAGCTGCATTTTCGTCTTCAGCGCGGTCCTCGGGAGCAGTAACAAAACAAACGGGACCTGAACGGTTCAGCTTCATGAGGTAGTGTGCTGTTGTGTCCATTAAGCTGTTCAACAGGTGCCAGTCCATAATCGAAAGTCATCTGTCCTGCTTTGCTGCGCCAGGCCACTCCAATTGCCTCCTCCCATCTTCATCTTGGCCATCTTGGCGAGCAGTCCGCACGAGCCTCCCTCTTCGCTGGCCATCCCATTAGCCTCCTCAAGCGATCCGTGGCTTTCAATTTTTGAATCTCGTCCTCGCGGCTCCCTCATCCTACGACCCAAATCCCAATCTATCCCAACCAAAGACATTTTTCCTCACAGAAGACCAAAAATTGACAAACAGCTCGCAACATGCACCTGCTCGCACTCGGTTCGACTCTCGACTCTTCGGCGATGGGTGAGAGCAAGGGGAGCAGCTTGAAGCTAGAATCCACCTTTATGCAACTTCCATCTCCATACCCTCAAAGTGCAAATCGAGTGCAGAGTGTGAATTACTGAATTTCGTCTGAATCGACCACAACCACGAGTCAAACATTCTCAATTCTCATCCGATCACTGAGCATGCGTCTGTCCTCTCATGTCCCAGGCATGCATCTGCATAGACCTGCCTGCCTGCATAGAGATTCGAATACAGCATGCGTATAGTTTTCCTGATATCATTTTTGCGCCCTACTCACGGCTTATACCTGATGCGCAACATGTCAAACAAAACTTTAGGCTGTCCAGCCATTGCCACACCAGCGTCGGAGTATTTTCCTCAGCTCGGTACAGCTTATCGTCTAGCCAGCCGTGTCTGCTGCCCATCTTTAGGGAGCACAGCAAAAAGGAGTGCTGCCGTTTATTCCAATTCATCGCTCAGTATACTAGGGCGACGCTCACAAGAAGCCGACATGACGTTCGATGGTCGGATTTGTACATAAAGCACAACATCGATGGTCCATCAGAGTCGTCCATTATCCTCATCTCATTCTTCCATTTTCCAGCAGCAGTTGCTCTCCAGTTGCTTCATCCTCTTCTTCCCAGCTCCTGTAGCCTATTCGCCTGCCTCCACCCATCCGCCCTCTTCTGTTCTTGCTCGTCAGTCATTCATCATGCGTTTCTCCGGCTCCTTTCTTGCCGGTGTGGCGACCATCACCGCCGCGGCGCTGAGTACCGGCGCAACCCTTCTTCCGAATGCAACATCGCTTTCTGAACGAGGTACAACATCATCTACCAAGCGTGGCCTGGCGTGGGCCGCAGACTCTCGCTGGGCACCCACCATCGCGAAGGGCATGATCAACTGGTACTGGCATTGGGAGGACGGCCCGCTGACGGTGCTCAATGGGCAAGTCGGTTCGCTCTAGAGGCGTGCACCTGACGAACGGAGTCATCTGACAGCTCTTGCTTCCAATGTTTCTTACGCGTTCGTATTCCGTGTTTGCAGCAAAGCTATAGAATACGTGCCCTGCTACTGGGGTCCCAGAAAATCCTCCCAATGGTCGCAGCGCAAGGCTGAATTCTCCAAGAACGGGCTCCCGGCGTATATTCTCGCCCAGAACGAGATCGACGTCAGCTCTCAGGCCAACCAAGGCGCATCCGACGCAGCAGCGACGTGGGCCAAAAGCTTGGCGCCGTACCAGGCGCAAGGCGTGAAGGTGAGTGTGATTCCGGCCGGCCCGCCGGCGAGCCAATACAATGTATATACGTGGGTCCTCATCACTGCCGATCGTACCGCGCTGTGCTACGTTACTTTATTAGATCACCTCACCGCAGATTGTCTGGAATGTCAAGCTGCTACAAGAAACTGCCTCGATCCTCAAATCACAATACGGGTTGGAATGGGATGTGACTGCAATCCACTGGTACGGCGGCTCTGATTCAAAGAGCCTGGCGAGTTTCAAGTCGTACGTGCAGAAGGTCCGCTCTGCATTCCCGAACAAACCAATCTGGGTCACCGAACTTGGCGTGACAACCGCTTCGGGCGGGACGCAGGACCAGGTCAAGACGTTCCATATGAACGCCATCCGCTGGCTCAACTCGCTGGGCTACGTCGACCGCGTCTCGTGGTTCGGGTGCTTTGCTACGCCACCCGACAACTACGGCTCCAAGCTGAACCGCTTCTTCAACTCGAACGGCAGTCTGCGCGGCCTTGCGTACTGGTACATGTACACCAGTTAAAGCCCTTACGCCCATTTCTTGGCGATATTGGAGAAACAAAGTCGTGACTCTCCAGCACTGCTTCGACATCAGCATTCTCGCACATACATGGTCACATGCAGCTCATGGTCAATTTTTTCAGCATCTAGACATTATAGAATCACTCTCCTTTTCAAGGCGGTTTCCTTCACGTCATGGGTATTGACGCGTATCGCGGGCGACCGCGTCCAACATCAGTACTCCGCACCAGGGTCATCATTGCGCCACGGGTCACGTCGCGGCATTCTCGTGTTTTTAGGCTATCACACACCTGGCATCCTGCATTTCTCGCACCAATAAAAGGGCCTTGCTTCAGTTCTCACGATTCTGCATTCTAGCGTCAAGGTATAACTGCCAGCGCGTACATGCACTTTGCAATGTATACTATCTTGTCACTCGAGTTACACATGTAGATTACGCAAACACATCAAACAAACGAGCTGCTTTACCTTTGGACGGACGGCAGGAGCATTCATTCACCATCTCACATCTCTCGCACCACTTAGACTGTATTGTACATTTCGCATTCCTTGCTGACGCGGATACTTGCCCGGAATAAACAAGGGGGAACTCTATTACGATGACGAGCACGCCGGAAGGGCGCACAAGCAAAGGGAAAAGCAGAGTAGATATTTTATGTGTTCAAGGTCATCGATCGCAGCTTCCACTGATTACAAGGAGACTGAGTCATGAAATCAAAGACAACGACAGAGTCCAAACAAAGCAGAAGCTAAAGGAAAGAAGGAAAGTGAGAAGTAGTATTTTTGGATAATGGTGGTGGTGGCCGTCAATGACAATTTGCGGCTTTGCAGTGTGCGCAATCGATAGATCTGCGGATGCTGAAAGCGTGCAAGATAGTCGGGAGCCGCTCCCAGAGATCGTAGCCTTTAGCGAGCAGTGAGCAGCCCAGACCGGAGTAGTGCTGGCCTGCTTGAGCTCGAGCCAAAGAGAGAGACGTGAGGGAGATGGCATGCCATGGTGGTTGCAGAGGTAGTGTCAATCGAAGTGTGCGATGAGCCGCTTGCGGTTGACACTTTGGAATTGATGCCACCTGGCGGAGGCGCACGCGCTTGTGCTGTTATCACAGACGGTTCGGGGGTTCACGTGTACGTGTGCCACTATCAAGTGGGTGTGGCGACCGTGAGCGAAGTTGACAAGGCGCCTGTGTTGGTCCTAAGACGACAGTGGAGGGTATGGTTTTGAAAGATGAAAGGCCGTGTAGACAGAGCGGTGCTTAAGTTTTCCGGAGACCGAACAGGCTCGAGAAGCCGCGACTGGATGCCTTGGGCTTGGGAGATTGTTCCGCGCCCTCGTTAGACTCGTCTGTGTTGAACTTGGGTACGACAAAGGCGAAGCCGCTGTTGAATCCGTAGCGGTATTGCAGTTGCTCTTGGCTCAATTTAGCGGCTTGCTGCTTCTTGGAGACCGAATCAGCAGACGCAGTCGGGCGTTTGGTGGTGGTGAACTTGCGCGCAGAGCCCGTCAGCGAGTTGACATTGCTTCCTTCCATCTGCATACCGCTGACGCCATACATCCGCATAAAGTCCTCCGCGGAGAGGGAGATGCTCTTTTCATCTGACTTGGTAGACGTCGAGCTGGACGAGCTGACGGAAGAGGAGCTGGGCGAGTAGCGCGGGAGCTTGCCCTGGTTCTCCTTGTCCGACTTGGACGCCTTACTCATGCCCTTGGGAACAGGGAAAGCGAGCGAGCTGCCCATACCATACATGGACTGGATCATAGCTAGGCCGGCGGCGGGATCGCTGCGGGCGAGCGAGGCGGACTTGTTGAACTTCGTAGGCGAGACGAGGGTCTCGGCAGACAGGTTGGAGCTGGCGTAATCAGGGGAGACCATGGTGAATGACGCGGGTTGGGTGCTTGATTCGAGCAAGGTTGAGTGCAGTATGGTGACTGGTGCTTAGCTTGTTGCAGTGCAAGTGCGCTGTGGATAGAGAGTGAGAAGATGAGTGACTGAGGGAGGAGGGTAGGTGAAGGGTCAGGTCAGTCTTCAACGACGAGCTTGATTAAATAGACGGTTTCCACATTAATGCTCAGTCAGTCTTCATTATGCTCAGCGATTTTTTTAACAATGCGTAGCAAGAGAAGGCCAGGAAAACTGCGCTGTTGTAGCTGATAGTCTTTGATGACTTTGTTCATGTTGTTGGTCATAACACGTTCCCTTTGCGCTTCAGCTTGACGGTGCGCAGCTGACTCGAACGTAGGTTCGCGGCTGCGGATCGGTGGATTTGGTTCCCCGAAAGAGGCTTGCAACCTTTGCGAGCGCCGAATTCAATCAATCCAATGGCACAAGCGACGAGTCCCCAACCTAGCTGCTCCTGTTCCTTGCCGCCTCTCGGCTTCTTGCAGGGCCTGCGATCGTGGAAGTGAGAGCTGAGTCACGTCTCAGCGTCGGCTTTCGCACGACTGATGAGCGTTGCGCGCTGAGTCACATCCCATACATCAGCAGTGCTCCAGTGGGCAACATTCCGGGAACCTTTCAAGCCAAGCCGCTCGGCCCACGGCCCCGACGTCAAATCGTTGCACGGCGCCGCTATCGGATTCTAAACCTCTCACGGAATTAGGGTTGCTTGTAATCATGAGTCACTTCCCCCGTCAGCCTAGTACCACTGTTTTACAGGTTCCACTTGGAGCAAAGCAGAATGACTCAGGGTGGCTTGCAGTCCGGCGCCAACCCTTTGAGACTCGAGAGCGGCATATCGACCGCCATCAAATGCAGTCTTGCTGAACCTAGTGTGCCCTGGAGGCCCAGACTATCCTCGAGTAGTCCGGCTGCAGCGCTTAGGGGTATATTCGCTCGGCTGTTCACGTTCAGCACAGTCCCGACTTTTTATCCCTGCCATGCTTACGGGCGATCGCACGCGGCGTGATGCCAACAACCAACCAAACGGCAGGATGTCGATTGTGGGGCTATCGACAACGTCAGCACAGAGAACAGCAAATGAATGCACCAACCACTTTGTCTTGCTGATGCGGATGAACACAGAATGTGAAATTGCTGACGCGCACAGCCAACCACTCAATATACGTCGACAGCAGCGCATCGCGCCTTCACAGTCTGGCGGTAACCCAGAGTACACATATCGTGCCTCCATGTTGTTATTCCCGAGTTCGTCGCTCATGCCCATCGGTTCGTGTTGCGCTGCGTTGGTGGATTATTACAACGTAAAGAACAGCTCGTCACAAGGAGGAATAGAAATAAACGGCAAGACTTGACAGATATGCTCAGGGCATTGTCCTTATGTAATGTGATCGTGCCAGAATCTCATTGCACCGAATGCCGCGCCACGGCGAGCGCGATCTCTCCTCGCAACTTCTCGCCGCTTGCGAAGGGTTACACCGTTGCCTCGTCTGCAAGCCTGCTGCTCATTCTAATTGCCTTCGTGCATTTCCCCTTGTGCACATCTTTAGGGTATGCACGCCATACGTGCCCATTGAAGCTATATTAAAAAGAGGAGCGCTCTCCGCGCTGGCGGCTTCGACTTGCTTGCAAGGCTGTGTTATGGAGCCTTGAATTCAGGTTTCAGGATATAAAGAAAGCGAAAGGCGCCTTGCAACGAAGGCCCATCCGTGTCAAGCCCTGGCTGGCGTGGAGTAGCGTCGTTGCCCCTAGGACACATTCCTCGATTGACGCCGCATTGCAGAGGATAGAAAGAAGCGTGCGCTTCTGTTGCGGCCTTTGCGATCATGGTGGACACGCAGCCGCCTTTCGATGCCAGCAGCCCGCTCTGGGCTGACCTCAGCCCTGTCTATCAGCAGGAGTGCGATTCACCGCTTTGTCCAATCTTGTATGATCCCAAGTGTGAGCGGGAACAGGAAGACCCGGTGCCGCAAGCCGGATGCGCTATTGACTTGCTGCTCCCTGTGAAAATTATCGCACGTCTAACAGACTCCAAAGCGATGGACCTCTTTCGAGCGCTCACGCTTAAGCCTGAATACAGCGCGCGGGCGCTGGCGCTGACGACGCACCTGATTCGACTCAATCCATCCAATTACAGCTTATGGGCCTTTCGCGCGCGGATACTGCTCTCGGAGTCGGAAGCACACCAAGCGCCGATGACTGACGATGCGTTCGTTTTGCCACTTTCGACCTCATTGAGGGAACGGCTGGCGCAGGAACTAGACTTTATGGACGTCCTAGCGAAGGAAAATATGAAAAACTATCAAGTCTGGCAACATCGCAAAGTGGTCGTTGCGGAGTTGAGCAAGTGTGTCGCTGTGTCGCACGCCACGCATACAGCAGACGCGCAGCCATCAACAGCTGCCCAAGCGGAGGAGGAAGAGTGGAAGCAAGCAGCAGCGCGCGAGCTGTACTTTGTTGCGCAAACGCTCAGCCAAGATGCCAAAAACTATCATACTTGGGCGTACAGGCAATGGGTGCTGTGCCACTTTGGCGGTCTTCCGGACAAAAGAGGATATGATGCCGCGCAGGAAGCAGTTTCCGGCAGTATGACGGCCATTCGGAGAGCGACAGCCCGGTCGGTCTGGGCGGGCGAGCTGGCGTATGTAGAGATGCTGCTGGACGCGGACCTGCGGAACAACAGCGCATGGAACCATCGCTTCTTTACGCTCTTCGCCTCGGGCAGAGCCGCGAGCGACGATACAATAGCGTCATCAACACCGGCAGCAGCAGCACCAGACGCGGCGGCGCTAGAACCGGAGGTGCGGATGGTCCTCAGCGAAGTCGAGTACGTTCAGTCGAAGTTGCGCATCGCGAGAAACAACTGCAGCGCTTGGAACTATCTACGAGGAATTGTGCAGCGTCTCTTCTCCGATGGATCCCCTGGAGGGTCCACCGACGGATCATGCCAGCCGTCTGCGAGGCGGGAGCTAGCGACACAGATACGAAAGGAGGTGGACGCATTTGCGCACTCATTGATCCCAGAAGTCCCAGAAGCGCGAGGCCAGGATGTACCACTCGCGCTCGAATGGCTTCTCGACTCGGCAGAGCTGGAACTCACCACCTGCGGTCCTACTCGTTCGCGACGACTGATAGCGGAGGCAGAAGAGGTGAGAAGCGCCGCCCAACGCATGGAGTTCAACCCAAACCGGCAGTTTTTCGCTGATGCAGCTTTTTGTTGCGCTTCTCCAATGATGCGCGGTAGATCATCAAACGTATCAAAATTGCCGATCCGATGCGTACACGCTACTGGGAGTACAGACGCGCAGGGTTTCGTGCCGCCTAGCTGCATCGTCACCCCACATTCGCCCTTGCCTGGAGGGTGCCTTCCCGCGCATTTGCCTACCCTCCTCGCTGCTGTTTGTTCTTCTCACTGTATCATACTGACTGGCATTGACGACAACATGGGATCGTGAAGCTATGGAATGATGCGCTGACGACCTGGCATGTATGCTGTATATTGCTTATGAACCGACCTCGATTCTCGAAGGTTCTTTTGAAAGCAATGCGAAAGCCTCAGCGCTCGATGACGCTCGACTCTGAAAGTTCACATTAAAAGAAGCCGCCATCTTGCTTCAATGTCACAGCGGCGGATGCCAGCATGGTACTGCTGGCTGCACGCTGCACGCTGCGGAAGGCGAGCGTCATCGGCCCTCTTCGCGCGTACATTGCGCCCAGGAGTTGCAAAAGGACCCCCAGATTCGGTGCTGTGAGAGAAGTTGGTCTCCTTGCGCGCACGGTGCTCGATCGAACTTCAGTGAGTCAAGTGAAATGAAGTGAAATCCGGTGAATTTTGGAGGGACTGCGTTTGGGGAGAGATAACAGTGCACGCAGCACGAGCCACGAACTGTGTCATCTCTCGTACGAGAGTTAGAGTGCCAGCGGATAAGTGCAGCGGTCGGTACCAGCACGCAGCCCGCATGGGCAGCGAAGTGATCGACGCGATCGCAAACCCTTGTCCCGAAGATCAAACCAATCACGACCTCGCGCTCGCAGAGGATGTGAGAGAGTTGAAGGTGTGCGAGTGTCGTCGAATTTCGATCATCATCCTCCCACCGACGAAGATTGTCCGGCCTTTATATATACAGGCACCTTCACCTTCAGTTTCTTTGCATTGTAAACTTGCCTGGCCCCTTTCCTACCACACGCGCCACCCAACCCCTGCACCCTTGTCCTTGGGCGAACCATCGCCGCCCTCGACCACGTCGCCCACCATGTCCCACCTCAAATACGCCGACGCCAAGTGAGTCTTCCGTGTCATTTTACTCTTTCCCAAGACGGACACCGGTCGGGCTGTACTGCAGCTGGGGCTATTCTCGCTACATTATGTTGGGCATTAAAGCTCAAAAACAATCGAATTCCCTATTCGTTCTGCTGTGCTGCTGAAGCCAATCGTTGACCTCTCCACTTTTACCTGCAGGTACGTATTCCTTACAGACTTCGATGGCACCATCACTCTCCTTGTAAGGTTTGCGTATTGGCATGTTACTCGGCGCGCAAGCGACCTGACAATACGCATGCTTGCCTCTCTCGCACATAACCCTTGCAGGATTCCAATGACCACATGGTCGACACGTGCGGTATGGGCTACATAGAGAGGAGAAAGATCAACGAGAAGATCGTCAGCGAGGAGGTCTCTTACCGCGAGGGCTTCAAGCAGATGATTGAGTCTGTACACAAGCCCTTTGATGAGATGAAAGAGCTGGTCCGACGAGGTGAGCTTTCCCCCAGCATGTAATCGAAGGACTGTTGGGCTGGCTTTTGTGCCTTCTGATTCCCTTTTGGCTAAACTTGTTGGCGGCTGTAGATGTCACCCTCGACCCTGGGTTCAAAGAGTTCCACTCCTTTGCCAAGGGAAACAATATCCCTATTATTGTCGTCTCCTCTGGTATGACTCCCATTATTCGCGCCATTTTCTCCAACCTGATCGGACAAGAGGAGGCAGACAAGATTGACGTCATCTCCAACGAAGTCATGTTCACTGATCCCGAGGGAAAGGGCAACACCTGGGAGATCGTATACAGGCACCCGGAAAAGTGGGTACCGAGGGTCTTCTTCCGACTGGAATCTATTGGATGACATGCTGACGAGCGAGCTTCAACTCCTGCACACGTTCTCAGCCACTACGGCCACGACAAGAGCCTGTCCATCAAGCCGTACCGGGAGCTCGAACAACGACCGACGCTCTTCTTCGCTGGCGACGGAATTTCGGACATGTCCGCTGCGCAGCACGCGGATGTCCTCTTTGTCAAAGACAAGAAGGACAATGACCTTGGAAAGTACTGCGACAACAAGGGCTAGTGAGTCCATTTGCATCGCTGACAATCGCACCGCCATACGAGCGTCAGCCCTTCGTTTTAGAAAAGAAGTGCTGATTAAATGTTTCCGTTCGCCGCCCATGAAGCCCATATAGGCTGTTCAAGGACTGGACCCAGATCAAAGCTGACGTGCAGCAGATTATCGAGGGCAAGGTAGAGCCGAAGGACGTCATGACGGACCTCGGAAAGACCACCGGCAAGGCATCTGCTTGAGTCACAAAGTAGCCCTCAAAGGGGCATGTCTTTTTGTTTAGAGCGCGACTAAAAATCGCCCGCCCGTCCGCTTTGATACGCTAGTATGACGCGTCTTCGTTCTCCGGCCGCCGGTGTGCGACACATGTGATGTGCGTTCCAGGGTGCACATTCTCGTCATGCACTTTTGTGCAAGGAGGGTGGGGCGAAGTCCCACGTCGACTTGACGATACGCTCGAGTTGCGTTCGACATAGTCGCCGCTGGTGTAGAATAGAAAAAAGTAATCTGAAGTCCTACTAGAGCTTGAGAAGGGAGCGAGCATGCGGATGGGTGGCCATGCCACTTCGTAATGCCAAAGAAGCGAACCAGCTCAATTTATTGAGGGTCGTTCGTGTCTATGCCAAAAGGGATGAGCAGTTCTTCGTGGCGCAGGGTGATATGCACAATGACGTATCGCACAAGGAGCTGCGGCAAACTGTGGCGCACCCCCCAATCAAGCCATTAATCTACCTTTCATCTCGATGTATGTCTCCCACGTGTGCATTCTCACTTCTCTATCCTGACAATGCATCGTCACCCTCGCATTGACAAACAGAAGATTTACTTTGGAAGTCACCTTCAGCAATCCGCGAAAGCAAGGCAAGATGGCGTCGATCGCAATTCCAAAAGTTGAAGCGTTTCAGCTCATTGGCACAAACCATGTCCCCTTGGTCCAAAGTGTCTTACAGCTCTCTATTCCATTTTGCGGCACCAGAGCTGAGCAATAGCGAGGAGGGTTGCCTGCTGAATGGCAACCAATCTTGGCCATTCCGGTCGGTTATAAGGCACATCTTCCTTGTACCGCTCGTCCGTCATTGCCACACATGCACAAGAGGAGAAAAGGCATTCGTGTCATATAGACCTGCCGAGTCCGACATACGCAGAGGATGATGTAGTGCGAGCGAAGATCGAAGTTTCGTCCAACGCAAATGCTAGCAGTGCCACTACTAGCAAAGCAAAGCATGGATTTGTATTGCACTTTCTTCTGGCATTACATTACAAGGCTCTTCAGTATAGAAACTGCGCGACCGACTTCGAAGGTCACCTGATGAGTGCTGGGCTCTTGTAAAAAGACCTTTTGGCATCCGCAAAAGAGATGTCCGCGTTCATGCGAGAAAGCAGCTCAGCAGCGAATTCGTCTCGTGCACAAGTGCGCACGTCCCAAGTGTGCCGTTCGGGCTATTGAAAGCCGAGATGCAGGAGAGTGGTCTCGCCAGCGATGGGGCCACCAGCACAGCAAAGGTGGCACGCGAGATGACTGGCTCGGCACGCTAGAGGACTCCCACCGCTAGCCAGTCGTTATCAGGTTGGACAGAAACCGCATGCGAGTATCTGGGAGGAAAAGCGGTCGAAGTGCGTGGCACCTTGGGTCTCAAGCCAGAAGGTAGAGGCTCCAGGGAAACGGGGAGCAGCGACAGACCAGAGTACAGGGCAAACAACAAAGGAAGCCGAGGCTCCACTCGGTACATCCATCAGCTCACCCGCCTCTTGACTGGTCTCAACGACCAGTGAACATGCTACGCGCTTCCTCAAACACGAGTCTGCATCAGACTCGGCCATGCAAGCCGCCTGATACTCAGATACAACTGTAAAGGATTGCGGAGCCGTCACCGCCGATGCGATCGTCGGGAGCACCGTCATACAAGGCCCCATGACCGCCAAAGGTGCTTTCGAGGAGGATGGTGACGGCCGGCAATGCTTCTGGAGCCGCATTGGGCGACTTGGGGAGACGAGCGGCTGTGAAGGCAGAGGGCGTGACAAGCTGGATATTACGCGATGGACGCTTTGGACTGTCGCAAACGACTATAATACAGTTTCCGCCCGGAGTGCTCAGAATGAGTGTTCGGTGCTGTCACTGCCCATAGCACTGGTCCCCGAGGTACCGCTGCTGATTGTCTGGAGCATGCGGTCAGTGTACGCGGCGCCGCTCCAAGCCTGATGCTTGAGCACATCCGTGCCAACCTCCTTTTCCTTCCTCTGGATCAGGTTGACATACGCTAGCATGCCGTCCGTCTTGAACGCCTTGCTGAGCTCGGCAGTGATCGTCGCGCCAGAGTGCAGCCCAGCAAGCGAGATGAGCTGCAGGACAAAGCCGCTCTTGGCAAGATCCCAGACAAAATTTTTGAGGTCTGCGTCGGAGAAGCCGTGTGCGGACCAATTGAACGAGGGCGAGAGGTTGTACACGAGCCACTTGCCGGGGAAGTCCTTGTGGATGTCAGCTGCAAAGCCTTGCGCTTGCTTAAGGTCTGGTATCTTGGTCTCCAGCCAGAGCATGTCGCTGTATGGCGCAAAGACCTTGACGCGAGTGATGGCGGCCTCGACGCCACCCTTGAAGTGGTAGTATCCCTCCTTGGTACGCGGTAGGTTCCAGCACCAGTTCGGTACACCCTTCTCGCCTCCAAAGACCTCCGCTGCGACGGTGCGTGCGTTAAGATTGGACACGGCAACATCGGAGGATGCGATCCGCTGCTTGTATTCCTGAATACCCGACTCGTTGCCGACATTGTGAAGGGCCACCGCCTCGTCAAACGTGACGAGCTCGCACTGGTCCATCCACGCTTTTTCGACCGCATCGACCTCCGCGCCGGTTTTCCCGCTTGCCTCTGCGTGCGCCAGCGCCTCTGCGAGACTCAAAGTCCCTGCGGGCAGATTGTAGGCGCCCTTGATGAACGCGTGGTCCCTGTAGTCGATGTTCGAAGAGATGAGCTTGGCACTCTCCGAGTCTGTGCGCGCGATGACGAGGTTGGAAACACCTAGCACATCCCAAGCGAGACGCGTGGCAGTCAGGCGGTTGACATGCTCTGAGATGGGAACGAGAACTTTGCCAGCCTGATGACCGCACTTCTTACCGCCGTGCAACTGGTCCTCGAGATGGATCGCAGCCGCACCGTGTTCGGCGAAGAGCTTGGCCAGACGAAGCACGGTGCTGAGTCCACCATGACCCGTATCGGCATCTGCAATGATCGGTTTGAGGTAGTCGACCCAGGGGGTCGTTTCACGCTCCTGCTTGCTGAGGCTGCATCGCTCATCCCAGTGCTTCCGGTCATGGTGAAGCTGTGCCTTGAATAGTCGCTGCACCTGATTAGGTACAGTGGTGTAAGGGTAGTCGGCCAGGTCGGGGCCAACCTCGTTGTTGCAGGTCGTCAACACCGACGAGCACGCCCATCCAGAAACGTAGACGACTTCTTGATGGTATGCCATTTGTGATTGTTGCACAGGATCGATGGCGCCCATAGTGTGACAAGGTGTACCTTCAGCGGCGTGCTTGGATAGGATAGAAAAGAGCTTGTCTGCGAGGAGCGAGGATTGTGGTGGTTGTACAGGCATGGTTCCTCGTTTCGACACGACGTCGGCTGGGCCATATGGCCGCTGTTCGACAGAAGGCGCAAGGGAAGAGTTAAAGAGTTAGGATCTTTGTCAGACAGGATATGCTTCCGCTCACACGCACCTTGATTCCCTTGAAGCGAGGACTGTCGAACCAAGCCTGCACATCCTGACAGGCTTTGTCGAATGCATGTTGCTCCTGCTGTGCATTTGGAGCCTGTAGCGGCAGTGGGGATGGGGGTGGCACGAGCGAGGTCGCATTAGTCGAGGACGAGGATGTAGCGTTACTCATGACGCGCGATGATGTCGCTAGAGAACGAGCTGAAATAATATGGGCGGCCTTCATTCCAAGCGCTTGTCGCCGAAGGACCGGTGCCTTCGATGAGCAAGCAATGGAAGATGCAGCAGAGGAGGAGGTAGCTGACCGGAGAAGCGTTCGTTGCAGCATGGTGGATCCCGATGAGGCGCACTCTGCGCTTTTCTAAGCTTTATCTGCTTGGCTGTTAAGTCTGCTTCTCGTAACCGACCGCTCTGCACAGGAGAGCAGGACAAGGTGGTGGCAGAGAAGGGAGGGGATAAAGTGTGGACCATGTAAGCCAGGAGTCGAGTCCAAGACTTCCATCCAAGGTGTCGAGCCTGGGCGGCACTTATCCATTGTGCAGCATCCAGCGACGAGATTGCCTGTTATAGCCGTGCTGATCCCCAGCTCCCCCCACGCCCCGCAACGCCCGCTGCGGAACATGGAACTCGGGACTCGGTACAAAGATGTCAAGCTTTGGAGCTATCCGCTGACCACAATCGTCGCTCTCCCATTGCACTTGAAAGAAGCAACAAGGTGGACCTGCATTCCAGCAGGGGCTCAAAACCGATAACGAGGGAATTACACGCTCGCCAAGGCAAGCGGCTGGCTTCATCCATCAGCGTTTTATCGCTTTGTGCCGCTCACCTTTGTCTTGCAGCATGGCACCCCGGAAGAAGAATCCGGCGATCAAGTCGTCTGGCGCAACTTCCTCGAAAGCGTCGCCGTTGCCTGACTGGGTGAAGAACAAGGACGTTGCCAAGCCGCCACCGTCGTATACCAAAGAGGGACGTCAAGGTGCCAAGACGGGCCAGTCGGGAGCCGAGCGGAGCCAAGGATCGAGGGGTAGCGGAAACGGCGATGCTCATTCCAATGGCAGTGCTACTGCCTCTTCGAACACAACCATCGTAGCCGCAGAATTCCCCAATGGCGAACGTGAACGCGATCCGCCAGTGCATCTGTTCCCACCCGGTTCCAAGGCACCTTTGAATCTTCTCTATGAGAAAATTCAAAAGCTCAACAAGGAAGGCTGGGAGAAGCCCTCGATTGAGGTGCGAAAGCTGCCGCCTCATGTCGTCGCAACCTGGGTCGGGGCAAACACCAAGTTACAAAAAAACAAAGAGACGGCAAAGGGAAATGAAAGTACCAAGAGAGGCAAAGCAAAGGAGGAAGGGGAAGACCCCTCATTAGAGGGCGCCGATCAGGTGGACGAAGCGACACTCAACGCTACTTTGGGAGTTGAAGCTGGTAAGGTGTTGCCAATCAATTCGCCATTCACCGTCCTTTCGAGCTCTACAAGTGCTGTCCCTGACTCCGTGGCGTCAGCATATACGGCCACGGTTATTCTTCGCAAAATAAACAAGCAGAATTTGTCCGAGCCTTTTACCGTGCGGATGACACCGAATGACGAGCGACTACACCCCGAGCTTAAGGTCTTTGCCGAGACTGCTCTGCATGCTAAGCATTGGGTCGCGACATATGCCTTATTCAGGGTGAGTTCTGGTGTAGTCCGAAGCAATAAGAATTTGTATCTTAACGTTCCAAGCGCTTATGGAATCTCAACTTTTTTCTCAGCTATATTCTAATCTGCCCATGCACCGTATTCTTCCAGCCGGTCCGAGAGAGTACTGGCTGCACCTATCCGCATTCAAAGACAAGCACAGCAGCAGCGGATCGTCAAAGTACAGCAGTGGCAAGCCATCTTCGAACCAAGCCTCCGGCTCGTCGGCGCTCGGCGCTTCGGATCCAAGCAACAACACTGCCAAGCGATCACCAAGAGACATTGACTTTCTATGGTCAGAAGACCCTTTCGAAGCACAGGCGAAACGCGATGCCGCACGCTCAGAGCGCGAAAAGGCGCGCGCGCAACACAATGCTGTGCGACAAGCTATCGAGCGAGGTGATCATGAAACTGCTGCTTCTCTTGCTGCCGCCAGTGCTGGCGGCGGTAATGGTGTCCATGCGGGAAAAGGGAAGATGAGCCAGATCTGGGCAGACGCAAAAGAGCTATACTTGCCTGCTAGACTCAGAGAGTTGATTGAATCTACCGTCAAAAAGGGGTTTGAGATGTTTCCCTTGGCGGCAGTGGCGGCCGCAGGAACTCCCTCGCCTGTAGCGTCAAGGACCTCGACCCCCGATGTCAGGGCTAAGAATGGCCAACCTGATCCCGCAGCGACAGAGGCTGAGCCCGACGCCGGACTTCTCTCTGAGTTGCAGAAACTCGGCTTTAGGAAAGGCTACGCGCTCAGTGCCGCGCGATGGGTAGCCAATGCACGCTTGCGTCTGGCGTCTGGATCGTTCGCAGCCTTGGAGAATGCACCAGCTGCGCTGCTAGCAGCCGTAGCTACTCAATCGGACATCGATGCGGCTCTTGAGTATCTGCTGGTCTACACACCGGAGGAAGACCTTCCACCTGGCTTTAATGCAAAGGCGAATGGCCAGGCCAGACGAGAGGAGTTCGTCACGTCCATTACCTCTGGCGACGGTGGCGGAACAAATGCGGGCGACCTGAACCTTCGTTGGATGCTGGATCGCCTGGTCAAAATGGTCGGGCTACCGCGAAACGCAGTGGAGAGCGTCGCGAAGAGCATGCAGGATGCTGAAAAGGACACCGACTTGCAGGCGCGTTGGCCTAAGGCTTGGCGACAAGCGATTCTGCTGGACATGCTGCTTCGCAGGCTTGCGGGTTGGGACAACCAATCCGCTGTCGGATCCAATGGTCCTTGGAGCGCACACGGCGTCATGGACGCTACATATGCCATGGTGCGCTCGACAAAGGAGGACACTGAGGAGCGGCGCCAACTTTTGCTGGACGAGAAAGTCGCCGTGCAAGCGATCCTTGGCGATGAGCGCGTCGTGGCCGTAAAGGAAAGCGAATGGCCTACTCCAGTGGCTGGTGACGATGTAATCGGAATGGATCTATATCGTCCATTCGATATTTCCATCCTTACGGGCAAGTCAATGGACGACATTCGTATGCGCGTAGTGTTCCACCCGGCTAGTCGCTACCCTGCTAGCTGGAAAGAAGGCGATAACGACAATATCCCGCTGCCAACGTTTTTCATCATCTCCCGCACTCTGCCAGTATTTCTGCGCCTCGCGCTCACGAAGGCGCTATATGAAGGCTTTCGGGGTCCCAATGCGAGGGGCGACCTACTCGAGGCGATGCAGACTGGGCAAGGCAATGTGATCCTCCTGCTAGTGGAGATGCTTGAACAGATATCGGCATCTATGATTGACCAACCACCACCGCTGAACGAGGTCATGGCAGGTCTGCTGCCGCGCAAGCCCGTGCCGGCGGTCGATGACGGCATCGCAAGTACTACCGAAACACTGCGCATGCAGAAGAAGAAACCGCTACAGGGAAGACCAGCTCATATGCGTCACAGTACCATAGCCAAGAATCCCAAAGTAGATACGCTGCTACTGAAGCAGCAAGAACAGTGGCGCTCGTCAGTTGGGTACCAGCCATTTAGAGAAGTTCGCGAAAGTCTCCCAGCTTGGGCATTTCGGCATCGTCTGCTGGACGTTCTCGGCACGGATCGCGTCGTCATTGTCGCTGGCGAGACAGGTTGCGGAAAGACGACACAGTGCCCTCAGTTCATCCTCGATCAATGCATCGAAGAAGGGAAAGGGAGCGAGTGCAATATAATCGTCACGCAGCCTAGGCGTGTCTCAGCCATGGGCGTCGCCGCGCGTGTTGCGGCCGAGAGGGGCGAGAAGCTCGATTCGTCATCCTCGGTGCTGGGAGTGGTAGGCTACGCAATCCGCGGTGAAAGAAAGGCAAGCCGTGAATGCCGCTTGCTGTTTACCACCACTGGAGTGCTCCTGCGTCGGCTTAGTAGCGGAGGTGACAGAGACCTCAGGGACATCACCCATATTATGGTGGACGAAGTGCACGAACGCAGTGTCGACAGCGACTTTTTGCTGCTTGAGCTGCGCGAAGTACTCAAGCGCAACACCAGAATCAAGATCATCCTGATGAGCGCAACGATTCAACAGGTGAGAAAAGAGTTGGGTTTTGCGTAAACATTTTCCAAGCTGACAGCATCTTTGAACTCTCAAGGATTCGTTCGCTTGCTACTTTGGAGGTGCGCCTTGCTTGAACATCCCTGGACGTACATTTCCTGTTCAAGACTTCTACCTGGAGGATGTCATTAAGTTCAGCGGCTACAGACCGGACGGCGGACGGAGGGGTAGAACAGAGAACGTAACTGAAGAGCAGAAGCATGGGATGCGCGCCAGTCTCCTTGATTCAGCCTTGCAGGAGGGCGAGATCAGAGCTGTGGAGCAAATCTCGCGCCAGGAGTGGACAGACTATGATCTCATTGGAGCATGTGCGCGGATGGTTGTGGATAGAGCTGAGCTGGAAGAGGCTCAGGGCAAGTCCCAGAAGGGAGTCGGCGGAGCGATTTTGGTCTTCTGCAGCGGCTTCGGCGAGATTCGGTGCGTAATGGGTCTGCCTCATCGTATCGTGTCTCGTAGTTTGCAACACACTAAGAAATATCTGTCCTTTTCTTAGGCAAGCCATGGATGCCATCAAGAGCCACGTACGTGGCCGGATCAACGTATTGCCGCTGCACGCCAACCTTTCTCCCCAAGAGCAGCGTAAGGTATTTGAACCACAAGACAAAACACGTAGGAAAATCGTCGTTGCAACCAACGTGGCAGAGACCTCCATCACCAGTGAGCGCAAGTCTGTCGTAGAATTGAGATGATGTTGCTCACACACGTGCCCCCTCCAGTTCCCGAGATATCTTATGTTATCGACACTGGCAAGGTCAAAGAACAGCGCTTCGACGCGCAGTCCGGTCTGTCTCGGCTGCTGGAAGTCTGGGCAAGTCGGGCAGCTTGTAAACAAAGAAGGGGGCGTGCGGGCCGAACAAGAGAGGGAGAGTGCTTCAAGCTCTTTTCTCGCTTTACAGAAGAGCGCAAGATGGCCTTGCAGCAGACTCCGGAGATCCGCAGAGTCCCACTAGAAAATCTATTCCTGCAAGTGAAGGCTATGCGCGAAGACGAAGACGTCAAAGCTTACCTATTGCGGGCACTGGACCCGCCGGAGGTCACAGCGATGGAAGCGGCTCTCAAGAACCTGATCGAAGCTGGGGCAATGCAACCTTCTGAAGCGTTCCGTGGAAAGCTGACGCCTCTCGGTCTCCATCTTGTGAGTGCGGCTGTGAGCACAGTTCTCGAAACAGCGCTGATCTTCCCGTTTAGTCGAGGTTGCCGCTGGACCTGCGCCTAGGAAAGATTTTGATCTTGGGTGGGGTTTTGGGCTGCCTGTCGCCTGCCTTAACCATTGCAGCCATGATGTCCGGAAAGCCACTTTTTACTGCCCCATTTGAAGAGCGAGAGAAAGCGAGCAAGTGAGTGGATCAACTGTTGATCACCAGCATTTCATGTCTTCTGACGAGCAGCTATGTTCAGAGCACGAGCCAAGTTTTCAGGAGGAACGTCTAGTGACTTCCTGTGTAACACGAACGCTTTTGAAGCATGGCGTAAGCTGCGTGGAGAAGGAGCGCCTGCATCGGCCGTCCGCTCATTCTGCGAAGAGGTAAGCGTTGCGGATTTTATTTTCATAGACGCGCAGCTGACAAAGACACCTCTAGAATTACATCTCCCAATCTGCGCTGCGCGAGGTCCTCAGCAACCGCTCCGACCTGGCCCAGCACCTACACGAAATTGGCTTCATTCCACGCGACGTGGTTGCAGCAATCACCGACATCAGAGGCCCAGCAACCGAATGGGACATTCATGCCGACAACCAAGAGCTCATCAAATCTGTGATCGCAGCAGGTCTTTGGCCGTCGGTCGTACGCATCGCAATGCCAAATGCCAAATTTGACCAAGGAATTGCAGGCACCATCCAGCGAGATCACGAGGCGAAAGCCGTCAAGTTTTTCGATGCAAGCGGCGACCTTGGCCGGATATTCTTGCACCCTGCCTCCACGCTTTTTGCTGCAACTGAGTTCAAGTCTAGCTACTTGTCCGTCTTCCAGAAAAGTGCAAGTGGCGGTCAGAACAAAGTCTTTGCAAGGGAGGCAAATGAAGCTCCTTTGTTGGGCTTGCTGCTTCTCAGCGCTGGGCAAGTGGTATTTGATCACTTCAAAGGTGGCCTCGAGGTAAAATCATCAGCACACGGTTCGGTCACTTACGTCCGGGTCAGAGCCGATGCTAGAATCGGAGTTCTCTGCAACCAGCTGCGCCGCCTTCTCGATGCTGTCCTCGATGATGCGATTGAGCAGCCGGGAAGGTTGCTTTCATCTCACAGCCAGACTATCTTGAACACAGTCGCTGCGGTCCTACAACAATAGCTCAATAGCATGTGTAGTCACGCATCGTTTCGGTGAATCCCAAAGAATTCACCACACTATCGTTTGGGTATGCGTCTGAATCGTCGCTTCCCTCGGATGGAAAAAATTGAACACTAATGTTCTAGAGCTCAAGTCTGATTGCAAAGAGAATGCAGGGGTTTCTCTCGAGATTGATTACACTTGCACACAATGGAAAACAAGATGCATAGAACCAGCGAAGCGAGAAAGGAATGCTGATTAGCGGAATTGTAAGCTATGGTATATGATCATGGACCCGTTATTGGTAGTCGAGGCGCCCAAGCGATCTTCACTTTGAGGCTAAGGGACCTTGACATCCGGCGGGTTCGGCCAAGAACCTCGAAGAAGGCCCGACATCCCTTCCCCTGAATCTGTAGTGGCGATGCTAGTACGGAAAGTATTTTCACTAGGAGGCTCCAGTCTGGCTGATCTTTTCTTTAATGATTCGGCCGTAGAATGTGGCCCCTTTTGCTTGATGACGGGCGTAGCGTCGGCGTCTTCAATGGGGAATACAACAGCACTGATACCAGCGTGAGGCTGCTCCGGCTTGACCTGGGCTACTTGACCGACTCGTAACAATCTCCAAGTGCCTTCGTCGGAGCTGTGGCCACTGTCATCACCTGCCATATGATGCTTGAACAGTCTGAATAGCGCAAATTGATCACATTAGAATCTGAATCATATACGCTTCAGATATGAGCACTTACTTATCTACAGTGTCCGACGTCCTTCGTGCACAGGAGGTCGTAAGGAAGTGAGGCTTGGTCTCAGAGTTTTTGAGTATGGGGAGCGGAGAAGGTACTGCATGTTCCTTACCAGCCAACGAACGCCGACTGCTGCCGCTCAAGCGCCGACGTGAAGATGTTTGTGAGTTGGCATTGAAGGTGTTGCTAGCCGGTAGCTGCTCAGCACCGCTTCGATCGCATGTGTTCTGACCCTTGAAGAACAGTCCCTCAAAGTCGTCGTCTCCGACGTCGGCAGTGAGGTTCCAAACCTCATTCTGCCTTGAAGGTCCTTCCTGGAAAGACGAAGCGGAAGAGGTTGTCCACGCGTCGTCTACACTGCGAGCACTATAAACAGATCGCCGATATGCCTGCTCATGATTGTTGGCGACCTGAACCATCAAAGGGAAGGCTGTTTTGCCCAGCGCAATGAGCGGTGCAGTTTGCTGAGAGTTAGCCGGAAACTTAGCGTTTACCGGCGAAAGAATCGGTACGGGCGGCTCTTGCCTTACGCTAGAATCCACCTGCATGGCTGCTACTGGCTTCGAAGGTGGCTGATGATCATCGCTGTCGCATCCGAAGTAATTGATAGTACCGACACGCTCCAAAGTCGGTGTCTGGAAGGGTGCTGCAGCTTCTTGAGAACATATCTCGAAGGGCTCAGTGGTCCGTGAAACGCGTATCGGAGCAGGATAGGTCACGCTAGAGGTGTCATCTGAAGAGACATTGCCAGGTTTCCTGCTCCTGCGAAGGGGGACAGGTAGTGAACCTTTGCCATCCCACGAGGGTAAGTCCACGCTGTTCATGGTAGGGGAATTCTCTAGCGTAGCCTGCAAGTCGGGAGCGATCTTCTGGAGCGTGAGGATTGGAGAGCCGGTGGACGTTGGTGTTACCGTTCTCATGTCGGACATCGAAGTCTTCCTCTTCCGCCGGAGACTGCTCGTTCGTTCTGGGGGTTGGACAGCTGCGATCGGGGTACTGCCACTGGTAGCGCTGCGCTCAAGTGATGGGAACATGGGGTTTGTTGGAGGGCTGTGATGCCTGCGCAGCATCACCTTCAATTCTTGCTTATTAGTGGGGCGGTGATAGCCGGCGCGCGTAGGCTGCCGCACAGAAGATGCAACCGGGAGCTTCTCATGGAAGATGGCATCGCTACCTACCGATGGGGTAGAAATAGCGACACCAGACTGCTCTTCGCGTTGATCTGCCACTGGAGGTGCTGGATGTGACTCTGCGTAGAGGGAAGAGATTTGGAAGAGCGCAGCACCCCGCACTCCAGGGCTTGAATTAGCATCCTTGCGCGCGACAGGAGCCAACAAGTGCTGCGGGGCAATGAGAACGGGCTCGTCTATGACGATCCGTCCGCCTGCGACAGGGGAGATCGCGCCGCTGGTGCGCAGGTTGGCACCAATATGTTTCGGCTCGGCTGCCCGGACTGTATTCTCCCACAATTGACTGCCACGCCACCCGTCGGTGTGAATCGTTTGCGACCTTTGACGCATCTCTGGGCGTTTCTGCCAGAAGAATCGAAACATGAACAACGAGATGCGTTTCATCATTCTCTCTAATGACGTACCTTTTTGAAGAACCCGCTGGATGCTGACCAAAAACTCTTTCCATCTTTCGCCGTCATGCTGCAATCCTGACTCCGAGACAGCGCACGAGGCTTGCTCATCATGAACGGCCCGCAGCTTGTAATAGTTGGGCTTGGCGTAGACGAGCGCATGTTCGCCTGCCTGAGGTCTCCATGACTCTTCGCTCCCCGAATAGGCGCGCTGGAAGCGTGCCTCCGGTCGTGGAGTAACAGATGCCCATCCGAGCGATTGGTTACGAGAGCGCCGCTGCGAGGATCCAGTTCCTTGTCGTCGAATGAGAACTGGTGTCCATGCTCGCGGAAGTGAGACTTCCGCAGCGTCTCGTACGCCAACATTGCTTCTATGCTGGCGCTGTTGCGGTAGGTTGACGCCGCCGCCGACCTGGAGCGCTCACGACATTTCGGGCGACCGAGCCCGTTCGCAAACTCTCTGCGCCATTTAGCGCGCTCACAATCGAGCTTGCGCCCTTGCTCCAGCACCGTAGCGACGTCCAGGTCTGCATCTGTGGGCTCGTTGAGGATGACGTGATCGAAGAAGAGCATAGTAGTCTCCGCGGGTGGTGCTATGCGGGGTCTCGTAATTGAGTGCACATCTTGGCCATCCAGCATCGACGATCGCAACTCTTCACCATTTGGTCGGGACTGAACAGAACTGAAGGGTCCAAAGCGATTGCGAAGCGATGAGCGATTCACCGCTTGGCTATCGCTGGCTGAATGCGCGTGAGATCGCTGTCTGAGGCGTGTCGACTGCAGAGCAGGTGGCGGAGGAGGTGGACGATGGTGGAAGAAAGGCCTGGCCGAGCCGACGCTGCCTCTCGAAGCGGCTCCCGCCCTGTCCCGCTGTGGCATATCTAGCTTTGCGAGCTCGGCCTGATGGTGCAACAGAAAGTCTTCGCGATCAAAGCCCGATGCTTTGATCGACTCCCGTGTGCGCGTGCTGGGATCGCCCTCAGGAATGGGCACTACGTTGATGTGCGGGTTATACGTGCTCGTCGCTGAGCTATTAACATTTTGCGCTTCAGCTTGTTGACGTAGCTCGGGTGATGATCTAGTCTTGTAGAGCGAGGCTCCTCGACTTGGCAAGCATCTGTTCCTCTCGAACGCAGCTGTACTTTTTGTCACCGCGTCTCTCGAGCCAACCGAGCCCTGCTGCTGTGCAGACACCATGCCACAAGTGGAAACAAGCGAGCTGTGCAAGCGAGGTTTGGGTAAGAAGATTGCCTGGCAGCTCCCCTCTGTCTCGAACAGGCCACCCGTTGCAGGGTATTGGTCAGTGCGCTCCGATTTGACAAGGTGCATTTGCTGCAACAGCAAAAAGTTACGCTGTGCACGTTCCGCGGGACTGACTTGATCGTCTTGTCCTGTTTCGATATTGGCGAAGATGCCACTGCCATATTGTTGCGAGTGAGAGCGGAAGTGCAAATGCGGTGAAAAGCTTGAATGTGACTGCGGCGCATTCTCCGGGCTGTGAGCGTTTGCGACACTCGATGTACTGGGAGCGACGGGCGACAAAGCTGGCGGACGACTGATGAGTCCAGCAATTGCAGGACGCGAAGCGAATCGGGACAGTCCGTCGCTACGTTGACTCCATGCGCAAGCCTTGTTCACAAGTTGTTGCTGGCGCAGTTGCTGATGCTGAAGTGAAAGTGCGCCTGAAGCGAGTTCGTTGACGCTTGAGATGGAGCTCGCAGTGGGTGGTCTAGATCCGGATTCGGAGCGCGATGCTGCATAAGACGTGCTAGTAAATGCTTTTGATGCTGCGCCGGTGGGAATGTAATGCAGCGAGCCCGCAGCCACCATCCCGCCCGGATCACGCGCTAAGCCAGACGTAGCGGAGCCGAGGGAGGTGCTTTTGGTGTGCGAAGTTCCGAGCGCTCGGGCGCTCGGGTGACTGCGGAGACTGCTAACGGAGGTTTGCGGCGTGATATTATCCCAGTAATCCCTGCTCGCGCTGGCCGTCGAGTCGTAGCCCGCGTCTGTCGCTAGACCCGCAGACTCCCGCCGTCCCCTGCGGAAACGCCGGTATGAATGGCTATTGAAAGTCGCTGTAGTCGCCGTAGCAGGCGAGGTAGCTGTCGAAGAAGCAGCCGTATTCAGACCGGCCTGCCGCTCCTTCCCCGCCATCGCCGTTCTCTGCTCCGTGGCGCCGGCATTCCCACTGCTGCTGCCGCTCGGATAGCCAAAAGTTGCCGAGCGGGGAAGGCTATGTGCGCTGGTGAGAGCGGTGGGTGCATCATCACTTCTCATGACGGCTGGAATTCCTCCCGCTCCGCTCCCGCCAGTGTTGGCGCCTCCTCCACCACCTCCCCTACTGTTGCCGAGTTGCGGTCGAGCATGCGAATACGCAGAGGGAAGTGCATCTCCAAACTCTAAAGCGCGCGGAGTGGTGTGCATATAGGTGGGCTGCGCCGTGGCTAATATGGGCGTGCCAGACGATAGCGAACCGAGGAAGGATGGCGGTTCTTTGCGAGCGATCGAGTGCAGCAGCTTGCCCTCAAACTGTTTGTCTAACGGCTGTGTCGAGCCGGACACAGACCTGGAAGCAGTGGGCAGGTTAAGCGTGCCTGAGTCGCCCGGACGGAGATATACGCGATTCCGCGTGGGAATTGTCAGAGGCTGGTGCTGATGAGAGGTGGGGAAGATGGGGTCGACGCGCTCGAGGCCTGGTACCTCGCCCCATGGATGCTGTATACGGCTGTGTACACCTGCTGCTGCGCTGCCCGCCAGATTACTGATCCCGATGCCCCCCGAGGAGACCGGAGGCAACACAGGACCAGCGTCGCTCCTGATACCGTAACCAGAGACAAAGTTCGACTTGAAGCGTAATTCAAGCTGCCGAGCAAGAGACTTGACCGCCGGATTCGCCCCGGAAGGGTCAAGCAATTGTGACTCTGCCCCTTGGCGCAAGGACGTGTTGAGTCCAAGCCCTAAGCCGAGCCCCAGTCCAAGACCATGTGTACCCGATTCGGTCTCCTTGGCTGGGTATGACGAAGGGGAATTGAGTCCGCGATGCTGAATGTAGTACGCGTTATGTGGATCTTGCCTCGCGGCTGCGCCAGCAGACTGGCTCCACCCGCCTGTAGCTAGGCCCAAGCCGAGCCGCGTTGCACTACGACTACAGCTGGCAGCGTCGCCAGCGCCGCTGCCGCCGAGTCCACCAGCGTCATGCCTACCCATGTTACTCTGGCACGGACTCGCGGGGCCTTCGCTGACGCATGATCCCGCGGACGCAGAAGCAGAGGTCAAGAAGGGTCGATGGAAGCTCTTTGCCGCGGCCGAGAACGGGTAGTTTGGTTGTGAGCGTTGGTAATGGTGCCCGCTTTGCTTACGTTCGCGCACGGATGAGCTCGTGCGGGCCGCACTGAGCAGCTTGGAAAGTCTGCTACGCGCTCCACTTGAGCCAGCTCCGGTGCCTGCGCCACCCTCATTGATAAGCGCGTCACTTCCGGAGATTAAAGTATTGGATGCGGAGACGGAAGAAACCGACATGCGCGGTTGCTCGGCGATGGAAGTCATTGTGTTGATCCGTCCCAGCGACATGTGCAGACCGCCACTCAGGCTTTTTACGTGAGTTTGCTAGGGTCAGCCCTGCTGACACACATGTGGCATGTAGGCCGAGGGTCGCCAAAGAATGTGGGCTGGAATAAGCTTACGGCGGATGTTGCAGTGCCGGCTGTGCGAGCGTAGGACACGGTGCCTCAGAGCTCCGTGCAATTGAGCACCCTGGTCAGGGATGCAGCAGTGATGAAACGGGTCATTCACGGCTCTATCAAGCGAGTGACATACCGCAGACGCGGTTCCGTGCATCCGTGAAGGGTAAGTTGGGTTTATCGGTGGCCAAGCCGCCCAGCAGCTACTTTTGGCTTCCAAGGCAAGATGCCTGCGAAGGCGACACAAGACAACAATTTGAACATGAGACGCATAAAAAAATCAGATAATGACTCAGGTCAGCCGAACCAGAAGGATTTTCGCTTCGCATTTGACAAGTTCTCTGCCCAGAAACCCTCTCTTTCTGCTCTATGTTGCCCTATGCTGTGCAGGATGGTTTCGACCCATGCTGCCGAATGTCCCTTCATACCGACACAAATCTGAACCACTGGACCGTTCCATGTTCTTCTCACTGAAATCCATCCGCCATGTCGCATCGTCCCAACACTGGGCTCGTGAGAGACGTGTCGAGCAGGTCGGAGAAACGCATCGACGCTCACTCACCCGTGGCTGTGTCCCGCAAGCGTTAACAAAAAGGTAGTGACACGAAGTAGCTGCCGTCTGTGACCGTTCCCTCGTCGCAGAGCTCGTCCGCTCTCCCGCGCGTGTGCTCGCGAGGTGGAAGGAAGGTCGATCAGACTTCAAGAAGCAGAGTTCCCAAGCCAATGTCCTGCAGCTGACCTTGAGAGTGGCTTTGAGTCCGGCTGGATATTGCAGAAGTCGATATGATTGATCTAGCGGCTTGCTGTGTGCTGCGTTGGGGAGATCAAGCGCCTGTGGGGGTAGCAGTGGCGGGGGCAGTGGCAGTGGGGGGGGCACCAGCTGGCACAGCGCGCGCTGTGAAAAGATGGGATGAGAGAAAATGAACTGCCCCGTGAAAAGAAAGAACAGGGACGGCATCACAGGCTGAGCCCGTGCGGGGGGAGCCGTGTCTGAGGTGGTGAGATTATTATTATCTTCTCACACACTCTGCCTCTCACCCACTGCCTTGCTTCAGCAGAAATGCGGAGCAGGAACGCGTCTGAGAATGTGGCGACTTTCATGCAGCAAGGGAAGCAGTGACGCGATCGACCGGCGGCAGTATGCAGTGGCCGGCGAGGATGTGGAGCGCTGATGTGCTGAACTCCGAGATGAACTTTTTCAGAGCACTGACCTCTGCATACCGTCGTGTCTCGCGGCGATCGGTAACGAGTCCGACGTGAAGGTCCCCAGATGTTGCCGCCGCGTGCCCGAGAAAGCCATCTCGGGTCGTCGGGTCCGTCGCTTGCTGCCAAGTGCGATGAGTCGCTGATGTGGAGAGCGAGGAGTTACAAGCGATGAGCGATGAATGTGACTGCCCCAAATAAGCGCAAGACCGCGAAGGAACGACGCTTCGTGTACAAATGTGGCCTGCAACGCAACCGTATTGGATGACGTGGCATCTGGACTCTGAAGAGAAAGAGGGACATACTCGGTTCTCCAGCAACCGACCTGCTGGAATCGCGATGATGGCGCCAGCATCGATGGGCCAGAGTCAAAGCGTGCGAGCGAGAAAAATGTACATGCATAATATATGCATGGATACCCCGAAATGGCCGCCGCCGCCACTCCAACCTGGGCTCTCGGATCACTCCTCTATTAGAGACTGCTCAGTCCGAACGTTATGCTCGTCCGCTGCACTTCATGCAAGCTTTGGGTCACGCTCAGACTGAATATCCATTTGGGAACGCAAATCAGCCGGAGTGGTCCGGGCATTGATAAAGACTGATGGTCGCTCTACAAGCCTCTCGCTTGTCCCCGCAGATCCTGTCTTTTTCATTTTTCTTCTTCTTGCGAGGTGGTTTCTGAGTCAAGGCCCGAGAGCAGCTCTCGTTCGCTACAATACAGGCTTCAAAGGTAGAATAACACGCCGTAAAGCTTTCAGTAGGTCAGAGTGCTCATCAGCAGATAGGCGTCCTCTTTCTCCCTTAGGCACCGTGCCGAGCGCCTGAGGCAGCCATGCGAAAAGTTGGCGGCGAAGATGTCACTTGTTTGTCAAATCGTTGCACGAGGCGTTTACCAAGGAGAGGCATGTGTACAACGCTGGTGCATTTCAGTTGTGTCCATTGAGAGACCTCGATGTTCCAGACCCACTTCCTCGCCGAGATAGAGATTGGACAGCAAATGACAAGGGCTTTGCCTGATAAACTTGAAAGCTTACATTCGCCTGCTAAAAACCTACTGCGATGAAAAGTACCGGCTTGACGCATCTCCTGCGACCTCATCCTTGTAAGGATCGGGCTTCAGCGGCTTGGCATAGGTTGGTTCGGGTTGTTCTGCGCAGCACAGTCGCAGAAGTGTTATGCGCATTTGGATTAGCGGAAGCGCAGAGTAACCAACTCCCTTTGCAATTGTACTTACTCAGGATTTCAGAGTATACCTTCTTCACCGCTGCACTTGTACGGCCTTGCTTCCATTCCTCGCGCCAGAAGTGAATTCCGGCGACATGGAGGTTCCGACGAGCCATATATTCGCTGACGCTGAAGCCATGTCGAGCGACTTCAGAGACAGGCGTAGAGGGGGCTGGGGCTGCGTCTGAATTTGAGCTGTTCGCCTCCGGCGCCTCGGTGAGTAGGAGCGTGACGTAGCGATGGTACGGCGTTCCACGTTGAGGATGAGGAGGAACATACGGCAAGATCTCGCGCACACTCGTGTTGTAATCGATCGACGAGCGCGTCGCACTCAATGGAACGTCTTCGAGCAGCCAGTGCGCGTATGGCTGAAAAGTCGCTTCAAATTCGTCAGGGGAATCCGGATCGACCATTAGGATAGTGTAGAGTCGCTCATCGGTGTGGAATGCTGTCGCTTCCAGTCGAGGTTTCTCCAGCGTCTTTAACGAGGGTTTTTTTTGGGGGGGCGTCAGCAAGTCCCCTCAGGACGTGTTTGCGACGGAATGCATGTACACACCACATCTGCATCAAGAAAGACGCCAGCTAGCACCTCTCCACCGTTTCCACCATGGTCGCCATATCCTGCGCCCTCGCCAAAGAAGACTTGCAAATCCGCCGAAGGGGTGACATATGGCACGACGTCCGGCACGACGCGCATGAGCTTGCAACGCTCGGTCAGTTTTCTGAGAGGGCCGGCCTCAGCAGCCGGTGACGGGTTGGCAGACATCGAGGCAGTGGATACTCGGCGCCATGCCTGTTCGCGCAAATAGCGGTGGACCGGACGAGACATGTCAACTGCACATGCAAATGCGCACAGAACATCAGTGTCTCGTAGCATATAAGCGTATGAGAATGACTCACTCTTGCCATTTTCGAAGTCCCACCTGACTTGTGGATCGTCAAGTTCTGCAACAATCTCGAGCTCCTCGATTTGCATCTGAAGGTTATTCACTGCTTCAGGGCTACCCCTACTAGAAACTGCTTCCTTCTTGAGACCTTCCACCTGTCCTCGCTTTTCACGCTGGTACTGCGAGAGGTAAGCGAGCGCCTCGTCGTACGCCGGTTCGACACCAGGCGGTATCGGTCGCATCCATGCTGCTGAGGACGACGCGCCACTTGCGCCTGCTGACGAGGATGGCGTAGATGGGTCGTGTGACTGAGAAGTAGCAGCCGAAGAGGAAGCGGTGCGGTTGGTCACCATCGCCGAAGCGAACTGCCGCCCCCTGCCCCCAGTGACCCCGCGACAGCATTCGCGGAGCGCGAGGCGGGTGGAAGAACTTCTAAGCATTTTATCTGTTGCTTTCACCTCTCCTTTAGGTGCTTGCTTTGCTCACCAGCTATCAGGTGCTCCCAACGTAGTATTCCACGAAGAAGATCAGCGGTCCCGCGTGATCCAAGCATGTCCAAGACATCGGAGTTTGGAGAGACGCCTGTCAAAGAAGAACAAAAAAATCTTTTAAAAAACAAGTGAACGTTGCAAAGATGCCGATCAGGTCATTGATCCCTAACGTTAGTCGCCGAGTTCCATCATTCATGACTCCGCTCTCAGCCGCACATTGCGCTTGCTCAGAGCCCGGAGCTCAATTGCTCAACTGGTAGCACACCGGTCGCAGCCATGTATTCGTCACAAGATAGCTCGGGCTATGAGGGGCCCAGTAACGGCACGGAACAATTCTCATCGTTCTTGCTGGGGACCGCGCACGCACAGAATCGGTCGGAGGAAGGCGGCATGCTGGTACAAATCCCAACGCTCGGGGGCCCAAACTCGGGACCGCTTGACGCGAAGTGACGCGTACTTGACACCGCCACCTTAGCTTATAACCTTTGCAAATCACGGAACTGAGCACTGCGCTCACCATCGCTCAAGAGGTTGGCAAGCTTGATCGAAGGTCTGAAGGCAGCTGAATTTGGGATCGCGAAAATGAAGATCTTCAAGGCACATGACGGGCAGACCATCGAGGTCAATCAGGCTTTCAAACAGTTTCATACGTGAGTCTTGCGCGGAACACCATACATGCTGAACTGCTCCCTGACAGGGTCTGACATGACCGTCCAAAAGTCTCGAGGATCTGGTAGACTGCTTTTCTCTTGCGACAGGGACGATTGCGGACTCGATCATATGCATGACTGACCAAGGTCAACAATTGAACGAAGATGTTTTCCAACTGCTCCTGGGTCATACCGAGGAGTCCGCAACAGATGCTGTGAGTCGCTGCGACATGATGCTGTAGCTGGTCTAAGCTCATAATGTGTCCTTTTTGGAACTTTTAAAAATAATTAGGAGTTCTTCATTTTCAATCGCGATTATCTATACGCGGAACCAGACGTCCTGGCTCAGGACATGGCAGAGCAGGTAGTGATCGAGCCGCCAGTTGATGGTGAGCTCCCCTCTCATAGTTCATGTTGGAGCAGCGGTCTCTGAAATGATGTTTGCATCGATTCTTAGCCTTTGAAGTGATCCACCCGCCAACGCCCCGCTCATTGGAGGCTTTGATCGCATGGAGCAATGCAACGACAATGACGATCTACAGTCACACCTCCCACGCTCAACAGCTCTTCTCGCACGTACAAGTCATTCGGCGCAGCATGCATATTGCTCTACTCAATCTGCTACTACATGCTTCGAGCATTGAGAGAGGCTCGGATGCCCTGAGTAAAACAGCGGCAAAGGAACTTGACCGTATGCAAGGCTTGATTGAAGGGCACGAACGAGACTTACAAGTCCTCAACATGGTCCCCGTCAACCAAGCCTTGCTTCCACCTTCCAACAGCGATTCATCAAAGTCTGCAAGGACGGAGCGCACACTCGGCTATTGGATCAATCCGAACAAGATGAAAGCGGTCGCAGATTCGTGCACCAGGTTGTACAACGAGCTTCGCGACCGCGTTTCGCAGCTGGAAGCAGACGTGCGGAAGCTCAACGAGCAGACTACCTTTTTGCAAGAGGACGCAGAACCAGGTGCATCTCAATTTGCCACGGAGACCTTGGAGGAATCCCTTCAAGCTTCCGCACGCGCCGAGGAGCTCGCCACCTTCATCGAACAGGAATGCTCACCGGACGCTCATGGATGGCCCGTAGCAGACAAGCTTGATAATGCGACCTTCGAGAAAATTGCGGCTGGCGCCCAAGAGATCCTTCTGCTGGATGAGGTAGCGCGAGAATGTGTCCGAAGACTGACGGCAGAGCTGAACGAAGCGCGGTATCGAGGCTTGGACATTCTAAATCGCATTAGTGTGCTTCAATCCGAGTATGCTGACTTTGGCGCTGCGCTCGCTGCTGTCGACTCGGACTTTCGCTCTAATAAAGTCGACGGCTTCAAGCATCTTCAGCGGTTGAAGAACATGCTTTGGGCTTACGGAGCGACGATTGTCGAAATTGTGCGGCGGCGTGAGTTCGCAGATTACTTCCTGGACAAGTCGCAAGCGTTGGCGGAGCTCATGTCCAAGCTCGGATTGAAAGACAAGGATCTCCGCGCCACGTACAAGTCAGACGTGCAAGGTCTCCTCCCCTTTGAAGTGCGCAGCATGAACAGCCAACCGCCGAGTCTGGACATCACAACCAGCGGCACCTCAAGGTCTGAGCTCTCTGTCTTACTCGACCGCAAAGACATCGACACGATTCTACATTTGCTTGACAGTATCGAACAGCAGTTAACAGAGTCAGACAGCAGGGTCCAGGACCGACCCGGGATAGCGTCTGCACTTGCTCGAAAAGGAAAGAGAAAGAGCAACACAGGGGACGTGAAGAAAGCGCTCCAAAGCCTGGTCGACGAGCTGGATTCAATTGATGATGCATTCGAACATATGGTCGAGCAGCATTTGCTCAAGGGTTTAAACTGGGTGATCGACAGTGAAGAGGAGCAGACGGACAATTCTGAGCAGCTCGACACACGGAAAGGGAGGCTGAGGGCCTCGGGAGCGGCAGTGCGGCAGAAGTTTGACTCTATGCGCAAGGAACATGTCGCGGCTCTGAACAATTTACGGGAAGCGCATCGGGCTGAGCTCCAGGAAATCGATCGGGCAAAACAGGACGTAAACGAGCAACTCATCCAAGAGCGTCGCCAGCTTTCGCTCAAAAGAGCGGAGCTTGAGCAAGCCCAGGCGGAAGTCCACAATCTCAAGGCTGACGGTGACACAGCAGAGGCGCGACGTCTCAACCTCGTCGATGAGGTAACAAACCTACGAAAAGAGCTGGAAGAGCATCGTAGAGCCGAGCTAGATGCTCGGCAACAGGCTGAGGAGGATGCGGACAGAATTCATGAGCTCGAAAGCCACCTTGTTGATGTGCAGGCGGAGCTCGAGGATGCCCGTGCTGCGCAGCATGATGCGACAAGCCGGATTGAAGGACTCTTGAGTCAAGGGAGCTCTGCAGAGAAGGAGATTCACAAGGCACAGGAAAGGATCAGCGAGCTCAATGATCAGCTTGCACAAGCTCGGCATGAGTGTCATCAGGCCAGAGACGCGCTCTTGGAAGCCGAAGCTTCTCGAGACAAGCTCATAAGAACGCAGCGTGCCGAAGCTGATGGAGATCGCGCCATTCTGGAAGAGAAGCTGAAGGATATGGAAGCTCATCTCCAAGAAGCCAAGGAGGCACTGGACAGTAGTTCGAGGGAAGTTCACCTGCTTCGTCAAGAGCTGGAGGTCAAGCAAGAGGCAATGGATGTTGTCCGGGGTCAGCTTGACTCTGCCGATGACAGCCATGAGAAGATGATCAAAGAAACAGAAGCGGCCAAGGAACTTGCAGCGGAGGCGGAGTCGGCACGAGTTGCTCTGCAGCGGATCAACGGCGACCTCATTGCTCAAGCCCGAGGGTGGACGATACAAATGCTACACGTACGGGAGACTGTCAGAAGCATGCCTGCCTTGTCGTCGAGATCGGCAGCTTTGGCCGAAGAGAAGCTGGCAACCATGCAAACTCGTCTTACCTCTTCGGAGGAACTCGAGAGGCAAGAAGCTTTGGACGCGTTCCAGGTCGAAGATGCAGACCAATCATCTGGTGAGGATCTCCTCAAGGTCTTACGACTCGTCAGTCCCAAGGATATCCATGACGAAGCGAAGACGAAGCTGGAATCTCTTGTGAAGCTAGTCAAGAAATGGGCCAAAGCTTATAAGACTTTGAAGGACAATTATGACCGTCTCAAGGGCGAACGCATCGCTTTCGCCAACTTTCAAATCGGAGACCTTGCTTTGTTCCTGCCAACGAGAGATTCGAGTGAGACAAAGACTTGGGCGGCATTCAATATAGGCTTCCCCCACTTTTTCATGCACATCGACGGCGCCTTGGCTGAACAGGTCAAAACGAAGCAATGGCTAGTGGGGAAGATCATGAACATCAAGGGTCAGGTGGTGAATGCTGCGGATGAGACGACGAATCCGTACAAGCTCACACCTGGTGTCAAATTCTACATGTTGGACGTTCAAGAGTACATTGGCTCTCCTGAAGTTGCAAACATCAGGTCGCGTCAAGGTTCGGAGGTAGTCTCGAGCCGTGGCAATTCGAAAGAACGGCCACCAACGTCGGCACGCTCAGTATCCATGCCCCAAGCTACGTCGAAGAACGCTGTCCTTGGTGCAGAACCATCAGCTTCCGCGGTACCAACTGAAACACTCGACGGTAGCCCTTTGGATGAGTTGAACATGTCTCCCGAGCACCGCCCCGGCCCTGGCAGTCCTTTCGTACTGCAGCAACGGAAATCTGGATTGGCAAGGACTTTGCAAGCCAACTCCCGCACCACAACTCCTGCGCTGACGAAGTCAATGAAGAAGGGCGGAGTCGAAGGACTGAATCGCCCGTTAGAGATCAATGCGGTACCTGCGTTCGACCGGCCACGAACATCCCATGCAGCTCCGGATGCAAATGGCGTAGATGATATCGCACAGCAAAAGATCCGCAATGCAATAGCTTCTGAAGGCATCGGCAACCCCTTTTCCTCGAGTCCGCCGACTTCAACGATTCAAGGCCCAGATCTCATCCGCAGCGGCTCAGCGCGGCTGAATCTGGCCCCTGGCTTGGGAACTGCCTCTCGACGGTTTGGCTCCTCCGCTTCCTGGAGAGAGCGTTCAAGTCCAGAGTCAAGGTCACCGCCCACTGCAGCGTTTAGCATACCGAGAGGCGCTCAGCCACTTGCGGACCTCGTCGCTGCAACGGGCTCATCGTACGGCAGCCCTCGTAGCGCTGGATCCCTTGATGCCACAACCTCAGAAGCGCAATCAAAGCTACAAGGCGCTTCATCAACCATGACCATTGGAAGATCGTACATGTCCAAGAGCTCGCTTGCACCATCGGCTAGCCGAAATTCATTTGCAGCTCAGACGATCGGTAGGATGACTGGCCGAAGAACAGGCTCATCGGCGTCCGGAACTTCCGTGTCCAGGAAGGAGGGCTTCACAGTCGGAAGCTATGACTCTCAACCGTCGGCAAGTGACCTTCTCCGGCGCTTCGCATAGCACTCTCCTACCTTCCATCTTAGCATGCAGATCAATATGAGACACATGCAGTAGCATAGCAGACGCTCAGAATTACACCTGACATGAGCAACACCGGTTGGTATGGCCGGCTTGCATTGCAGGATTGATTCGGTATTCAAGCCAGATTCTTAGCTCGGCTTCTGCATGTAGAAAGACTTCCAGTTCAACATTGCGGAAGTTGTGGCCCATGTAGATACTGCTTCCATTGGTACTGATGAGAATGGCGCTCTCTGCTCGCATCTCAATGCCGAAAGAAGGCAACTGAGAATCCCCCAGCCTGCCCATCTTCATCGCAGTTCCAGAAATGGAAAGTCCCGGGATGGATGGTTCGGCGAAGAGGACGGGCTACCTTGCACCATAGCATGCGAGCAGATCGGGATTGAATTTGGGTTTGGCAGCTTCAGTTAACGGATATCCACTCGATTCCTGGCCGCTTGAGTACATCATTTGAGAACTTAAGAGATTGATGAGAGTTGAGATGTTGAGCGATCGTTGACGAAGATCTAAGAGATCATGCTGCCCAATGCATCCCGCTGCTCAATGAGCACATGCGGACAGGTTGATGTAGGGTTCTTTCATTCAGCCTAGCGCTGTCATGAGTGGAGTCTCTGAACTCAGCCGGCGGCGCCGAGATTCGAGAGTTCTCTCCCATTCCCTTGGCCGTCGATGTTCTTCCTTTCGTTGGTGCAATCTTGATGAGCAGCGCAAGCACTTGTTGCCGTCTGAAGCAAGCTTGCAGGGCAGCTTGGGAAGCGCAACACACGCGTAAGCTGTGAGCAGAAGAACATCAGATTGCTCATTTGAGAGAGAATAGACGACAACGCCAATCAGCTTGCATTGTTCCCACTTTCAACAGAATCGATCGACCTGCTAGCCTTGATCACGACAAAATCCGTTCTCATTTGTTACGACCAAGCATTCGACATTCCAACACATTATCCGGCACCCACGGAACTCTCAAATACGCAGGGTCTCTCACTGAAGGCCCCAATCGTCCACAAGCGTGTGAATTGCACACTCTCCCTCTCCTTTTGTCAACCAAAACGCACACGCTGCGAGTTGCGTCAGCGAGACAGCAATAGGTTCTGTTCACCGACACCGACGCCTCTGCCCACTCGTTTGCGAAGCTATTTTTCTTGCAAAAACTTTCAAAGCATCTTCACTGGGTCGGGAAAAAACCTCTTAGAAGAGCTCCGGATCATGGCCGCTCCTGTACCAAAAGTGAGTCTTCGCACACCACCTTTACGCCTGGCTCCAAGTTCGCCGCTGACAACCTCCCTGTCAGTCTGTACCCTTGACGTGCTCGGGCCACACCAGGCCGGTCGTGCATCTGGAATTTTCGGACCTTCAAGATGACGGCACATACACAATGCTTTCGAGCTGCAAAGACGGCAACCCAATGTGCGATCACCAGCACGCGGCCGAAATGTTGCGGCAACGCGCGGCTTTTATGCGTTTATGCTGATACTTTCCCTTCGCTTGATTTGCTGCAGGCTACGAGACTGGCTAGGAGATTGGATTGGAACTTTTCTAGGTAAGGATGACTTTCCGCTATCCATGCTCATGTTCAACTAGACTGACGGATCAATCGGCCTTTGCGTTGGGGTTCAGGTCACAAGGGTGCAGTCTGGAGTGGAAGGCTGTCGGGTGGCGATGCTTCGAAGGCTGTAACAGGAAGTGCGGACTTCTCAGCGTGAGCCTGACGTATGAGAAAGCGCGAAGTCTATGGCGTATGGCATCTAACCGCGTGTGCTCTTTCCTGCTCCTTACAGCAAAGTCTGGGACACCTACTCTGGCCAGTGCCTCCACACCTTCTCCCACAACCACATTGTCCGGGCCACAGCAATCGATTCACCAGGCCAGCGGATCATCACGGGCGGGCACGAAAAGAAGCTGCGTTTGTTCGACTTGGGCAACCCCGAAGCCGAGGCGCAAGAGTTCAGAGCAAGCGGCGGGTCTCTTGCGCACGAGGGAACTATCAAGAGTGTGGTCTGGGGGCGAGGGCCTCAAGAAAATACGATCATCAGTGCGGGCGAAGATAAAGTCATGAGGTGAGGCCCTTTGGCCTGTATGACGCGATCAAGTTTTACTCGTTCGGAAGCTGACCGCGGCCTTCGCAACAGGTGGTGGGATCTGCGAACACTAGGCATTACTCACGAGCTCAAGTTCAGCGAACCCATCACATCCATGGAGCGCAACATTGGCGCCCTCGGGGAGCTTCTCTCCGTTACCTCCGGCAAAGATGTCCTCTTCTTGAACGCAGCAGAGTGAGTGTGGGCACCGGACCTCAGGGCTCTGTTACTGCAGTACAAAATGGAAGGTAAGAACGTAAGTTGACACACCCACCCACCGTTTCTCCTCAACCTTTAGTGGATCTGTCCGCAGGAAGCACACCCTACCCCAGGCGCCATCCTCTGCATCGCTCCATCCCATTCGTGCGGATCGCTTCGTGACTGGAACCGTTGGGGACGGCTGGGTGCGCATCTACGATGCCGAGAGCGGAGAGCAGAGGGAGCTCCACAAAGGACATCATGGACCTGCGCACTGCGTCAGCTATTCGCCTGATGGCCAGCTGGCAGCGAGCGGGAGTGAAGATGGTGAGTAACGGGTGTCCACTCGATCCTCTTTTAGGACGCCTCCTTCGCGGCTGGACTGACCTTGTGAGTCTACTCCTCTTCTTGCTTCTTTGCCCAGGCACCATCCGACTGTGGCAAACGTTTCCCGGCTCGCCGTACGGTTTGTGGACATCTTAAGGTCCGCACCTGGCGTCCAGCTGAAGGACTAGAAAATCAGCGATTTTGTGGACACGAGCTCTTGGTTTCTCTCAGGAGCGCCAGCATGCAATGTCATCGTTCATTGCCAGCGAAAAGTTCGACGTCCTGCTTGTGTGGTGCCTGTCTATGTAAAAATCAAGAATGCTGCGCAAGGCGAACGTTGCCGGTTACTTCATATCGCTTATCTATACGGCCTTTCGCCTCGGTTGATGGATCTGAATGCGGCGCTGCTAACATGTAACCGCCCCGGACGGCCTTAGCGCCCGACCGGTGTTTCAACCTTACCATCACTGAGGGTTCAGATTGTCTATGTTTTTCCCTATAGGGAGAGCTGACGATACTGACAATGAGAATGCTGAATGGCAGACGGAAACAAGCTTGGGTTCTGAATATCAGACCTCGATCAAGCCCTCTTGCCCAAGCTGCAAGCAGCCATTTCAATCTACATGTAGGTGGTGAACACATGTATGAGCCTCTGTGGACCTGTGGAGCTCGTGCTGCTTGTTATGTAGCTCGAGCGCCACTCCGACGTCTCAATGTCGGCTCTGACCGTCACTTTAGAGATTCATCGCTGTTCCGACAACGCACTTCTTGATTGACCTTGCTTCTCTTCCCCGCCTCGTGCATTGGTACCACCCGCTACCTGCTCTGATCAGTTCCTGAGCATCAGCCATCGATGCCCGTTTCTAGGTCGAAATAACGAGTTGCTCACTAGTCTGTCAGTGCATGGCCCCAGCGATGAGCCCGGCGAAGGCTACCGAAAAGGAGCTGCTTACCCTGGGGCGACGCTAATTGCGCGCCCGCTCGTGCCTTCGGCAGCAAATCGGCTCCAAACTAAAACGATCTCATATGTTCAATCAAGTCATTTTTGGCGTTGCAGGTGTTTTTTTATATACCGCGTACCTGTAGAACCTCTGAAGGGCACCCGGCGCTCTCCCCGAAGATCATGATGCCTTCTCTGCCTAGCAGCAAGACCGTCGCTGGGCAATTTTTGCCCGCAGCACGTTGCCGTCCTGTCAATGGTGTGTCTAAGGCGACGACGATTGCAGTACAGCCGTACCATGTTATGCCCTTTTAGGACAGGACAGAGACGTGGGAGGGAGGGGATCTGACCGCGCGTATGAATATGAAATGACAGAAGTCCATCCTCGTTTTAGCTACGATTACCTATTGGAAATTCCTGCCTCCCACTTCTCGGGTTGTCCTTGGTGTCAGAGCCGGACGAACAAGGCACTCGCCACGGGCCATCCTCTGGGAAACTGCATACCTCTCTGGACCCAGCTACGTGGCAGCTTTCACATGGACCTGCAGCAGCTAGAATTCTTCCCCGATTCTTGGATGGGGAATTTATATTGCGCCTGCGATCACACTGCAGAATAATCAAAGGGCGGTGGGAGCGAGGCTGGTTCCCCAACACGTGTGCTTCGACGTTCGCTGCTCTAGGACCCAAGCCATTCGATGTTATCTTTGATCAACTAATGCCAAGCTTCCGTTCCGCACCCACCTTACTGAGTGAAGCCCTATGTGCACCCACATATGTCAACGCCTACTCAAGTCGCATGGTACGGGAATTGGGCGCAATGTAATCTTCATTGTTGTACGAGCCGATCACGCAGCTCGTCCTGCTCACCGAGAAGTATCTGACGACGACTGACATTATTGCTCGTTGGCAATCTTTCGTTTCCAGTCACTGTCTCTGGTGGCAGTGGGTGGCGATCCACAGTTACTTGTGAATCCGAGTCCCTATGCGTCGCATCAACAAAATTGAAAAGCGATAGTCGCACGGACCTCATTTTGCCTGATCGCTGCTTGAACAAAGGCGAGGGTTTCACAGAGTTGCTGCAAGGTCGCCATTGTCACCAACGAAGCGAATCTATTTGTTTATGACCCTTGTGATTTCTGGCCGCTGTGCCGCCACTCATACGGCTGACACGTGTGAACATTTCGATGCAATGAACCACCTCCGCCTGGCCTTTCGCTGCCCTGTCAGCAGCTATCAGTACGTACGTGCCCCTTTACGAGCTTTCAAGTTGGGTGGCTGATTCCCCGACTCATTTCTGTGGACGACGATGTCAACAGGTGCTCAGGCGCTCAGGGCGGACGCTAGGCTCAAAGGATGTGTGGCAGGGTCCAGAATATAGGCGCACAGCGTCTGATCTACAACATTGACATGACGAATTGCGAATGCATACCGAGCGGCATTTCGAAAATTAAATTTAGTCACAAGCCCTTCCATCGGTCAAGAAAGCACAGTCCTCGGAGTCCTGGGCCATGAAGGCAAGCGAGGGCACCGATGAATTGGTGCCACGACTCCAGGCATTGGACGATCGCAACACAAGGACGGTTGTGACTGGCGAGCTTTATATTTGCGCCCTGCTCGCTGACACCCTCGCTCTACTCTGCTCAACGCTTCGAGATGGGTCAAAGCGAGCAGTACTTCATCTAACAAAAGCCAACCTGTGACCCTTGACAAAATGTGTGTTCGTGGCGGGAAGGAAGGACATGCTACTTAAGAGTCAGCGACTTGCTTCCAGCATACTCGAAAATCCCCGCCCAGCTCCACAGAGCTTGTTTTCACACCTCAGTTTCATTTTCCAAGCGAAGACCCTGTCCATTACGTCGACTATGGACATCCTGGGTGAGTGCTCGTGTGTCCGGTTAAGCAAGGCTTCTGAGCCACTGATGCGGGAGCTGCGCAATCTTTGTCTCCAGAACTTGTTCACGACGACTATCGGCTGGAGCATCGGCCCTTCCAATGCGCCTTCGCAGGATGTTCCAAGGCTTTCGCTCGGCGGTCGGATTTGGTCAGAGTGGGTGAATGCTTATCTCTTCATGAGGGACCAACGGGCCGTGACATTTCTTTTCTTGCAGCATGCACGCATTCACAATGACGACCGCCCGTACAGCTGTCCTATAGCCTCTTGTGGCAAGTCGTTCATTCAAAAGTCGGCGTGCATGGTGCACATCAGGACCCACACAGGCGAGAAACCACACGTTTGCGACACATGCAACAAGGCCTTCTCCGACTCGAGCTCCTTGGCTCGTCACCGTCGGGTCCACTTTGGACGCCGCCCCTACCGTTGCTTGGTCGATGGCTGCGGCAAGGCTTTCTGCCGTAAGACAACGCTTACCAAGCACTCCCGCCGAAGCCATTCAGCCCTGCTCAGTGAGGAAGCACTGAAGTTGAAGCGCAAGGAAAAGGTGTCGGACGCCTCCTTCGACTCAGCCTTTCCCATTAGCCCGTCAGCGCTGGCAATGCAAGCTCGCACGGGCATCGCTCGTGACACAACATTCGGCGCCTCCAGCATATTACCGGCCTTGACCAACGGTTTCGAATCCAGTGGCAGCAGCGACTCGACCGTAACCAGCCCAGGAGGCGCCTTCAGTACAGATAGCCCGTTCAGCTCGCTGCCCGGCAGTCCTTACAGCGCACACAGCACTGCCGGCTTCGACAATGTTCACGTGTCGCTACTATCGTCCTTTTCACCGTCGACCACAATGCCAATGCTGAAGCCTCAGCTCACTCCGAATCACCTGTCCCTAAGCATGTCAGGTATGCACGCTGGACTCGGCGCACATGCGGGCCCGATGTCATGGCCATACGATCCACTTCCACCCGTAATCAACGCTACAGCGTGCGACTTCGAGCGTTACACACACAACAGGCCGTCTCACTCTGGCTCGCACCGTTCGTATTACAGGAATGCAATGTTCAGACACACAGAGTAGTGCCAACTCAACATTGATCAACCGCATTTTCCCTCATCGAGTAGAATGGACTACCAGGGGACAACCGTCCTTGTTACATTTACGATCTAGAGTTAATTCTTCAAAGTCAACCTTCAATTGCTTTTTACCCATGCGCACCATCACGGCAAGCTCATGGAGCTCCAGCTAGCCTGTGGCCCGATAGCTCCTATTTTTTACAGGTCAGATTCTTTTGCAATGATCAGACACAAGAATGCACTTGCTAGTGGCTCTATACATCTGTCTCACACGCCTGGGTCCGCTTCGCCTAGTGCGTCCTCATCGTATAGAGAGCCCTCTGCGTCTTCATCGATCTCATCCATAGCAGATGGAGTTGCTTTATCTGCGGGTTGAGTGTCCTCAACTATCTCTCCAGTGGGGCCAGGCTCCCTCAGCGGGGATTCAGGCCGCGTGACACTGACATCGGTTTCCGGCTGGCCTTGCTCCATGATTCCGGCTCCTGAAGTGGGTGTCTGGATGCTCGGCTCCCCGTCCTCATCTGGAGAGTCACCATCAAAAAGGAATAACTTGGTCGGTCGACCAGCAAGGGAAGGAGCAGGCAGTGACCGCGAGACAAGGAATGGAGTCCACTTGAGCTTCTCTGGCCTGACCTTGATGTAATTCTTGGCTTCGTAGTTCTTGATGTGAGCCGTGAGGTAGTCTCGATCGAAGTGAATGCGATATTCGGTCGGAATGGTCACCTCATTCTCTTTGTCCTTGTGGTACGCAGCCGCACGGCTGGCAGCTCCGCCTCCCCTGGGGCGTCCTCTCCCACGTTGAGCTCTGCTGGCTACCACAGCGGTAGTGCCGCCCTCGCGCGACTTGTACTTGGCTGTAGCAGGCGCGCGCATGCGGCCGCTGACGGTATCAGGGATGGTGATCATATCTTGCTCACGCAAGACATAGAGCACGTCCTCGTATGTCATCGAAGTAGCCATGGTGATATCTATGATATAGATGGGACGTCAGGAAGCGTTCAGGCTTGAAATGCGCCAAGAACAAGCCAGCTCACCTTCCAAGGTTACCGCATCAGGAGCAGTGCGGAGGTAGTAAAAGACGGACAACGTCCAGTAATTACGGTATGACAAGAGCCCTAGATCTGACAAAGGCTTCTCCGGGGACCCCAGCCTTCCTTCCTTCTTGGACAGCAAGTAACCTGGGGCAGGTAACGATTGTTAACGTTGTTCAAATTACGAGCTGTAGTTATTCACTCACTAATATCGATCAGAAAGTTACCCCAACCACGGCGCTGACGCACAGGAAGCGTCATGATGCAAGATACGTTGTAGTGGAGTGGACTACGCTTCTCCTTGCTGAAGTATCCGACGAAGTGCGCTCCACGCTCATCGAGCTCGGCGACAACGTAAAAGAGGAAAGGCTCGACGTCGTAGTAAAGCGTCTTGTGGTCCAGGAACATCTTGGCGAGCAGGCAGAGGTTTTGGCAGTAGATCTAGAATAGACGGCGGGGAAACTTGGTCAATTTCTTGGTCCTATTGTGTGGTACTTCCGCTTGCCCTTACCTTGTTCTTTCGTCCATCAACCTCAAACACCGAAACATTGCCATCGCGGTAGATCTCATCGCCTGGAGGATGGCGCATCTTGCATTTCATCTGGAGCATCACAACGATGCACACGATGGTGATCATAAAACGTCAGCCTTGGAGCCTTAAGACATTCGACAATGGCTGCGGCGAGAGACTTACTCTGTGCCTGGTAGCCATAAACTTGCTCTTCATGTACTTAAGGCAGAACTCGCAGATCCACATCCTGCCATCGGGGACTAGCGAATACTCTTCGGGAAACGGAGCCTGGTACCACGTATCAATGTCGAACTCCTCGAAGCGGATGTACTTGACGGGGACCGCAACACCCGTCTCAGCGCTCGAGGCGGCTGCAATGACAGGCCCAGGCGGGCCGCCGGCCGTCACGTCGCCACCAGGCGTGGCCGCTGCCGTTGCTGTGGCAGATGCCTGGACTCGCGGAGACTTGCCGCCGGCTATTTCGGAGGTCGTAGCGGTGGATGGGGAAGCTGGAGTGCGGGGAGGCAGACCGGCGGCTACTCGACCGAGGCGCTCAGCCGCAGCGGCCGCGGCTGGCCATTGGAAATAGTCACCACTGGCGGTTGGCCGTGCATTTGCACTTGCAATAGCGCCAAGCGGATTGCTGGTTATCGGCGTACCGATGCCACTGAAGCCACGCGTAGAGCTCTGGGACTTGGACTGCAGTCGCGGCGTCTCCGAGCCTCGTGGGCAGGACACTACACCACCGAGGCAAGCCTGCCGGTGGTGATTGAATTGCAGATGAGTGAAAGCGGAATGGATCAAAGTAAGGGGATGTCAGCCTTGGAAAAGAATGTCTCACCCAGACCCTTCGATCCACTCTGACGCACCTCTCCCATCGCTCTCGCCATCTCGAACTTGGACTTGTCCTCGGGTGTTGGGCGCGCTTTGGATGTATCCGCATCGACGCCGACCAAGATCCCTCCGAATGGGTCCTCTTCCTCCTCTTCCACTTCTTCTTCCTCCTCTTCCTCCGCCTCTTCCTCGGTCGACTCATCACCCTCGACTTTATCGCCCGTTTCATCTTCGCCGGGCTCCGTGCGCCGCACCTTTCCCTTCCGCCGCTTCTGATCGCGATTGCTGTCGCTATCGTTTTCATCATCATCATCATCGTCGCTGCTGCCATGCGCTCGGCTACCACGACGGCCGCGCCGCCCGCCGCCACCTCCTCTACCACTGCCACCACTGCCGCCGCCACCTGAGAAACCGTCTTCTCCATCCCCTAAATCGTAATCACCATAGCCGCTCCAGCTGGAGAAGCGACTCGTGCGCTTCCGCTTGCCGTTCTGGTTAGCACCGCCGCGGCTGCTGCTGCTTCCGCAGCGGCCGCGCGATACGCGACCGTTGCCTTTGCTGTTACCCGCTAGCGACGAGAGGGCGTCGGCATCGGGAAGCGGGGCGCGGTAGCCGTCCGCATAGCAGAAAGGCTGGGCGACGACCGCGCGCTTCGCGTCGTCGCCTGCACTTTCTGCGCTGCCTTTGCCATCGCCAAGCCCGCTCCCGCGCCCGATGCCAATGCCCTGCCCTAGGCCGAAGCCGAAGCGAATAAGCGCAGATTGCGTGAAGCGCCTGAATATCGACGAAGGGCTGGGATCGCCATGGCCCAGGATGGAGCTGCTAGCGTTGGTGTTGGCGTTTCCGTCGTGATTGTCATTTCTTCCGCGGCTACTGCTGTTAGAGCCGGGTGTGTGTCCGTGAAGACCAGAAGATTGTGCCTGCATGCTCGTTCTCCCTATCCTCCTTTTCACACTCCGCCTACCGCCATTCTTCACGAGCTGCTTTGCGCCTTTGCAATGTATCTGGCCTTTCTGCCCGGCACCTGCACTTGACTGGTTCGCGCACGCGTGCCTCGGCAGCCGCTCGCGCTTGACAGGCATGTCGAAGCTCCAGTCCGGGTTGCGCGGTCGCTTGATGCCGATCAGCGCATGCTTCTTCTTCTCCTCCTCCTGCTGTGAAGGAGCGCTGTGCATGACCTCTCGCGCTGACGATGCTGATGTTGCATCTGATTCCCTGGAGGCTGCTTTAGCAACCTCGGATTTCACGCCTGTTCCACCTCCTGAAAGAGCATCTCCAGAAACAGCAAACGGCCCTGCATGCTTTCCCTTGCCCGTCTGCGTCACCGTCGTCATTGGCGGTGGCAGTGGAGGCAGCTTCTCTTGCCCACCCCCTGCAGCCGAACGGCGAGCGGCACCCGTGCACTGTGTGGCGGCACCCTGCAAAGAAGGAGCACCAGTACGGACGCCTACGCACATCGGGCACTTCCACACGCCCTTACGCGGGCGGTCGAGGGGTGGCTGTAGACAGTAGAAGTGCCATCCGCGGTCGCAGGCATCGCAGAAGAGGATCTTATCATCGTCCGCCTGGCTGCAGCAGCGCTCACACGACTTGCACTCCATGCAATACCACTCGTATGACTGTGCCAGGCGCACCTTGACCCTCGTGCGGCCACTCCAACGCAGGCAGACTGGGTGCCCGCTGCTTCCACACTTACAGCAGCTGAGCATGACTCCCATCAGCTCGGCGGCGACGCGCTGGCTTTTATTGGTAGTGGGCACGGTGCTGCTTGCCAGCGGGCCCGCGCGCGGCGGATTGTCCGCCGTGCGGGCACAGAAAGCACAGAGAATGTCCGGCTTGGCCCTTGCTATTCCCGATGCTGGTTGGAATGATGTGTAGGCGCGTGCGCCTGCAGCATGTTCATTGGACCTTGCTGCAGGAAATGATGCAGCGCGGCCGCCGCTGATGTTGTCATCGGATGCGCGGTCTTCCACTTTGTCTGGCGAGCGCAGCGAAGGCGCGAAAGGCGCGGCTGGGTGTTCGCACAGTGAGTACGAAGAAGTAGTATCGGACAGCCGTGTATTGTGCATGAGGCGGACCACCTCCTTCCGATGTGTTGGGTGTGCTGTAGGTAGTGGAACCGCGTGTACGTCTGAAGGCGCAAGGGAGAGTCGAACGAACGCGGACGCCTTTGGTTTACCCTCGAGCGCGTCTCTGCGCACATGCTGTCGGTGACGTTTGGAAGGAGGCGCCACTGCAGTCACATGAGCCGCGACATGGAGGTTGGCGTTGTGAGCGTTAGCAGGCATGATGCTAGCAGCGGTGTTGGTGAACGTGGACGCGGAACGTTGCAAGTAGGCAGCATACAGGTGCTGTGGACGCAGTGAGAGTGCCGAGCGCGTGATGGAGATCAGCTGTTCCTTTTTCTTGTCCTGCTCTCGCTCTTGGACCTGTTTCGAAGCTTTGATTGACCCGACATGCGTGTTACGCGGCGTGAGCAACGCAAGAGCAACAGCGGCGGATGCTGAGGCCGACGCGCCGAAGTGCTTGGGCGATAGCTCTTGCTGCTGCTGCTGCGACGGCAAGCCGTCTAACAGGCTGTGCGGAAACGCGTGGAGGAGCATCAGTGCGTCATTACCGGAGGCTGTATGCCGAGCGGCGTCGATACCAAGGAGATGACTGTCAGTCGAGAGCTGGAGACAAGCAGACTACAATGCCATACTCTTGGTAGGGACGAAGTGGTGGTGTGGTGTGACACGGTATGTACTCTGCCTTGGTCTGGACAGACGCGCCACGTGCAAATCTCTCTATAGGTGGGGTACACCAACCCTAATTAAACTCCCTCGAGTGTCAGTTGATGCCGTCTTGAAAAGGACTCATTCCGCGGCCGACTGCAGCCTAGCCCCAAAGCCCGCCGCCTAATGGCCCAAGAGTCCACGACATCGATGAGAACGAGGGAGCCATCGTCAACAATCGATTGAATGTGGCTTTTAGCAAGTCGTGTGTTTGTAGCTTCAGGTTGCCTTGACGCTCGAAGTCTGTGTACTTCCTTGATGGGTTACCATGCTGCCCGCATTGCATAGACAGTCGAATACGAGGGGGAGGCGAGACGACTGAACGAGCTCGTCAGACGCGTAGATCAAAAAACCCATGTCTTCGTTTCGAGAGTTGACCGAATTGGACATCTTAGTCCAACGAGCTCCGAGCAAAACTCATACCAGCGTGAGTTACAAAAATCAAGGCCATCGGCTTCGAAGTTCGATGTTTCCAAAACCCAGGCTCTCCTCTCTGCGCACTCCTCAATATACAACTTCTGCATCATCAATATTCTATTGATTGACATCATGGATCTGACTAGCAGTGTCCTTGCACACATGACTTGTACTTGCAGCAACGATCAGCGTGCGGTGAGGGAGTACCAGCGCCCTCCAGCGCAGAAAAAGAAGCGAATGAAGTCAAAAGTGGAATAACCCTACTTGCGCTTCGGAGAAATCGTACTATCCATGAAACCACCTTGCTCGCTCCTCTCCACTAAGGCGCCTCAAATCCAGAAGCTCGATCCCGCCGGTCGCAGCTCGCTACTATTATGGCTGAATATCCTTGCTTGTTACAACCGGAATTTCGCATGGATAACTGCACTTCTTGCAGCACGACCATCATGCGGGGGCCGCATGACCACTAGCTTCATCAAGTTACAATCTGCCCTTGCTCCGGCAGCTTCCAGCCATGCTGTTGGCCCCAAACACGCTCTACTCTGCCCCTGAATTCACAGCTCGAATTTTCGGTACTCAATGGCGTCTGGGGATGATATATGGGGGACAGCGATAACCCAGAAAAAATAATTGGGGAGGCGGAAGGGGTTTTTGGTCGTTCTGGTCAGCTTTGGGTGTACGAGACACAGGATCTTAATGCAGTGGCAAGACCCAAGCTCGGGCGTGTGCAGGACAAGCGCGAGGAAAGGGCACATTTCTCTCCTGCGCATCAGATACTATTTAAAGTGTCTAATTCGCCTCCACGGGAGGGCGTAGGTGAGGAGAGTCTGTCGTTTTGCCCTCAAATCCTTGAAGGAGATGCAAACCCTTCGGCTTTCCGGTCCTCCATTTGCTTCGCAGACGCGAACATTGGGCTAATGGCGCCCCTACTGACGTAATTTTGATGTCTAAAATCCCTGCTTTGTTTCGTCCATTATCGTTTAATGCAGCCGATACTGGTGCGTAATATTCTCGACCCGCTTGGACGATACCAGTCAATACCACCAGTAAATGCTGCATGAGATGTATATTGCCCCTTGGTATGAGACCTCCCACCAGAATGTTGTGGAGAAGGCGTGCATGTGAATAGCACAGATCAGGCCGAAACTTAGATTGTGCAAAGGGGAAGCGGGACCTCAAAAGTCGAGATCCATGCCCTGAGTTCCGGCCACAGGGCTTTCCACCTCCCCTTGGCGCAGCCCATTTCAGGATGAAGGCAATATGGATGCATGGACTTGGACTTCTTTTGTCACCGGCACAATCCATCTCAACGTTAAATTGGCAACGTACAAGTCTTCGCAGGGTGATTCCATCTTTCGCAGGTCCCGTGCTTCTATCGCAGTTGGCTGCCGGGAGCACCATATCTGCAGCCGATGTCATCGAATTGCACTCTTTGCAGATTGTGAAGCGCGCGACTCCCGGCCCTCATCCTTCCTGTGAAGACCCACGTGTGTCCAAAGCGAAAGATGCGCTCATAGCGAATGAGCACGTCGAAGGTCAGGTTGAGAAAGGTACCAGGGAGACGGTGGAACTACCTGATGGGACGGATACAGTGATCGCTTCCATTGCAGCATTATAGTGGCCAACTCTTTATCACGGCCTTAATAAGTAGGACTACAATTTCCAACTTACTCTTGGCGCATCGTGTTGCCTAAAGTTCTCGAGACTGGGAGCTCATGAGCGGAGACGTTTTGTGTACATATAAAGATGCTACATTGCTGCTCAGAAGTGCTTTGAATGCAAGTGCAACTCCACTTGTTATTCTGTGCCCTCCTTTCAGGGTGGAAGCTCAACAGCGAGGTCCAAGAAAGTTAAGGATGGATACTCCTCCCTATTTCTTCTCCTTGACGGTGAGCACTGGCGATGAAAGAGCACATTCAAGCCTGAACTTTCAAGTGTGCCAAAACATGGCAAGCCAAGATGTGAACTTGAGACCCTCAAAATTTGGGTAATTTTTGGCTCCCTCCAGCAAGCTCCAAGCTTTTGGCCCGTCATCGCCCGCCCGAGGACAGACAGTATGTGGTCAGCGCCATCTTTTGCCAAGTACATTGCCACAGTCCAAGCCCCAAATGTATGACTCTTTACGCGCAGAAAATGGGGGATAGGAGACTATAGTGATAAATCCGGGTCCAGGGGCTACAAATACACTTGAAATTGATCAAAAGGAAGAGGTCGAAGGAGCCTTCTGTCCAAAGGCGGTGTTAGGCGTCACTAGAAGAGTTCTCAAACTTCGGAGCTTCCAGCTGCCGCAATCAAATACATGAAATTGAACGCACTTGCGAACAGGCCATGCTCCGCAACGTCACAGCGTCCGCGCGCTTGCTCTCCGCCTGAACCGCCGACATAACTTCGAAGGTGGACGTGGTGAGGCAGATCGACAAAAGTCACTATGCACGAAACACCGGTCATCATACATGTACGCAATGATCAATGTACGCTCATGAGCGACCCAATTAGCACGCTGTTTTGATGATCTTGTTCTGGACTACTGAATGACTATGTGTGCGACTTTCCATTCACTCTCTTGACCAGTCTTTGCACAACACTTCGTCCGTCAGGCTTCCGGAACTAGTCCCTCGCCAGACCTGCGAGAGCTATGTATGGAGCAACATGACTTTGAAAGATTGACATGCTACAAATTGGTTCCTTCGAAAATGGTTCAGCGATGCATAAAAGGTGGCGTGTGGGGTTGAGGAATCGACATGGATAGAGGTGCTTTTCCCATTCCCACTCGCATGTTAGTTGTATACCCCGTATGTGCCTTCGGCATGCTGGAAATAGCATGTAACTGGAAGCCAGCGGCAGCATTTCGAGGATTTTGGTTGCAAGAATATCGGCCTGTCCATCCCTGTTCACATGATGCCATATCTACCATGCTAATGTGGGAGGCGTATCTGATACTCAACTTCGGAAACAAGAGGTGGCTGCGGCTTAGCAACAAAGAGCTACACGTAGATACCATTCCCTTATTCTTTACATTGACGCTCCTGGAAGCCATGCCTTTGTGCTCTGCAAAAATTCTAGCCATCTTTTAGTAACTCACTGGCGAAGATCGGAATGGCCCTCCCAACCACCAAGATAATTTGGAATATAGAAAGGGGCATGAACGGTAGAAGCAGGAACCTTCAATGAAGAGGCGAGGCGTGACAACGACTTCAACAGTATCTTGAACACAACGGCTTCCGTTCCCGGTGTCCAAGCATTGCCGAGGAAGGACGGTTGCAAGTGCGTCTTCATGGGAAACGATGGATACTCTAGGTCTGCTAATATGGGGCCATGCCAAGAAGCCAGAACCACCCCACAAGGCATTTCCTGGTACGGCAGACTGGTATCGTCGAAGTGGAGCTCTGTGCGAAGGTTGCATACAATTACTGAGCATTGTGAATAATAATTCCGGTCGAAAGGTATGAGGATTCGATGCTCGGTGCGTAATATTATGGAAAGCGAGGGAATTGCGTCTATGAATCAAACATTGGACCAAGCTCAAAAGGGTTTGCATGACCTTCAGAAACACGCTGACAGAAGCTCAGTATTTTCTCCCTCAAGCCATTCTGTGGTTGCGAATGAGATCCTCGAAAAAAATGTCAGTCGCAAGTAGTATCTCCGTTGAATCTTCCCGCTTCTCCCGTCGTTCGCCTAAGTTGACGACTCGCAATCATTTTGTTACTTTGTCTGGTGTACCCAGAGTTGAATTTTACGCGTGCTTACCCCCTAAGCGCGCCTAATTACTCCTTCTGGGTGAGTACGATCATTTTAGAATAGGGCTGGGTCGCCATTGCTGAAAATAAAGGGGATCCTTGAATTGAGGCACCAGATTGAAGGGTTTCGGGGGCCAACGGCATGGCTCGAAGCTGCCTGAGCGACGCTGAATATTGTCTTGTGACTGATGCCGCTCTCCATGAACCGGCGTCCAAATAACCTCTCACGTTAAGGCACGAATCACAGCTACCCAAGCACACTCCCGTTGGGATGAAGTAATGAGAAAATGCAAGAAGTCTGCGCATATCGTCCATATCGAAGAACGAGATCGCGGTGATACGACTACGTGCACTAAGTTGTCAGCTGCAGCTGACGCCGCGGGGAGTGAGAGTCCAGACTACACAGGGAAATACATTATCACCGCCAGTTTCGCACCACACGTGAAGTCCATATGATATCATGAGTTAAGCTTCAGCCTGGACCCTCTCGACATTTTGGGCTGCACCCCAAGCACCATACAGGTACTGGTCCAAAATGGGACTTCCATTTTTCTGATCTGCATTTTATAACAATTGTTGTTTGGCGTACACAGATTGTCAGTATTCATGTTCATGGCACCTTGCTTGATCTTGCCTTCTGATTGGTGCGGAATTAACAAACAATATGCGCTCGCCTACGTCTTTATCCCCGAATTAGTGAGCAAAGACCCACTAAATCGAGAGAGGAGTCAGGTAAAAAATTATTTGTCCATGTTGTGCTTGTTGTGCTATAGTGATACTACGTTAGCGAAAAAATGTTCTCGATTGGTCAAAAATGCAAAGTGCAGAGGTATCTGTAATGTCTGATGGCCCACAATGGGCGCTGGGACAAAGCCTGCCCAGTACAGGGTATCGATCGGGGGTTGGCGTGTTAAGATTGCTCAGCTCCGTCTACGCGAACCTCATGAAACCGTCAAACGGTACAGACGGTTCGCTTCAACCGGGTGTGCCCTTCGTTGCAAGGCGGGGGGTATGGTTTTGCAGCGCCATACCAACGATTGACATTGCAGGAGCACGTCAACGAGAGGCACTGGACGCTGTTGGTCATGGATTCCAATCTTGAATCGACGACCAAATGCGGCCCAATCTATCTTGAGGGATGCTTCAAATCAGAATCTGAGTGAATCACACTGCAAAGAGGAGTGAAGGCTGTTTGATTCATCGTCCCGGACGGAGAATTTTGACCACAACTGCTTGAAGCGGCGAGAAAGGCACAATTGCGCGGTTCGTACTTGCCATGATGGGTCATCTGCACAATCCTTAAGCATATGGCGAAGCCACTCCGGTGGCCTTTCAAGGCTGAAGACAGGGCTTAGATGAGAGTCAAGTTTGCATTATAGATCGAGAACATACCTGAATCAGATTGAATGGAGGGTTGAAGCTCCATAAGTGGCGAATCTGAAACTGAACAATGCCGTTGGTAATGATCCATCTCCTGTACTAGGAGACAATTCAAAGGTTGGAAACCACGAAGACAGTTGGAATTCGGTAGACTTGTGGTTTTGAGATGGGTAAAGTGATCGAATGGTGCTTCGCGCCTATGCTAGACCCTCTGAAAGATGCTGTCAATTCGTCGAAACCTCATGTATTATGTGTGGGGCGCAGATGAGAGAATTTGGCTTCGCAACGAGAATGCAAACGTGTGGAGTACAAGGCGCAGGCGGGACGATGGAAGAGATGGATTGAGGTTCAGTGAGTGTGGACAAAGCCTCTCGCTTATTATTTATTATAGTTCTAGGGGTTGAGACTAGGGTTGCTCCTTCGTCTGCTAATGGGCAGCCATGAGCACTTCATGATAATACCGGACTTCCGCGCGACAAATACGTTGACTCACCCCGGGAGCGGACTTGTTCGAGTGGCCGCGTCTAAGCGCTGAGGACTGTGGTGATGATGGCATTCCATTTCATCCTTCATCCATCCTTCGAACCTCAGCAGAACTTCTTCCACACATCCATCTAGCAGCAAGTTGAGAGGCGTTGCAGTACAGCACTCAAAGCTATAAGGCCTGCTACGGGTGCAAGCTAAGGAGGTTCAAACAACTTCATCAACCCAGTCCCAGCTCCAACCCCCAAAATGCCGTGCGCACTCGCCGGCCCGCCGATGGAGCCAGGGCAAAAGTACAGGCCCTACACCCCGCTCCACCTGCCCAACCGGACATGGCCGACCCGTGTGCAACGTACTAGCCCCATCTGGACCAGTGTAGACCTGCGCGACGGCAACCAGGCCCTCGTAAAGCCCATGTCTGGCGAGCAGAAGCTGCGCTTCTTCAACAAGCTCGTCGAGTGCGGCTTCAAAGAGATCGAAGTCGCGTTCCCCTCCAGCAGCGATACCGACTTTGGCTTCGTCAGGCACATCATCGAGCATGATATGATCCCGGACGACGTCTACATTCAGGTTTTGACGCCAGCAAGGTATGTCAGCGTAGCACCAACCCGAAGCTGCCGCCTTGAGCTGGTTGCACTGCTAAAACCTTACAATACGTTCCCCCTTTAGAGAGGAGCTCATCCGACGGACCTTCGAGTCAATCAAGGGCGCCAAAAATGTAATCATGCACATGTATAATGCCACCTCATCCCTCTTCCGAAATGTAGTCTTTCGCAACTCGCAGCAGCAAACGATCGACCTCGCCGTCAAGCACACTAAGATTGTCCGCGAGCTGGTCGACGAATACAGCAAGCCCGAGAACGGAGGGACCAACTTCAAGTACGAGTACTCGCCCGAGACATTCACCCAGACCGAAATGGATTTTGCCGTGGAGATCTGCGAGGAGGTGCGGAAAGCGTGGGGGCTCGCGAGCGAAGAGAACAAGATCATCTTCAACCTACCCGCCACGGTCGAAATCGGCCCCCCAAATCACTACGCAGACCAGATCGAGTACTTTTGCACGCACATCAGTAAGCGCGAAGAAATCATCGTTTCTCTGCATCCACACAACGACCGCGGCTGCGCAGTCGCTGCAGCAGAGATGGGCTTGCTCGCCGGAGGGGACCGCATTGAAGGGTGTCTGCTAGGCAATGGCGAGCGGACGGGTAACGTGGACATTGTCACACTCGCCCTGAACCAATACTGCCAGGGCATCCAACCAGGCCCGCTGGATATGTCCGATGTCCAATCGATCGTCGACGTCGTGTCGGGCTGCAACGACATCCCCGTCCACCCGCGGCATCCGTACGCCGGTGAGCTCGTCTTCACCGCCTTCTCGGGCTCGCATCAGGATGCAATCAAGAAAGGCTTCGTGGTGCACCAGGAGGGTGTGGCAAGAGGTGATCCAGTATGGGACATTCCGTACCTACCAATCGACCCGGCCGACCTCGGCGCGACGTACGAGGCGGTCATCCGCGTCAACTCGCAATCTGGCAAGGGCGGTGTCGCGTACCTTGTCGCGCAAGCACTGGGCCTGGACTTACCGCGCCGGATGCAGATCGCATTCTACCAAGTGATCCAAGAGATTGCGGACCGGACCGGCAAGGAGATCACTTCTGAGGATATCACGCGCGCCTTTACCACGACGTACCACCTGCCGTCGTTGGAGCTGGGAAAGAATGAAGGGCGCTTTGCGCTGCGAAGCTTCACGCTCTCCGCCGCTAAGGCGCTCCCGGCAGACCTGAGCGCGTCGATGCTCGAGGAGCTCTCCGCAGCTGGTACCGGCGCTGAGACGCCGCGCCTGCTGACGTTCGAGGGCGACATTGCCGAGGGCGGCCAGGTGCACAAGCTCCGCGGCAGCGGCAACGGCGCCATCTCGGCGCTGCTCGACGCGCTCGAGAAGGCATTCGGCGTGCAGGCCAACGTGCGCGAGTACAGCGAGCATGTCATCGACCGAGCCTCGCTCATCGCCGGCGGCGCGTCCGTAAGCAGTGTCAGCGCCGCCATCCCCAGCGCTGCCGCTGTCGACACCAAGCGCAGCGGCAGCAAGACCAAGGCGCAAGCAGCCTCATACGTCGAGCTCGTCGACGCAGACGAGAGCGAGCGCGTCGGCGCCAGGAAGGCGACTGGCTTCTGGGGCGTCGGCATCGACGTCGACATCACCGCTGCAGGCCTAAAGGCCGTTTTATCCGCCGCGAGCAACATCATTAACCCAACGCGGCGATGAGCGAGGCGACCAAGGTCATGCAGGGGCAGAATGCCAAGGTCAACAACAGGAATTGTTCCGCTCATTGATTCGGCGGCGCTTTTGTTCCGTTTGTACGAGTGAGCGAGCCAGCTTCCAGAGGACAAGCATATGCTTTCTCTATGCCGTTTGATCGCATCAATCTAGACGGGAGCAGCATGTATCTCTGCCTTTTCCCTGCAGCACGCCATTCCGAAAGAAAAGGAAAAATGTAACATACGCGCCACGCTATATGTTGATGTCCGAGTCTCAAGAGGATGAAAGACAAGAATGTGCATTCGAAGGGCTGTTCGCGTTTCAACAGTGCGAGAGGGCGGCTGCTCCTGAATTGCATTTCTCGTGCCATTTCTTCACTGTCCAATCAGGGCTACTCTGCAATGACATTCTCCAGCCAAAGGCCCATATGCTCGATCTCCTCAGGGCAAGCCGAGTGGGGCATGCCTCTGTATTTCTCGAACTTAACGCCGGTGTGCTGGCCCTTGTGCGCGCCATCGCTGATCTGGCGGAAGCCGCCAAGGCCGAGGCCTTCCTTTAGGAGCTCGGCGCTGCGCTCGCCGAACGAGAAACGCACGACTGGGTCGGCGGTGCCGTGCGCTATGAAGACTGGTAGCGGAGCAGACTGTGCTGCTGCTGCTTCTGCTTGCTTCTCGTGCGCTTGGAACCAGGCGGACACATGCTTGCGAAGCGGGCACCACGTGCTCAGCGCCATGATGCCCGCCAGGGGCCGCTTCTCCTGCGCGTACGACGAGAGGCCCGCCAGGTAGGAGATTGCGCCGCCCTGCGAGAATCCGCCGACGACGATGCGCTCATACGGTATGGACGAAGGCGAAGATGCATGCTCAGCGTGCACGAGTGCCTTGATCGCTTCGCTTGACCTGAGGAGCCCCGCTTCGTCTTCCGCGTGGCTCACGTCTTCCAGGGAGGTGACTGTTCATGAGCGAGGTAGGACACAGAGGTGTCAGATCGACTGCCGGCATCTCCATCGCTGCGCAATTTGGTTACGAGTTTCGCGCACAGCTCGCTGAAGACCTACTATCAAACTATCGTCAGAAGGATGGACCCGGCAACAAAAGTGCAGCGCGGTGTACAGCATGGAAAGTCAGACGCTTCACAGTCTTTCATCTCTTCGGTTCTACTTCGAGCATGAACGCACCCATGACGGCATCTTCATGCCCATGTTGAGTGTGACGGGCTGGACGGGTGCATTGGGCAGGACGAAGCGGACGTGACGGAGGCGCGGACGTTCGGACAGCATGCGTGCCACATCGATCCAGCCTGCGCCCGAGTCGCCCAAGCCTGTATTTGTGCGATTGGAGAAAAGTTGTGTCAATCATCATTTCATGGTGGTTCAAATGGTTGTATTTCATCGAATGCTACCGCGGAGATGTCTCCGGCCTGGAATGCGCACCGTGGGCAAAGATGACGCTTGCCGTCGGTGCTGCGCCCGACGCAGGGGGCACGACGAGCGTTTTGAGCAAAGGCGCGGCCGCGGCCATGGTGTTCGCGGAGGTGTCGGAGGGAAAAGGCCTTTTCTCGAGAGTGGGGACAGTAGTGTGTGTTAATTGGCTCGTTCCGAGCGATAAGGCCGGGAAAAACGGCAAGCAGGAGAAAGGGAGGAGCGGCACACCGCCTCGCACAGCAAGGACAGCGGCGGCACCTATGGCGGTGATGGCGGCGACAAAGACGAAGAGGGCCGTGCTGCGGTGAGTGTGTGCCGTTGGCGGCGACAGGGTCATGTGCTACGTGGCGATGGGCTGGCGAAGCGTGCGGCGTGTGCGCATGTGAATGTGACCCTGAAACAGGGTCGCAGGCCGGCGAGAGGTTTCGCTCGAAGCGGCTGTCCAACCCAATGCGATGCTACATACGATCTCGAGGCTGTGTTGCAGAGAGACAGGCAAAAAGCTAAGTCACGTGATGGGGGGCGAGGGTGGGCAGTGGGGGTGGGGTGCACGGGGGCACTGGACCGCGGTCTGGAGAGGTACGCACGAGACTTCCTGGCGCAGTCCAGCGGATTACTACTATATAGCATGGCAGGGACAGAAAGAGAAAGAGGAAGGGAGAGGGAGAGCTTTGTGGTGCGCGCTTGCCAAGTGACGCTTGGGTTGCTTCATCCGAGCCGGTCGACACCGCCCAGTCGTCTCAGCTGGATTCCTCCAAAAAGGGCACGATTCGTCATCTTCTTGCCGGCGGTGGAGCTATATGCTTGTGCATACAGCAAGGTGCGAAGTGTATTGTCTCATCATCTGGTCACCGCACTCGCCTCGCCCCCAGACCAACACCAAGTAGCACAGAGGAGACTCTCCATCGCCGAACACGCGCGCTGTCTAGCAGCAGTGGACGATCCCCAGCCCCCGTCGGGTGTGCCCTTCGAAAAAGGCGACCCAGGGATCTCGCTTACGACAGAAACCCCAGGGTTTATGGTGGGCACATGGAATACAGTGGTGCATTTGTCAAAGGTTCAGCCTCGCAAAAGGCAGTCTGTTTGCTTCTCTCCCACTTGCAGTCTGCACTGCGGGAGCCTGCCAACGACCACCCTCCCAATAAAACAAGGAGCACGCTGCATACCCGCAACTGCATACTACACACGGCATTCGGAACACTTCATTGATATATGAGACGCACGCATGGATCATCATGTGAGTGGTCCTGCATAGCGAGCTACCTTCATCGCCGAACCTTTCCGCAACACTTCTGATGCCCTGACTTGATGTTCACCAGGAGTGACATTGGCAGCAGCAGCACCGTTTCGAATAGCCTCGGCTCACCGACAAAGCGAAATGAACCTGCTGGCAGCACCAGCAACCGCCCAACAGGAGCGGCCAGTACCACCGCCGCCGCGGGTGCTTCCCTGTCCGAGCGCATAGCGGCTCTACAACGAGCAAACATCACACCGGATTCCTCACCACGACTGCCGAGCGCACTGGGGGGTAGCAGCGCCTCCATAAATGGAGACTCATCGTTCACCTCACCGCGTGCGGCTACTGTTGCACGCTCCATCTCCGCGTCAGTATCCGGCGGTGGCAGTAGTGGCGGCCCGAATGCTGTGCGTGACCGCATCGCTCGCTTCCAAGCGACTGCCGCGACTGAGGCGCCACTGATCCCGCGCTCGTCATTCGGCGCGCCCGCTCCAAATCCCGACGTGCTCAAGAGCTCCAAGCGGCTCAATTTCCCCGGCAGCCTTGGCGCTGGCGGCATGGGAACCGGCAACTGGGGCGAGACGCTCCGGCCGCAGCTGACCGGCGGCAGCTGGCTCCAGATTGGAGGGTCCGGCGCATCGCATGGCAGAGAGGGCGAGATGAGACCGCAGTTAACTGGAGGCATATGGGGCGTAAAGACCATGCCCACTGGTCGAGGAGGTGAGTTCCCTCCATTTATTTCTTGAGTCACATCCGCTGAACGTTTGCTCCCGGGCCTGCCAATGTAGGTGCGCCGTTCCCAGCGCCCGCCCCACAGCAGGTGCATCCAGCACTGCCGCCCACGCCTCCTTCCTTGAATAAATACGGCACGTCACCGTTCGCATCCGCGCCGAAGATCTTGGGCGGCGGCGCCGATGCATTCGCCGAGCTGGACAACGAAGCGGAGACAGAGACGGCGCGGTACTACCGCCAGCAGCGAGAAGCGCAGGCGCAACACCGTCAGCAAAGGCTGGAGTTAGGGGCAGTTGCCTTAGTGGAAGAAGCTAGTACTGGCTCTGCTGCTGGTGCAAAGGGAGATGCTGCGCATGTTGATGCGCGAGACGTAAGCCCTGGCTCAGGTGGACTCGATAGCCTCAAAGGCATGCGAGACGTCGTGCCAAGCTTCCCTAAGACTCCAGATGCCGAGGTGAATGTGGACGCCATCGCTAGAGATCGAGCGCGGTCAGCGGATACCGGTGGTCCTTCGTTTGAGAAGGGGGATGTCAAGGTGAGTCACTGATTCACGGCGAAAGCAATGATCAACCGGCAGTTCGAGAAGCTCACACAAGCATTTATCCACACTTTACTTCCTACCCGATGGCCTTTACATGCGCCTAGTTCCCAACTCTGCCTGCAGTGCCACTTGAGACGCCGCGCAGACCGGCAAATAATGGCGTGCGGCTCTCCCCTTCATCCGAGATACGCGGTGCTCGGCCGGCCGATGCCAGCGCTCTCCAAGGCGTTCTCGGTGACGATGGCGGGCGGGAGGATGACGCGGATCGCAGCCTGCGTGATCCGCTCATCGATGTCGGCGTGCAGGGTTCAACCCCGGAGAAGCTACGGCAGCTACAGGCGCGAGTGGATAGTATGATCGACTCGATAGACTGCCCTGCGCATGGGCCGTCGACCAGTCGGACAGTACATTCAGAAGACGTCTTTGGCTTCATTGGGAGTAACGCGGATGCGGTGCCGTCGAAGCATGAAGCGAAAGCTGTTCGGCGACATGCATCAGCAATTGGCACCGGTCAGGACGAGCAGTTGCAGCAAGCCGATGCCTCATCCGCATCGAGCGAGTACTCGGCTGAGAGCGCCGAGACCCCCAGCTCAGCGGGTGCTGCTGTTCCTTCGAGTGGCGGATCGGGCATGCCGTCGAGGCAGCGCCAGCTAGGCCAAGGTCGCTGGGCAGCCGACCGTGCTGGGAAACATGCTGCGATGCAGAGCAACATCGCAGATGCACCGTTGTATCCGGATGCGGACGAGGATGAGAATGATGGTGCTCGCCGAGCTGATGCAAGTTACGAGGGGGATGGCATGGACGACGATGAGTTCACCATGGTCTCTGTGCCGTCGTCCGCCGGATACGCAGACGAAGTGTCGTCCTTATTCAGTTTGCGATTAGGCACGACTCATGCGGTGCCCGTATCCGCCTCGGACTCGGCCGTCACGCTGCTCCACCACAACCACGGCTCGACACCCAAAAGCAATGGCATCGAGCTGCAACAGCATCAGCAGCACAATGGCGCTGCAGATCGACAAGGCAGAGGCAAAGCTAGCAGCGATACGCCTCAGTCAGCCAGTTCAGCGTCCAATACACCAGCGCGGAGTAAGAGCCAGAAGCTCAACCGACCTCCAGTGGGACGCATGATGAGCGCTGCAGAGCTGGACGCCAGCGATGATGATTATGAACCGGGTAAGTGCATACGTTGCCGCATAGCTTCCAAAGCTCAGCGTTGCAGACCAGCAGAGCTCATCGATATGCTTTCTCTTTCGCTCAAAAACAGGCTGGGCGAGCATCTTAACGTCGCGAACCTCATGAGAGGCAAACCAAGTGGGCCGCAAGCAGTGCCGACGCTGAATGATGGGCGGTGCTGACAGGACGCATTCTTTAGCGGTCCACATGCGCTATGAAGGTTCCCCTTGGATATTCAGAGCCCACGAACAAAGCATCACCACGTACACCTATTGGGCGTGCGCTTCCATCTCATTTTATTGTAGATTACCTCAATCCAAGACTGCGTTACATCGCGGCGAAGACACTTGTTCAGTGACGGCGATAGTGTTACGCTGTGCTGCACGGACCGCATCTCGGTTCAAATGCTCTAGCATGCCCAGATTTGCATCGACTTTATTGCACGTCGCTTGCAGACATCTGCGACGACCATCCATCCGCTTGTCTGGCTTGTTTGGATTGCCAATTAGCCACTCTAGAAATGCATCTGTCAAGTAACAGTCCGTCGGATGTCCCAATCGCCATCTCAGATGACACACCTGGACGCCAGGGTCTGCTTGCCTTAGTTTTCTTTTTGTCAAGCCGCAGACGGTGGGAATGCAGGCACTGCGCCTCTCTGTGTGAGCACCGAGCACAACGGGACTTGATTGCAGTGGCCACTTGTCTATCTACTAATGATGGACCAGACGACCTTTGTCCGCAACAGCTAATGCCGAACCTTGCACAGAATGTAGGAGCCAGCACTTCGGGCTTTATTCACTAGGACAGGTGTATGCGGTAATTGTATCAGCACTGCTATCACAAGTAGAGGACCCGCTAAGAACTGCATGCCTGATCTGAATGAACGCGGCCCTGACTATCTGCACGCCAGACTCAAGTGTGAACGGGTAGCCAGTTTGATGCTTTCGCCATGTCGAACCCGGGATCCAAAAGATTGGCAAAGGAGCTTGTGGGTACGTATTCCTTTAGGTTCCACGAACAGGCATAATCGCAAGCTCATATCCGCATCGCGCTCGTGTCACTCGACCGGGTGAAAGAGCTGCAACGCAACGGGCCTCCCGCGGGCACCACGCTCATATCAGCCGATAATCTAGAGGAATGGCTGTTCGAGCTGAGCGTGCTCGGTCGGTCCGTATTTGAAAACGAGAAGTTTCGACTGCGCTTCAGATTCTCAAACCGGTATCCGTGGGAAGCCCCCGAGGTCGTCTTTGTGACCAATGACACCCTCAAGGCTCCAGAGGTGAGCTTGTGCTGTATGCTGCACTAGGATGATACAATCTTACAACTCGCATTTACTCCAATCATTATGGCCGCCACAAATAGCATCCACATGTGTGAGTCTAGCCTAGTGCAGGTGCAGCCTAAGTATTGAAAGCTCAATTGATTGCCCCTCCTTTGATTTAACTCTTCAGTTACAGCAACGGGCACATCTGCGCCAGTATCCTTGCGAACGACTGGTCGCCTGTGCTGAGTGTCTCATCCGTTCTCTTGACGCTTCAAAGCATGCTGGCATCGTGTAAGGTGAGGCGAATGACATGGACTTTACAACGGAACAATTGACAGATGAGTTGATACTCTCTCCTGCTTTGATTGTCAATGAGCACAGAGAAAGGAGCGACCGCCGGACAACGAGAAATATACCAAGCACAGCCCGATCTCACCAAAGGACACGCGCTGGGTCTTCCATGACGATACAGTGTAAACTCTCTACACCTCATGACAGACGCCTGTAGTAACCCGCAACAAGGTGCATTCCCACATGCTGCATCAACGGTCCTGATGCAAATGAACATTGGGGTTCGATGAGACCACCACGACGAGGCTGCTGTCGCTCATTAGCTCCGGAACGCTCCTGCGCAATTTCCCGCCCGAGTTTGGCGAGGGTCGCCCTCCAATGTGCTGGCTGCTCTTGGCATGTCCTGGTCTCGCAAGTGCTATCAAGTCGAGCTTGACCGACGCTGTCAAGTGAAAAGACTGCAACATGAGCATGTTCCAACTCGCATCTGAACGAGGAATCATGATGCGATGCAATCGGCTGAATCTCCGCAGATATCAATTCCTTCCTGTGACACCCTGTATTCCTACATATTAGTTGGCTAAACAGTTAAAAATGGGATGCTGACAATTCACGCATGCATCTGCCTCCGTGCTTATCCGAATAGTCCCGAGCATTATGCGGCCTCCGGTAGAGCAGACGTGATAGGCTTGCCGCCGAGTGTCGAGGCATCGCAGCTGCCTGTCCACTGATGCTTGCCGGTGGCGGCATTGGTGACGATGGAGCAACCCGGCTGCAACTCGGCCTTAGTGGCAACCGCTCGCTTGGCAGAAGCTGCTTGAAGAACCGATTTGACAGGCTGGCCGCCCAGGGTGGACGTATCACAGGCGCCCTTCCACCTTTTGGTGTCGCTAGGGCCCTCGCCGACGATAGAGCAGCCGCTCTCAAGCTGAGCGATCATCGCACGGGCGTGAATGTCAGCAATTTGTACTCCCCGAACGGCAAGCGGGGCTTGGGTGCCAATAATGTCGGTCAACGCGCGCTTGCAGCCGCAGTAGCAATTGCTGCGGTAGAACGTCTCTCCTTGGGAGTTGGTCGTAGTCTTTGCGGGGGTCCATTTAAGTGTCGAAGGGTTTGGGGACTCCCTCTTCTGGAACTCGCCTTCGGGGTCGAAGACGTGTGTCAAATCGCGAGAACCGATGTAGATTGAACACGTGTCCTTTTCCTTGACGTTGTTCATGCTGTTGGAGATCGTACCCTGGTTTCCTTTAGCGCTGCCACTGTTGTTCTCAGACTTGTCGACTCCAATCTTGGTACTAGAGCTAGTGTTCGTAGTCGTCCTCGGTGCATCAGGCTTGGGGTTAGGGTTGGTGTTCGGAGTCGTCTTCGGTGCATCAGGCTTGGGGCTAGGGTTGGTGTTCGGAGTCGTCTTCGCCGTGTCAGCAGGCGCTGCCGGCTTGGATCCTGCAGAAGGGGCTGGCCTAGGCGCCGGAAGTAGGCTTGGGGCTCGTCGATTGAGGACCCCTTGAATTTCTTGGTCAAAGTACGCTCGGCGAAGTGAAATGGCATCTTGATCGAATGAATCAAGTCGTCCAACATCCCGCTGGTTGAGCAATATCGGGTCGGCGCTGACGACCTGTAGCGCCACAGCGGTGAAGGTGAGGAATGGAAGAATCTGCATTTTGAGACGTTTTGCTCGGGTTGTATAAAATGATAAGAGAAAGTTGTGCGGCCAGCGCACAAGGGGGTTGGAGAAAGCTGACACGACCGGCGTGGATGGTGAAGGCGGGAATTGAGGTGTAGAGGTAGAAAGGGGGAACCCGGTCAAACCTCGTAAGTGTTCATACTCAACGCTGAGTATATAAGGAAGCAAATGTGGGTGTCTGACAGACTATGCTTCAAGGGGCCACACGCCACACTGAAGACAGATACGCTTGCCCCTCCACCCTCGTGCCTCTGCGTTCGGCATGCCCGTCGTTCATTCTTCTCTCACTTCTCGAATCTGGTCCTGGTTGGTGCAGTGGCAAATTTATCCCGCGTCATGGGCCGGAAGCCCAAAGGACTCGCTGGAGGCGAGCGTCACTGACATACTGTATACATACATACGGGGAAGGTTGCTTAGTACAGCGGCGCACCGCATGAAACATCATGCGCGTGGCGCTGTCTCAGTCCCGCACCGCGTCATCACCTTCTGTTCTTGCCGCGTCTCGGCTTAATCGTTGTTTTGGTTCCCTCGATGATATTGTGACTCCGAAATTCGGAAGGCAGGAGCGCTTGGAGTGCATTACAGTAAAGGAAGCAGGAGGAGGCAGCTGTAGTGCAGAAATCAACATGTTGTATCCTTGCTGGGGAACAGGCCGAGTGCCAAAATCGATTCTCACATCAAGGGCGCCAAGATTCGGAGAATGGGAGCTCTCTAAGGTCAAGCGGTGCGTTTGGTATGACAATGATGGCACCACATGAGCCGGAGCCTCCGATGAGACTAAGTAAGCGGTAGAATCTCTTTCAACTAGCTAACATCGTTGTCCCTTCTTGCCGCATCTCTTGCGGCGTACAGTGGGCAAAGGGGGGTATGGTCCGGTTGCATATACCTGGAATCAAGCATACGCGGACTTGCTTGCTTATGAGCCGTGCACGCTTATCTCTCATCCCTTTGATGAATCCAGACCCCATGCGGCTATCTCGCACGCTAGATGAGCTCATCGCATCCGAGCTTTCCTGGTAAGCGCGTGAGCGTGCTGGAATTTATGAATGTAGATCGTCTCTTCAGTGACGCTCCTGTACATTCGCAAAATGTGCTTTTATCGATCACTATTCTGGAATCGCTTACTCAGCGCCCAACGACCTATGCTACATGTGACTTCTCCTGCATTCACTCCTCGACGAAGAAGCCAAGGCCACGCGCATGCATCGCAAGGATCTCCTCCGCTTCGCGCTTAGCGAACTCGTCGCAGGTCGAAGTCGCGCACTCAAGCCCGATATCGCGGCGGTAGTGAGTTGCCTCGTCGGCGTCGTGGCCGGCAGCGCGAACACCGAGGACGTCGGCAAGTCGGCCGAGGTCACGCGTGGCGAGTAGGTTGATGTTGTCGTCGATGGGGCGTACAGCGTGGCCGCCAATGGCAGCGAGTACGCTGGCGCCCGAGTCGAGCTCA